GTGACAGCTATCGTCTATCTTTTTCCATATGTCGCCGCCCACCGTCAATATACTCAGACGAACGAAGCTGATCTTCCGTATTTCATTTATGTAGTTTCCTTTTGAACAACATGTGCTTGCTCTTGGGATCCAATATCGTTAAGCGTTGGTAGCTCTGCCCCCAATCATTAGATTCTCCGTCATCGTAGTAGATCATGATTTCATGAGCTTATCTGCGATCTCATATATATTAACTCATGTCATCAGCAAATTATCTCTTGAGTCGTTCATACTCACGTAGTTAAAACTGCCCCTCTCTCTAGCGCCAATTGTTTGGGCAATTTTTAACCGGTTCGTGTATGGACAGCTCTACGGATTAACGCATGAAGAGATATTTTATTCATAAGTAACCTTTCGTTTATATAAAAGTGAAACAATAGTAGATAATAATCTTCTAACAAGAAGCAAAGGAGAATCTAGGTGTAGATCCGTTGGAATTGATACTTTTAGGTAGAATCGATGGAGTCGTCGTGTCGTTAGGCGATAGATCATCGCTGATTCATTTAGGCCGTGGCCATTGATTCTGCATCGTGTGGTCTTTTAGAAGCTTTTAGGGTTTTCTTCTTTCTCCCCCTCTTCCTTTTCTTTAGAGTCTCTCTATTTATAGGTCTCAATCCAACCGTAATATTTCTAGACTATCATTAACATATATTAATCCTAATCTCGAAAGGATAATTATTAACGTGGATATATCTTAATATAAATAATCAATAATGATTTTATTTTACCCAACAACTAATTAATCTTTCATAGGTACTAAAAATTCAAGAATGAAACACAAATCACGTGATGACTTTTTGTTTGTTTTTCTTTTTCATGTTTATTATAGTTTGTTAATAAATCATATATACAGACAAAACAAACGAGACTATGCTTACGACTGATTAAAAAGATAACACATACATTTGCTGCTGCTGCAGACGATAAAATATTAATAGTTCAGTTTTTTTAATGAATATAAAGTTTATAATGTGATGTGTTTGGAGATTATAGAAAACTAAATAATCAGTTTGGAAAGGCTGTCTCATCTTTCGTGGCGGATTCTGGATAGTGTGTCAACAGTCAATGGCTCAATTCGACATTCCTCTATGTTAAGAAAGTTTGTTTTTTTTGTAATTTTCAGAAAAACGAGTTAAGACAAATTTTCACAATTACATATAAGTTGTGTCTAAGGCTGATTAAAAATATTATCTTGAATATCGAGGTGACGCGAGCCGGCCATACAGTCGTTATTTGTTTTCTAAAAAATTCAATAATATACACCAAATGGGTATACTAGTGTCCAAAACTAGAGATTTGTTCGATTTATTTATTAGCTTTGTTGAGAAGTCCATCTGATTATATTTTTTTTTTTTTTTTTTTTTTTTTTTTTTTTTTTTTTTCATCTGATTATATTATACGGCCCCTCAAGCCAAAATAAAATAAAATTATATGACCCCTTATTGCATGATAATTATTTCAGTCAATAAGTATACGTGGACCTCTGGATACATTTTTCATGTTACATATAAATTTAGGTTTTTCCTAATAAAAATATAAGATTAGTCAGTATAATTTCCAGCTATATAACAAGTATATATTATATATGTTCTAAGACCAAAATAATTGTAACAGTGGATGAGAAAATTATGCGATCATGTGCAGTAACAAATAGTTTAATAGAGACACCAATTCTAACGCGATATAATGTGCATGCAGTAACTAAGAATGATGTTTCCAACACCTTGTCTCTACCGTGTATCTTTGTATATTGATACTGTTATATTAAACTCAGATAATTATTTGGATATGAAAAACTCCAATACTTATGAGATAAATAAATATGGTGACTTGATGGATAGGTTAGGCCAATAATTTGGAATCTCACCAATAGCCAATAGTAATGTTACCATCCTAAATTGTTCCAGCTGCAACTGAAATAATCTGTCTTAGATTTAAGAAACAAATAATTGAAGTCTATATTCTATTTAGCTATATATATATACTATATAGTTTTAATAAGTCGACCCACTTGATTCCGAAGGCTACACTACTACTTCTTAAATTAATATTTAGTGGGATTAACTTACAAGATTTCCAATACATAAATATTAAACATTTAAATCCATATATATATCTGTGTAATTGTGTTTCAGTGGTGATAGCCATGACTTTGAGAAAGGGTGAATGACATCATCATCATCATCATCACAGCATAAAATTTATAATTATTAATGGAAGCTTATGATCAAATAGCTCAAACAGAATGTGTTAGTTTTGTGATTTTGTAATGATTCAAGTTTTACTTATCATACATAATATAATACACACGAGATTGAATCATTGTTATTTTGTCATGCTTTTTCGTGTAATCTAGTTAAAAATAAATTTGCAGATGAGGACAGTGAGTTTGTATGTTATTGACAGTTAAAAGGCCTGGGCTGGGTCCACATGACCCAATAAGGGAGATGGTGATGTCATAGTTTACGTCAGATTACGTCATCCGATCCTTCGCTTTTAAGTCTTTGCCTTTGGAAGCAAAAGTCAACCTTCTTAAGCTATACACTTTTTTATTAATCTTCTCCTATTCTACCCGCCAAAAATATACGAATTTAATACAAATATATAAATGAAGAAACTTCGGCTACATGTAAGAACAGTGTACTTTTAAAATTTATATTTAAGTTTCCACAACTTGCGGTCCACATTATATTATTGTAATATCAATTTTATGTGACAACTTATTTTTATACAGTTTTCTATTGATGCATATATACAATAATAAAGGTGATATTGGCACTTGTTTTGGAAGTTGATCGGTAAGAAAATAAAAAGTCGGTCAATACTACGAAAAGACAAAATCGAGATTGCATTAAGTAATAATTAAAAAGCAGGAGTTAATTGTTTTTGAAAATGATGAATTAAGTCGGTGAGTTGTTGCAAGTATTGACTAACGACTTTTTATAATATCACCTCTCATATCGGAAATACAATTTAGGAATTTAATTGTTAAAATACGGATATATGAATAATTAATTATGCTAATATTCTTGCAGACGAGCTCGAACCATCTGTGAATATTGAACATATGATATTAGTTCAAATAATGAGGGCTTCAGTAACTAATTAAATTGAACTTCGATTACGAGTAACTATCAGTGCGTTTTATTCAGTAATCAAATAATATGATGATACTTTTGAAAATTATTTATTATTATCTATAAAGTTTGAATATGTAAATATCCAGACAATTGGAATGTAATGGAGAATAGAGACAATTAGACAGTTAAGTTAGTTGGAGTTTAGGCGTCATATCGTTGAAACTTTTTAAAGATAGCACCCACATTTTTTTTTTCTCAATATTAAAAACCAACTATCTTTATTGGCACGCTCGTCATCACATCCAGAAAAACCAACTACTAGTATTTTCGCTCATCAAATCACGAACCTTAAAATACTCTCGTCGCTAAATATTGAAATTATATTTTCGTATTGATTTGTTCAGTTTCATATCATAGGTTAGAACGCTTTGACTTGTTCTTTTTTCCTTATTAATCTTCGCAGGCGGTGGTTTCCTTGACCTTTTATTATACACATAATTAAGCCGACATTAATAGAAAAAGGAATATGCTTTTATTAGGGCGAATTTACTCATTTAAACTACGACGTCCAGAAATAAAATTAAAAAAAGTAGTGGAGATTAATAGTCTAATTAATATATATACTATAAGTTAACATTGATATTTTCACTCTGTTTAAATATAAGTATAATGTGATCATTATGTTTTGACATATAATATTACTCCACTAATATGAATTTTAAATAATAAACATATATTTATTTATATACCAATAATAAAATTGGAGATTACGTCACACTGCCACCAATTAGTTGATAATTTAAACATTATTTTTATTCCTTCAGCTTCACTGGTAAGGTTAAGAAACACACCACAAATGGTTGCTAAAATTCTTATATACACTATAGGGTCGTTTAATAAATGTCTAATCAAAACACAATTTTTATTATCGATTAAATCACACCCCAAATAAATATCCAAACTGCAATTCAATCTTTGTGATCGATTTATTCATTTACTCTCGTATAGAAATTTTCTTCATAGAAACTTAAACTTTCTTGTTTAATAAAACGAACATTAACATGCAATTTCTTTTGAGGTTTTCATTAGGGGATTCGGGATTCCTTTCAGTAGGACAATAAAACTAATAGTAATAAAATTTTAAAAGGGACATATTTTCAATAATATGGGTCCACAAAACACGAAGAGGAGCCAAACCTTTTAACACTTTTGAGTGGTATATTTTCCTTCAAACGTTTTTTCTGCCACACGACTCTTTATTTTCTTTCCAAAAGAGGTTATTTTCAAAAGGTAGATGTAGGTCATGTTATCGAACCCATTTTTTTTCTGGTGGTTGGCTAAGGAACCCCATAAGATGACTATACTGACATAGTCCTATGAAATGTACAAGAAAAAAAGAAACTAATCCTCATATGGAACATAAAATTATTCTGACAGAAAAAAAAAAAATTATTCGACAGACGTGTCACCCTATGGATCTAAAATTTAATGGTAGCATCTAAAATCTAAAATATGAAATTTGTGGAAAATTCCATAACCATCCCGATAAACTAATTGTTACCTATAGCAATATTTTTATTAATTAAAATACAATTTTCTCTGACACTAAGAATAAAAATAAATTTATCTTATCTTTAATTATAATATATATTAATTGCTAATTGCCCTGAATTTCATACAGATATCATTTAAGATTTTTTAAAGTGTTTTCTAATTGTGGGGCTTTTTCAACAAGTAAGGAAGTTGCTTAGAGCTTACGTGTCTCTTCTACATCACCAAAAAAATGAGAAAAAAAACAAAAATAAAGAAAATAAAAATTATTGTTTTTTTTTTCTTAGCTCTTATCCTCCTCTATATAAAGACATTTTTTTCGACCTTCACATATTTTTATTTTCATTTCCTTTAAGTGCATAGTTCTTCCTCAAATTTCTAATACCTGTTGCGTCTCTTTCTTTCTTTCTTCAACCTCTTATTTCTTCTTCAGCGCCAACGTGTATCTGCAGTAAACAGTACATATCCATCGATCGATCTCCTCAAAAAGTTCTTGTTTTCTTGAAATCCAACAAGGTTGTTTCTTGTTCTTGATCAAACATACATATATATAGATGGTGGAAGAAGGCGGCGTAGTTGTGAATCAAGGAGGAGATCAGGAGGTGGTGGATTTGCCTCCGGGGTTTCGGTTTCACCCAACTGATGAAGAGATAATAACTCACTACCTCAAAGAGAAGGTCTTCAACATCCGATTCACCGCGGCAGCGATTGGTCAAGCTGACCTCAACAAGAACGAGCCATGGGATCTACCAAGTAAGTCAAGTCAAGATCTTTTTATTTTGACCGTTTCAAACATCATCATCGATCAAGATTCTGATTCTTGATTTGAGTGCAGAGATTGCAAAGATGGGGGAGAAGGAGTTTTACTTTTTCTGCCAGAGGGATCGGAAGTATCCGACCGGGATGAGGACGAACCGTGCGACCGTGTCTGGTTATTGGAAGGCGACTGGGAAGGACAAGGAGATCTTTAGAGGCAAAGGTTGTCTTGTTGGGATGAAGAAAACACTTGTTTTCTATAGAGGAAGAGCTCCTAAAGGTGAAAAGACCAATTGGGTTATGCATGAATATCGTCTTGATGGCAAATATTCTTATCATAACCTCCCCAAAACCGCAAGGGTATGTCAAAGTTTACCACTCTTTTGCATAAACATGATTCGGTTTGATGCATACAAAATTTGTTTGTTGAGGAAAATTTTATCTATAGTTTTTCTTTTATATATGATTAATCCTAACCATGAAATTTAATTAGAACCTTAATTAATTAGCAATCTCTATGACTAATCTTTTTTAATTGTGATGATTATAGGATGAATGGGTGGTGTGTAGGGTTTTTCACAAGAGCGCTCCTAGTACTACAATCACTCCTACAAACCAACTCTCAAGGATTGATTCACTTGATAACATTGATCATCTCTTAGACTTCTCATATCTCCCTCCTCTCATAGATCCGGGTTTCTTGGGTCAATCCGGCCCAAGCTTCTCCGGTGCCCGCCAACAACATGACCTCAAACCTGTCCCCCACCATCCTACAACCGCACCAGTCGACAACACTTACCTCCCTACCCAAACTCTCAATTTCCCTTACCACTCGGTCCATAATTCCGGATCTGATTTCGGTTACGGGGCAGGTTCAGGCAATGATGACAAAGGTATGATTAAGTTGGAGCATTCTCTTGTGAGTGTGTCTCAAGAAACCGGTTTGAGTTCCGATGTGAACACAACCGCAACACCAGAGATATCTTCTTATCCAATGATGATGAATCCGGCAGCAAATGCGGCAGTGATGGATGGTAGCAAGTCAGCGTGTGATGATCTTGATGACTTGATCTTCTGGGAAGATTTATATACTAGCTAAATTTGGGAAAAGGTTATTTGTTAATTGTGATTGAAGAGTGGCATATTGATTACTTGTCTAGTGTTTTTAATCGTGTAATTAGTTTGTATATAATATACATGTACATAAGATCATTAGGTTTATTAGGCCATTGGACTTTAGTTCGATGATTGTTTACTTAGTTTTTAGCTTGAGAAAAAAGGCTGTCATTGGGGCTATGTTTCTTTGTGATTAACTTGTACATATATACATTTAAATTCTTCGTATGATTTATTTCGTTTAAATTAGTTTCTTATTAATTTCTAAGGAAATGCAATAACACATAATTTTTAGATTTTGGAAATTAAGATGTTCAAGTAAATTTATCTCCTCGAGAGGTATACGATGTCTATCTATGCATATTAGATCTGTTTACAATTCTAATGTTTCACTGCCTACTTTTACTTATTTTCGTAGTTTAGTTATTATTTTTGTATATATATTTGATCCCAAAATAAAATAAACAATGGTATTCAATCGTATAACCCACAAGTATAAGTACACCGGATATATAGAACTTCTCATTTAAGCTTCATTAGTTACAGAATTAATTAGAAGATAGTATGAATAATATTAATGGTCACCTATTCTTGGTCAAGATTAACAAGACAAGATAGTGAATCTGTTGTCATTTATGTATCAAACTCTTTTTCTAATGCCGGTCATTTCTATGAGTTGGGAAATTCCGGTTCGAAACGAGACTCATGCATATTATGGTTCCTTTGTAAAATCTCAAGTAACGAGCAATAACTAAACCACCATTTCTTAGTTTTTTTTATACGTTATACTATATTACTTCTCGAGCAATAAGTAATATGAAAAATTGGCATCTCAGTATCTATAGGTTATGTTGTTACTAATTTGTACGATTACGAAAATAAATCTCTTTTTCATTCAGAACATAAAATGGAAAATATGGACCTATAGAATCTGCATAAAATGAATACAGCTCACGAAACATGTGAATTGTTCCCTGAATCTGAAGCCTTTTCATACGGCTAATAATTTAGTTTATAAAGACACAATTTAATTCAATAACTTAAAACAATTTTGAAAGATTCTAAGTAAGGGCAGTAATTAATGATGGGTTTCTTGTAAAAACAAACTCCAGATCCCTAAGTCTTCTGTCTTAAGGAGCTTAATTAGTTATTACACTCAATGACATTACGTTTTCTTACTTAATTTTCAAAAACATTAGTATAATAAGCTTAATTAGTTTTTAAGAATTTACACGAAATATTAGTATAAGCTTAATCATATATTAGTATAAAAAACTCAGTGGTTGCAAGAGTTTAAAAAACAATATGCTCACTATAACTCATGATTATAGTTCAATCACCAAAAATGTCAAATCAAACATATATTTCTACTTAATGTTGAAAACCAAACTCGATTTTTTTCTACATATCTTAAGCTAGTTCAACATCTTTAGAAATACATTTTTATATAGTTCGTCTACCTTAAAAAGATAACTCCAAAAATAAAGATAGAAAATGGATGATTATATTAAAAATGCACATTATTATAAGAAACTTTCCATTTAAAGCAAAGCTTTAAGATGAATACTTGCAGCAAAGCTAACCGCTTATTTTCCTTTTTCGGTTTCTAGATGATTGCTATTTTGCTATCTTTTTCTCTCAACCCTTTTTTTCATTTAATAATGTTTTCTAGACCCCAAAAAAAAGAACATTTAAAAATGTCTAAATTGCCTCGACATAAATCTTCATCGGCGATGCGAAAATGTTAACCGGATCCAACAATTTCGTTTCCAGTGAGAAGAATTATTAATTTACGTTAATTGGTTTTTCAATTTTCTAATCGAGCTGCCGACAATAAGAAAAAAAAGCCCATTGGCTTTGCTTATGAGCCCAAGAATGATTATATTGAAACTTCGAAAAAATTCGAAGATGCACAATAATTACCAAAAAAAAAAAAAAAAAAACCGATTAGAGTTGATTAAAAGAACTGAATATGAAATCTGAATGAACTTAAAACAAAACTATTGATTCGTATCTCTCGTCTCGGATAATATTCAAAAATATCAGAAACTTCAAATTATTGCGATCAAAAAACAATGGTCTAAAACTCTAAATCGAAAAAAACCCACCAAAAATAAAATTTCTCAGACTCCAATTTCGACCCCTAAAAAACATGAAACTTCAAAATTGACCCCGTATATAAAAAAAAAACATTCTACTCCACGTTCAAAATCTTGACAACAGAGGAACCATCGATCTTGTGCAACGCCACAATCGAGTCTCCCGCCTTGCATATTCCCTTCTTCTTCGCAAATTCAATGGCGAATTTAATCGTCTCCTCCGTCGAATCCTTGTTCGAAGACCTAGCTGAAGCTCCCGTAGCCATCACCGGAACAATTCCACGGTAAATCAATCCACGTCTGGCCACATGAGCCGCAGATTCAGAGCACGACCACTCGAAATCATCGGTACGAGTAATCTCCGGCACAATCACCGAAAGAATCGGAACGCTAGGCCTGTACTTGGCCACAAGCTCCACCGTGTAACCTCCCTTGGTTAGAACTACAATGGCAGCCGCACAAAGACTCCTAGCCGTCGAAACGGCTGAAGCAGCTAAGCTCTCAATAGGAGATAAAGGCAACGAAACGATATCTTGAATCTTCTTGTGCATTGTGTCGTAGTCGATGAAATTCTCTGCCTCCTTACAGATTCTTGACATTGTAAGCACGGCGGTTTCAGGGTGAGCTCCGGCGGCGGTTTCTCCACTGAGCATGACGCAATCAGTGCCGTCGAGAACAGCGTTAGCTACATCGGTGGCTTCGGCTCTAGTCGGACGAGGAGATTTGGTCATTGACTCAAGCATCTGTGTGGCTGTGACGACTGGCTTCCCAAGAGCATTAGCTTTCTGAATCATCATCTTCTGAGCAAGAAACATCTTCTCAATCGGAATCTCCATTCCTAAATCACCTCTAGCCACCATGAATGCATCAGAATTCTCCAGAATCTTGTCGAAATTCATCACTCCTTCTTGATTCTCCACCTGTAATGAGCATCACAATGTTAGTATATAATTAAGAAATCAAATATCACTTAAGAAAAAAAATGTGTTCTGTTTTTCAACTCTTTACCTTTGACATAAGCATGATACTCTTTGCGTGTTCACCAAGCAATTTCCTGACCTCGACCAGATCAGATCCTTTACGAACAAAGGAAAGAGCGATGATATCAATCTTATTGGGAACTCCCCATTGGAGAATATCCTCTTGATCCTTCTCTGTGAGTGTTGGGAGATCAACTACGATTCCAGGGAGGTTCACGTTCTTTCTTTCTCCAAGAACCGCAGAGTTCTCACATCGGCAACGAACAAGACCGAGATTCTTGTCACAGGCCAAGACGGTTAGAGAGATTGTGCCGTCGGAACAGAGAATCACGTCACCGGACTTGAGATCTTCAGCAAGTTTCTTGTAACTCATGGAGATTGTGTTTGAATCTCCTTCCATGGTGTAATCAGTTGAGATTGTAATCTCTTGACCTTGAATTAGCTCAACCGGTTTGCCTTCTTTGAGAAATCCGGTTCGGATCTCAGGACCCTATAAACCAAAATATTAAACCGAGTTAAATTAAATCCCCAATAAAATCTTAAAACAACATAAGGAGAAGTTGAAAAGACTATTAAAAATTAGGGTTACCTTTGTGTCGAGCATGACGGCACAAGGAATACAAGTGTTTTCCATGGCGGTTCTGAGATTGTCGAGAGTTTCTTGATGGTACGAGTGAGAACCATGGGAGAAATTGAACCGGGCTACGTTCATACCGGCTTTGAGAAGCTTCTCAACCATCTCAACAGATCTCGAAGCAGGTCCGAGAGTACAGACGATCTTCGTCTTTGACTTAAGGGCTCCATTGTTGGTTTGTCCAGCAAGTAACTTCTCCATCGTGAAAAAACTTTAGAAACGAAGAGAAAAGGTTTAAGAGTTTTGAGAAGAGAAAATCGAGAGCTCGTGAAGGTTTATGATTTATGATAATTAGGGTCGCGTATCTAGGTATATATAAAAAACTAATTTCCTTTTTTTACATTATAGAAAAAGGAAAAGGAAACAACTTACTTTTATGTATTGTCTTAATTATTGTTGTTCTTGTGTATCAAGTAAATAATTTCCTTTTTTTTACATTATCAAAAAAATTAGGAAAACAATTTTTTGGAAAAACTACTACTTTTTAACCGTTTTGGAAACAAATTAATGCTAAACATGAAAAAGGGAAAAGTTTCTAATTGGCATTTATTTAATGATGTTCGTGTATCTCAAGAATCAAAAATAAACCGTCAAAAAGAGATTACGAGACAAATAAAACAATAGATTTTTTAAAAAATATAGCTTTATTAATAAGAAAAATTAACAAATCTGATTACCGTACCATCGTATTAAAAAATCTTAAATAAAGTACGGGAAACAGAAGTTGAGGTTTCTTAACAATTTTACAAAATTAGCAGAGAGATCTGTACATCTCACTTCTGCTTAAAGCTTGTTTAGCACTTAACTACTAATTAATCTGCTTCTAATCACGTTTCTGCATTCAGTTTTGTATACCCTCAAAAGTGTCAAGCGTCAAAACTGGATCAGTTTATCTTCAGACAAATTTGATCTCTCATTTTGTCCTAAGGAAACTCTTTATAGAAAGAAAACAAAGTTGAATCTTTATACACATAAGGAAGGAGCAAACAGAAGAGAGCAGTGTAGCTACAAAGGAGAAATGGTAGAGGATTTGTGCAATTTGTTCTTCTCTTGCCCTTGCGGTGGCTTAGATGAATGAACAGCCGCATGATAAGACGACGATGCAAGCTGTGCCAAAGCCGGTACAGCGCCACCTGCGATCAAGTCCGCATAAGAATTAACACCAAGACATAACTTTAAGCTAATAAAAAGACGAGTAAAAACATCTACTACTTTCACAGGCTGAAAGTTGTCTAGATGAGTATTAAAAAGGAGGAGATGATCTCTAAACCTGCAAGTCCAGCACAGGCTGATGAAACAACTATCACAGGTGGAGCCTGCAAACCAAACATGAAATACAATCATCCCGCAAGCTGTTTTGCGACAATTTAAGGATGTAACAGGGAATTCTATAACTTTGTTGATAACTTACACCAACAAGAAAATGCAACCACATGGGTCCTTTTATCCACTTGCGTACAATCGGCATTACTGCATCAAAATCAAGAACCACACTATTAACACAACAACCCAAAATATAGGTTCTGAATGTTTTTGAGGCAAGTTCCAAACTTTAAACTGTTGTTTCCTCTATTCAGACTTAGAAAACATATCACCAACAAAAAGAATCTCGATTGTTTCAGCATAAAACACACAAATTGAGCATCAAATCCACCCCAACCTTTCCTTAGAACAGATATTTTACCCTCTAAGTCACTAAAACACTCTCTCTTTTCCCAATTAAAACAATCAACAATCACTGATGGGGCACCAATTCACATGAAGATACCAACTCAAACAAATCAATGAGTGAGAGATTAAAGACATACCATGGTTAAATCCAATGAAAGCACTTGCAGTACCACCTACAGCTGATCCAATCTAATGACAATAACAAATCACCTTCAACATAATTGACCAATTATCCATTGTAATTCCAAACAAAACATAAACTTTTCTGAGAAATATTATTAAGAATCGATTTTTAGCACCAAAATACAAAAATTTCTTCAAAAGACATCAAATTTTTGTTCTAACTAACCATAGAGAAGCTATCCCTGATAAACGGAGCCACAGTCCATTCGTTGGTTTCCTGAAAATCAATTCCGCGACCAATACAGATTTCACTAAACCCAACAACAGGAGAAAAAGGTAAAACTCAATCAACAACAACAAGAATTTTGTGGTAAATACCAGATTTTTCGTAAGAGGGCCTGCGCAATGATGACACCTAGATCCGATCTCCTTTCCTGAATCCTCCATTGCTGCAGACAAATAAGAATCCCAACGAGAATTATATTTGGATTCCTTCTTCTTCTTTTAGTGTTCGTAGGGTTTCTACGTTGTTACTGGTTCGTCGTCTCCTCTGTTCGACAGCACAGTCGCCGGATCATCTGTGGTTGAGTCTACTTTAACTTTTTCAGCCAATTAATTGCTGCCACGTATTTAATATCGATCGTTAATGAGACCGGACCGGTCTAGTCGTAATTGAGCATACATAACCCGGTCAGGTTCGTCTTTTCAATTTAGAGAGTTTCATTCAATCTTTTTTTTTTTGGTCAATTAAAAATCTCTACGTTCAGGTGGAAATTGATGCAATAAAAAGTTTCTAAACACATTTTTTGCAAAAAGTTAAAAGTTTTTGCTTAAACCAAGTTATATTTGGAATCTTTCTTCCCCATTTTCCATGGAGTTAAGAGAAATAAAGTAAACCAACAAAAGAATGTTTAATAAAAAGAAAAAATAAATAAGAATATAAACAATCAAACTTTAATGTTACAACTTGCAACTATAAAAATAGGTTATTATATGTATGACTTGGTTCTCGAAAAATGATTTCTGCCAGATGAAGTTGATTTACAATTACGTAAGTTTTTTTTTGTTTTTTTGTTTGATATAGATCATAAGTAACGATGAACAACAAAGACATTGATATGATGTTAACAAATAATGAAACAAGACTAGCTATAAGTGGAAGGAAAACGAACCTCATATAGTTTTTTTTCTTTCTCGTTGTCTATTTTTTTAATTTTATTTTCGGGTTAAGATGAATAACAAAGATTCTTGACTTGAGAATGCGACTCACCTTTTTCATTTTAGTTTCTTCTGAGTTTTTTTTTTGTTATTCTCATATTCTCATTCTGCAGAATCACCACTTTCTTCTTTCCTTTTTTAAAAAAAATATATAATTTGATGAGCAAAAGAATGTAATTCCGTGAGTATTTTTCCGGCGAATGTAGCCCACGTGTTTAAGTATGCTCCCTACGCGAGAGCTTTGAAGCATAATTAGCAAAGTTAGTCGTAAACAAGAACAAGAATCTGTTAAATGAACGTTACAAGGAAGAACATTCAGTCTCTATCACTCACTCCCTCTCTCTCTGTCTTTTCACTTATAACAGTGACCTTTCGAATAGGTAAAAGATAAACAAAAACAGAGAGAGTGTAACTATTATCAAGAAATCATCAGAACTAATTGTCTCAGTAATAGTTACAAAATTAACACAAACTTAGGTAACAAATAAAGGAACAACATTTTACAGTGATCCAGAGAAACAGGCCCTGCTACAAAAGTGAAATCTTGATTGGATAATGAACTAATTCACTCTGTAACCATACAAAGGCGCTGTAATAAAACAGATAATTTGGTAAGAAAGAAAGAATGTTTATGAGAAGAGTGAGTTTGATGAGATTCATTCAAGTAGACTTTTAGAGACTTGCAACACACAACATGGAAAGCATATTCTCACCCACATGGAGATGAAACTATTTTGGTAATATGCTCAAAAACTTTTAACTTAAGATTATGATAGGTTCTTTCTTCCCAAAACCGAATAAAGTGTATTGAGAAATCACAACCATGAGATATCGCCTAAAAAGTTTGGTTCGGTATAAAATAAATGCAAAGATATCATTCAAGGAACATAATATTTGTTTTTTTATACCTTATGAACCATAGACCATATCAAAGCACTCATTAAGCTAATGTGGGACTCAAAAAGATTGGATATATTCTCAGTTGCACATACAGTAGTAATAGCCTACACAAGTCCAACATTTGGCAATGCCCTTATTCTAGAAGATGAGATGCCTTGACGGTAATATGTACGCATAAACTATTCAAAAACTCAAATACTGTAGACATCATCGAAATAGTTGCAGGAAAGTATAGAGTGAGAAATTTGCCAAGCAATAGATGCAGCAGTAATGTTTCACTTCTATATATGAATGAAAATATAGACACACACACACATGCATGGACCGGAGAGATAATTGTTATTAGATCAGAAAGGAAAGGCTACAAACATAATAAAACAGAGGCATAGAGGGGCCAAATGTTTTGTGCTAATCAAAGAATGTTAAGAAAAATGGGACCCTCCAGTAATTTTATACTGTGTAGAGAGAATAGGTACTAAACTTGTTGAAGGAGGGACATTATGAAAATATTCTTTATCATCTTTAAAAGCAAAACAATGTTTCCAATTCCAACAAAAAAACTTTCATTTGTTTGCTATCTCAAACTAAAGGCTTCTTTTATGGACTGAGTCAAAAGTGTTATCATCATATTACATTCTTGAAACATAGCAAGATAAACCCCTATTAATATCATCAATAACAGCTGACCAAAAGTCTTGATAAAATCAATAGACTCATAATGTACCTAGAGACCGAAAATGACTCCATGAAGAAGGAACAAAAACAATCCAGACAAATGAAAAGCATTGAGAATATTCCAAGAAAGATAGAGGTTATTAGAGTTGTGACTATGAAAATATCAAAGAATAAGAAAAGTTAGGAAAAATTGGGGAATAAGATACTTCCCTCTGCCAGAATGAGCATATGATGCATTAATTGTGGATCAATTCTGGTATCTAATTGGGTTGAAAAGTTGTAGTCCATAGGAATCAATACATGAAATAAAATAAAAATCATCTACAAACAAAAAACAGAACAGTTCAAACGATAAGGACACAAGTAACAAAAGCATCGATTGGACCAGTTATTCATATTCCATACCTTAATTATCGTTCTCTAATTTGCCCCCTTTTCTCCATTCAACTTCCTATATAAAGCAAAGTTGCACCAAACCAACCTGAGAAAATATAAAGAACAAGTAAGCAAAAGCAGCAAAAACATCTTCCTTAGTTTTTGGAGTTTTTACACTCTTGGGACTTCTGAGAACTAAGATCGCGTCAGGTAAAAGAAAACACCGATCATGACAATCATTATTTTATTGCAGTTTCCAGGGTGGGGATTAAACTTATTGCCTTTTTGTGAACAGACTTTATGTATTACCAAAACCAGCACCAAGGAAAGAACATCCTCTCTTCTACAAGAATGCACATAACTTCTGAAAGGCATCCATTCCTTAGAGGGAATAGTCCAGGAGATTCTGGACTCATCCTTTCAACCGATGCAAAGCCGCGCCTAAAGTGGACTCCAGATCTTCATGAGAGATTCATCGAAGCAGTCAATCAACTCGGTGGAGCAGATAGTGAGTGTTATATCATTCGCAAGAGAATTATATAATGACTAGCAGGCTTTTTTGATATAATATTGTATACTTTTTGTCTGTTCTGTTGCAGAAGCTACTCCTAAGACAATCATGAAAGTCATGGGGATTCCAGGCCTTACCTTATACCATCTCAAAAGTCATCTTCAGGTAAACCATCATATCAACACCAAATACACTAATATTACGATCTTTCTTTTTGCATTCACAAAAAGTTATTTATTAACTTCATGAAATTGGCTACCAGAAATACAGGTTGAGCAAGAATCTTAACGGACAAGCTAACAGCAGCTTCAACAAAATAGGTAAAGTATATTGACATATATGAACTTGATTCACAGATGCAAGAACTTTTAAACTTTAAAGTCCGATCTAAACCTAATACTTTAAAGTCCGATCTAAACCTAACATGATCACTTGTATAGGTATGATGACCATGATGGAAGAAAAGACTCCTGATGCAGACGAAATTCAAAGCGAGAGTTTAAGCATTGGACCACAGCCTAACAAGTAAGAAAAAATATGAATATATTGTCTGTACATCTTTTAACGTATTAGCTTATCACAAACTGACCAAATCTATTTGCACACAGGAACTCGCCAATAGGTGAAGCACTGCAAATGCAAATTGAGGTCCAAAGAAGGCTTCATGAGCAACTTGAGGTATCATATTTCTACAACACTGTTCTTTACTACAATACACACACTAAAGATTCTTGCAATTCATGAAGGCACTTAGGATTATCAGTCATGAATTAAAAGTCTATTCCAGCATGTGAAAAAGCTTAAAACCAAGTGAATATCATGATTGTTAGAGCATTCAAAAGAGGATAAGTTTATGGTATAGTATCTAGAAAGACAAAAGCATTCGGTTTATATTTTCTTATTTAAACTGAGCCAGGTACAGCGACATTTGCAGCTCAGGATAGAGGCTCAAGGGAAGTACCTGCAATCGGTTTTGGAGAAAGCACAAGAGACTCTTGGAAAACAGAACCTCGGTGCAGCAGGGATCGAAGCTGCCAAAGTTCAACTCTCGGAATTAGTTTCTAAAGTATCAGCAGAATACCCAAACTCTAATATCCTAGAACCAAAAGAACTTCAAAACCTATGCTCACAACAGATGCAAACAACCTATCCACCAGATTGCTCTCTAGAAAGTTGCCTGACCTCAAGCGAGGGAACACAGAAAAACCTGAAAATGCTAGAGAACAACAGATTAGGACTAAGAACATATCTAGGTGATTCAACATCCGAGCAGAAGGAGATTATGGAAGAACAATTGTTCCAAAGAAGGGAGCTCACATGGACAGAAGGTCTAAGAGGGAATCCATACCTTTCAGCAATGGTAAGTGAAGCAGAACAAAGAATCTCATATTCAGAAAGAAGTCCAGGTAGATTATCAATAGGAGTAGGATTGCACGGACACAAAAGTCAACATCAACAAGGCAACAATGAGGATCATAAGTTTGAAACACGAAACCGGAAAGGCATGGATTCAACAACAGAGCTAGATCTCAACACACATGTTGAAAACTTTTGTACAAAGCGTACAAAACAGTTTGACTTGAATGGTTTCAGCTGGAACTGAGAAAGGATTAACCAAAAAGTTAAAGAGAGTTTCAATCATTTCTGAGTTCACACAGGAGAAGAAACCCTATTAGGGAACTCCTGAATCCAAAGATACATTTTGAATCAAGATTCTTGAGGATAATGTACCAAACTATTCATTGTTTATTACCTCATATATACAGAGATTACCTAACTTGATAGACACTCAAGAATTATAAACCTAATCTTCATGAACTAAAAGCCCGTGAATTTGGGTAATCTAACATACTAAAAAAACAATAATCACCGATGCGTTGGATTGATCTAATGGGTTTCGATTTCACTTTTTACTGCAGACCGTACCAAACAAATCTTGATCAAACCATGCTCAAACCGATAAGCTAACCAATCAAGTACCGGTAAAATTTATTTATTTTCACTTCTTCTATGGGAACATTGAACCGGAATTATATTGGTAAAGGCGTAAAGCTCAAAAACTTCAATAAATTGAAACTAAACCGTACCGGCCGTTGCGAACTAATATTACACATTAGCATCATTAATCACTCTTGGTCTTACCTAAATAACAATTTAACTGAAAAGTAAACCGGCCCGGCTTGTGATTTATAAGAAAAGAATGGAAATCACAAACCGGTATGGTCAGTAAACTTGCTTACAACCTCTTGTTCCATTTCCACAAGTTGGTGGCAAAAAGCTTCAACGTCTTTCACCTCTTCTTCAAACTCAAACCTAAACTCTCTCCACTGATACTCATCTCCGGCTTCTTCTTCACTCGGTACCTTCCCCAACAAGTGGAAACCTTTCTTATCCACTGATACCATATAAGCATCCTAATCGCCAAAAAAAAACACCGGTAAATGACTAACCTAACTTAGAGAATCTGTGATCCAAAACTCATCATATAAAGCTATATTTTTACCCTTGCGTTTATGTCGAGATAGTATAAACAGAAAAGAATCAAAGCCCGTCTTCTTGATTCGTTCTTATTGATTCCATCCACAAGTTTTGTAGACCAAGTCCCTGCGAGTTAGAATCCAATTCAAAAAGATGAAGAAATGACAAAACATTATCATGTCTTTAGTTTCATTACCTAATGGATCTGCTTTCGACAGTTCCAAAACCTTCAAGTCTATTTCTTTCGTGCCATTTGGGTCAATAAACATACATGAGCTGAGAAGAAAACCAGATAATCTCAAACCGATGATAGAGTCATTATACTTGGAAATCATAATAACGATCTTAGTAATCAAGTTCTATATCATTGTCCGCTTTTAGTGCTCAAGACAATTACATGAATGTAAGTAAGATTATACAGTAAGATCTATTCTTCGATTAAGCTCAAGCAGATATATTAGTTTAGTTAAGCATAAACAGAGATGGGTTTGTATCCTTACCTTGGAACGAACTTATAGATAACGTATTTTTCCTTGGCATCATCGATCAGGGCTCTAAGACTGTCACACCGGGAGGCATACATCTGATCGGAAGAATTCAAGATACTACGAACAGAATTTGGGCTATCGCCAATCGCTCTCATCTCTGATTGTATAGATTCCTCAACATATTTATGTACCGCATCAACCTTTAATCAAGAAGACAAGCATGATGAAGATAAATAAAGAAGAGAACTTTTGCTCCAAATTAGAAGTTGTCCATGGTTCTTACCCTTTTCTCTTTAACAGGAACAATCTCTCCAGTAAAGGCAACCCGGTCTGGAAGCTGCAAAGACAGTTAACCCCGTTTGAGTGAGAGTGATACAGGCTCAATGTAATCTAGAGAAAACACAGAATCCAGAGTGAAATAAACACACAACGAACCTTTCCTATTGACTTGAACAAAGCTGCAAGGGGGCCAGGATACGGATGGGCAATAGAAAAGGATCCACGTTCATCAAACATTATGTTCTGCCAAAAATTAGAGATTCAAAACTTAGCTTTTAAAACCCTTCTCTATTCAGCATTATAAGCTTACCATTCAAAACTAAGTAACAACAAGAAGAACAAAAGCTTACGACATTGTGCGGTTCACTTTCTGGTACCCAGAGATAGGGCTTTCCTCGTCTCATCACATACTTAATCTTTGAAGTATGTATTATACTAAGCAAAACAGCCAAAAACACTCAAATTCAATACACAATTTTGCAGAATCCCATGATCGAGAATGAATAAACTCAAAGATAAACAAACTTATATCCTAAATAAATAAGGAATTACCTAGCTTTATCTTCAGGTTTGATGGTATTTAGGTATCCTTGCCAGTTCGAAACGATTACAGTCTGCAGAGAGAGAAGAAATTAGCCGAAATTATCAAGCAAAACAAAGAAAGAGATTCAATTTCAGGAAAATAGATAGAGATAAGAGTAGGTACTTTGCATTTCTCCGCTAGTGCAGAGAGATTCGCCTTGCTTCCTTTCATTGCGCTCTATGCTCACCAACCGTTCGACGAAATGCCTCCTTGATCGCTCCTCAATGACAGACGATATTCGGCGACCGAAGGAAGAAGGTAACGGTATGTTTAAAAAACAGCTCCAAGGGCCCATTAGTGCTGTTAATACCCAATGATTGCTCAGAAAATAAGGCCCATTAACGAAATTCACAGCTAATCGATATTGATTGTTGACCCAAAAAAATTCAACATGATCATAATTGTCCACTGAATGTCATGTCATCTATCCGCGTACGTGATATTTTTGTTTTTCATGTCGACTCCCAAACTTCATTGATATTTTATAAATTTATTATATAATAATTAGTAAATTTCGAATTTTTGTTCTATGATTTTTCTTGCTGATATAATCAGCTTTTTATAATATCTAACGATCGACCAACCGTGACTAATTATATGCTTTATTATGGATGTGTTAATTCGTGTTTAATTAGTGTGCTATCAAATCAAGAATATCTATCGTCATGTCTTGTATTTGGATGTTTCTGATATTTAATTGGAATTTAAATTACGTACATGCATCATCGAGGTTACTTCTCCTAAGTACGTTTGTACGTACTCGATCGTGAAAAAAGATAATCAACGTTTTCTATTGGGACCTACTAAACTTGTGAAAGCGATATTAACCTGCAATTTTAATGTTTCTCTATTCGTACGTGTGAACTTCCACAATATAGAATCAAAAACTTGAAGTATTATGCAAAAGATTAAATTTCATACTTGAAATAGAATTATGTTTTTTTTAATCCTCATACCAAACCACTACTAACACTTCGCCAACTATGTTGGTTAGGTCTAAATAAAAAATACATGCATGGTATAGAGTATAGCCTTAATGAGTAAAGCCTTAATAATAGTATGTTAACCAAATTACATATTTTTGTAATAAATACAGTATTTTATAGATATTTTAATGGTCGGTTTCTGTTTCAAAGGCCGGTTTTGACTCTGTTTCCTTCTTCTTCCTTCTAGTCTCTCTTACCTATTTGATCTCCTCTTCCTTCTTTCTTTTGCTCACTCAGATTTTTCTTTGTCAGCTTAAACAAATCATTTTCATTCTTTGTTCTAATCATCGAGCTGCAACAGAACACAAAACCCACAAAAATTATTTATATATCTATTACACTAGTCTTCTTCCAATTCTTCTCATACGAAAAAACCCAACAAATTCTTCCTTCAAAGTTCAAAACTTTTTCAGCAAAAATCAATCCAAGATCTCTTATTTTCCAACATCAAGCACAAAAATTTCCCGGGAAAACAGAGGAATCGCCAAAAATGAATAATCGACCGAAACAGAGTGCCATAACTAACTCCACCGGTGTCTTTATCATCATCTCCGCCTTATTTTTTCTCTCCGGCGGTGTCTCTGGTTTGGGAGTAAACTGGGGAACAATGGCGACTCATCAGTTACCGCCGAAGACTGTGGTGGAGATGCTGAAAGACAACAATATACAGAAAGTGAAGTTGTTCGATGCCGACACAAACACGATGGGAGCTCTCGCCGGCTCCGGCGTCGAAGTGATGGTGGCGATCCCTAATGATTTGCTCCAAGCCATGGGAAACTATCAAAGAGCTAAAGATTGGGTCCAAAGAAACGTCTCTAGATTCAACTTTAACAACGGCGTTAAGATCAAGTAAGTTTGAAACGAACTTTTATTTAACCGGATTATACTTTCTTAATTTAGAAATAAGTGAATTATGGCCAAAACAAGATTATTATAATTTCTTAAGCAAGAAAATTTTGATGTTAACATACTAGTTTTTATTTTCGAATTGGACTCTTATTTTTATTTACTTATAAACATGATTAACGATAATATAAGTTATACATATATTAGCATAAAGGTAAGATGTTTCTATGGACTTACTTAATATTGGGGTGATCTGAAAAGGAGAAAATCAGATATTAGGCCCTTTTGAATATTGAAACTTTACAGAACGATTATATTATTAGAACTTGTTTTATTATTATTTTATTTCGTTTTATCAAAGAAAATAAAAATGATGACAAAATGATAGAAAATAATAATGTTGAAAACAAATGATGATAATTGGATTAGGAGGTCTATAATAGTCCTGAGCCCACCAGATTAGACAAACTGAGGTGAGCTCCAATCCTTTACACGTTGGTTTTGAGTTTTGACTTGTTGGACAACTAAGTACTTTTTTTTTTATAATGCTATTATTGGTCGACTTATAAGTATAAGTGAATAATTTCGTTTTCTTTAATTAGATCAGTTGTTAACCTGTTATTTGTTGAGCACCACATCGTTCATTTATCTCTACATGTATTAGTTTTCTTTTGTTGAATAATATAAAATATAATGCATACATAGCTCCGATTCCCGCTTCGGAACCGGAAACGGAATCGGAAGCGCCCGGAATCGCTCGGAAGCGCAACGGAATCGCGGTTCCCAGAAAACAGGATTTGGAAGCGTAGGAGAAGCGTACGGTTCAGGTTTGGGAGCGCACAAATAGTTGAACTGGAAGCGTCTAAATTTTTTTTCACTTGAATCTGTGTAGATAGTTTAGATCTGAGTATATTCCATGGAAATATATGCGTTTTGAGGTTGAATCTGAAAAACATAGAGGCTATTCTACTGTACGGCGGTGCAATGGAAAGTAACGAAGAAGAAGATCAATTAGGTTTTCTAAATTTACACATGGCTTTTAATTTTTAAAAATATAGTGTTTAGTCGATATTTAATAATGAGATATTGTATATGCCATACTCTACGATCTACATAATGATGGGAATATACGGTGTATCTCTAATTTGGTCTACAATTCAATTTTGGTGTATATATATTTCTAACAAATTTTAATAAATGCTAAGAATTTATAAAAATTACAAATTTTAGTGGAGCTTAGATGTTGGTATATACTTATCTCTTTATCTATATTTTATTATGAATAATTTTAGCTATGAAATTTTGAATTATTCACTATATAATTAAATTTGACATATATATATATATATATATATATTTATATTAACGCTTCCAAAACGTACCCGTTTACTAAAATTTTCAAAAAAATCGCTTCCGCGATTCCAAACGCTTCGCTTCCACGCACCCGCTTCCGATTCCATGCAGCATAGATACATACTTCTGAAAGTGAATTATTTGAAATTAGTTTATGCATATTGCATGTATGGACCGTCATGTGTTATATATCCCATATTTCATCTTTACTCAAATATGGACCGTCATGTGTGTGTCAAGTATTTATTGCACATGATCCAAACGTGTTCTGAAAACAAAAAAATGTCTGAATCTTTCTTTTTCAATTCCTCTTTATTGCAAAGATGCAAATATTGTATACCATGTGAATTTTTTTCTTCTCTGAAAAAAGGGTTGATACCATGTGAAGATTTCATACATAGTTTTTATCATACCGACGCAAAATACATGTATCATAAACAATTATCTTTTTTACACAAAACGCATAAATCTTGAAATAAATCATATGAATAAATTTACTTCGACAATTTTTTAACTAGGAATTATGATTTAATTAACAATATAAATATAAATTAAAATATTTTTTTTTGTTGCAGATATGTTGCAGTGGGGAACGAGCCGTTCTTGACAGCGTACAACGGATCATTCATAAACCTAACTTATCCAGCACTCTTCAACATCCAAACCGCTTTAAACGAAGCTGGAATTGGTGATTTCACCAAAGCCACCGTTCCTTTAAACGCCGACGTTTACAATTCTCCTCCGGACAATCAAGTCCCATCCGCCGGAAGATTCCGTTCCGACATTATCCAAGAAATGACACAAATCGTTAACTTCCTCGCACAGAACAAAGCTCCGTTCACCGTCAACATTTACCCTTTCCTCAGTCTTTACTTAAGCAGTGACTTTCCTTTCGATTACGCTTTCTTTGACGGCCAAAACACCGTTAATGATAACGGCGTTATCTACACAAACGTCTTCGACGCTAATTTCGACACGCTTTTAGCTTCTTTAAACGCGTTGAATCACGGTAACATGGAAGTGATCGTTGGAGAAGTTGGTTGGCCTACGGATGGTGACAAGAACGCAAACGTTCAAAACGCGGAAAGGTTTTATTCCGGTTTGCTTCCGCGGTTAGCGAACAACGTAGGAACTCCTATGCGTAAAGGTTATATCGAGGTTTATCTGTTTGGATTTATCGATGAAGATGCCAAAAGCGTAGCTCCGGGGAATTTCGAACGTCATTGGGGGATATTCAAATTTGATGGCCAACCGAAATTCCCGGTAGATTTTCGGGGACAAGGTCAGAAAAAGTTCTTAACGGGAGCTCAAAACGTTCAGTACTTGCTGAACCAGTGGTGTATGTTTAATCCTAATGGTCGTGGTAATATGAGTAGCCTTGGAGATAATATAAACTACGCGTGTTCGCATTCGGACTGTACTGCTTTAGGTTACGGGTCATCTTGTGGCAATCTTGATGCGAATGGAAACGCATCTTACGCGTTTAATATGTATTTCCAAGTGCAAAATCAAGAAGCTCAAGCGTGCGATTTTGAAGGGCTTGCAACTATTACTACTCAAAATATTTCTCAAGGACAATGTAATTTCCCGATTCAGATTGGAGAGCCATCGGCTGGTCATTATGATTATAGCTATGGTTCGATGGTTAGGTTGTGTTTGCTGATGAGTGGTTTGGTGTTTCTTCTCCTAGCACAATGAGATTATAGTCTTTGTTTTGTTGTATATGACTGATTTATTCTTGGGTTCATCAATCATTTGAAGGTTTTGTTCCATTGGATCAAATCCAAAACATAAGTTTTTCGTTTTGTTTGACTTCTTGCTGCCTAATTAACTTTGACATTCCTCGGTCTTTTTTCAATCAAGGATTAAAGAGATAACCATATCAAAAGAACGTAATAGATAATTAAAAGTATAGGGATGTTGTAACGTTGTGATAAGAACAGAGTACACAAACCCTAATTCTTATCCCCAGGAACAGAGCACATAAAGCAGAGGTTGAATTTGACTGTATTTGATACATGGATTATTGATGTTTCTTTTCGTCAGATCAAATCCAACGTTTGAAATTTGAAAGCTTGGATTTTATAAGAAGACTAACCACTCTCTTTCTTTACAAGAGAGAGCCACCATTAGCAATGATGACTTGACCGTTGATCCATTCACCAGCATCACTGGCTAAGAACCCAACAACAGGTGCGATGTCTTTGGTCTCACCGATCCTACCAAATAAGTTCTGTGACTTAACTTTCTCTACAACCTCATTGCTCAATCCTGTAAAAAACATCTCTGTGGCGACGGGTCCGGGAGAAACACAATTTACTGTGATTTCTGTTCCTTTGAGCTCTTTTGCAAGAATCTTGGCCATGGCTTCTACGGCTGCCTTTGAAGCCGTGTATGAGCCATAGGATGGTTTTAAGGATTGAACCAGTGAAGTTGAGAGGAGAATTATCCGGCCACCGCCTCCACGTTTTAGCCTGTTCGCTGCTTCTCTAGCACAAAGAAACGCACCCCTTGTGTTGACTCTGTCATATCAAGCAACGAATCTGATTATTAACAACGCGGAATCACCGAAAATCTTATAAATCACGTTAAGAAATGACTACACACCTAATCAAATTCGCGTTATAGAGTTGCAAAATAATTAAATGAAACAATATAAACCAAAGAGCCACCGATGATACAGAATAAAATCATATTTACGAAATTAATAAATGGAGTTAAAAAAAAATTAACCTGATAATGCGGTCAAAAAGTTCGACTGATATATCTGAGATAGTGGAATGATTAGGATCGGATATAGCGGCTGAGTTAACCAAGATATGAACCGGTGACTCGAAGACTCGCTCTGCCTCATCGAAAAGCAACTTTACCTGGCTCGGCTCCGAGATATCAGCCTTCACCACAATGACACGTGGACTATTTCCGGCGACTTCGGAAGCGTCGTTCTTTGGACAGTTGGATGTAATCGCCGTCGCAACCTTCTCAGCCTCAACGGGGCTAGTGGAGTAATTAACGACGATCCTAGCCCCAAGCTCGGCAAGGTGGATGGCTATGGCACGGCCTATTCCTCGAGAAGATCCGGTGACTATAGCGACTCGACCGGCGAGGCAAAGCGGTGGAGAAGAAACTGATGACGCTGTAGCCATACTGTTAGAGAGACTTTACTTACTATAAAACTATACCTTTTTCTTTATTTAGCGTAAGCAAGCAATTTGTAGTGGTGATGGTTAGATTTGTCTTAATCTGTCAAATTCGTATGCAATTTGAATTGCTCAAATGTTTACTTTTGTTAGATTTGTCTTAACCTGTCAATTCGTATGCAATTTGAATTGCTCAGATTGATATGACGTATTTTCGTTGTGTTATTGTCTTCTAAAATTCACACACTCACTTTCTCAAATCTTAACTTGTATTATAGTACGGTAACAACAGTGATACAATAAACCAATTTAAACATTTTACACACATGCATAGTTGCATACTATCAAACTTAAATCAAGATTATGTCAGCCACAATTGCTTCATTTTAGTTGTTGATACTTTTTCAATGTGATGCTAGAATTTTCTAGTATCCTTTATATCTTCTTGTCTCCATCATTTAATTAAAGAAACAATCAAAAGTGTAGAAGCTAAAGATTGTTAGACATCATCAATCAATACAAGGTCCAGAACTTAGAAGAAAACAATATGGATAGAAATATTCAGAGGAAAGTAAAAGATAAGATAAGATTTATTTTTTAATGTTGTTTGTTATTCTCCAAAATAAATCCACTGCCAATTATTCTTTAAAATAAACTTGTGATTATAAACTAGAAAGTGAAGAAGTGATATAAATGCGATAGTCACGTGTCAAGTGAACAATCTTATCTTACTAGATTTGTGACAATGCCAAACTGTCCTCCACAAATAGAGGCCCTTCTTTTCTTCGCTAAGTGGACCCCAGTAAAACCCATATTCCTCCAATTGTTTATTTTATTTTATTTTCTCTTTATTAGAAAAAAAAAAGTCACCGAGGAAGAGCTCGCCGGAGAAAACTGAGCAAGCTGCGCCGGAGCACTAAGATGCGGCAAATGTCCTTCAGTTTTAAGCGTCTCCACTGTAGTATCTCCACCGAGATGAGACCTAAGATACTCCGCCACCGAAGCCGGCACCGAAACATCCTTCGCCGTCTGAATCACACACGTCGGAACTCTAACTAACCCAAGCACACCTCTCAGGTCGCTGTTGAAAACCGTCCTCGAAACAAACAGAGAAATATCCGGACGCATATTAAACAAAGTCCGGCTAAATTCTCTAACCGCCGCCGGAACATCAGCTCCAACAGCAAGCGGAGCAAATCCATGAACCCAAGCTTCGTAATTAGCTTCCATAGCTGAGAAAACCTTCTCAATCTCACCTTCTTCGAATCCGCCATGATAATCCTCGTCGTTGAGAAACCTAGGTGAAAATCCGATCAAGATAAGCTTCGAGAAAAGCTCAGGCCGACGAATCGAAGCGATGATTCCGATCATAGCGGAAACAGAGTGGCCAACGTAAGCACAGTTTTGGATTCCGAGTGAATCAACGATGTTGAGGAGATCATCGACGTAAGGATCGAGAGTTGTGTAACGATTGAAATCGAAGTAATCGGGATTGACACTGCCGGCGCAAACTAGGTCATAGAGGACGACTCTGTAGTTTTGGGTGAAGTAAGGAAGGATTAAGTGCCAAGCTGATTGGTCAGTACCGAATCCATGGGCTAGAAACAGGATCCGATCACCCGTACCAACGACCCGGACATTTAGAGCATCTAAGATGTTGTGTTGACTCATTTTTATGTGTTTGGGTTTGAGGGTAAAGAAGAGAGTTGGATACTGTTTATATAAAAACTTAGTATTTGGGTAGGTGTGTGTGTGTGAAAATTCCTTTATCATCTTTTTTCTTTTTCATTGCATTTATTATTTATTATCCAATACTTTCGATTGGCTTTTTAAGTTTATGGATACAAGAGCATGCGTTGATTATTCGTCACACATTGATGATATTTTTCAAAAGATTTAAGATGCTTCAAGGATATTGTTTTTAGACTTTTAGGTCTTGTTTGTTGCACTTGACATATTCTTAACCATTTTTTTTATTCTGTAGTTGTATTTCAACAAACGACGTTTATCCCAAAGATTATTCGAGTGGTGGGTGATTTTAAATTGAATGATATAAATCATAAAGTGGTTCCAATGAATGTGTCAGTACGAAGACACGAGTATGTCAATGAAATGAATTGGATATATTAAGGTTTTTTAAAAAATACAAAAAGTTGGATGTCGACGACAACAAAAAAATGGATGTCAAAAAAAAAAAAAAAGATGTCGACAAAAAGGAAATTGAATTTGTATTAGTATATTTTTGGACGTATAGAAGCTGTAGGTGAGTCACGAGTGTTTAATATTACGGCTGTGTTACTACACTAATAGATGATTAAGACAATTATTTTCAACCTCAGTGTTTATTATTATTCCAATTGAACCCCAATGTTTTTTTTTAACAACTTAACCCCTACATTTGCTTCTCAAGATGTATCAGGAAGAGGCTCCTCTCAAGACCAAACCTTTTACACATATCCACCATTAACGGGAATGATTTGACCATTGACCCATTCACCACCGTCACCAGCCAAGAACCCAACAAGAGGCACCACGTCTTTGGCTTCACCGACCCTCCCAAAGGGAGACTCTGCAGCTATCTTTTCCACCAACTCCGGGGTTTTTCCATCAAAGAACATCTCAGTGGCGATGGGTCCTGGAGCAACACAGTTTGCAGTGATTCCTGTTCCTTTGAGCTCTTTTGCAAGAATCTTGACCATAGTTTCCACAGCTGCCTTTGATGCTGCATAGGCACCAAAGCCCTGTCTCAAGGATCGGGTCGTGGAAGATGTCACGAGTATGATCCGACCACCACCTCCTTGTTTTAGCCTATTGGCAGCTTCCTTGCTACACAGGAACGCTCCTTTTGTATTGACACTACCATCCATTTAAAAAAAAACAAACAAATAAGTATTGGAGACTAGTGAGTGATTAACTACAGATTCAAAAGTCACAAATGAGAAACTTTTTCAAATTTAGTTCAAAAATTAGAATCTCAAGAACAATGGATCAACCTAAACAAACAAATCTCACGAATATGGAACACACATAACATTAAGACTCATGGAGAGTAATCAAGTACAGAGATGGAGATTAGAGAAAGTCCAAGTGTAGATGTAACAGTGAAGTAGGAGCAATGGAGAGTGATCAAGAACACAGATTCAACAAAAATCTCAATTGAAATGTACTAAAGGGATCAGCTTTTAACTCAAAATCATAGAACATGTCAGATTAACATACATCAACATAACTAATTGACGAAAATTTGTTTACTTTTCCAGAATCCAAATCAATGAACAGGCTCGAGTATAGTACCTGAAGGTGCGATCGAAATCTTCGACTGATGTGTCTGCAATCGTAGGGTACTTGGGATCGAGGATTCCAGCAGAGTTAACCAGAATGTGAACCGGCGCTTCAAAGCCACGCTCCGCCGCATCAAACATCGATTTCACCTGACTTGGCTCGGAGACATTGGCCTGAACCACAATAGCTCTTGGTCCCTTTCCAGTGATTTCTTCCCTAACCGGAAAATCGTTGATCTCTGACGCGACACGCTCGGCGTCTGCGGCTTTAGAGGTGTAGTTGATAACAATCCTCGCACCGAGTTCAGCTAAGTGGATCGCTATCGCTCGACCAATACCACGGGAAGAGCCGGTAACAATGGCGACTCTACCGGCGAGTGGAAGCGGCGGTTGCGAAATTGACGACTGTGTAGCCATAACGATTCGAATTCAATGAGTCTTATCAGTGATTGTGATGGGAGTGAAGAAGAGAAATTGGGATTGGCCTCTTTTTATAGGTTCATTCATGTCGTTTTACAAATCAGCCCCCTAACTTTATATTTTAACAAATTGATCCATACCCGCTCCTTGACAGTTTCCCTCTTTATATCTTCATATTCATAGATTATGACCCTTTAAATTTGCTGACACAAGTTTTACTGTTTTGCTAATTGACTGTATTTTCTATTTGGAATGATTATTATAGTCAAATATTTTGTTCCCAAATTGAAACCAATACATTTTGGATTTGGACCAAAATTTTGGGGAATGCAAAATATGGAAATAAAATTCATTTGAGAGTAAGAATATACAGATTTAATGCAATTTGACTACTACTTTCCATAAAAATTGGTCAAACTTTATCAGGATGATAGACAATAGTACACAATAAAACAGGAAATTTAATTAACCCGAAATTTTATAAAATATTTTTTCCTAAAATTTAAAGATAATTGAGAGGAAAAATATATTATTTAACTAATTACAAGAAGAACCCACAACTGTACACGTCTATCTAAAAATCACCCACAACTATCTATCAATTCCCATTTTCTTTATTTTGGGGTAAAAATCTCCAAATTATTATTTATTTCTTAGATAAATTAATCTTCAAGATGACATGATGCTCCCCAGTCTAAGTTCCTACATAAAGCCTAAGGGAGGACTTGCACGTGTTCAAATGCTAGTTTAGTTTCTCTTGTGACATGATGTCATTTCGTGGATAGTGTTTGAATAAGAACATAATTTTATTTCTATATCCCACAAAGGTTCAAGATAAATTAGGATTTTCGAACAGACCACATCCTTGCTGCATTGCCACAAAGATAGGACCATATACTTTTCCCTAGACCAGACCACATCTCATCCCTTAGATCGCCGATGGCCGCAGACTCCCCATAAATCTCCTTGTGATTGAGGAAAATATAATGGGTCTTCTGAGTTCTGTGGTAAAATGCGCCTGTGTTTGCTTTTACCCCTCCTATACTGTTGGGCCCTAGTCCGAAATTTGTTAATTTCTATTTTATTTTATTTTTGTCAATGTTGTTAAATTTCTTATAATAGAATATTTTGTAAATTGATTGCATTTGAAATGATAATTCTAGTCAAATTCTTATTTCTTTACTTGAAACCAAGACACTGGATTTGGACCAAAACTGAGGAATGGAAATAGGGAAATAAAATTCGTTTGATAGTAAGAATATTCAAAATTAATGCAATTTAGCTACTATTTTCCATTAAAATCAGTCAAATTTTATCTGGACAATGGACAATAATAGAAAATTTTATCAAGTGAGATTCTATAAATTAAATATTTTTTTAATTTAAAGACAAATATATTTAATCAACTATGAGAGTGACCCACAAAATTAATTTCAAAAAGTTCATAGAATGAAGAAGGTAATCAAAACCATTCTATCAAATTACTAATAAGCAGTCATTTAAATAAATCAGTTTCTACAAACCATTTGCACTAAACTAAACTGATTCTCCTTAAAGAAGTAACACCAAGGTTCTAGTTGGTCGAAATTTAAATGTTGGTACCATTTCGACAAATACAAATAAATACGGGGTAGATTTGCTTTAGACCCAAAAATTACGGAGACTTACCCTAAACCCGCCCATCTCACCAAACTCTCAACATTCAAAAATAAAAGTTGAATCCTTTCTTTCTGGTTTTCTACTTCGCGTCGTATTGTAAGAAGAGAAGAAGAGCGATTTCTCTATTGGTATCTGGGGACTCTCAGATTCTTTGGTTTTCTTGAATTTTTCTGGGAAAGAAGAATTGGTACTGTATCAGACACTGGTACTCTTCGTTACTTTGCTATTCATCAACTTTACTTTTTTCAGAATTTGAAACTCTGTGTTTTTCGATTAGGGTTATATCCAATTCAATTCGTTTAGGATTCGAATTTCGAAAAGACCCATTTCGTGTATTTTGTGTTCGATGATATTTATGTTCACAGATCAAGATGTTCATTTTCTGTTAAAAAGATCAGTTTTGGGGAAGTTTTAGTAATCGATTTAATCAATTTTCTGCGGAATTTTGTAATTCATCCGGAGATTGATGTTTTCATTTTGGTTAATCAAAGAAGTTTGATTTTTTGTTTTTTGGAATTGAGTATTGATTTTGGTATATTTCTCATATGAAAATTGGTGTTGATTGATTTGTTTTCCTTATTCGGATATGGTTTAGAATCATTGAGTATACTCATTATGAATAAGTTATTAGGATACACAAATATATCCGATCCGATTCTGTTTTGTTCTTGACATTTATTGTCAAGCTTACTGAATTCATCATTGTGGCTCTTTGTTTTTCAGAGGAAAAAATGGGGAGAAATCTTGGTTCGGCATTTAGACAAGAGTTGGCTAATCTTGAAAAAGATCCTGATTCCCACAAGGCTGCAATGAGCAATTTGAGATCCATTGTGAAAGATTTGGATGCAAATGTGATTCGTGTGTTTGTTGCTCAGCTTTCTGAAGTCAAAGAGATTGGTTCTGAGTCTGGTGGTTACACAGTTTCTCTCTTTGAAGACCTTGCTCGTGCTCGTGGAGTTCAAATTGCTCCTCACGTAGATATTATAATGCCGGCGATCATAAGGACATTGAGCTCCAGTGAAGGGTCTCTACGTATTCAACAGGCTTGCTCAAAGGCGGTAGCTGCTATGGCTAGATATGGAATTGATCCTACAACACCGGAAGATAAGAAAATGAATGTGGTTCATTCTCTTTGTAAGCCACTCTCTGATTCTCTTATAGATTCACAACATCAACAGCATCTTGCTTTGGGATCTGCTCTTTGCTTGAAGTCACTTGTGGATTGCGATAATTGGCGATCTGCTTCTCGTGAAATGGTTAATAATGTTTGTCAAAGCTTAGCTGTTGCTCTTGAAGCCACTTCAAGTGAAGCTAAGTCTCATATGGCACTTGTTATGGCACTTTCCAAGCACAACCCTTTTACTGTCGAAGCATATGCAAGGCTTTTTGTGAAGTCGGGTCTGAGGATTCTGGATTTAGGTGTTGTTGAGGGAGATTCTCAGAAACGGCTTTTAGCTATACAGATGCTCAACTTTCTGATGAAAAATCTGAATCCCAAGAGTATTTGTTCTGAGTTACAGCTTATATATCAAGAGATGGAGAAACACCAAAAAGATCAGATGCATTATGTCAAAATGGCAGCTCATGAAACCATGAGACAGGCAGAGAGATTAATAGGTGAGGCAGATCCAATGTTTGACGCAGAGAACTGCAAGCCCCGAAACTCGTTCAGCGGATCAATCAAGTCTACACCAAGTCTGCGAGCAGATGATGAGAGTGTTTATAGGAGAGATGATGGGAGTTATGTAAATGATCAAGACGAGTATGATGCTTTGTTTTCTGGTGTAGCCAGTGGAAGAACTCTTGTCTCAGGCTCTCCTCTGGTGACTTTCGGAGACAATAACCAAGAAACTGATGTTGTGATCTCGAGTCCAAGAATTGGAGATCAGGTAAAAGAGACTACAAACTTTAAAGCTGTCTCTTGTATGTCCTTTTTCAGTTAAGTTTCATTGTTCTGCTTCTTTGATATCAGATTCAATGTTCTGGTGTTGAAGATGACAAGTTTGAGTCAGTTTGGTTCCATCAGCGGAACAGAAGCTCCGAGTTTAATGAATCTGTGTGCTCTAGGACCAACCGCTCAAGAAGTTCAAGACGAAACACCAAGAAGAGACAATCAGGTGACATCTGTTCAAAACACCACAGGCATGGTTTCACACAGGATCCATTCACTGAGTTACTAGATAACAGACAGCAGCTGCAACAGTACAGTGAAAGCTCATCATCATCATCAATATATGATACCTCTGGTACTACTACTCCAACCAACACAACAGAAGATATCTGTGAGAAACCGAAGTCAGATTTGGATTCTAAGGCCGAACTTAAGACAGGGGAGACTGAAATAGACCCACGTCATGGACGGAGCAAGCGTGTGTTAAAATTGGGATTGTGTGTCTTCTCTATTGCAGTTGCAGGGTTTGCTTCTTTCATGTGGATGCATCTCCAGGATGATATGATGCTTCCTCACCTTGTTCCGACTTAAAGTTGGGATGAACTTTAAGAAGCATAGAACTTACATAGGTTCAAATTCTAGCTTAGTTCTCTTGTTCTTTTGTCAATGTATGGATCATGTTCAAATACTAGTTTGTTTGTGTTCTTTTCCCTGATGAATTTGTCACTTGTTCAGAAGTCGAATCAAATGTAAACCAAACTCATATTTACACAAGTTCAAATTCTAGCTTGGTATTCATGTTCTTTTGTCAATGTGTGGATCATTTTCTTTTCCCTGATGAATTTGTCACTTGTCCAAAAGTCAAATCAAATCTAAACCAAATGGCAAATTCACATTTAATCAGAATTAAACTTAACCGGATCGAAGTCTTAACTGAGAAGGTCCTAGTAATAACTTCACTAGCTAAACCGGAAAATTTCAGTGTTGGGAAGAACTAAACAAGACAACAACAAAAAAAGGCAAAACACTTAAGTAGGTGGTGTGTTATACAAAGATCACAAATCTTAAACTGAGACACACCAAAATTTTCTCAGAACTGAAAGAACAAAAGGTTACAAAAGAAGGGAGAGTTTCACTACGAGGTAATTGTTCTCCGGCTTAGTCTTCCTCCGCACCAGCACCTGCAGCTTGAGCTGCATCTCTCCTTGGTCCACCGGCTGGTTTCGCCATTATAATCTGCACATTTTACACATATTTAGAGTATAAACATGCATGTTTTTAGTATACTCGATGAGATCTATCAATGGAACTGAATATTGAATCAAAGAGTTTGCACGAACAAGGGACATAATCTTAGAAGATAATGCATTCAGCGAACACTATCTTTTTACTTCATGTGATGAATCAACACCTTATGATATAAATTAAAAGTGCTTCGTTCACCAAAGATTAAATCAAGTCAGTTTGTGTATACCTGGTCTACACGAAGTACAGTGCATGCAGCATCTGAAGCATATCTAAGAGCAAATAACCTGCACAGAGACTTACACATCTTAGTTATCAATTAAATGAATGGTCTTTTTTGTAAGCAGTCAGAAAATTCTACTCCAGTTTTTTATATGTTCAAGAACAACTGCTAAGTAAGTATAGAGAAGTCTGTCAGAAAGATCTGATGGCAGAAAGACTGTGTGAAACTTACTTGGTTGCAAAAAGATCCCATACTTTTGTCTCTGAAACATCTTTACAAGCACCTTCCTCTAAGTCAATGCCTAGTTTTGTGTTTCCAGATCCATGTCCAGTGTACAGAGCGGCTATGATTTCCATGGCATTGAGGCCAGCATTATCTGCAAGGGTTTTCGGTACAAACTCAAAACTCTCGGCGTATTTGGAGATGGCATATTTGTCTAACCTGAAAATTCAAAAGTGAGACCTAAGTTTAGTTACCAAACCATAGACAGTTTTGCATAAAAAACCTAGCCTCACATGGATAATTTCTGAAAAATTAAGTAAAAGAAAGTACCCTATTTCTGCATTGGCATATTCCTTCAATCTTTGAGCCAATTCTATCTCGGTAGCTGCAGCCCCGGGAACAATACGGCTGTCTCTGCACATGGCCTGAGAAGAAATATAAGAAATAACAGTCAAGATAAATACAATATATTAGGTATAAATGAAACTGGAAAACAAATCTTTAACCTAGCAGATATTACCTTGTATGTATTAACACCATCATCAACAGCTCTCTCAAGGTCGTCCAAAATGCTATCTGTGCTTCCACGCAAAACCACGGTAGAGATGGAGTTACCACCTTCCTCGTTTCTTGCAATCGTGACCTAAAGACATCACAAGAAGACCGAGAATTGTCTATGATCAATGAAAGACCAAAAATATTAACCAAAAGATTGGAATCGACTTCGGAGTACTTACTGTCACACCACCAATTTCCTCAACTGATATAGAATCAACATACCCCAGATCATCAGGGCTTGGCCGGCTAAGCTTCAACTGTTTGATAATAAAAGTATTAAAAGCTAGGATAAAACCGCCCTTAGATACTCATTCAGGTAGCCAATTAGAAACACTTACATGGGCGACAGCCCCAGCTGTACGGCAGAAGCGCCTCAGTTCAAACTTTGAGCTGATTTTCAATACCATTATCCTGCGAAGAAAAAACGTTCAGGTTTAAAAGGGCAGTAAAGACAGGTAGTATCATACGAAGCTACAACGGAACAATGGGTATCAGAATGCAGAAAGTAACAATAGCTAAAAGGAGGATGAAATGTATGTTCTACACATACTTGTAGCGCTCACAGAAATGCAATGCCATTTCTCCAATTGATCCCCCACTAACGATTACTTTGGCTCCTGATTCTGCAACAGCTTTAATCAACTCCTCAACTTTAGCTTCCTCTGTCTTTGCATAGTTCTCTAGCTAGAAATCCAAAATAGAAGGAGAAATTTGTCACAATAACGATCAAAAACATACAACCATCCTTGAAGAAATGTATATAATAGAAGCAGGATTGTAATTTTGACATTTTAAAATGACAGTAACAAATCTAAGTGCAAAAAGGTGAAAACTCGTATGCATCATTCATATAGAAGCCTCATCTTGTTCTAGCTCATCACACTGAAAGGATATGGTAAAAGAATAGAGATTCCAAACTGTAAAAAAAGAGTAACCTGCTCAGCACTATGAATGAGGACAGTTCCTTTGGTCTCGGTTGCGGTAGTATCAACGCCGCCAGCAAATACAGCAACCTGAGAAAAGCATTTCAGGGACATTCAGCTATCAAAAACAGGATAGACGTACCCATAAAGCTATATTTCATAGGGGCCAAACATTGATCAATTCAGACAAAAAAAACTTGGTCAAAAGCATAAAAAAAGAAAGGGATCTCACCTTCGCCTTCTCCATTCGCTTAATGCTACCAACAGCATCACTTTTCAAGACCATACCCCGGACTATGCAAGAATTGTGCAAGCCTCCTCCCAAAAGCTTGGCAACACGGACATTATCCACATTGAAGTTTGTCGGATTCTTTGGGCACACTTGAATACATGCCTAGAAATACAAGTGAACCCGTCAAGTAAAAACTAAATCTGCAATAACCTTGAAGAAATAACAATCAGAACAATGAAACAACAGGAAACAAATAGATAGCAAGGAGTATATTACGTCAGCAACTAAAGAGCATATTATTTCCTCTTGCCCAAACTGCTTGCTTGCAACAGCTGCTCTCATCCGAGAAATAACTTCATCCTTGTTACGAACATCCATGGTCTCAGAACCACTCTCAACCAGTTGTTCCAGTATTTCAACAGCCTGCACAATCAAAAACCAATAGCATTCGTCAAATACTCAGAGAAACAAATTGAAAAGCACCAACAGTAATTCAAGTATTCACCAACCAACCAACCTTGTTGACAGCTTTAGTATATCCACTAATGATTTCACTCGGATGAAGCCCCATCCTGATAAGCTCCTCAGCGTTTTGAAGAAGCTCACCAGCAAAAGAGATAGTCAGATTAGCTCCATCTCCGATTTCTTCTTGCTGAGCCTTAGCAGCTAAAACCAGAAGTTTAGCAGCCGGGTGTTGAATCTCCAGTTCATTCACAATCGTAGCAGCGTCATTAGTGACAAACAGTTTGTCCAAATGATTGATAACCATTTTATTCATTCCTGAAACATCACAGAACAAAAGAGCTCAGTTCAAATCCGAATCTGAATCCCTGGAAAAAAGACTTCACCTTTACAGTAACAGATCAAGTTTGCTTAAACTATACACAAGAGAGATCCTAATTAGAATACTCAAATAAAACGAGATTCATCATTTCAGTATTAGATCAAGCCTAATTAGAGAAACATTACGAACCATTGGGACCGAGAGAGGTGCGAGTAATGGTGGAGAGCTCCTTGCAAGCTTCAATGTTCTTAATGACGGCTTCGTCGAGACCAGAGAGATGCCTGTAACCTTCTTTAAGCATCGATTGGATACCATATGGCTGCATCGACATACCCACCATTTTCTCAGGTAACGATCTATAAGCTTTGAAGTTGGGTCACTCGAACAAAAGTGCAAAAACCCTAAAAGCGAAGAAGAAGCTCTGAGAGATTTTCGAAGCTGTTTAGAGAGAAAGCTCTTCTGTGAGTAAAAGTGGCCGAGATTGCCCTAGAAACCTCCAAAGGTTTTAAAACACTCCATTTCCTCCGTCTTTAGTTCTAAAACGATGTCGTTTTAACTTTAACGGTGATGGGGGCCAAAAGGTGAGATCTTTAATCTTTAGGGGTGAAGTTATTATTAAGTGAAAGTTTAGGGACTACAAGAGAAATAACTTTTATGATCAAAATGTAACATGATAAGAGCAAAGCATGAGTGTTTTGTTTTATCAGATGTGCGTCCCCTTAAAAGGAACAAAAGACAATGTAAGTTTAGTTTAGATAAGCAGAGAACACAGAGATTAAAGATGTGTATTAGGTTTTTAGAAATCCAAACCCTCAAGGGAAAACATGATTCAAAAACTAAGTTCTTTTAATTAAGTCATCTTCTTTCCTTGCATCGATTCCAGCTTTTCAACACAAGTTAATTGTTTCCCCGGAAGCTCCATCAAGGGCCTATATAACAAAACAATCAGAACGAAACAGGCTCAGAGACTGTATCAAGAGGGGTTGTTGATGTGTTTTTAGATGCAATAGGGTTTTGAGGAACTGTACCTGTTTCTTTTGCTTGATCTTCTTATCTCTGATGATCTTTTGCCTTGTCTCATAGAACTTGTAATCATCAAGTATACATGTCTTGCTCATATACTCCTTGAAGATCTTTATGATCTTGGTCCCATGCTCCAGATTCACCTGCACCAATACCATCACCGTACAGTTTAAAAGCCTGACTGAAAGCCATAATCTTTTATTAGAATTCAAGTAAGCTTCTAGCTTTCAATTCAAACATGTCCAAGAAAGGGTTTAGGGGAAATTTAGCGAACCTCTTGAGTGTCTCTGCTATTAGTGACTGGCTTGTTCTCGTTATTCGCAAGTGTTATGTGTCTCAAGAGACTGTTTGGTATGTCTTTGATGATGTGCCACTTCACAGGGAAACAACCAATCCATTTATCTTGCTGCCAATACTCCATTGTCTTGTTGAAATCAACAGGGCCTACCATCTCTGCAAGACCGACAAATTGCCCACTTGCATTCACCTGCAGATAAAACCAATTACAGCGAGTTACTTAATGTAAATCTAAAAGGATATTGCATGAGTCGCGAAGTATTATCATACAAACCGAGAACAGAAGATACACAGGGCATTCTTGGGCACTTTCTTTGGCTTCATAATATGCAGCATTCAACTTCTTGTTGCCAGTTGGTGTGCTCGACCATGCACCATACTTAATACTGTTATGAACATCATCTTCGCTGTAAGACTTGATCACAAAGAATTTAGCTTTCACGAATGTTTCAGGGAAATTCTCCCCGTTGTAACGCTGAAGATCTACCGCTGAAACATCTTGCTTCATTGCCTCTAGCATTGAAGAGTTAAGAACTTGTGGACTCTTGAAATCACTACTCCTTGGTCCTCGACAAAGCTCATTAAGCCTATCTGCTTTCTCATCACTATATCCACGCCCATGATTGAAGCTTCTGGTCTTTCTATAACCATCAACAGGATACCATCCTCGCCCAAGTTTCCAGGAATCATAGCCAAAAGTTCCATATGCATGACCAGAGTCAATTACATTCCCGTAAAGTCCGTACAATCCATGGTTGGAATACAAATGATCATTATATCCAAATTGGTCAAAACTCAGTGCTTCTTGTGAGCTGTGTGGATTCTGTAAAATAAAACGATTGTAGCCAATTATTAGACAAAAAATCCCAAGTCACAGCAGAGATGACGAAGAGAACAAAACACACATTCTCTTGACTATATGAACTTATGAAGACAGATAAGAGGTAGTAAGGTCATGTGAAGTAACCAACATACCATGAGATGTGAAAAGGAACTGTGATTGCTGTTGCGGTCATAACCAAACCTCGGATCCGGGTAGCCACCAGAAGGATAGTTTGCTGGGATGTAACCCCACGGGTATGAACCAATCGAGTCTCCACCATTTAGCAGATTGCCAACATTCATATTTGGCCTTCGTTCACTTCCATATGAAGATGCGCCATAAGGTGCATGACCATACTGATGCTGAAAAGAACCCTACTCACAAAACACAGTCATCGGTTAACCAAAAAAACTCACACAATATATCAAATTTCAGATTAAATAAGCAGCAAGACCTCTCCACAGAACAATTTGCAGTTAAAGATCCTTCGGCACAACACAATTTAAGTTCCAAAACTTCAAATTTCAAAAAGAAGTAGCAATGAAGTACCTTATTCCGGTTCCTAGGAACTTCATTTGCATCGGAACCTAAAGACAACTCCTGAAACAAATCTGCTGTCTCTGCACCGATTATATATACAAAAGCCAAGTTAGTAATTTCTAAAGAACAAAGCCTCAAACTCCAATTGCATAGTCTAAACAAGGCAAATTACTGGTGAAATTCAACCCATAAGCAGAAAAAAACACTAACTTGCAAGAAAACATAATTTCATCTAGCATCCCATAAAGAGGTGTATAGAACTCTAAACACCAATCAATCCTATCCGAAATAGACAACCTACGACAGATACTGATAACACTAGCCACTAAACCCTAAACCCAAGGGTACAAATCAATCGCAAGTTGTAAGATGAGCACAAAATGATAACTTTTCCGATGCCAAAAAAGTTTTAATCTTTGAGCCAAAAAGCAACGTACCCAGAAGAGGGAAGCTAGTGGCGAGACGATCAGAAGAAGCGGCTCCAGACATGTCGAGAGAAGGCAAAAAAAGGGATAAGCTTTAAACCCTAGAAAACGTCAGTGAAGTTGGGCAAATGAAAGCAAACGCAACCTCGAAAAACCCAGAGAGAGAGAAAGAGAGAGCCTTTGGTGGGTTTTAGAAAGTTCCGTTCTTTTTTGTTTTCCTCGTCTTCCTCTTTAACGTAAGGCGGTGATCTTTTAGCAAAGAACACAAATGCCCCCAAATGGGTAAAATTAACGACGAATTCTAAGCGACAAATTCGATCTTTTTTTCTTCTTTTTTGCTCCTTTTACCCAAAAAGATAAGGCTCTTCTTCTTAATGACACACGAGAAGATTCTGAAAATTGACGTTGATTGCTTTTATTAGAGACCTCTTTTTTTGTTAATTTAAAATCAATAGAGCAAATCAGTAAAGCTTAGCTACCTTATGATTTTTCCTCCAAAAAAAAAACTCAAGTTTAGTTTGAATTCAATACTTTTAGGACTTTTGCTTAAGAGCAATTATCATGAATTCCATTTGTTTAGGTATGTATTAATCTTGGTGATGTTTGTAAATTGTAACATACGCGTACATATACAAATTGAGTGGTGTTTGAGATATACTAACTTTGCTAGTAGTTTGCGAGAAAAATACATATATAATTTCATATTATCATACAAATATGAAAACTCTCATGAATTTGCAAATTGTAGACCGAAAATTTATATATAAAATGATCGGTCGCAAGCATGGGTTTGCAATCCTTTGAATCTTCTACTAGTGAAGCAGCCCTAGCGTAGCAATCAATTCCTTAGATTCCCGCAGTGTGGTGATCCTTGGCTAGACCAAAATATTGATTGTGTATGTGAGGGACTCCTCCATAAGCTAATCAAACACACCATATCTATTGGTATCACATCTATAAATATTCTTTCATTCCACACAATGTAAAAGGGATGCTTCATAAACGAGTCTTAGATGGCTAAAAAAATGATTCCAAGGGAATATGAACCTTACGTTAGGCATCGACCCATAATTTTGCTTCTCACCTAAACTTATTGCGTTCTTTATTAAAAAAAAGGTAGGCCTTTAGTGATGATATATTTTCATTTCGGTGTATTTTCTAACATAAGTAGGTGTATGATAAAAAGAAAATCTTAAATTGATTTGTGGGGTTACTAGTATTGTGGTCGCACATACAACAGTATATGGCATACAACAAAATAGTAGTAGACAAAAAAAAATTTCTACTTAATAATTTGTTGTGATTGGAAAACGTTTTTTTTTTATAGATATAACTCAAAATCTTTAGAGTTTGGTATCTGCTATGTAAAAATTTCCAAGTAAATTATTTATTGGCTCGTGATGGATATTCAAATTGAAATAGCATTAAATTATTTTTGGCAAACATCACATGGAGTTCCAAAAAACTGATCAATATGTTTATCCTTTGTCTCACATGTTCTCATTCATTAGTTGTATGAGGCGGTAAGGACAACAACATCATCCTCGAGGCCGGAAAAAAGTTCAAAAACATTCCCAACAACTTAATTCCACATATATATACATCATTAAATTGGTTTTATACACGCAACAATTTTATTTTTGCAACCAGATTTTTACCACTTTAAAAAAACACTCACTAGAGAATAAATATTTGTAAGATAAGAAGTAAACAAATGACAACTTTGAAACAACGGTGATCAGTGTGGTATTAAGTCTCTCCACGCCATCTCATAATTCACCTGATATTAGCCAAACAATATGAAATTGATTGCCTGCAAACAAATACACTTGAATCTTCTACATATCAGAATCATGCACTTGACAAAAATATATCAATCAAATATCTTAATACCAAATCATTGACTTGTAATACAAATATACAATGCCATTATGCAGCATACAGCGTGATGTGTCTCACTGATCTCCATGAATTAATGGATCATGTGACATACGAGTTTTTTTACATCTAAAGTTTCTTACTGATTGTTTTTTTTTTAAATTGCTAAGTAAATTTGAGTCTATAAGTTTTCTTGTACAGAAAAATCATAAACAAATCATTTACGTCCCATTTTTTCTTAATTAATTTTCCATCATATAAACCTGTAAGAATATTATTTAATAATTAATACTATGTGAATACATATCAGCCAGAAAAAAAAAGCACGCGAGAAACCCAAAGCGGAACAGCGATAGCCAATAAGAAGCATCTGCCATTAGGGATGATGAGCAGAGAAAAAAAAAAGTTAACGTTGCAAAAACGAATTTAAAAAAAAAGAAAAGAAAAATAAATTAGGTAAAATTCTCAAAATATTATTATTACATAGAAAGAAAAAAATATCGAAAAAAGTGAATCAATCCTTCCCCCAAGAAAAAAAAAAAACTTACTTTTTTTATTTTGCCACAACTCAAAAATCTCTTTACAAAAATTGCAACCTCTTCTTCATCGTCTCATCTTCATCTTCTTCTTCTTCATTATTAACCCTAAATCTAGCCGCAACTACCTCTCTCTCTAGGTTTCTTTCTCTATCTCCCTCTGTGTGTACTCAACAGCTCAAAAGTTTTCTTCTTCATATTCAAATCGTCACAGCAGGAGAAGGAAGCTTTCTCATTTTTGGAACTTTGAGGAGAGATCTGAAAGTTTTTTTTTTTTGGTTCTGGATCGATCCTGTTCCACTCTCTTCATCTTCCGATCATCGTTATTTTCGAAGCTCTATCAACAAAAATCGATTTTTCTGGTAAACATCCTTTTGACATCTCGATTCGATTTCCGTGTTGTTGAGCTGAGACTTTCTTGCTACATTTTTGTTTTCACTATGCGAAAGATCGTGGTTTCTGAAGATGATTGAACATATTTCTATTAAAGTGACTATGCGAATGTTTATACTTTTAAACTTTTTGTGAATCTATCTTCTTACTTTTGCTTTCGATTTGTATATGTCTGTGAAAATGAAAATCAATAGAAGCTTGTGTTGATCGATCTATGGGGGTAGTTAACTTTGTTGTTGGTTTTGTTGGTCTATTGGCGTTGTTGTTTTCCATTAGGAAGCTTAGATTATTGATGAATATGATACTGTGGAGCCACAAATATCATTGATAAGATATAAATTTGGTGGCTTTTCGGTTTTGATTCAATATGCAACACCATTAAGAGTGTTTTGGTGAAAAAGGAATGCTCGTAATGCAAGCTATGGTTTCTTCTATTTTATTACATTGCCATTACTTGCTATCGCTATTGATTCGTTTTAAGCACTTTCCTGAAAAAGAATCTGTTTTTCATCTGGATGATTGCTCTTTTATATGTTGGTTGATTTTATCTCCTTGGAGAAGGAATGCTGCAAAATTCTTTACCTTCACCTTTTTTGTGGAATATAGCTTCAAATAAACTGTTTTTGCTAAAACCTCACACTGTACTCCCAATGTTTTTATGCCACAGGTAATCTAAAGAGGTGACTGAAAGAATAAAACTTTTACATTTTGCATGGAGTAAGAATGCCAGAGTTAAGAAGTGGAGCAAGGAGATCGAGACGCCTTGACGAGCAGCCTAACCCTCAGCTAGTTGCAGAAGCAGAAAATATCGTACTTCCTCCTCAGACTGCAACAAGGAGACGAGGTGGTGGTAGAGGAAGGGGGAATGCTGCTTTAGCTAAAGCTGCGCCACCTCCAAGACCAACTGCTGCCGGTAGGGGCAGGGGTATCAGGCTGACAGACTTAGAGCCAGAACCTTGTGAGGTTCGTCCAGCTGCAGGTGCTATAGGGGCCACTGAACCTGCCTTAAATCGTGTTGAAGGGGTAGCTGATAAGGATATTGCTGCGGAAGGCGGTAGCGCAGAGAAAGTAGTAGGCATGGAAGAAGATTCCAGCATGGGTCCAGTCCCTGAAAGGGTAATTTTTGTTAACCTTATGACATTGGTCACCGGATTTCTGCATGGTTATATCCATGCTAAACTATAGGATTAGGTTAAAGAAGGTGCTCCGTTTTGGAGTTCAACATATTCTTTTAACATCATCATTTCATCATCTTGGAACTCTTAGATCTTTCGTTGATATATGATTTGCGAGCCATGCTAATGGGTTTAAAGCTTTGCGTCATATTTTCATTCTACTATGAGAGAGATATTCACTATGATTTCTTTTTTTTGTATAGGTACAAGTTGGAAATTCTCCTGTTTATAAGACGGAGAGGAAACTTGGTAAGGGTGGCTTTGGCCAAGTTTATGTTGGCAGAAGGGTGAGTGGTGGCAGTGATAGGATTGGAGCAGATGCAATTGAGGTATTAGAAAAAAAAGCTTGGTAAAAATCATGGGGTTAGTTCAAAAGAGTTAAATTTTTGAAGAGTTAATTCTTTTCCATTTCAGGTAGCTCTGAAACTTGAACATCGCAATAGTAAAGGCTGTAACTTTGGCCCACCTTACGAGTGGCAAGTGTACAAGTAAGATTTGCGTGTTTCTTTTCTAAATCTCCTGCCCAGTTTCTCTATTTCCTTACTGGTCACTACTTATGTGTACTTTTATTTTTTTTATGCTGTAAAGTACGCTCAATAGCTGTTATGGAATTCCTGCTGTGCATCATAAGGGTCGTCAAGGAGATTTTTACATTCTGGTAAGCTTTTCGTATGAGCCTAGTCACACATTGAGATTAATCAGGTATCTTTAATGAAGATACATTTATAATTATTTCAGGTCATGGACATGCTTGGGCCTAGCCTTTGGGATGTTTGGAATTCCTTGGCTCAATCGTAAGTACTTTTATCATTCTATATTTTCATACCAACCATGCTCATGCAGATATGCTAAATTTATTGTTTTTCTATGTGGTAGGATGTCTCCAAACATGGTAGCGTGCATTGCAGTGGAGGCGATATCTATTCTTGAAAAACTGCATATGAAGGGGTTAGTGCGAATTTCTGTTGTCACCAATAATTCCATCTATTTCGAACAAAAATATTTACATTTATAGCAAAAAAAATACGCTATCACTGAGCTGACTGTCATGCCTTGTTCATTCCCTACATCAAACAAGGTTTGTGCATGGAGATGTGAAACCAGAAAACTTTTTACTTGGTCAGCCTGGAACAGCAGACGAGAAGAAACTATACCTTATCGATCTTGGTCTAGGTCAGTTTCTGTGAAATATTTATAATCGTTTTATTTTTCAAAATCGTAACACCATCGTTTATTTCAGCATCGAGATGGAAAGATTCACACTCTGGCCAGCATGTGGAATATGATCAAAGACCAGATGTATTTAGGTATTTTGATTGGTGTATGTTATCTTTCCTACTTTTTTTGGTATAAATATTTTGCTTACATCTTTGTTATGCTTCATATGCAGAGGAACAATAAGGTATGCAAGTTGTCATGCACATCTTGGTCGTACAGGAAGTCGGAGGGATGATCTGGAGTCATTGGCTTATACATTAATATTTCTGATGCGGGGAAGGTTGCCATGGCAAGGGTACCAGGTGAGTTATTTATCTATCTACTCACAATCTAGAACCTTGTAAGTTTCAGTTGTAGTCAATAAAATATGGTTTTTGTTCACAGGGTGACAACAAGAGCTTTCTTGTTTGCAAGAAAAAGATGTCAACCTCTCCTGAATTGATGTGTTGTTTTTGTCCTCCCCCGTTTAAGCTGTTCCTCGAGGCAGTTACAAATATGAAGTTTGATGAGGAGCCCAACTATGCCAAGCTTATCTCGATTTTTGATACTCTTATCGAGCCATGTGCTATATCTAGACCAATTAGAATTGATGGGGCTCTAAAGGTGGTGACTTTGGTTCATATGGTTATTTTTCACTATTTATAAATAATACAACAAGTACTGATATTTTGCTTTTGCGTCAATAGGTTGGCCAAAAGCGAGGAAGATTGCTTATCAATTTGGAAGAGGATGAACAGCCGAGGAAGAAAATTAGAATCGGCAGTCCTGCCACTCAGTGGATCTCAGTGTATAATTCACGCCGTCCTATGAAACAGAGGTAATTCTTACACATTCGAATGTTTTGCTCATCTCATTTCTGGAGTATAAAGGTTTGAAAACCCTCATTAATCAAATTCCTCTTTCTAGCTGACTAGTTGCTCTTCATTCTTAGCAAAATAATTGTTTAAGGCTTTGCATTTATTATGGCTTTAGTTATTACCTATTTGGGTTAGATAAATAAGTTGGGATGGGGAAGAATACTGACTTAAATCCTAATGTATTAGTAGAAATATTTGTTTATTTTGGTACTTTGCATTTCATTGCGTAACGGGTCAATCTTTATTTCTCTTGTAGATATCATTACAACGTTGCAGACTTAAGACTTGCACAACATGTTGAGAAAGGTAACGAGGATGGCCTTTTCATAAGCTGTGTAGCATCAGCAGCTAATCTCTGGGCCATCATCATGGATGCTGGGACTGGTTTCAGTTCTCAAGTTTATGAACTGTCCTCGGTCTTCCTGCACAAGGTAAAACAGCTGAAGCATTAGGATCCATCTATCTGTCATACCTATGCTCGACTATAGCAGCTCACCGTTTGTTTCTGGATTCTTTGCAGGACTGGATTATGGAACAATGGGAAAAGAACTACTATATCAGTTCCATAGCTGGTGCAAATAATGGGAGCTCGTTGGTTGTTATGGCTAAAGGTCAGTATTCACGTCTGATGATAACTTTGCCAATGAACCTATTGATTTATTAAAGCATGAAAGCCGTTTTTACTTATTCAACCTCTTGTAATGCGATAGGAACTCCTTATACCCAGCAATCATACAAAGTCAGCGACTCATTTCCGTTCAAGTGGATAAATAAAAAGTGGAAAGAAGGTTTTCATGTAACATCCATGACCACCGCTGGGAGTCGTTGGGGTGTAGTAATGTCCAGGAACTCAGGCTACTCTGAACAGGTTCCGATCTCTTTACCTGAGGCATTTCAATTTTTCTTTGTTTCCTTTTTGAGCACTATAATTTATTAACAATGTTTATGTGGTGTATATAGGTGGTGGAGCTTGACTTTTTGTACCCAAGTGAAGGAATACATCGAAGGTGGGAAAGTGGATACAGGATAACATCAATGGCTGCAACTGCTGATCAAGCAGCTCTTATATTGAGTATACCTAAACGAAAAATAACCGATGAAACCCAAGAGACTCTCCGCACTTCTGCCTTCCCAAGTACCCATGTCAAGGTGTGTTAGGAAACAAATGAAGCATGTTATGAAACTAAAAACGTTGGAGTCTTCTCCATTTGTTCTATGTACTGACTTGGACTTGGACTTTTGATTTCAGGAGAAATGGGCGAAAAATCTGTACATTGCATCAATATGCTATGGTCGGACAGTTTGCTGATGAAACATGAAGTATACTGTTTCAACCCCTCTCACCCTCGCTCTAGGTTTCAAGGGATGATCTCTCTCTAGAAGCCGGACAACGTGTAGCTTCGGTTTTAGTACAATCCAAAGGTAAACCTTAACCAGGAGCCAACCTATGTGACTGTGTAATGAAATGAAATTTGTCTCTATGTATGTAGTAAGTACAAGATAAAAGGAAAAAAAAAAAATAGAAGAGAAGCATCATTATTACTAGAATTGATCAAGAGCTGGAAAAAAATTATGCAGTTTCTGGCTTATTTGGCTTTGTACCTGATTTGAGTACAGAATCAGGAGGAAGCAACATGTTTGTTACAATGAACATATAATTCTAAGAAGGCTTTCATCTTTTGGTCTCAAGTTTTTTGCTTCCAATTTTGGATTTTAAAATAAAAATGTGGATTTTAATTGATATTAGATCGAATATAAATAACATTGCAAATTTGTTAAGATCTGATATAAATAACCAATCTTAATAGAAGTCAGATATTTCAAACTCAAAGAATCGTTTTCAATTAGTCCTGAACATCACTGAATCTCCAAATCTTCTAAACAAATGTCGAGTCAACGTACTAGTCAACATTATGAAATTTCAACTGTACAGACATCAAGCACGATCTTAGAAGTCAACTATTTTTATATTTAGTGCCTTCAAAAGATTACACATCACAATCACTGACAATGAACAAAAGCATTGTTGGGATTTTAGTCTTTTAGCAATAATCTCGTTTTGGACTTGTTGTATAAACAAGACATACAGAAGAACCTGTGACTGGCAAAAAACTATAGCTCTGAGAAAGATGCTGAAGCGATGTCTTCTCACTTACTTCATCTTGTTCTTAGTCTTCTTCATTCCACAAATATCTTTCTCTTGCCCACAAGACCAAATACAATCCCTTCTTGAGTTCAAGAACTTGCTGACTCTGAACATCAATAACCACTACACAACAGTTATCACCTTGGAAGGTTTAGAGACATGGAAGCCAAACTCAGATTGCAGCAAATGGCAACTCGTCAGATGCAACACTCGTTCCCCTACCAGAGAAGTGATAGACCTGAATCTGCACTCACTTGTCTTCTCTGGCTCAGTGAGTTCAAGCATTCTGAGACCGGTCCTGCGTATAAGCTCTCTTGTGACGCTCGATATCTCGTCTAATTTCATAGAAGGAGAGATTCCTGGAGATGGGTTTGTGAACTTGACCAGGTTTATCTCTCTTGACATGAGTGATAACAGCTTTAACGGCTCTATCCCTCCTGAATTGTTCTCCTTGAAGACTCTTCAACGCCTTGACTTAAGCAGGAATGATATTGGTGGTACGTTGAGTGGCGACATCAAGGAGCTCAAGAATCTGCAGGAGCTGATCTTGTCTGAGAATTTCATTGAGGGAGATATTCCTCCAGAAATAGGTAAATCAAAAACTCAATCTCAAAATTCAAACTTTGTGTTCATATATGAAGATCATAGATATGGGTTGTAGATGTTACTGACTTTATTTATTTTGTGTGTGTGTTACAAGGTAGTCTTACCGAACTGCGGACGCTGACATTGAGGCAGAACATGTTCAGTGGTTCTATACCATTGTCTGTGTCACAGCTGATGAAGCTCGAAACGTTTGATCTCCAGAACAATTCCTTATCTTTTGAGATTCCTGACGGTATTGGGAAGTTAGTCAATCTATCAAATTTTTCTTTGAGCTTGAACAAGTTGTCTGGTGGAATTCCATTGTCCATTCAGAATCTGACAAATCTTGAAACTCTTGAGCTTGAGAATAACAATGGCTTGTCAGGTGAGATTCCCACTTGGCTGTTTGGTCTTCAGAAGCTGAGGATATTGCAGTTAGGAGGAAACAAACTCCAATGGAACAAGAATGGCTCTGTCTATGCACAGTCTAAGTTAACACATTTGTCACTTAGGTCTTGTGGTTTAGATGGAACGATTCCGGATTGGCTCAAGAATCAAACAGCTCTTCTTTTCCTGGATCTGAGCTTGAACAAACTCGAAGGAAGTTTTCCCAAATGGTTGGCTGATCTGAACATCGGAACCATAATTTTGTCAGACAACAAACTCTCAGGTTCATTGCCTCCTAGTTTGTTTCAGTCTATAAGCTTATTGGTTCTTGCACTATCAAGAAACAACTTCTCTGGTCAGATTCCTGATACTGTAGGCGAAACATGGGTCATGATATTGATGCTGTCTGAAAACAACTTCTCAGGATCAGTACCAAAGTCTATTTCAAAGATCCATAGGCTGATGTTTCTGGACTTGTCAAAGAACAGATTATCAGGTGGATTCCCAAGGTTCGACCCCGAGTCATTGCTTGCGTTGCTCGATATATCTTCCAATGAGTTCTCTGGGGATGTTCCAGCTTTCTTTGGATCAAACACCATAATGCTCTCAATGAGTCAGAACAACTTCAGCGGCAAATCCCTCATGACTTCACCAATCTCCCATATCTGATGCATCTTGATCTTCATGACAACAAAATCTCCGGTAACGTCCCGAGTTTTATCTCCCGGTTGTCTTCTTCTCTAGAGGTACTTGGCCTGACAATCAATTCCCTCGAAGGTACAATCCCATAAGGCATATCAAATCTCAAAAGTCTCAAGGTCTTGGATCTCACTGAGAACAATCTTGGTGGATCTCTCCCTTCATCTCTTGGGAATCTTACAGGCATGAAAGAATCTCTCCCAAGTTCATCTTCGCCTTTGCCTTTTATGTACAGCTTCACTATCGAAATACACGACTTAGCAGTGAACTGGAAGAATTCAAAGCAAGGTCTTGCCAACAGAAACCTCTACCTCTACACTCTGATAGACCTCTCCAAGAACAAGCTATTCGGAGAAACCCCATATTCTTTAGGCAATCTCAAAAGCTTAAAGCTTTTAAACCTCTCATATAACAACATCTCTGGATTGATCCCACAAAGTTTTGGAAATCTTGAGAAGATAGAGATCTTAGACCTTTCACACAATAACCTCTCTGGCAAAATCCCGCAAACACTATCCAAGCTCAGCGAGCTGAATGTATTGGAGTTGAGCAACAACAAACTCACAGGTAGAATCTCTGAAAGTCCTCAGCTAGACAGATTGAACGATCCAAACATTTAGGCGAACAACAACAAACTATGTGGAATGCAAATCTCTCAAGAACAGAGGACTGAAGAAATCAAAATCTTTGTTTTCTTAAAACGAAATGGAAGATTAATTCTGTTGCTGTAACATTGAGAAAAGTACTAAAATAGTCAAGAGAGTTAAACAAAGTATTGCCAAAAAGTTGGTTTTTGATCATTTTGTTTTTACTCTATGAAAACAGAATCGTTTATAATGATGAAACATTGCCACAATACAAATTCACAAAATTTTGTGTTCTTTTGGTGACATGAAGGATTTCAATATAACCCAAAACCTGAGAATAAGACTCTCAATTGTATCTAAAAACATGAACTTTCAGATTGAAGAAATCTTAATTTCATTCTCAAGCTGCCTAATAATATAAACAAGACAAAATTTTGTCTAAAAGTTTTTTGTAATCATCTCAGTTTCCCTTGTTTTCTTCACAAAGAGAAGAAGTAATAATATTATGAGAGGAGGAAGGTAGGAGCTATATGTCTACTATTTTCATTTTATTAGCCAATCAGGTGGCTCCATGTCACACCCCTCTCTCACCCATCGCGCGATTTCACGCCCACTCTCACCACTCGCGAGTTGAGCGCGTGTCTCCGTTTTCTGTGGGTGTTAACCCACCAAATGGCCTGTTTTGAAGAACACTCGCTCCTTTTTTAAAAAGCCTCGCGTGCGTGACTTTTTATTTTTTCTTAATTAATTCCAACGCAAACCGAACTAATTTCAGAACCAATGAAAACTAAACCGAAATCAATTCTAATTTCAAAACCAATGAAAACCGAACCGAAATCAATTCTAATTTCAAAACCAATTCTAATTTCTCTATTGGAATCAGTAAATTCTGGACAGAAAATTTCTGGCAATTTCCATGATTTCTCAACATCCCAACGGGAAAGATAAGAGAGCAAAAAGAGGAGAAATCAAACGTACCTCGAAGAAGAAGAGCGTTTCTGGAGGCAGGATTAGGTTCTACTTACCTTTTCAGCTACCTCATATGGCCACCCAAAGGTTCCTTCTCCCCAAGCGCAGCTCCATGGTCATTGTATGAGTTTGGGAGAACCATAACCGATTCTAGTAGTGACCTAAACCATGCCACAAAACAGAGTTATTACCAAAGGCCTTGAGATCAATCAAACATTGCTTACTGAGTTCATCAGACTCAAAATTATTACCAAAGGCCTTGAGATCAATCAAACATTGCTTAAAGAGTTGGGTTTCTATGATCTCTTTGTATTCTATTCATTCACCTTGCATAAAGAAGCATGTATGCTCCTTCTAGTTAATACAGTCTCTAATTGAACCGGGAAGACCTGCGAATTCGAGAAAAAGAAAATGGCATCATTGGTATAAATATAAATGATATTTTGAGACCTACATTTCTGTCATCAATTGGTATAATATAATATATATGTAGGCAAATATCAGCTTACCAATGTGATGATAGGGGAACTCCATCTGGTGGCACATATCTAAGAACTAGCACACAGGCTGCAACGACAGTGAATGCCATTAGAGTGCCAACACTTAACCTGTTGGATAAATTACCGATGTGAGCTACTCAGAGAAGGATCTGTTACCGTAATAGAGTGTGTTTAGGCGTGTCTCAACTCAATTACATAATGCTAATTGCTAAACAAGATCAACACTATACTACTAATAATGAACCCTCAATTTTCTGTTTGCCACTAATTGTAGGTGAAAATCTTTCCTTAAGAATTGAGACATGTAATGTAGGCAAATGCAGCTTACCATCTCGGACAACTGTGCAAAATCCATGAAAAATGCGAGTGCAAGCACACCAACAGCTATTGTGCTTTTCACTGGTACTTGAGTTCGTGGGCTAATAAAAAAAATTACAAAGCACTATCAAAACGACATGTATGCATTTGCATAACCCACACAGAACCTGTGTTACTTTTACAGCAAAGAAATCTCAATTACAAAATATCCTGAACTTGGATTTTCAGAACGATAGAATTGGTTAGTACCTGAGCCAAAAGGGAACCCAACAAACTCACGCATAGAGCAGTTATTGCCCCAGTGGTTAAGATGATAAACAACATTGGAAGACGCTCAGCTGAAGCTGCCGAAGCAAGACCTAGGACACCTATGCACACACGAGCTATACTCCAGGAAGCAATTTTTCTTCTCTTTCCAAAATACTTTTCATCTGTTCAATTAAAAAGAAGCAAAACCCGCACATAATGATCCCTCCAACCAGTAATTTCTTGAACCATTCTCCTATTTAAACAGAACGAGAATCAGATAACCACCTAACGAGCACAACATATAGAGCAGAAGAAAGAACTGATGCAAAATCAAATCTCTCTAAAATGCAGAAAAAAGCAGTATAGATTGAATTGTTGGATTTATCTTTACAACATATCCAAATGGTAACTACGTGATTGAGCACATTTTATGATTTCAGTACCTCCTGCAGTTTCGTTGCCAAGTAGAGGGGAATCAGAAGATTCTATAGCATCCACAAGAAAATTTTCAGTTTCAGCTCCAATTTCATCGGTATCACTCAAAGTTTGAGAAATCTCAATTTTAAACTGGTTTTGATCTTAAACTTTTTGCATCAATTGGAAATACTCTGCATGAAAAATCCATACCAAGGATGTAGTCCGATGCAAGGTACAACAGAAGGATACGTCTCTCCCATCTCTTTCACCAAGTCCCAATCTTTCTGTCTCCATAAACAAAACCCGTTTAAAATATGTATATATGAGTATAGTAGATAATAGTGATTAAACGATCAGGAAATTACCTCGGAGGTTCCATTGACTGCGAAATTGGTAACACCGACAGCTAAAAGCAGCAGATATGAGCTGAGAGGCTTCGTCGATGACCCTCTTGTCTTGGAGGTGACAATGAGCATCAAACAACTTCATTTTCACCGTGAGGTTCTTGGTTCTAAGTTCTAACAGATCCCTGTACAATTACAACTACAACACTTTTTGAGTTTTGACTTTTGAGAATTGGAGCTCTTGAAAAGTAATGTCTCATTCACTCACATCATCAAGGCTGGTTTCTGACTACCTTCACGCTGCTGTAGAAGCGGCGCAGATCCTTCATGGCTTTTTCTTCTATCTGGATTGATCGTATTGGTGATGGAGCATCTATCTCTGGTTTGAACCAGCGATTAGTTCCAGGCGAATCTGATGGAGATCCTTGCCCGCTTGCGACTGTGAAACCTGATGTTTTTGTCTTTGGACTGTGGGACAGAGACTGTTGCTTCTTCACCTGCATTAGACAAGACAAAGACACCGAGAGAAAAATGAGCAGCCGAGTTTTAAATAAGAGCGGTAAAAGTTATTTTGGTGTTCTACTCACATGTTTTAGAGTGTAATCCCCTAATAAGGTATGATATTAGCAGCCGAGTCAATGCCAAGCACTGAAGGAAAGCATCTGCATAACAACTACAAAAGTAATAATATAAGTGATAAGCATAAATATACTTAAGAGAGAAGAACTACATAAAAAAATTGTCAGTCAACAACTTAATAGATTTCTCTTATAATACTATTGCTAAATATCATCATGCTATAAGCAAGAAAAGTTAAAGATAGATCGATATGTACCTGTTCCCTAAGTTCACAAGGCCAAATGGCTGTAATTGTATTCTATCACAATAAGTTTCACAAACAACTCATACGAGAAGCTCATCTGCACAAAAATACAGCAACGTCACTATGGGATCATGGCAGTAGATTTAATCAAGCTAGAAACCAATTATATATTGTAGTAACCTCATGGATAGAAGTGGAAGGTTGAGACATTTTTGACGACTTTGGGGGTCTAAAATGCTAAACAAACGATGTTTTTAATCCACTACATACTTGAACCTTGGGACAGTTTTGGCTTACTAATAGCTTTTGAAGGTAGGAGAAGAGTTGAAGATGACATTGCAGCAGAAGCACTATGTGGTCCCACGAGATGGAAAATCCACATTCAGACTCTTTTGCATCTGCAGAGAGCTTTGGGTCATCAAAAATCACCAGCCACCACTAAATGTGAAATCTTTATAGATCAAATACTAAATCTCAAGTATCTAGAATCATTTGTATCTAAAAAAACAACAACTTTCATCAGATTGAGAGAAGAAGACGAAAAACTAAATCATAACATATAAGAGAGGAGCTAGCAACATGTATACTATTTCACTTTTTTAGAGTTTTTAAGCCAATCAGAAGGCTCTATTTCAGACCCACTCGCACAAAGTGCGCGTTGCGCGAGTGAGAGCAATTCTGTAGGTGTACCCCTTTCGACATCATGCCTTTTTCAATCGACGCACTTGTCTCCAAAAAACCCATCGCGTGAATACTTTTTGTTTTCTTCTCTAAACCAGTGTAAACCGAACCCAAAATCAATTCTAATTTCAATACAATGTAAACCACACCGAAATCAATTTTAATTTCAAAACCAATGTAAACCTACTAACCGCTTGTCCTCATCGTCGATCCCTCCGACGAACACACCACATCCAATGTCAAAAGCAACAAAGCTGATACATACCAGGAATCAGCTACACATACAAGCACAAAAACACAGTAACTTGAGATTCAATAATGAACACAGATACAAAATAATGATTCATTGAAATCGATTAACCTTTGAGATCTTCTGATCCAAGTACTGATCAGCTCTTTATAAATCCAAATTTTGACACCTACAAGTTTAGTATGGTTGAACCACACCTCTAAACAAAAATCAAAAACTTTCCTTAATTTGGGATTACAAAATCAGAACACAGAGCTTCACAGATACCTCATCACGGCGCAATTCTTCTTTAGGGCAATTCCGTTCGAATCCGTCGAATTGAGCCTTTTGATGGCTTCTACATTATTCAACTGTACGGTAACTCGAGTGTGCTCCGGTAACGAAGGGAATGAGTGAGGTCAAGAGGATTTGGGCAACGAAGTGAATGGAGAAAAAGAGCTTCAGGTGGAATTAAGTGATTTGACATTCCGACAACAGCGATATTAAATGAAAAAAATTATTGTTAAATCACTTCCCAAAATGTTGTTTTAGGCCTTAAATATTTTTCCACATGGTTATCTCTTCTTTTACCGTGGTTAACTTTTTAAACTTGTAAAGAGTTACTAGATCATCACCCGTACTACAGTACGGGTTGAATTTCATTTATTACAAAATTTATAAATTTTATGTTTTAGAATAAAGTTGTGATATATTATAATAGTAAGTGAAAAAATAATATTTTTTTGTCAGTCCCTATATATAGTATTAGAATGAATATATTTTCCTTTTTCTATAGTATTCAATTATGGATATATTTTTTAAGATATGAAAACGGAAAATAAGATTATTTTTTAAAAAAATTAATATTGTTTGAACAATGAGTTAATTTATGTTAACAACCACAAAATGAGAGTGCATATAATTTAGTTAGATCAAAAATCAAAATATCATAAATGAATCGCATCTAAAACGTAGATTATTTTGAATTACCTAAGAAAATTAGCTATTATTTTGAATTAATTTAGGAAATTATTTTTTCAAATTCTGATTCATTGGTTGTTGAAATAGAGATTTGTTTGAGCTAATTACGGAATTTACCAATTATTCACATAATCAAATATGTTATGAACATATATTTGGTATATAATAATACCAAATTCAATCCGTGTGTGGAGTCTATATTTTCATTTTACAATCCGTATGAAAATATTGCGGCACAATCTATAATTTATTATTTTCAAAATTGCTTGCAGAATCAAATTTTCAAATATTTAGAAGTGTCAAACCTTATTTAACTCATCTCATCATAAAATCTTAAAATGTCGTCTGTTATAAGGATCATAACTTTCTACCATATAATACATTACATTTAACTCGCCGCCTACTATAAATATTTTAAACATATCGTTTTAGAAAATCAAATTAATGTATTTATAATTTTTTTTTATCTTTTTAATCTATTAAATATTTATGATATTCTTTAATATTAAATATTTATTATATTCTTTAATATATTAAATTAAACTATTTTAAAATGTTCCAAATTAAAATCTTTAAAAAAAATTATTGTATTATGTAAAATTATGAATTAAAAAAAAATGATATGAAATTAAATATAAGTATTCAAATAGTTATAAGGATCATAACTCATTTCATCATATAATATATTATATTCAACCCGCCGCCTATTATAAATATTTGTTTCAAAAAATCAAATTAGAGTATTTATACTTCATAAATTTTTGATATATTAAGTATTGATGATATTAAAAAAAAAGGAATATATTACTCAAATATGAATTTTTGACCCGTTAAATTTGTTCTTTCATACATTGAATAATTTATATTCGTTTTTAAAAATTCAAATCTTGGTATATGCGGAAAAAAAATTTACTTTTTTTTTATTATATAGATGATATAATGATTTATTTATTTATAGAAATAGAATCATATAAAGATGAGAGGTGAAGTATAATGATTAATAACAAATTAATATGGTAAGTTAGATATCAAATCTTATATGTTCATTTTGATTGGTCATTCTTTTTAAAGAAATTAATAATAGATTTTCGTTTTTATAATTAAATTAAATTAATTAAATTGCATAAAATAGTAGTTGACTTGTTTATCCTTAATGAGTTGAATTAATTTACTCTATAAAATTTTATTTCTAATGGCATTCTTAAGTAAATTCTTACAAAAGGGAAGGTTAATTAAGGGTAATCCATAAATTGTACTCCCCAAATAATAGTATAGGATTTCCCAGCTGTCACCATCATGAAACACGGAGTCGTTTCATGAAATATCGCTAGAATACATAACTCTCTTTCCAATTTGATCCCACAAAGTTTTTGAGATGTTGAATATCCCAACTTCTTTAGACAATCTCGACTTATATTTTCGGATTGATATCCCACAAAGATAGAAGATGAACGGGCCATTAGACATGATTGCACTGGTTTTAATCAAAAGGTTTTGAAATCTTGAGAAGCTAGAGATTTTAGACCTTTCCCACAACAACCTCTCTGGAAAAATCCCGCAAACTTTACAAGCTCAGTGTTAATGAGAGAAAGTCCCACATCAGAAATTAGAGAAATTATCAAGTGATATATAAAGGGTTAGGGCCAATCCACTCATTGTCAATTGGTTTTGAGTTGGAAGCCCATGTTAAAGCCCAAATCTATCACTCAGCGAGGTAAATGTTTTCGAGTTGAGCAACAACAAGCTTACTAGTAGAATTCATGAAATTAAAGTCCTCAGCTAGACAGATTGAACGATCCAAACATTTACGTGCACAACAACAAACTCTGTGGAATGCAAATGCAAGTATCATGTTCTACACCACAGACCGAGCAACCAATAAGAGGAAGAGGGAGCAATGTTTTCATGGAATGCTGCAGTCGTGCAGGTTGTCCTTGTGGATTACTTATGGCTGTTTTGTTTTAATGTATATGTGATTATCTATTTCAGCAATTCATCTCATCACCACCACCATCTCCCAGAAACAAAAGATTCAAGAAATGAAATCTTTGTTTCTTTCATAAGATTATTCTGATGATAGTAGCCTGGAAAATATTTTTAAATAAAAAACAGTTACTCAATCACTTTGGTTACTTGAGAAGAAGAATCAAACAGCTTTTATATTAAAAAAAGAAGAAGAAGAAGAATCAAACAGTTTGGTTCTTTACTAATTCCCGGTTCAACCAAACCTAATCCGGTTCGGATAATACCCAATTAAAACCCTAATAAAAAAGCCTCTCGATAACCGAAGAGACAGAGAGGATAAACGCAGGCTTTGTGGAAGTGGAATCATTAGGGAAGTAGAAAAAATGAGACCACCGATGGGCAGCGGAAGAACTGGTGGTGGCGGACGTGATTCATGCCCTGAGAAGAAGTAATTCTGGATGAATCAGTGTCAGTTAACACGAGATTATTAAACAAATTAACACGATTTTTTATGTTTTGATTATGCAGAGAGAAAGAGAAAGACCCAACAAGTAGACTTTGCTCGGATTTGAGTGATTTACAAATAGAAAAAATCGGAAGTACTCCTACTTTCCAATGGATTTCAGTCTATAACAAACGTCCTCCTATGAAACAGAGGTTTGAATGAATATTTAGATTCATCACTCTTTTCTTGAGTATCAAGGTTTTAAAAAATTTAGGTTTTGCGTTTGTTGCTCTTGTAGATTTCATCACAACGTAGCAAATTCAAGGTTGCACCATCATGTAGGGAAAGCTAACAAGGATGGCCTTTTCATAAGCTGTGTAGCATCAGAAGCTAATCTATGGGCCTTCGTCGTGGATAAAGGGACTGGTTTCACTTCTCAAGTTTATAAAGTTACCTCAGTCTTCCTCCCCAAGGTACTATCATGTCCATTACTTATATGGCTATGTATGCTCCACTATATAGTAGCAGCTCACCACTTGTTTTATCTTTTTCTTGGCAGGACTGGATTATGAAACAATGGGAGAAGAACTACTATATCAGTTCCATAGCTGGTGCAAATAATGGGGGCTCCTTGGTCGTTATGTCAAAAGGTTGGTATTTGTCTTACTTATTTAATTCATTGTGCCATCATCAAGCCGGTTTTTACTTAAAATTCAACTTCATGTAATACTATAGGAACCCTTTACACCAAGCAATCATACAAAACCAGCGACTCAATTCCATTAAAGTGGATGGATAAAAAGTGGAAAGAAGGTTTTCATGTAACATCCATGACCACTGCTGGGAGTGGTTGGGGTGTAGTAATGTCCAGGAACTCAGGCTTCTCTGAACAGGTTCAGATTTTTATTACCTTTTTCCTTTTTTGGGAGGCATGCTCTATAATCTAGACTATAATGTATTGATGATGTTTATATACTATATAGGTGATGGAGCTTGACTTCTTGAACCCAAGTGAAGATATAAATCGAAGGTTGGAGAGTGGATACAGGATAACATCAATGGCTGCAACAGCTGATCAAGCAGCTCTTATATTGAGTATACCTAAACGTAAAATTACCGATGAAATCCAAGAGACTTTACGTACTTCTTCCTTCCCTAGCTCCTATATCAAGGTGTGTTCTTAGGATTTCAAACATGAAACTTATAAAACTTTTTGATTCTTATCCATTTTATTGTTTTCTATTGTACTGACTTTAGCTCTGCACTTTTGTTTTCAGGACAAATGGGAGAAAAATATGTTCATAACATCAATATGTTATGGTCGGACAGTTTGCTAATGAAACATGGAGCATATATATTCTTGTAGCCGTTGCGTTAATATATGTGGTTAGCTGGTTATTTGAGCTATTCAATGCGTAAACAGAGTGGTCACCTAGTCAATGAAGTGAGGTCATGAAGTGAGGTCATGAAGAGAAACAGATACATCTTTATTATTTATCTGTTTAGAGTAGTAGAACAAAAACAACCACAATAAAAACTAGCGGTTATAAAAATGCAGACACCTCTCTTCCTCTTTCACTATTTTTCTTTAGTTTCCCCAAATCTTCTCTGCCAAAAAAGTTATAGAACGTGATACATTTGACCAAATTACTCAATTGGTTTCGTGACGGCTTTACTTGGTATCATCCCAGCTGATCCACCACTGTGGAGACTCCAACGAGTTTCTCTGTTTGTGACTATCTCCACTTCTCATTGCTCAATGATATTTGTTTGATCTTCCTTGAAAGTAGTCCTCTCACCTTGGTCTCTAATAATGCTGTTTCTTAATCTTCTCTGCTTCCTCTACTTCTGCTTGGATAACATCTTTGGTCGTTGTTCTTGACATTATCCTGCAACAAACTTCTATCATCAAACTCTTGATTTGTGTTTAGTTTCTTTGTGTTTAATACTTTAATTTGTAATCGAAAAACAAAAATTATTCTTTACTATTTGAATTTTCTCCATCATTTACCGTGGAGTTATTTATTGGGCTAAATGAGGCCCATTGGTTTTAATGTCATATCGACGGTCCGGTTTGCGTATAGACAGTCATGATCAGATCTAGACCGTCCAAAATAGGGCTCTCCAAAAACAACAAAATTCAAATAGCACTTGTCACGGTCAGAGATGAACAAGTTTGGTTCAATGTTACATTGATATCCGGTTCAACTAACCAAAGCCGGTCGAACGATTACAGAAAACCCTAAATACCCACAGTCTTGTACCATTTGGGTGTCGTCGCTCTCAATTAAACCCTAAAACCCTCCACTGAAGAGAGGCAGAGAGAAACAAAAACGCAGTCTTTGCGGAATCTGAGAAAGGAGAAACGATGAGACCACCGATGAGAGGCGGCGGGGGTTTCCGTGGAAGGGGAGGACGAGACGGTGGTGGCGGCGGTAGATTCGGTGGAGGTGGCGGTAGATTCGGTGGAGGAGGAGGAGGAGGACGCTTTGGTGGTGGAGGCGGTCGCTTTGGTGGTTTCAGAGACGAAGGTCCTCCTAGCGAAGTCGTGGGTTCGTTTCTTTACTTGACATAACTTTTGCTTCTTCATTGGTTTTTGAAAGACACTATCAAAGATGTTCAATTTGTTAACGGAGCTTTGAAATGAATGAGCTGATTCTTGAATGTGTAGTAGTAATGTACAAGAACAAAAGTTCAACTTTTATCATTGACAAATCGTATCGTGCTACTTTGTTACCCTTGATTGAGCTAGTCTTGTTGGAATCCATGTAGAGAAAACACTCCACTAAGCTATTTTACAAGTATGATGCTTTTGACGGATTTGTGTGTCTTGTTTATTGTTAGTTTCAGCTTTTAGTTTGAGTATATGCTTGTGAAGACATTTCTTCTTGATTCGTTGTGATGAGGTTCTTTCTTTGGTTACAGAGGTCGCAACTTTCCTTCATGCTTGCGAGGGAGATGCTGTGACTAAACTCTCAAATGAGAAGATTCCTCATTTTAATGCTGCCATCTACCTAGAGAACAAGACTCAGATTGGGAAAGTAGATGAAATCTTTGGCCCTATTAATGAATCTGTAAGTTCTCTATTTCTGTCTTCTTCTTCCAGTTATAAGCAAACTAGAGGTTTCAGACATTAACTCTGTTTTGTTTCTTCTTCAGTTGTTTTCTATCAAAATGATGGAAGGTATTGTAGCCACCTCCTATTCTCCAGGAGATAAGTTCTTCATCGACCCTTACAAGCTTTTGCCTCTCTCTCGATTCCTTCCTCAGCCAAAGTAAGCCCCACTTCTTAACACATCATTGGTCAAAATCCTGAACTTGAAATAACATTAGTGAGCTAGAGACGGTTAACCTTAGCAATTAGCTTTTTCATCTTAACAATCGAGAGTTAAGATACACTGTTAGTTTAAAAGTTGTTAATTGTAGCAAACTCCATTTAACGGTATGTCTTTGTTCTTCCAGGGGTCAGTCAACGGGTGGACGTGGAGGTGCAGGTCGTGGAAGAGGTGATGGTAGAGGCCGTGGAAGAGGTGGTGGTTCTTTTAGAGGTAGAGGCGCTCCAAGAGGTGGTAGATTTCCACCACGCGGCGGCTCTCGTGGAAGCTTTAGAGGCCGAGGAAGATTTTAGATTCTTCTCCTACTTTATATGCCTTATCCAAACTTGTATCCTTTGTTTTATCAATGACTATCGTTTTCCCAGATTCTCAATTTTCAAGACTTTTGTTTAATCTATGGAGTAAAAAAATTTGCATCAAATTAGCTTCCTTTGATAGAAAATTAGAAAAGGTTACACTGCAATCAGCACATAGTTTTTATTACTCGAAAATTGATTCAAATCGCAAAGCAAATCAACAATATTGAAGGATTATCTGAATTCTTGTTCTTTAGTTTTCATGGGGTTTCAAGAACCCCAACCTCTGATAACTGTAGCTTGAGCGACACGGTTAATACCAAGAGTGAAAGCCCCCATACGGAGATCACATGAGTGAGTCATACACATCTCTTTCAAGTCTTTGAACCCGCGAGTCATGTAGGTCTTTAGCTCCTTGTTCACCTTTTCTTCATCCCACATGAATCCTTGTATATTCTTCACACAGATATTACATAAATCAGTGTTTTGATCGACTGGCTTCAGATTCTGTTAGGTCTTACATTTCTGATTTTTGAGTCTTACCTGAACCCACTCGAAGTAACTTACAGTGACTCCTCCCGAGTTTGCGTATATATCTGGGAGGATTACAACACCTTTCTTCTTCAAGATCTACGGAGACAGATAATAAAACATAGTCTCTGTTACGTGAGTTTGAGAAGAAGAAATAGCAAAAAAAAAGTATTAGATTTTCGAATAACCTCATCAGCCTCAGGATCAGTTGGGTGATTAGCACCTTCAATGATGAATTTCGCTTTGATTTCGTTTGCATTTTCCCTAAAAACAGACCAAAGAGAGAGAGTTTCATAAGAAAATCATGAAAGAGAAAAGATTAATTTATGAGACAAGAAGCTATAAAGACCTATTGATGACACCGCCTAGAGCTGCAGGGACAAGAATATCACAATCTTCGACAAGAATCGAATCAGGATCGATTGAATCAGCACCATCAAACCCTTTGATTCCTCTGTTTTCTTCGGCATGCTCGAGCAAACTCAAGATGTCAATTCCATTCATGTTTTTGATTGCTCCTGTGACATCACTCACCGCCACAATCTTACCACCTTTTTCACTTATCAACTTCGCTGCCCAAGAACCCACATTTCCAAAACCCTAAATCACAGAGACAGTGTGAGTGCCTTCACACGGAAGTAATCTCTATGAGTAAACAATTTTACCTGGATGGCGAATCGCTGTCCAGATATGCTCTTTCCATATTCATTGAGTAAAGCTTCTGTTGCAAATAACACTCCTCTTCCTGTAGCAGCGTCTCTCCCAAGAGATCCACCAAGGTCCTGCTCAAAACATCATCCTCAAAAAATCACATTTCATTAAGTTTTAGATTGGTTGAACACATAAACCAAACCAACCTAAAACCGCAATAAGAACGGTCACTTACAATGGGTTTTCCGGTCACAACAGCAGGCGAGTGTCCATGGAATTTTGAGTATTCATCAAGAATCCAAGCCATTGTCTGAAAAATTTCATCACTACATTTCAGACAACAACAACACATAAAAACTCAATGGAAGTACAAGAAGAAGATTTCAAGATCATGTTTTCAAAACCTGAGGACCGGTTCCCATATCAGGAGCTGGAACATCGGTATGAATCCCGATGAGATCATGGATCTTCTGAGTGAAAACTCGAGTCAAACGTTCGAGTTCGGAGATACTTAGCTGGCTCGGGTCACAACCGATTCCTCCTTTGGCTCCTCCATAAGGTATCTTAGCCACTGCTGTTTTCCATGTCATGAGTTGAGCCAAAGCGTTTACTTCATCCGGTTCGACCTGTCGATAACCGAAATCTCGTTTAGTTCATGCCAATATTGAATTTGGTTTGGTTTGATGTGAAAAAAACAGAGTAAATAAAACAAACCTCTGGATGATATCTGATTCCACCTTTCATGGGACCTCTTGCATTGTCGTGTTGAACTCTGAATCCAACAAACGATGCAAGAGTTCCATCATCTTTCGGTATGGTACATTCCACCTGCAATGTTTGGTTACTTCCGGTTTAATGATCTTGAAACGGATCGGAAGAAGAAAACAGAGGAATAATAAATCGAACCTTGATCTCTCTGAAGGGAATGAGAAGACTTTTCTCGAGCTTTGAGTCTAAACCAAGAAGCCTAGAAGCTAGCTTGAAGTTTCTGTTGGTTGCTGCTAAAGCATTCATGGCTTTCTTCTCTCTTTTTTAATTTGGGTTTATTTGATCAGAGAGACTCTAATATGAAAAACAGTTGGAAAAATGTGATTCTTGCTTATGTTATTGCAAGTGTATTTATATAGAGAGATACGTACACACTTTGTGTTGATGTGTTAAGGAATATGAGAATGAAAATTTTGTTATTTATTTAAAATAAAAGAGAAATTATATAAGGAATATGAATAACCAAATAAGATGATACCCATAATTGATCCTGATTTGAGTATTCATAATACTATCATGTGTCTATTTAGAAAAGTTTTCAGACACAACAATAATAAAAAGTTTATAGAAATTGTACATGTCTTCCATGTGTATAAATTAGATCAGAATAATGGAATATTCATTAATGAAAACGAAATCCGTAGACTAATCAAGCAGAATAAATATATTCTTTTCATTCCAAAAATATCAGAACAAAAAATAGGAAAATTAAAATCAAGATTCCACAGGATTATAAATATTACATGGATGAAAGAGATAAGCTCGTAAAATTTATCTAATTGTGTCACACTATGTCATTTTATTCATTTTAAATCCAGATTAATCAAATATTAATGAAAACTAAATATAACATTTCGTATTACTTAGTACCTAATAAGCAACCTCTACATCATATTGTTTCTCATTTTTTTTTAAATATAAGAAAATATGAATACAGTAATGGTCTAGCATGCACTAGACCAGATGAACTATACTCGTGCATGAAAATTATTGTCGTCAAACTCAAATTGTAAGACGTTAATGTGGCACGATAATCTTTTGTTTTATTAGATACAATTATATATATTTTTAATCATTTACATATTTGTGATATACGACCCGAAATGAATCTTGCATGTCATAAGATCTTTACGTGTTATTAACTTATTCTATTCTAGTTGCCCCCTACACATATATAGCGTATACACTTTTGTGAGTGGTGACAAAAAAACGTATGCACTTTAGTGAGCTAGTGGAAAAAAACGTATAAACTTATTACACACATACAATATTCCGCTTTAATTGAAAATATTCTACGCATATATGTTTTTTTAGATAGTCAAATCAGAATCTTTTTGGAATTAGAGGAGGACACGAGAGGATGCAACAAATCAAGAAACATATAGAATTACAAGATTCCACCACCAAAGAATCTTTTGGAAAAGAGATTCCCCATGATTTATGCTTCCACTAATATAATTGATTTATTGTGGATTTCCACCAAGATTTCTTTGATCTCTTTCAATTTCCAAAAGAAGATATCAATTTTGTAATAACAACATTGACCGTAATCAAAAAAAAAAAAAAAAAAAAACATTGACCGTAATCTAGTGTTTCTAAATTTGAACTCACCCTCTTTGGTCAAACCAATATATATAAGTAATAGCCCAATATGAAATCCGGTTCATGGTAGCTAATGTCAAGGATTTAGTATTTTTAAAACGTTATGCATTAGCTTTATATCACTTTTTAATAAATGATAAAAAAAAACAACTCAAACAAATATACATAACCAGTTGGGGTTTTCTCCTAAAAGGCCATTCCCTAATAAACAAACTACGAAAAGCTAAAAATGTATTTTAAATATTAAAAAGTCTAAAATCAAACCTAAAATTCAAAAATCAATTCAAGGGCATAATTGTCCTATAAAATTACCTCATAAACTATATACAGTATTCGTTTAAAAATCCTACCAAAAAAAAATATATTCGTTTAAAAAGAAAAACCCAGTTAACTACGGCCTTAAAATTATGGGCTTTGAAGCCCAACAATATCTAAGTGAAAAACTAAACTCTTGTTAATGCTACTCCATCTGTAATTGCTAAATGATCTCAAGTAAAAAGTCTTGAGGGACAAAGTCTCATTATTACCATCACCCGCATCGTTCTCTTCTCTCCATCTGTCTGCCACTCCATTAATGTCGGTTCCCATTTTCCCACTCAAAATGACCCCAAGAAACCCGAGGAGATGGAAAAAGGCGAAAGGTAAAAAGCACTGGAACAAGCTTAAGAAAACTCTCCCCTTTCTTCGAGCACATCGATTCCAAGGTAATTATTTTCTCAATGCCATGGAAAAGGAAGAATTTTTGGTTCCTCTTTCATGTAATCTACTCGTTAAAATCTGTGATTCTCTTGGTGGGCTTAGAGAAAATGACTTCCATTTTAGAGTGACCATTTCATAAATCATGAGTTGTCAGAAGAATTTGAATTTAGTTGGTTTTGTTGATCTTTCTTCTGGAGCTGCTATGAAATTTTAGATTTAGTTTGGCTATGATTCTGGCATTTAGAAACCTATTTCTTTATGAAAGGACTTACATTTTCTAGCCACAAGATCATAGTTATCATCTCTTGGTCTTCCGGTTTATGTTAGAGGAACATACTCTCAGTAACGAGGTTACTTTGTTCTGTTTTATTGGATTGTAGGAAACTTTCTTTTGCTCTATTGAGAATCAGTGTTTCCTGTTGTGAACCTTTTTCTATACCTTTGAAATTTTTCAAGAAGACTGGTCATGGTAATGTTTTTTGAACATGTCTTTGCAGATTGAATGCAGTTTCTGGTGGTTTAGTTTCTCTGAGTTTTGGTTATAGATCAGATTAACCGGCAGAGTTTTGAGAATGTCGACAGTGGGAAATTCGACAAACATATTTTGGCAAGAATCACCCATTGGGAAAACTGAAAGGCAGAAGTTGTTAAACCAGAAGGGTTGTGTGGTGTGGATCACAGGGCTCAGTGGCTCAGGTCAATCTTCTTAGCAATCTTAATTCTTTTCCCATTGTGATGATTACTTGAGGTGGCTTCTTTATGCCTCTGTATATATTCTAAAATCTTAGGCTGAAACTTTGTGCAGGGAAAAGCACGTTAGCTTGCTCGCTGAGTAGAGAGCTGAACAACCGGGGAAAGCTATCATACATTCTTGATGGCGACAATCTTCGTCATGGTTTGAACAAAGATCTTGGTTTCAAGGCAGAGGATAGAGTGGAAAATATACGCAGGGTCGGTAAGTACATAGTTGCTTATTATTTTTTGCATTCAGTTGATGAAAGTCTGATTCCGAAGAAAGTCAGTAATACAAATGCAAATCCTTTAAAAGGGTGTCTCATAATATCAGTAGTTATGGTTTACATAGTACCAATACGGCATTGATATACACCTAAAAGCTGATAGATTCTGGTTAATGTTGAAAAGAAACTTCTGTAAAGGGCAATACTAAAGAAGACGAACAATTTGTTCTAAATGCAGGAGAAGTAGCCAAACTCTTTGCAGATGCTGGTTTGATCTGTATTGCCAGCCTCATATCCCCGTATAGAAAAGACCGTGATGCCTGCAGGGAAATGATGCAGGATTCATCTTTTATTGAGGCAAGCTATTCGAAACCAGACTTTACAGTTGTAACCCCCATTCTGTTGGATCTTAAAAACATCTTGTTTGATATTGTGGCATAATAAACTTGTTAGGTTTTCATGAACATGTCTCTGCAATTGTGTGAAGCAAGAGACCCTAAAGGCCTATACAAGCTTGCACGTGCAGGGAAGATCAAAGGTGAGATAACATAAGCTTCAAGGTTCCATATAATCAGAAGATAGCAATTTGCTTCAATATCATTTGTGTTGTTATATAAAAGTTTTTGTTTCTTCATACCCTTTTGTGAAGGTTTCACTGGAATAGATGATCCGTATGAATCTCCCTTGAATTGTGAGGTATAATCCATGTGAATATATGATTCTTCTTCAAGAATATGGCGAACTAAACACTATCTTGCATGTGTGTGAAATATGCTAATCTGCTTTTGTATATATGTTTTGAAACCTAACAGATAGAGCTGAAAGAGAAAGAGGGAGAGTGTCCTTCCCCTGTAGCTATGGCTGAGGAAGTCATCTCTTATTTGGAAGACAAAGGTTTCCTCCAAAACGAGTAAATCCATTATACTCTAACGGCTGAGATTTGTTTTTCCTTTTACTTTTATGGGTGTTCTCTGTTTATTACTTTCCTGAAACAGTGCAAATTCTTAAGAAGTTTCAACTAATGAAGACATATATAGCTTCTTCTCCTTGTTCCGATACTTATCATCTTTTGTACACTGAAACACTAGTCATTCAACACCAGAATTTGATCCTATACAACAACAAGAGCCATGGCAGTGTTTTCCTTGTTAAATACTAAGATACAACGATTATAACAAGACAAACCAATTTATTCAGAAATGATAATTACGTTAGTCAATAAAATAGATTCAGTAAAAACTCTAGATCTTATTTGAATAGTTCTTAAAAGTAAAGGGTTCTATTTGCAATTTCCCTAAATTTTAGATCCTGAGTTCTGCAATATAAAAAAAGAACAAAACAAAACACGATCACGGGGCAATTTTGAGACAAAAATGGTGCTGAATAGTCGATTGGTGGAGACAACAGTGAATCTATCGGCGGATCTCTGGCAATATGTAGCATGTAACCCCGAGAGACTTCCTCGGGCCACCGTCCTTCATTTTATCTTCGGCATCCCTCTCCTCCAACTCCGTCGTCTCGCTTCCTCTCTCGGATCATACCTCTGCTTCGATTCCGGCGCCGGAGTCGATCGCCGTACTCATTCCGATTAATTTCCCGGCGCAGTTTCAACGGAAATTTGATCCTTTGATTCCTTCGTCTGTTAATTTTTCGACTTTTGTGTTTGTAATTTGTTTGTTTGTAAACCGAAAGGGACATCAATAAATTAAATACCAGAAATAACCGGGAAATTTAAAACCAAACCGGATTGTGAGGAATTGTCGTTAGATAGAGAGAAAAAAAAACAGAGAGACGTGTAAATCAAAGAATATCGAAGGTTTCGTGAGGAAGAAAGATGAAGTCGCTTGTGGCTCATTTCTCAACGCCTTTAATCACCTCCAGATTTGTTCCTACATGTCTCGTTCATCGACCTTCAATCTCCGCCGTCAATTTTCCCACCGTCCGCCGCCGATATTCTCCTTTCACCATGGCCTCAGCAGCTCAGTCTTCTTCTCAGGTATCTATCTGGGAAATTCTAGGTTTGGTGTGTTATTGATAAATCTGTGTTCTGATTTTTGATTGTAGTGTGTGGGTTTTATTGGTATAGTTCAAAAAAATCAGTGAATCTGTATCTTGATGTGGCTCGTTGATCTGTCATATGTGCGCCGATTAGTTTTATATGAAAGAAAAGTTCGAATCTTTGCTTTCCCCGTAATCATTTTGATTTTATGTCTCATTTTGTTCTGTATGGTTTCATGTATTTGGAAGTTAGATCAATGTGCTTTGAGTTCAATAGTTGAAAACCTCTAAACTTTGTGTCTTATACTTCTACTAATCAGGCTGTATCATCGGGGAGTGTCAACAGTGATACAGATGTTTTCAAATTGATTCAAGCTCACGAGGTAACTAATTTGCCAATTTTGTAACCTTTCTCTATGAATATATCTATCTATATGATTTGATTGATCATCATTCATGTTCTCAAGGCGATGTGAAGACAGTTAACTTGGTTTTGTAAGAGATGGGTTTAACTATATTTCTATGTGGTCGTCTGATTTCCAGGAGAAGGCTGCTCGTCTTTCTCCAGTTGACGAAATCCGGACTGTTCTTAATGGTAGTGTCCGTGGTATGCTTTCCACTTTTTCTCAGGTGAGCAATTAAGTTGTTTTCTTCTATGAATATGGTTTCTCAGAGAGGAGATGAAGGATATATATGTACACCGATGTCCTAGGATTATGGTTATTGGTCACCGGTTATCTCATTTATCATAATTTTGATCTGGTGCAGAAATATGAGGGTTATCCTTCAGGGTCAATGATTGATTTTGCATGTGATGCTGATGGTTCTCCGATTCTGGCAGTTAGTAGTTTGGCTGTTCATACAAAGGTTTGTTTCTTTCTTATTCAAGGACTTATGATTATTCATCTCTGTTTCTGCAATTTGGAGCTGATTGAGCGATAGTTTACAAACTAATAATGTGTGGATTAGCGAACTGATGCCGGAAGCAAAGTAAAAGAGCCATTGTCTATTTCTTCAGATTTAGATGTCTTGGCCATATAACCCAAATGGAGAATTTCTGTCGTTTGCAGGATCTGTTAGCTAATCCAAAATGCTCATTACTAATTGCTAGAGACCCAGAGGATAGGACCGGGTTGAGGATCACCCTACATGGTGATGCAGTGTTGGTATGTTTTTTGCTGTGTTGCATTGTATACACTTGCATTCAAATACAAAGCCAATGCTTGAATTTTTCTCTATGTATCATTTAGGTTTCTGAAAAAGATCAAGCGGCTGTTCGATCTGCCTATTTAGCCAAGCATCCCAGTGCTTTCTGGGTAACCACTCTTTCTTGTACTGACTAAAAAGTATAGAACCTCCCAAAGACAAAATGTATCATAACATCTCAAGTAGTTAACTGAACCTTTTCTTCTTGAAACTTTGAAGGTTGATTTCGGGGACTTCAGTTTTATGCGAATCGAACCGAAAGTGGTCAGATATGTTTCAGGGATTGCAACTGCTTTTCTAGGATCTGGAGGTATCTTTTCTGCTTCATCTTATAAATATCCTATCTTTTGCGATCCAATTAGGTGATCCTGCTAAATTTTTTACTTAACTCTTTAAAATCTCTATTTCCAGAATTCAGCAAAGAGAAGTACCAAGCAGCCAAAGTCGATCCTATAGCTCAGTATGCAAAGCCTGTAACGGTATAACAATCATATCCCCAGTACAATTTTTATCAACATATCGGCGGTGGATGTGTACTAACTCCTAATAATTTCGGCAGTCTCACATGAATAAAGACCATGAAGAGGATACCAAAGCCATAGTACACAATGTGACGTCCATACCTGTAAGTAATACTACTGAATTTATCGTCTTAATCTTGGTCTACATAAACCATACGTAATGAACATTTAATTATATGAAGTCTGGTTAGTCCTAGGACTGTTTGTCTTCGAGAGACGATCATACCATACCGATATATTCCCAAACATCACAATTAAACTGTAGAATGTGTAAACTTCCTTAAATGTCAGGTGGAGAGCGCCTTGATGCTTGATTTGGACAGCCTTGGTTTCAACGTTAAGGTGTGTTTTCTAATAATCGGAATCCTTATTCGAATCCTTTATCTTTCAATTTATGAAACATATGTCCTCTTCTTCATTACAGGCTAGTCTTCAAGGGAATACCTTCAAGCTCCGAGTTCCATTCCCAAGACGCGCACAAGACAGGAAGTAAGATCTATGTTGCAATTTTGTGCCCAGTTTTGGTCTAGAGTTAAAAGTACTGATTCCCTTATTAGACTGTTGCAAAACTGATTGAGTAACTCTTGAATGGTGGTGTTGCTTGCAGGGATGTGAAGACACTAATAGTGGAAATGCTTCAAGCTGCTAAGCCTATTCCCAATTAGTTTGCTAAAAAAAAGATGGAAAAGCTCTCTCTACTATCTGAATCCTGCTACAACAAAAGAAGCTTCTTCCTTTACACCTTCCTTATCGTATCCGCTGCAAAAGAACACTCATTTAGTCATGTAAATAACTAGTATATAAATGAAGATTTATGAAGTTGTATTGGCACTCATGTATGCTTAATTTCAGGAAAGTTTACTAGTAGTTGACTTTTTCATCTTTTCTCAGTCATACCCAGTGATCGATTCTCATTTGAAAAACAAATTGTAACAGATTTGTCATTGTTCCATCACAAAGAAAATGAAGATAGTACATGTCATACAATGATGAAGTTATGCGAAATAGGACAACAGTACATTATCTGAAACAATAGATTTTGATAGAGTTACAAGTTACAACAAGAACATACATTGTCACAAAAGAAATGATATTTCTTTGTGAATTCAAAATGCTCAACCGAATAATTTCATCTAAAATACTTTTTTAAGATTGCTTAGGTAAACCCACGAAAGTTAGCTTAGATCAATACGCAAACATTTCTAATAAACTAATCTTAAAACATGTCAATCTGAATCAGTCTCCATATTTCCCATAGCTTTTAGCCCTCTTGCTCGCCTCTGCAACACACACACACACATCATCATATCTTTAGCAAAATTACACAAATGTTTATCTCAACCACTATATGTAGAATCACAGGAATAAAAATGATAAAAGTTCATACCTTCTTAGAGCTCTTCTTCACCCTAACATCATATCTATCTGGGCACAAATCAGCCAACCATGTTCCAGGACTCACCAACTGTAGATATGTCCAACCAAAACATAATTCTCAAAACTGTAGACAGACAACTGAAGAATCTTCAAAACCCTTTTTGAAACGACAAGAAAAGGAGTATTGAAAACTCACAAGTAAGCTTCTTTGGATGAGTTTGGCTCTCTTCTTAGGCCTATGAGAAGGTTTGCAACCTTTCATAGCCATGAAATCTTCTTCTTTCTCTTTGTTTGACAATGTTATAAACAGCTTAGGCCACATACTCTCTTCCTTGTTGTTGCTATCTTCTCCATTGTTGTTTTCATCTAAACAAACTTTCCCAATGTTATCAACTACACCTCTCGTCGTATAATACCTCTCTTCTTTCTCCGGCCGGCGATCTGGTAGTCCAGATCTGAGGATTGCTCCTTCTGATCCTCTACAAAAAATCAGAAAACCCACCAAGAAATTGTGAGTCTTTGGCTCAATTTCACAGCAATAAAGGAATAACTTTTGAATCAAAATTTACCTGGAGAATCTAGAGGATTGAAGGAGGAAGGTATCTTGACCTAGAAAGCGAGAAGAGTTTTTAGAGCGAGAGATCTTTTTGTCTTTGGCTCTAAGACATCTTAATCTCTTCTTGTTTCCCCACTGTAAGAAGATTTCTTGTTCTAACGATGACGACATTTTTGAAGCTATCTCTCTGATCGTCCCCAACTGAAGAATTTATCCAAAAAGTGAGGATTTTCAATGTTGGGAACTGAAAAAAAAAAATCAAAAGAGAAATTGATTCAAATTGAGGAGGATGAAATTCCCACGAAAAAAATGTGAAATTTCTCCGAAAAATCAGAGAAAGAAGCGTGAGCTCGGGGAATTGTTCTCAATTTACCTTTTGTCAGGAGGATCCAGAAGTTCCGGTGAATCTGATTTGGCAAACACAGATCGATGATTTACTCGGTGAAGAAAGGAAGAGGAGATTCTGATGAATTCTAAGACGTCAGACGAGTAAGACCACCGTAGTCGCTAATTTCTCCGGCGGGTTTAACGAAACTGACCAGAAGCGTCTCTCTCTTTCTCTCTCGACTCTGTAAATGGGAGGCAAAAGGTGGTTTATAGACCTTTAGGGCATCTCCTTGGGATCATTATTAACCGTTCGATTATAAAATTGACGGTCCGATTTGAGATTCAGTGACAATTTACGGTCTAGCCCTTTTTCACAGTGGCAAATGACTTTTAAACTAAAACGAGATAAATTACCAATTTTAAGAGATACAAAGAAAGATAAACTATTTTCTGATTCTTTTCCCAAAAAAAAAAACCATTTTTTTGGTAACATTCAACTATACTCATATCTTTATAAAAAAAATTATAATTGAAGACTTGAAGTATGACTTTATGAAGATTCAAGGAAAACAATATTTGAACAATATAATATAAATTTACAAAACGTTACACTACATGAAATTAATATAAAAAATAAAAACTACATGAAATTTCACAATGATATATTAACAACACATAATTAATCAATATTTGAACAAAATAATATAAATTTACAAAACGTTACACTACATTCATGTATGTACATTATGAAGCTTGTGGGTGAATAAAACTCGATCTGAACCGTATGAACTATTATGAAGGCTGAGATTCAAAGTCCATCGTAGTGACCCCCAAAAGATATTTGAGCTCTTACGACAGGAACACCTTTCATACCAAAGATTGCTTCATTGAGCTTTGTTGCATGATTCACAACTTCTTTCATCCTCTGCATCCACCAATAATCAAACAAAATTATAAATCCACGTAGAAATAGAGATTGGTGAAGTATTGATGATCAACAAATTAGTGATTACTAGTTTATGTTTTAAAATGTTATACTACTACAAGCATGTTTAAACAGTTATCAAGTAGTATGTTATTGTAATGCTTTCATTTTTTTTTTGGTTTAATGTTAAACTTGTAATGCTTTAATTAGTAATTGGATATGTCTTTAATGGGGTTTCTTACATGGATGCTATATTTAGCAAACGAAGAAAAATTCTTCCTATCACTTTGACGTTAGCACAAGAAACAATCAGAAAACAAAACGTACAAAGATAAAATAAGAATCGTTCTCTTCAATTTTAAAGATTGTTCACTTAAACACGTAAACTTCACCTTATCATTTTGTCAGATTAATATATTCAAAACTTCTTTCTATAATTTAATCAAAAGTTATCTCAATCAGTTAATCATACAATTTATAGAATAAATCAAAATTATAACTTTTATTACCATTAAGCAGACAGATACCAACTGCTCGTCATGAACCATTAACATCAGAAAATAATTTTCTACCATCCCTTTTCACTATTTTGATTCATCAGAAACTACTCAACTAAAACCAATAATTTTTCACTAAATTATTTAACTAAGAACATTCAAAGATGAAAATAATTGAAATAAGGACATAATTTTAATAAAATCAGTTTACCTTATTATCATCGGAGTAAATCTGGAACCTAAGCATCTGGTTCTTGTTCTTACAGATTTTGATATTGTTGTGTCCGAGGAAGAAGACACATACAGTAGCAGCAGCTGCTGCGACCCCAAAAGAACAGATTGCTCCAATCCCATTGAGACCAGCCTTCCACAGATTCAATCTCTCACCACCACTACCATCTTCATCTTCTTCCTCCAAAACAACTTCTTTCTTGTCTCGCAAGTCATCTCCTCCTTCTAAATCAGAGGGTTTCGATGCAGCAGCATCGATCTGAGGCAGAGGACTCGTGATCCTCGTTGGTGGGTCAATTTTCATGTCGGCAAATTCAGTCTCCTTCATTATCTTGAAGGAAACTCTAGGTGACGAAACAAAGTCCGTCGAAAGGGTTTGTTTTGAATCCGGATCTGGATCCGTTTCACGGTTATTGGGTTTCTTTGTGTTGTCTTGGTCCAAAACGGCTTCCCAGGCTATGGGAACTTGAAGAAGCTTTTTAGGGACCACTATGGTTCTTGGAGGAGACTCTGTTTTTGGGAGAGGATCTTTAGTAGATGGGCAGAGGAAGTAGTCCATTACCATCGCTCCATGATGATCCTCGTCATGATCAAGATCAAGATCCTTGAAGCTGTTATTGGGGAGTACTAATTCCCAATCCTCGAGATCCATCTTCTCCGTGATCGATCTTGTTGGAACTTCAATTAGGGTTTTAGAAATTAGAAAAGAAAGAAAGTGAAATCTTTTGAATTATTGGAACGAAGTGGGTTCGGTATTCTCAAGGAGTAACATCTCTCTCTCTCTATATCTCTTTCTTTCTCTCTCCCATGTGAAGGGGTTTCAAGATCCTTTAATAGAAGACAAGACAGAAGATTCAAACTAGTTTTGAGAATGTTTGGATTAATAATAATAATTGAGAGAAATTGGTTTGAGACCCTAATTTCGTTTCTTAAATGAAGAAACACACAATATGCTTTGAAAAAATTTAGCTTGATTAATGCGTGTGGTATAACATCAATAAGCTCTTAATTTTAAATTTTTAATTAGAATAAAGAAATATCATTTTGTAAACATAGATTGATATTATTTGAAGTGGACACATATATAATTTTATCTAAAAAACGTATTGTTTTGATAAAAAAAAAGGAAATATATTGATTTGAAGATGTGGGTGACGAAAGTGAATCAGAGCTTATCTAACGCAATGAAGTGACAAAAGAAGAAGTGGTCCTTTGGGGACCCATTCGAAGAACCATTGATTGCCTTCTTTGACAAGGTCCTTAATTCTTCCTATATTCAAATCATTCTTTGGATCACTAGGTTTTCGATTAGACCGATCATATATAATAATTTGTTCAAATAAAATGGAATAGTAAAATGTGAGTCGCTTACATATTTATTTCTTTATATCTATCTAGCTAAGACGTGAATTAGTTTTGGATAAGGTTTAGTTCTATCGATGATATCATGTTGTATGAAGTAAGGGGATTACGAAGAATCTTTCGTACTAAATGTCACACTAGTAATAAAAGAAATGCGAATAAATTAGTTTGGTGTTTGAGTTCACTACAAAATTCAATGGAAACATTTCTGAGGCATATGAAGACCACGGCTAATTTTTAAAATGACTAATTAAAGTTGAAATAATTTGAATGGGTACCTTGTATCTTAATAAAAATTTGAAAACTACACCATAATTTTAAAATATTTGAAACATACCTTATTTGTTTCCTAAAATGACATTTTTGCCCTTAATCACTAATTAAAAAAACAGAAAATAAAAATAAAATAAATTGATTAATTAGTTATATAAACTATATTATTTTTATATTAAAATTAAACTTGTTCATATTTAGAAAAAAAACAGATACTCGAAATATTTTAGAGAAAATTTTTTTATCACATTTTTTGTTTTTTTTGTTATAGATATTTTGTTTTAATTATTTTATATCCAAATTTTAGATAATGATATATTTAAGTAAGATAATATCCAAAAAAAATAAAAATAACTCAAAAGTCGATTGTCTTCAACGACGCCTGGTTCTCTCACGACTGTGACGCCTCCATCATCATCAACTTCATGGTTTCGTGGTCAATCTAAATTTGTTTTAAATTAAGAAAATATTATATATTAAATTATGTAGGTACGAAAAATTAAATTGAAATAAATTTATAAATTTTAAATATATAATAAATATTATCTAGATTTATTGTTATTTAAATACAATATATTTCTTCATAGTAATTACAAATATAATTATATAACTTAAATTATATCATTTGAATTATTAAATAATTATTTGAAAATTATAGCCAAACAATAATTATCTAATTTTTTTAAAAAAAAATCAGTAGTTCAAAAAGTCCACAATGTAAAATATCAATGAACCAAAATATAAATCGATTGTTTTAATATAAGTCGATAGAAAAAAAAAATTAAGTCGATTAAAATAAAATATAAGTCGACGGTTCAAAAAGTCTACTTTATTAATAAATCAACGGAAAGTATAATAAATCTTCCAAGAATAAATAAGTCAATGAAAAAAATTATAAAATCAACAATAATAATAAATAAGTCAACAGTTTAAAAAGTCGTCTATGTAAAAAACCAATCACCAAAAATATAAGTCTACTGTTTTAAAAGAAATCGATAGAAAATAAATTTAGTCGACGGAAATGAAATATAAGTCGTGAGTTAAAAAAATCGACTTTATTAATAAGTCAACTTAAAATGAAGTAAATCTATCATGAATAAACAAGTCGACAAAAAAAAATTATAAATCGACGAACAAAAATATTAAGTCAATAGTTAAAAAAATCGACTATGTTATAAATCAATGAGCCAAAACATAAGTCGACTGTTTTAATAAAAATCGAAGAAGCAAAAAATTAAGTCAACAGAAGTAAAAAATAAGTCGTTAGTTAAAAAAGTCTATTTTATTAATAAATCAACATAAAATGAAATAAGTCTACAGAAAAATATGGAGGAAAAAATATAAATTATTATTTTATTTATTATAAATTTTATAATTTAAAATTACTTCATTTTAATAAATTATGAATATAAATAATAGTATCAACAATAATTTTTTTTTTATTCAAAATTTTAGATTAAGATTAAAGTAACCATTGTAAATACTTTTTAAAATATTTTTTCATAATGTTTTATTATTAAAAAATTAATTACGTTTAAAATTAATATTTTAAAATATATCGTTAAAAATTAGTTTTAGATTTAATTTTTATAATTTAAAATTAATATTTAAATAATACTTAAACTATTGTAAAGGGTATTATGGTCAATTTTTAACAAGAAAATAGTAGTTCTCAAATTACTATAAAATTGGGTATAATTTTAAAATTTCTTATTATATTTAGTATAGTTATAAAAATCTCCCATTAAAGTTTCTAAAGAAGGCTTTCGAGATTAAAAAAAAACTTTAAAAATCATAAATGGAGCTGTGATTTTTTTTATTTTTTATTTATAAAATTATTACTTCTTATATAGTTATATTGTCCTTGAAGAAACCAAAGTGATTATTCTTCTTACCTTTTTATTCAACTTTTGAAACTCTGCAAATTATTCCATATGTTTCTGCTTTGTTCTTTAATTTTGTTCCCTACTTTTGGACATTTAAGTTTGATTCCTTGTTTTTGTCTTGATGCTGTATGTAGTGAAATGTATATTACAGGTTTACTATAAAAGAAACAGAAAATATATCTGACTCAATCAGAACTCAGAACCATGACCCAATAGAAAACCAATTGATGATACCATACTAAACCAAACCGACATATCCTCAGTTTCAATTCTATGTGATATCCTACAATGCAACCTGCACATGATGATAATGTACCATACCATGAAACCATGGTGGAGCCAACCAAACTCGAACAGACATTACAAGACAAAGCTGCGTAAGAAATTCAGACAAATTTTAGCTGACTCAATCAAATTCAGTAAAAGAAATGAGGCCAAAACAGACATCTCAAATTTATAGAACAAAAAAGGGAGAAAGATATTCACAAACAGAAGCAAAGCTGTTCCTGGATTTACAAGCTTCGTTGCAGACAAATCAAACTCAAAAAAGTCATAACAGGGGTTTCATTAAAGGAACTCTCAGATTTCCAGAACACACTTAAAGCTCATCTCTTCCCAATGCTGACAGGATCTTACAGGTGGGTTTTGATTTTCACCCTTAAGATCAGGATTGGTCTGATGAAGTTTGGCCTAGAGAGACAGATGCCAGCGATGAAGCCCAGGCTTGTGCGTTCTTTGCCCTTTCATGGAAGTTTCTTGTTTTAATGAGTCTTAGTTTCAACCATAACCTCCTCACATCGACCATATGAAGACCACGGCTGAACAGTTGGCTTATCTCTCCAAATCTTTCCAGGTTCAGATTGGGAACATAAGAATCCCATAACGCTTTCATGCGGGATTCAGCTATGGGGAAGACGAGGATTGCCATTTGTAAACAGATAAACAGCAGAGATAGTACCAAGAACGGATCTTGTTTGAATATTTCTCTGATAGATGTCCCATTGCGCAACCATGTGATCAAGTTACCATCGCCGACGTCTAAGCCTGTTGGTTCCCCTTCAGCCACATACTGGACAGGTTGGAGACCTGGAAAGCCAGAAGAACAATCAGTTCTTTTTAAATCTTTCAACCCGAAATGTGCTAGTCATAGCTTGGACATAAAACAAAGACTATTCAGGTAGATTCAAAGAAATCACAAGCAGACTATGTGGTTTTGGTGTATCACCTGTTGCCTCTTCATAAAACTCAATCAGGGATGTAAGATCCTTTCGACCATGGTACCGAGCCTTTAAAGTTTGATTCACCATCAGGATTGAAGGTAAGCTATGGATACCATACCGAGAAAAGACACTGCAACAAAGCAATTAATAAAACCAGTTAGTAAGACAAAAGAAAAGGCCAAACATATGAAGAAACCTAAAAGTACTTAGGAGAGGAACCCACTAGGAGTCTAGGAACCTAAATGAATATTTGTTCATGAAATGTAAGATAAAGCAACAGCAAACACACATGACCTTCTATTAAAATGAAAAGAGTAACCACCTTATATGAGTCAATTTATTAAAAATCTGACAAACCATTTAAGAATATCTACTCTCAACTTAACTATCAGTAGCCAAATTCTTGATGTGAGTCATTCAATCCACTTCCTTGCTGTATACTAAGTAGTATGAAAATATAATAATAGACTATGTAGTCTTTCGACAAATAGTACTAAAAGACTTCTTACGATGGCAGTGCTTGAGAATGCTCCACAGTTAGATGCTGTATTTGAGGAAACATCGAACTCAACATATCAAACTTAGGGCGCAGAGCACGTGAAAATGGGCACCAGGAAGCATAAAAGAGTACTGACATATAAGCATTTCCATGATTAGAAGCCATAAGCCTGTCCAGTGAGTCTCCATCTACCTGCATAGTGCAAATTTAGATACTGCTTTAGTTAAGAATAAAGCTTTAGATCAAACTTCATGCCCTTATTCAAATTTTGCTATATCATCTTTGGGGACAGAGCAGCTACTAAACAATATCAATTATAAGAGCATTAAACTCTGAACCTAAACAGAGTCTAGATGAAGTGACAAAATTGGTAAATATGATACTGCTGACATGTATAAAGAAATGGATTGTGCCTAGTTATTATACATTAGACGACACTAATAAAAACATCAAAACAGCACAATACACAAAGGAGCATTGAAAAACATTGGTGACGTTTGGCTATAAGTCTAGAGCATGACTTAAGTAAGTTTCAATACTTGAAACCATTGGTCCAATACTTTCAAGTCACAGTAGGTAAGATGATAATCCAAACTTGAAGAACAAGAGGAAGAATCTGAGCTTCAACTTCAATAGTTATCAAAATCCTTCAATGATCCTAATTCCTTTGCATTGTAAGAGTAGTCTAATCCGCATAGATATAAGTTACATAATGAGAATAGCCGAAAATTATGAGAAACGTACCTCAATAGGAGGACTAGGATACAGAGAAGGAGGACATTTCGCCTCTAAATCGAATCGAAACACCTCGAATTCGTAATTGCAGACAGAGAAGTCCACTTGGGATGAAGCGGACCCAGACGTAAAGCATGACACAGCTATCGCACAGACGAAGAGAATCGAAACGCGAGAATCCATGAAACTTGAGGTAGTTCAAGAGAGAGAAAAACTAGGATCCTAATAAATCTCAAGGCAAAAACCAAGAAAAAAGATAACGAAATTGCAAAATTAAGGTTAAAGAAACTGCAAAATTCGAGAAGGAAAGTGAAACAAAGGTAGAATCAAGACCGAAACGATGAAGATAACGAGAAAACTAAGCTATGAACAAAACCTAATTTTACAATTTGGGGAAATATCGGATCCGAAAATTCACTAATTATTCTATATCTATATATATATTTGTGAAGAAACAACAGATCGAAAAACGCCAAAAGTTGGAAAATCTTATGAGAAGCTAGCTATTCGTCTCGTTCGATGTGTATCTGATATTGGATTTAAATAGCACCACCCGATCTTAAATATTCTGGAGCACCATTTAATTCTGCTTTGTTCAATGAGAAAAAATATTAAAAAAAATTCCAGATATTTTACTCATTTAACATTGTAAGTGAGAAAGTATAAATGGAAAACGTGACTTAATAGTTTCAATTCTAAGAAAAAAAAAATTTTAACATTTGAGTTTTTTTTTTTTTTTACAACTCTATATGTTTTTATTTTTTTTGTTAAAGGATCTTTCTGTTTTTAATTTTTGTTATCCATTAATTTTCCTTGTTTCTATAATTCTTTTCCCAAAATATGATATAATGCCATAGTTGACTTTCTTTTTTTGGGGATGGTTATGGACCATAACTTATGGTTCTTTGTTTTACAGGTCAAATTTCTTTGGACAAAACAGGTTAGTTCTATTAATTATGAAAAGTAACAAAGTTAATCAAGATCCTTAAATTTGGGTTTGCAACATATATGGGCCTATAAGAATATGTAAGGCCTTAAATTTGGGTTTAAACTAGTAGTAGCAAACACAAAAATAGCCAAAAAAAAAGAAGAAAAAAGATTTCCGGAATTAAAGTTCGGGGATTTGAACCCGACGTGAATCGAACACGCAACCTTCTGATCTGGAGTCAGACGCGCTACCATTGCGCCACGGATCCGGATATTACATGTAACCTTAACTTTAATTATACTCACAAAAATATATTTTTATGGCGAAAACTTTGATTCTTTACTCTCTGTGTTTACTCATCGACAAACAAACTTATGCTAATTCTACTGATAGTCTGATATGATTGTGCAATCTGATATTTGTATTTATTAGTTTCCCTCAGATTGAGATTGAGAGAGAAACATAATTGTAAAATACATCTTCATTCAAAGATAAAATGTGTACAAGAGAAAGCTTAAATACAAGGTAAACTAAACCAAAGATACTAACCAAACTAAAGTCGGTATATACATTATGAGTTTTTCAATATAACCATAAACAAAACGAATCATATATACATTTACATTGAATAGGTCAATGATTATCAAACCGGTATCTTCAGGACAAGGGATTGTCAAAAACCGCCCATGGGGTGATTGAATCCGAACTCTTCTTTGACCTTAATAAGAAGAGCTTGAAACAAAGGCTGATTTAAGCAAGAAACTGGCACCAAGTATCTCTGCTTCTTTGGGTTTTCGCCGACTCTAAACTGCAAGAAAACCTTTTGGTGCTGAATTTGCTTTGTTAATTCCTACTACAGAGCGACCAAGAATCTTTTTTGCGCTCAAGAAACCTCTCACCAAAGCCATTTCCTTTGTCTGAAAGTCTTGATCTTTGAAACTTCTGATATGAAAGATTGATCAAAGAAAAGGATTCAAGTTTTTGATTGCTTCTTGTTGTTGATGGTACGATGATTGTTGTTCTGTTTTGGGCCATTATATATAGATCTATCAAGTGTTTCAAGGGACATACAAGGACATAGTTTCACATGGTTCTGTCTTTTCAGATTTCTAATCTTCTAAAATAGTAGAAAATGGGGCATGTGCTCTTGTTTCTTCATATTTCCAAAAGGACTCTGTAGCTGAAATTGAATTCTCATCGCCAATTTTTTTCTATAAGAACAAACTTATGTGGGGACATGAAGTTGCTCACCAGCAGAACAAAGAGTCTTTGTCACTAAATAAGTGGTTCTCAACCATATCCAGAAAACGGATCACAATGACAATGCTATAAGTGTGTCCTAAGTTTTTCTGTTTTCCTTTATGTGATGATGAAGTAAATCATAACGTATTAATGGAGGGTCACACATAGTCATATGCTTGACTTAATGAGAGACAAAGGTAACTTCACATCCTCACGAGAAGCAATAAAGTTCTTTGTTTCCATCTTCGTTCTTGAGCCAATCTCAGTTTCAAGATTTGCTGCAATGAAGAGATCTTTTATGACCTTTTACATTTTTGCAGTAACTGATATTTAGATTGCTAAGTCATCAAGGTATATATTTGTTTCGTTTCTTTCATACTTGAACTATTGGATCAAGAAAAATGTTTCCGCAACTTGTAATGATTTGATCTTTGTTATACAAAAATGGCATTCACATTCGAAATTTTCTAATCCTCTAGAACAAACTCTATCAAAAAGGAAAGAGGAGAAAAAATTGTCATCTATTCACATAGAATACTCCTCCATCTCTAGTTTGGATAAAAAAGAAAAATGTTAATGTGTTTTTTTTTGGTTGGATCATCATCTTCATCCTTGGAACTGAGATGTTATACTGATAAAAGTATCTACAGGACAAGGGATTGTCAAGCCGCCCATGGGATGATCAAAACCAAACTCTTCTTCAGATTTGCTTAGAAGATCTTGAAACAGAGGCTGGTTCAAGTATGAGACTGGTACAAAATGTCTCTGCTTCTTCTGGCTCTCACCGACGTACACTGCAAGAAACCCTTTTGGCGGTGCCTTGCTTGTTCTTACTAAAGAGCCGCCAAGAATCTTCTTTGCACTAAAGAGACTTCTCACCAAAGCCATTTTCTTGTCTAGAAGTTTGATTCTTGAAGCTTATGAAGATGTATGGATACAAATGCGGGAGATTCTAGATTGCTTGTAAGTTGATGATGTTAAAGACTTCGTTTCTTCTGTATATATAGATCTGTGAATGAGTTGAAACTTCAAACCTGTCATAAATCAATTGAAAACAATGGTGTCTAAAAGTGTGGGACATACATGAAACAAAGTTTTCCTCACATGGTTATGTTCTCACATTCAAAGCAGAACCATCACAGTTTGTACTCACATAGGACCAAGAGAACAAGATCACATGTACAAGGACATAGATGAAGTTTCTCTGTAATGACTGAATCCATCTAACACACCCCCTGTCACAGTCTTGTCTGCAGAACCTTGATCAATACATGGGACCATATTAGCTAGGCCACAGAAACTTCCATGGTCAGAGTACTCTAACGACACATGTGATTTCATATTACTCTAAAAGTGAATACATTTTTCCTCCAACTTACCGCATAGACAGAGGCTCAAACCAGGTCCAATGGTAACAGCAACAGCAGAGAGATCCTTCTCAGTCAAATTGGCTCTATCAAGTGCGTCTTGCACAACCGGCAACCGATGAATACACAAAACCAAATCAGGAGTTTCCAAACTAAGCTAGTTATTGGTCAAGCAGTCTTCACAAAGTGCGGGGACAAGAGTTTTGAAATCTCTAGAAACCCAACTTTGTCTTTCCCTTCAAAGATTAGCTTCAGTGTCTCATCGCAGAAAATCTCCCTCTTGTCAGCTGGGTTCTGCAACCAAAACCAACACATATGGCATCAAAATTAAGAAAGTAAATAGTATTTCCTAACTTGATACTACTAGAACGTCTCAATGCAATTGCACTTTATCCTGATAAGAGGTTGGTATTTCTGGCTACTTTCTAGGTTCCTAAAGCCAAAAGAGAATGGTATTTGGAGACTTGAAACCATATCATCACAATGGAGAACAAAGCGGATAAAATGAAAGTTGGTGTTTTTAGATACAATTAACATTTATTATTGAGGCCTCTTTTATCATATTTTATTACTTTCAAATAAGACTCTCAATTGTATCTAAAAACACCAAATTTCAGATTGAAGAAATGTTAATTACATTCTCAGCTGGCAAATATAAACAAGACAAAATTTTGTATACAATAAGAAGAAGAAGAAGCATAAATAAAGCTAATCATCTGACGACCTTTTGATTGAGAATTCAGACGGAACTAGTAGTTTTCATTTTCAATTCACTAGCTTCTTTCTTCTTCACATAGACGAACAAAAAGTGAAGTTATAAATATATTATCAGAGGAAGGTAGGAGCTAGATCACTACTATTTTCATTTTATTAGCCAATCAGATCGCTCCATGTCACACCCCTCTCTCACCCATCGCGCGACTTCACGCCCACTCTCACCACTCGCGAGTTGAGCGCGTGTCTCCGTTTTCTGTGGGTGTAAACCCACCAAATCGCCTGTTTTGAAACACACTCGCCCCTTTTTTAAAAAGCCTCGCGTGACTCCGAGAGTTTTTTTTTCCTTTTTTCTTTCTCTCAATACCAATGTAAACCGAACCAAAATCAATTGTTATTTCAAAACCAATGTAAACCAAACCGTTGGAGCTGCCCTGAACATTTCAGAAACTTTTTACACTGGAGCTATCGGCCTCACCGTTTTAACATGCTCGCAAAGAAGAAGATACACACATATGTATGTATAGATCTGAAAATAATAAAATATGATAAAAGAGGCCTTGATTTTGTTTCTCTAAGCAAAAAGGCCCAATTTCGTTTGGGTTGTACTTTAAAAAATGCCCAATTTTAGTTTGGGTTGTGTTAACAAATGACCCATTTTGTTTTTTTTTTGTCCAATCTAACCTTAGTTTAGTAAACAAATGGCCTTGATTTTTTTTTTTGTATATAACAACATCAGATAAACAAAACTTAGTAATCTGTCTAGATCTTTTGTTTGATTCCATCGTTCCTTATCACACAAAACTGGCATTTACATTGTTATTTCTATCTTCTTGATCAAATTTTTCAGTGTTAGCAAATTGTTACATTGTTTTTACAAATGTTAGCAAATTTGATCAAGAAGATATATCTACAGTAATCCATTAGTTTTTTTCCTTTAATGATGATCATCCTTGGATCCGAGAAGTTACGGTGAGGAAGGTATCTTCAGGGCAAGGGATCGTCAAGCCACCCATCGGATGATCATATCCGAACTCCTCCTCGGATTTACTGAGAAGATCTTGAAACAATGGCTGCCTCAAGTATGAGACTGGCACTAAGTATTTCTGCTTCTTCTGGCTCTCTCCTACGTACACTGCAAGAAACCCTTTTGGTGCTGAAGTTGATTTCCTCGTTCCTGCTAACGAGCCTCCAAATATCTTCTTTGCAACAAAGAGACCTCTCACCAAAGCCATTTTTGTTTATAAGTCTTGATCTTTTGAAGCTTAGAGTTCTTAGATTGCTTATTGTTGATGGTTATGAAGATGTTGTTCTGTTTTGGGTCCTTATAAATAGATCAATAAGAGAGTTGAAAATTCTAAGGGATCTTTGAAAACTGTGGGGACGTATATGAATTGAGAGTTTCACATGCTTCTGTCTGCCTTCAAATGCTAATCAGAAATTTATTAATACAATAAATGAAAAATTGGGCCGGTTCTGTTCCATCATGTTTCATTGGTTGGTAATGATTTCTGTCATGTTTCTTCAATTTAAGATGTGGAATATGGATCTCTGTGGTCAAAAACCAGTTTCTGATAGCCAAAACGTCTTCACAACAAAACTATGGTCAGATGGGGCCTGGTTTCAAGTTGTTAAACAACAAGTTTCTATCACAATTTAACCAAGAACACATCACATGACAAAAGCTATATAGTTTGGAAGTTTCTGTGGTCCAGCTACTTTGGTCCCATGTATTGATTAATTTCTCATTGTGTTAAATCTGACTAAGAATCTGCAGACAGACTGTGACTGAGTTAGTTGGATGGATTTTATTATATATCAATCAACGTAGAGAAACTTCTTCTATGTCCTTAACATGTGATCTTGTTCTCTTGGTCCTATGAGAGTACAAATTGTGGAAGCTCTGCTTTAAATGTGATAACAGAACCATGTGAATTTTTTTGTCCTTGTATGTCCTACATTGTTTTCAATGGATTTCAGACACATTTCAACTCATTAGTTTGATCTATATATATACACCCCAGCATCAGAAAGAATATCATCAACCACAAGCAATCCAGATCTTGAATCTCCTTTGCTCTTCCTTTGATCCCATACATATTCAGAAGCTTCAAGAATCAAACACCAGGCAAGAAAATGGCTTTAGTGAGAAGTATCTTCAGTGCAAAGAAGTTTCTTGGCGGCTCCTTAGCAAGAACAAGCAAAGCACCAAAAGGTTTTCTTGCGGTGTACGTCGGTGAGAACCAAGAGAAGAAGCAGAGATACTTTGTACCAATCTCATACTTGAACCAGCCTTCATTTCAGGCTCTTCTGAGTAAAGGCGAAGAAGAATTTGGTTTTGATCATCCAATGGGCGGCTTGACGATTTGTTGTCCTGAATATACTTTTATCAGTATAACTTCTCGGATCAAAGGATGAACAATGATGATTGTCAGTAGGAAAACAACACTTTTATTGTAAATAGATTGACAAATTTTCATCTTATTAACCAAAAGATTTGTTCCGAAGGATAGAAGTTATATTGTCAAAGCCAGTTTTGTGTAAGAAACGATGCTATCAAACATATAACTAAGTTTTGATTGAAAATCAAAATATTTTGAATAAACAAAAGCCCAATAATCTTCCACATATATTGTTCAAATAATTATGTTTTATTACCGATAAAACGTATTTGATTTATTCGATTAAACGAATAAAACTGAAATTTAGCATATACAAATACAACCATACGCCCTCTCGCGAATATAACATTGCACATGACAGTTTTTCTCGCAGTGGATTCCTTGTGGTATGACAAACGATGGTGAAGCTTCATGATCCAACACAAATTGAGAAGTTTAATTCTTCAGGTAATAAACGTTTCCCTTCAACATTTTGAACTGTTCCAATATTCATCACTACAAGACCAAACTAATATGTTAATATAAATTAAAATTTGTATGTAAGATTTAATTATTTTTCATACATATGAAATATAAAATTACCTGATGTAACAGCTAAGAAAAGAACGAAAGCAAACTTCATTGACATCTTCACCATTGTTTTACTTACAAAAATGGTTAATATTGCTAAAAGATGTTAAAGATAGTGGTACAGGTTTTACGTGGAACCATTTTTATACAATGGAGAAATGCTCTCGTTTTAGTCATAAATCATTTGTTTCTCAACAGTCAAGATCTTTAAAAGAGTAAAGGTAGAAATCATCAAATTTATTGATTTGTTACCAAAATCAAATAAACTAGATTGATTTTCTTACCAAATTCTATAGAATGATAAGACCAAATCATCCGGCGATTGAACGTAACAAATTAATACACTTTTACAGTTGAAACCCTAAATAGTGGTCGACATAAGGTTGAAAACCCTAAATAGCATCTGCATACCACTCTTAGATTTATGTGGGATTATTTGATCCATGATTTATAACTTTTTTCTAAGTTGCATAATCTTCGATATTAACATTTGGTCATTGACCAAAAAGATCTCCAACTTTTGCTAAATGGCGGAATCATCAACTCAACTTTTATTTTAGCAAAATAAAAATTAAAATTTGGGTTATATTGACCGCAGACTGGAAATTAGTCAACGTTAACATTGGTCAACTACACGTTAATTGCGTTCATCTATGATTTGAAAGTTGTATCCTTTTATGATCTGATTAGATCTTTAATTTGAAATTATTTCCAAAAGATTAGATCTCTCTACAAAAACTGTTCTAACAATCTTTAGCTCATAGCTAGTGGGCAGTTTCTAAAATTATGACTAATGAATACAATTACAAGTTGTCAAAGTTTTGAGTGACACTTTTTGAATAATCAATACCCCACTGGCACTTTTTGAATAACAATACTCAACGGCGTAAAACTATCGTATATGTATAAGATATACTGTTTTTAAAAATTACAGTGAGTTTTTTCCCATACAATTCTCGAATGTAATGATTAATATAGGCAAGAAATGTCAACTAATTTTGACTAATTTTATTCGATTAATTAAACGAGATGATATAAAAATTTAGCAAAAACAAAAGCATTCAACAATAAATGGATTGGGAACACATTTCACACGACACCCTTTTTCGCAGTGAAGAAGACTTTGTGGTCTAATAACTTGCGTTGAAACTTCATGATGCAACATCATTTGAGGAATTTCTTCACGTAATAAACGTTTTGCCTCAACATTTTGAATTGTTACGATACCCATCGCTACAAAACCAAAACATACATTTATTCTTATAAAGTTATAATATAAAAATATGATACTTGCATGTAAGAATATGAAATTTACCGGATATAACAACTAAAAAGATAAGGAAAGCACGCTTCATTGATATTTTCTCCATTGTTTCAGAATTTGAAGATAATGGTGTTTGATGAATTGTGAAACCAAAAGCTTATGAGAGATTATTATAGTAGAAGAGTTTCCTAAACTATAATGGATACAAATGTATAAATATCTAAATAATAAATATAGGTATATTCTAATTGATCTTATTAATCTTCTAGATCACTCCACATAAATGGCATGGTCTTAGTCAAGTATCTTTTAAAATTATAATAAATCACTAATTTTATTTTTTTAAATACAGAAGACCAAATCTCGAAAGTGACTTGAATTATTATCAAATTCTGTAAAAAATTACATAAGACTAAACTGAGTTTTGACCAAATTCACTAGAAATACAAAAGTCCAAAATCAATAGATTCTTTAGTTGCTAGATTTTTCTGTAAAAAATTTGAAGTGAAGACATTACTTGTTAGATTCTTTGAAAACCTCATGAACAAAGAAATCAAGTTAGTTGAAAGTAAGCTGAGCTTCAGAAGTGTTTGTGCTCAGCTTAAAATGACTGTGTTCAACTGTTCATCATCATATCAACATCACAAAGAAAAAATAGTAATTTTAGCCACATAAATTTCCTTTATAGCATTGTCATGTGATCTTATTTCTAGATATGGTTGAGAACAAAACAATTAGTGACAGAGACTCTTTGTTCTGCTGGTGAACAACTTCATGTCCCCACTCCCCACATAAGTTTGTTCTTATAGAAAGATTTGGTAATGTGAGAAATCAATTTCAACTAGAGAAGACTGAGAGAAGAGGACAAAAAAAAGTACCAGAGATTTCTTATGGGAACATGAAGAAACAAGAGCACATGCATCTGGAAAAACATAACCATGTGATACTCTATTCTTGTATGTCCCACGAAACACTTCATAGATCTATATATACTGACCTCTAACAACATCTTCATATCATCACCAACAACAAGCAATCCAAGAACTTATACCTACAAAAATCAAGATTTTAAGTTTCAGGAAACAAAAATGGCTTTGGTAAGAGGTTTCATGGCTGCAAAGAAGATTATTGGTGGCTCAGTAGCAGGAACGAGGAAAGAAACTTCAGCACCAAAAGGGTTTCTTGCAGTGTACGTCGGTGAGAGCCAGATGAAGAAGCAGAGACACCTTGTGCCGGTCTCATACTTGAACCAGCCTTTGTTTCAAGATCTTCTCATTAAGGCTGAAGAAGAGTTCGGATTCAATCATCCGATGGGCGGCTTGACGATCCCTTGTCCTGAAGATACTTTCCTCACTGTAACTTCTCAGATCCAAGGATGATCATCATCTGAAGAAAAAACTTTTTAACATTTTTTACTGTAGATAGATGACATTTTTTTCATCTTTCTTAATGAAAGATTTGATTTAGAGGATAACATGTAAATACCAAATTTTTTATATAATGAACGATGAAATCAAACAAAAGATCCAGAAAGATTTGTATAGCTGATGTGTATAAGATCCAAAAGATTTTTCATGTTGCTACAAAATCAGAGAATAAATGATCGAATAATTTACCCAAACCGGGTTTATACGCAGAGACGGAGAGGTAAATGGTGTAGTCCACATCGTGTGGATTTATCTAACCGAGACCCGGTTTGTTGATTTTTAGTTATATTGGGATAAAATTGGGTTTTTACGAATTTCCCAATTGAACAAACCGACGCCATAAACTGCCTGACTTTGAACCGGCATATCAATTTTGGGTTTCAGTTAAAGAATGAGTCTAAACCGGGTTTACTTTTACACACTAAATACCCGGTTTCTCTGTCGGCTACTAGAACAAAATCTCGGTAATAACTAATAGTACAGATAAATGAACCGGGAAAAATACTAATCAAAATTTCGATAAGTGATTGAAATTTGAGAATTGGTTTTTCAACCGAGAATCGTAAACCGAAATTTGAACCGGTTATCGGTACTGTAGAGTCGAGTATAACTCGAGTTCATAATATTGTGCAGAGTTTGTCTGTTAACAAAGCAACCCTCGTCGCAGGAAAAATATATATTTCTGTTCTTCGATTTCTGGAAAATCTGTCAGTGAGTTTTGTCTCCTCCTATAGTGTCTCTCTCTCTTGATCTGACTCTGAATTAAATTCAACTACTTCCTCTGCCTGCACGGATTTTTTGTTTGTTTTCTCCTGGAAAGTTCGATTCCGAGAAATCTCCAGTTTTTGATCAGATCCTAAGCGTGCTTCGTTTCGAGGCTCTTTCACTGATAATTTACCTCGTTTGACCCTGGATCTCGCCTTGAATTGGGTAAAGCAGCTTTTGTTCTCGGACTTTGGAATTTTGAAATTCTGTGTTTTCTGGAAAATTGGCGACTGGATTTGAATCCTACTGTTATTTTGGATTTTAGGGTTCTTTAGCTGGGAAAGAGCTCGGTTTCGGGCTGGTGGAAGATGGTGTTCAAATCTAGAATAAAATGGATTGCGCTTTTTGTGTTGATCTTATCAATGGGATCTCTGGTTGTTCATCTTTCCATGACCAAGTCTTCCGGTGTACAGTTGGCGTATTCTGCAAGAGATAACCTTTGGCAAGATTTTGATTCTTTGTTAGGCGCACAGGTAAAAAACGAATTGAATTAGATACTGAATGGTTTACTGAAGAATGTCGTTTGCCTAAAGTTTGGTTTTCTCTTTTGTGTTTACTGTTGCAGGATTTTAGAAATAAGCACTTATGGCGGCCTGTCAAATCATTAGAGACCTTACAGCCGTATGCCAATCCAAGAAATAGTTATCCTGGTATTGTATCTTACTTTGTTTGCATGCACAATTCCATTTAAACGAGAATTATATATCTTTAGCTGTTTTGATGTCTGCAACTTAAATGCTCAATCGTAAGATGTTTACTGCGATTTTTATCAAACCATAGAGGAATATAAAAGTCATTAGGGATGGTGTATGTTGTGTTCGATACTTGTTTGAACATGAAATGTCTATTGGGATTTTTATGACTTTTGCTCTTTCAAATCTATCTATCTTTGTTAATTTTTTCTTGGCGCTGTCTTTTTGCAGCACCCAGTTCAACAAACAATCGTTTCATTTATGCAAAGATATTTGGTGGATTTGACAAGATAAGATCTTCTGTATGTATCAGTTGACTCGACAATTTAAGATTCCTTTTTGTATTTCCTGTTATGCATGTGGATAACGTCTTTGCAAATTTTCTAGATATGTGATCTTGTCACCATATCCAGGCTTCTGAATGCTACTCTTGTCATTCCAGAGCTTCAAGAAAGTCTTCGCTCAAAAGGCATTAGGTGCGCCTAGCTCTATCCATTTTTTTATTTTATTTTTATGTTTACTTGTTTCTCCATTATTTTCTGTTAAAGTGTGCTTCTTTGCTTTGGTACTATACAGTTCTTTACTCTACTTTGTTTCTTACATGCTGTGCAGCAACAAGTTCAAGAGTTTCTCCTATCTTTATGATGAAGAGCAGTTTATAGCCTTTCTTAAAAATGATGTTATAGTTACGAAGACCCTTCCTGAGAGCTTGAAAGCCGCAAGAAAAAGGAATGAGTTCCCTCTTTTTAAGCCCAAAAACTCTGCATCACCAAAATTTTACCTCGAGGATGTATTGCCAAAGTTAAAGAAAGCTAATGTTATTGGATTGATCGTCTCTGATGGAGGATGCTTGCAGGTACTGAGTGTTTTTTTCTCCCTTAGAGTCTTATATCTTATATGCAGTAACTTCTCAATCTATAGAGATTTCTTTGAGTAGATATCTTTCTGCCTGCTAGCTACCACCAGTCGTTGAGACACATTTTGGTCATTTTAAATGTAATAAGAAGTTGTGGGACTAGTTAAACAAGGTATTTTATCCTGAAAGAAGCTGTCTTGTTTTCAGTCAACTTTGCCCGCTTCAATGCCTGAACTCCAAAGATTAAGGTGTAGAGTTGCCTTCCATGCCCTCCAGCTTCGTTCAGAAATCCAGGTGCTGGGGAAGAAGATGGTTGACAGGTATTTGTGATACTTGCAATTGAAAATTTCATTGACGAAAGGGATGAATACAGGATATAGGATTACTAAGGGGGAGAAGAACATTAGATACTAAGCTTCTAGTTTCTTGAATAGTGACTTATCTAGCTGAGAACTATAATAAGTAAGTTCAGGGGTTGCCATTTTCTTAATTTAGCTAGGGATCTTGATGTGTATTTACGTAACTAAAATGACTGTACGTATGTGTCATGGTTTTGTCTATCTACCCCTGAGAACCGTGCATCCCTGACATAATTGAGGTACATAATTTCCCTTTTCTAGGTTACGTAAATCAGGTCAACCTTTCTTAGCTTATCATCCTGGCTTAGTAAGGGAGAAATTGGCATATCATGGTTGTGCTGAGCTTTTCCAGGTAAAAGTTTTTGACCTCATCAATCTGTATATTGTGATAGAACAAATTGTTTATTTCAGCTACGTAATTATCCTGTGTACCCTTTGTGATTGAGTTACATGGGGAAGTAGTTTCTGACTCTACTTATTATTTCAATCCTCAAAGGATATTCACAGTGAACTCATCCAATATCGGCGGGCTCAGATGATCAAGCAGAAGTTTATTTTAGAAGAACTTATTGTAGACTCACGCTTGCGCAGGGACAATGGCTTATGTCCTCTCATGCCAGAAGAGGTACTCGGAGCTTCTCTCAAATAATGCTTATATGGGTGTATAATTATGTCTCGGTACTCTTTATGCCTGCATTTGTGGTGTCTCTTGAAAGCTGAAACTGCCTTGGAAACATGTGGCCCATATGTGCTTGAATTCTTGGAGTTTCTGACGAAGCTAAATATATATCTAAATTTTCTACGTTGGCATGTAATTCCCATGTGAAAAACTGTTTTCAAGCACCAATTGGATTGCTTACTTACTACTGTTCTGATGGAACTAAATTGGCTTTATGATGCCAAGAGTTAATTGATATTGAAATTTTGCAGGTTGGAATTCTTTTGAAAGCATTGGGTTATTCTCAAAAAGCGATCATATACTTAGCTGGTTCTGAAATGTTTGGCGGCCAACGGGTTTTGATCCCTCTGCGTGCCATGTTCCCTAATTTAGTGGATCGGACTTCTTTATGCAGCACGGAGGAATTATCAGAATTGGTTGGTCCTGAGACACCTCTTCCAGAGAATACATTTAAAATGCCTCCTCGAAAAAGCGATAAGCAACTCAAAGAAGAGTGGAACAAGGCTGGTCCTCGACCTCGACCTCTACCTCCTCCTCCAGATAGACCTATCTACCAGCACGAAAAAGAAGGATGGTATGGTTGGCTGACAGAGAATGACACAGAACCAAGCCCTTCACCTATGGATCTTAGGAATCAAGCACACAGGTTACTGTGGGATGCCCTCGATTTTGCTGTTTCTGTAGAAGCTGATGTGTTCTTCCCTGGTTTCAACAACGATGGTAGTGGGTGGCCAGATTTTTCAAGTTTGGTGATGGGTCAGAGGCTCTATGAAAGACCCTCTTCACGAACATATAGACTGGACAGGTAAGCAGAATTATTGTTTGAAAATTACTGACTGCATCTAGCGTCCTTCCTCATAGTTAGGTTGATTGCACACTTGTTATGCCTATAATCTTCCATATTCTTTTGGGTTCATTAATCCGTAAATTTAGCTGATACATGCATCTTATAAGTTACTAGCTTTTATGGAATCTCTCTTTTGCAAATTCATTAACTGTTCACTGATTTGCTCAAACAGGAAAGTTATTCAAGAACTTTTCAACATTACTCGTGAGGACATGTACCATCCCAACCGTAACTGGACACTTCGTGTGAGGAAACATCTTAACTCGAGTTTGGGTGAAAGTGGGCTTATCAGGCAGTCTATGTTGTCGAAACCTAGGTCGTTCCTTTCGCATCCACTTCCTGAATGCTCATGCAGAACCTCGGCCCTTGAGGATTCCAGGCAAATACGGAGTGATGATGGTAGATTTCTCTATGGAGGTGAGGATGAATGCCCTAAATGGATAAAATCAGCGGGAGTGGAAAAGAGTAAAACTGACGATGGTGATCAGCCTGATTATGAACATGACCTTCTCGCTGAACAGTCAGAAACTGAAGAAGAATTTGCAAAAAGTAAGGTAGCTTCAGCTTTTGACCAAGATGAAGAATGGGATCCTAATGACTAGCGTGACAACTATGCAAATTCTGCTGTGAGGTGTCATTTGATTTTTCCGAGATTCTTTCAGGAAAGGCGAAGAAGCAAACATACGGAGGTTTTTTTTTTTTTACAGTTCCCGGCTTTTTTTCCCTTTCTGAGAATAAGCTTTTAGTGTTATTCTTTTGTTAGTAGCTCCTCGCAAGTTAGTTGCATACTCTTTATACATCAAACCTTCTTAAAGATATCGGTATTGCCCCCGGACGCCCTTATGCATCGAAGGACGGACAACTGATGCAGCAAAAGGATGTCCGTTATGCTTCATCCTTCTCTGAGGTCTTCCCTTGAAGCAAATGTGAAGCTGGAGGTATCTTTTGCTCTTCTTTTTTTCATCATTGTAAATCTGATTTAAGGTTCATATTCAGATTCTTTTATCCCTTTTTCTCCAATAGTTTTTTCTGGATTTGTTTTGACACACTACAGATATAAAAGATAAAGGTATATTTCAACAGAATTTTAATATACACTTGCTGTCTCCTGGTTCATATTCATATTCGTTAGGACGAGATGTTCACTGAAATGGTTTTCGACTTTGGCATCTGTAAAATAGTTAATTCATTGATCCGATCAAAAGAATACATCATTTTTATAGTGATAGTGGAAGGTCAATAGTATTTGATGCAATGATACACGTATATACTGTTGTATACAGAAGCCCCAGAAGCAGGGCAGAGAGAATAGAACCTTAGGCACCATTTTTCTGTGTCCATGGTTTGAGAACAGAGATAACAGTAATGATGATGATGATAAGTAGGATAAGGATGGCAATGCACATCCATTTCCTTGAACTTTTCTGGCTTTTTACTGCCTTTGTTAGGTGATTGTTTCCGGATTGAACATGATCTACAGCACTTGAGACCTGTTAGAACAGAAACAGAGTAAGAAAGGATTTTGAAGAGAACTAAGCTTAGGGATTTAAACAGGTACTGAAGAGATTGTTACCATATTCTCTATGTTGTCTAACATCTCTCCCTGTGCATCCACCAGCACGGCCATATCGAGAAACACCTAACCGGAAACATAAAAGAGAAGAATCAATGATGAATCAAACTGAGTTTTTGGTAAATCGGATCGAGGTTTACCTGTTGCAGGTCAAGGAGTTTCTTCTCTAAATCTCTGACAGCATCATGGCGTTCCTGAATCTCAGCCAGTGTATCCATTATCTGCACAGAGCCAGCAGAAAAAGCACGTTATAGTTGTCTTGTTGCACAGGTAATCAGATGAGTGCCGGTACATAGATTACCAACCTGTCCTCGTCCTTGCTCCCTGATTGCTTTCTGGAAAATTTGCTCACTGTCTCCAGTTTCAATCAATCTATCAACTGTCTACACACCCAAAAATTGACTATCATGAACTATTTCAATAGGTTCTAATCAGTAAAATCAGAGTTATAATAACTTGCCTCTTCATCAGCTCGTTGGCCAGTCACTAACCATTGTCAAGAATCAGAAAAACAAATATAGTTAGCTCTTAGAAGATCACTAATGGGACAGTTGAATCTTCAGACAGATTGTTAATTCAAACCTGTAAACACACGCCTCTCTACAACTTCTCTGTATTCTTGTTGAATGTTCTGTCTTAGAGTCTGCAGATAACAAAGATAAGAGCTAAGACAACTTTCTTAGAGAGATTTTGCTTTTCAGAATTTGCTAAAGCTTTTCTTTAAATTTACTTGGAATTCAGATATCTTGTCCTTAAATTTCTTCTTCACCGCACTGCCGAAGAAAAAAGCGTTAAGGAAGACTAAAAGAAAGATACTGTATATAGACATCTTGAGTTTTAATAGGCTAAAAACTCACATAGTTGTGGCTGTTCTTGTTCTGTCTACACCTGTTCCTTTCCCACAACCCGGTTTAGTCCGGTTCTCCAGATTCTGAAGATATCAATCCGAGTCTTAAACAAGATGACCAGATCATACAAACAGATGCAACAAACAATGTATTCATCTCTAAGCCTAACCTCTCGGTCCAGTTCCTCTATCTTTCCTTTGATGAAACGAGAAATTCTTCCCACTTCATCAACATCTCTCTCCATCCTCTGTTTGATTGCTGCAGAACAGAAATACAGAGGAATCAAGTTTTAGTTCATCTAATCTTCCATAAAGAACTTGATTTCGAGTTTTCAATTCGAACTCGTTTTGGTTTACATTTCATCGCAGGAGCCTTAGTGACGGCTTTAGTCTCCTCATGTGCCCCCTGAAGCTTGTTGAGATGTTTATCAAGCTTCTCATATTGCTTTTCGATTTCTTGGACCTAAATGGTTAATATGATCTTAATACACATAGAGATTTGAAACTGGTTGAGAAGAGTTGAAGAGGGATAAAAAGCTTTACCTTTTTGAAGAAACCAGAGAGCCCGAGATCTCCAGAGTTACCTGGGCCATGTCCTGACTCAATATCGCTTCTATTAGAGCGATCCCTGGAGAATTCTAACGAACCCTGTCCAATCAGAACATCTGTCACATCATCTTAGAAACTTTGTAAGCTTCACAACGTTTGATCTTTTGATTTATCCCACTAAATCCAATATAAACCTCCAGATTTATTTGATCATTTTGCTTCTATAAACGATTTTTTGAATCTCACAGGAGTAATCTTCATCATGGGTTTTCTCTAGATAAATGTCGAACTAAAGAAACGTCATTTCGGAGAAATCTTGTAGCACAAGCAAATAAAACCCTAAGATTCCGCGTTTCTAATTTCAAAATTTAGAGAGAAATTAATAAAGATGCATGGAAACGTTGCTTGGATTAGAGCAGAAATCGCTGTGATCACGTTAATGTCCAAAGCAAAACATAGAAATGTTTGAAGGAAAAGATAAGACAAACCTTTAAGAGGTCGTTCATTGTCGGAGAACTGGAACAGAGCAAAAGATCTATAAAAGCATAAGGAAACTTGTCAAACAATCAACAAAATTCCAAATTCCATGAAAAAGAAATTGCCACAATTAGAAAGAAAACAAACCTGGTTTTGTAATAAACCCAGATCCTTTTTTGTTCTCTTCCTTCTTTTTTTGTTCTTTTTGATTATCCTATAAAAATCAATAAGAGAGAGAGAGACAAGGGAGCTTCGTCACCGTATAAAGCAGAGCACAAAGATGAGATTGTTAAGACACGTACGATTCGAGTCAACGGTTGAGATTTCATTTATATTTTATGTTCTTTTTAAAACAACAAAAAAAGAGAGGTAAATCTCGTTGTTGACAGATTGCTATTCAAACTCTTATTTTTGGGACTGCAGAATCAAACGAAACAGTCGGTAGCTGCTTTCAAAGCTTTCTTGCTATAAAAGGAAACCTAATATCACATACAGGGGACATAAGGTCAACTACATTCATCCACAAAATCAATGTGTAAAAAGTTAAGTCAGTCACAGAGATTTGAATGCTGAATTGGAGGTTTGAATCCATGAATCAAGTGACTTGATAGCTTTTCCAGATGACTGTACTCCACGGGCCAAGACAATTCCTTCAGTTAGAGTCTGAACACGACTGCTGACCACAAGAGCTGCAGCCGCATTTAGGATGTGAAACAAATATAACATGTGACAATGAGCTCATAAGACTTTTGATATTTTTCGATTAGGAAGAAAATGTTGAACCGGAATAACGTACCAATGCATCGGCTATGGACCCGGCCTCCTCTGATAGCACATGTCTCAATACATCCGCATTGTACTCTGGATCTCCACTTCTCAAATCCTCCAGAGTGCAACGAGGAATCCCCAAGTCCACTGTAAAAAAAATAGCACAGGAATAAGCTTTACTACCTGAATCCGCAAGGTCACTTTGGAACTAAATCTTGTGCTCAGAAAGCTTACATGGATCAAATGAAAACTTTTCCTCCTTTTCTGGGGTAACATCATAAACTAACCCTCCTCTTGTTTTCATAAAGGCCTTGTATGGTCAAATGATGGAGACGCCAAGAAATTATCAAATTTTGGATGTATAGAGAAACTTTCCCTAGAGGACTCATTTCGTCTAAGCCATAAGAGTGAAACACCAATGATATCTTCAGAACCTATATACCATACGAGCATTGTTGAAAGGAATCATTGATGAGCTGTGAATGAAAGCAATGTACCAGATTTTCATGATAAACACCGACGGCTGCATAAGAGGCACTAGCGGGATTAAGAAGAGGTCCCAATATATTGAAAACAGTTTTTATTTTAAGCTTTTTCCTGACAGGGCCAACGATCTTCATAGCTGGATGATACTTTGGGGACATCACAAAACCAATTCCTTATTCTTCAACACATCTTTTAACTCCCTGCAATCAACAAATAACCATACAAATAAGTTGAATCATAAAACTAGCACAAAATCTATCTTTCGACAAAATGAGGGATATGGGTGTACTGTTTCAAGACAGTGTTACCACCAGCTCTAGATTCCCTTTACCGATAGTGCAAGTTCATAAATTTTATCCAACTAAGAATAACACTTCTTTGGATTGTATATATGATACGCACCTCTGGCTCTAAGTCAATCACCACACCTAGCGCTTCTAATACATCCGCGCTACCACAAGCAGAAGAACTCGAACGATTTTCTAGCTGCAAAATATCCATATTAAGATTGTATCAAAAAATATAGGGGAGGTCATTACCACTACAGTGTGTACAGAAAAACTACTGACTTCATATACCTATGCTTTAACAAGTTTTCATGTGTGTACCTTTGCTACTTTTCCACCCCATGCTGCGGCAAGTACGATCCAGTGGATATGTTAACTCTGTAAGCTCCATCATTACCTGTTCCAACAATGTCCACTACATCGACTAGGCCATCCAATTTCCTAGCATGCTTCATCATGGCCTTGGCCAACCCCATAATCTGACAAAACAAGAGTTGTAAAGCTCAAGTCATGTCTACTCAGTAATCACCTCATGCTGTATAATATTCGATGACTAAAAGTTACATTTATACTTTGTCTCAGATACTACTTAATTCTTCAAAGGTCTCCCCTTTAGCTCTCAACAAAACCAGAAAAGCACTAATCAGCGCCTCATTGGCTTCATTCAGTAAAAAATTGAAGAGATGCTTCAGCCTCTGATTCAGAAAGATCTATCCGATCAATCAAAGGTTCAATCCAATGTAGAAAAACAAGACACATGGTTAGAGAAATAGAGAGATGTCAGCTTCATCTAATCACATACCAGCAAGAAAAGCAAAAGCCTTGGAGAACATAGAGAGCCAAAACATTGTTTGGTCAAGAAAGAAGCAAGTTCGCGCCAAAAAACTCAGCAAGAAGCAAGTAATTCGATCCAGTCACGAGAAACTGAACCCTTAAACCTGGAAAATGAAAAAGTTGGCATGAATTAAAGGACGAATCACCTGATAGAAGAAAGGCTGGCACTTTCAAAAGCAGTTGGCAGAACTTAGATGCTCTGCGAGGTTCGATACCAGAATAAGTGACTCCACCACTGAAAACACGATTCTGAGAGCAGACAAAAGAGCTGCAGAAGATAACAGGAGTAAGAACAAACCTTTAAATGAGAAAACAATCAGCAAGTTGACCAGAGAGCATGATAATTGCAGCATCCCCTGAGAAAAAAGCTTGATTAATCTCACTGATTCACAGATTAAGGTGAACAACTTTTGACAAAAAAAACTCAGAAGATTGTACATTGGGGAGAGACCAATTTTGGGTTAAAAACAAGAGGAACCAACTAGAAGCAGTAATGTCATTAAGCTTATGTCCAACTCCATAATAGAACACAGACAATCATCTTCCAAGTGGTTTTGGTCAAGTTGACAAATTTTGTGATTTTTTTTTGTATCCTACAATTCGAACTTGCATGGAAGAAGAGACATCAAAGTAAATTCAAAATAACCCAAAACCTGAGAATAAGACTCTCAATTGTATCTAAAACATGAACTTTCATGAGATTGAAGAAATCTTAATTTCATTCTCAAGCTGCCTAATAATATAAACTAGACAAAATTTTGTCTAAAAGTTTTTTGTAATCATCTCATTGATAGAAGACGAAAAGAGAAGAAGTAATAAAAGTTATTATGAGAGGAGGAAGGTAGGAGCTATATGTCTACTATTTTCATTTTATTAGCCAATCAGGTGGCTCCATGTCACACCCCTCTCTCACCCATCGCGCGATTTCACGCCCACTCTCACCACTCGCGAGTTGAGCGCGTGTCTCCGTTTTCTGTGGGTGTTAACCCACCAAATGGCCTGTTTTGAAGAACACTCGCTCCTTTTTTAAAAAGCCTCGCGTGCGTGACTTTTTATTTTTTCTTAATTAATTCCAACGCAAACCGAACTAATTTCAGAACCAATGAAAACTAAACCGAACGAAATCAGTTCTAATTTCAAAACCAATGAAAACCAAACCGAAATCAATTCTAATTTCAAAACCAATTCTAATTCTAATTTCTCTAGTGGAATCAGTAAATTCTGGACAGAAAATTTCTGGCAATTTCCATGATTTCTCAACATCCCAACGGGAAAGATTAGAGAGCAAAAAGAGGAGAAATCAAACGTACCTCGAAGAAGAAGAAGAGCGTTTCTGGAGCCAGGATTAGGTTCTACTTACCTTTTCAGCTACCTCATATGGCCACCCAAAGGTTCCTTCTCCCCAAGCGCAGCTCCATGGTCATTGTATGAGTTTGGGAGAACCATAACCGATTCTAGTAGTGACCTAGACCATGCCACAAAACAGAGTTATTACCAAAGGCCTTGAGATCAATCAAACATTGCTTAATGAGTTCATCAGACTCAAAATTATTACCAAAGTCTCTTGAGATCAATCAAACATTGCTTAAAGAGTTGGGTTTCTATGATCTCTTTGTATTCTATTCATTCACCTTGCATAAAGAAGCATGTATGCTCCTTCTAGTAATACAGTCTCTAATTGAACCGGAAAAACCTGCGAATTCGAGAAAAAGAAACTAGCATCATTGGTATAAATATAAATGATATTTTGAGACCTACATTTCTGTCATCAATTTTGAACCAATCTCCATGAAGGGTTTTTATGTAGCAAACATACATAACGACCTGAAAATGAAGTACTCATAGCATCCAAATGGACCACCACTGCGTAGAGACTATACACGGGATGATCCCCTTGATTTGGGTCACTCATATACGGTCCAAAGTTATCAGACTGCATAAAAAAAAGATCATTCTTCTGAGTAAACCCAACAAATAGTAGACACCATCAAACTTACGAGGATGAAGTCTCTCACCTGAAAACGTTTCAGCACGACAGTAAGAATATTTGGGTCCTTCCAATATCATCAATTTCTTTTTGGCTTTCTGGTAAGATTTACGTCTATGGTTGAAAAAGGAAAACCAAAGGCAAAAGAATTAGTAGTAGTTTTTTAACGTATATGATTAGTTTCCAAAAGATAACTTCAACTACCTGCCAGTCTGCCACAGAAGTACCGGTTTTCTCCATCTAGGACTTCGTAGGCTGTAAATTGAGCAAGTGCTTCTTTGAGGCTTCCTATATCCCCATCAATCTAGCTTACTCTGTTAGGACTTTGGTTCCTAATGTGATATGGGATGTGGGCTCATAAGTCGTATGTATGTTGATTTAATGTATGAACGCTTAGAAGACTATCATTGATCTTTCAAATGTTCCATCAGAAATCTAGCAAGGCAAACTTTGAAACAACAGTAATGCCATAGGCAAGTAGAAATCTTCATATAGACGCAACAAACAAGACCATGGACACTTTGTAGGAACGAAAGCAAATAAGGTCCTTCTCAAGTCACCATATCAGGGAATTAACAACAATACATACCTGTGAATGTCAAATTCAGGATGTCCAAGGCGGCCACCCCTTCCAAATCCCCACGTGTAGACTTCTCCATGAGAACTAATGGCAACACTATGGAACTTTGCCGCAGAGACCAACTTAATAAAACAACCATGCAGTGAATCAACTCTGCCGGGTACCTTCTGAACATGTTGATTGCCAGTTCCAAGTTGGTAGTTTGCACCATTTCCCCAGCTGAAAACCTCTGTAGCGACTGAAAAGAAAAAAGGAACACGACATTTCAGCTGCTGAAAAGTTGTGTAAGAAAGAGTGACAAGACGATTAAGGTTTTCCTTTAAAAGTCAAGGTTGAGAAAAGATTAGTTACCCGAACTCTGTTGCTCGCCAATAACCTGAGCCACTGGACCTGAGACCAAATCAACCGGTGTTCGCAGTTTTATGTCTTCTAGAGTAAAAGAAGCACCTGAGTCAATTAGTACGCTAGCTACCGCGAGATGGCCAAAATGCAAAGCTCGGTGAAGACTACTCCAACCAGATTCTCCATCCTGAAATGGACATTGTACAATATAGAGCAAGCTCAATTTTCCAAGAATTATGAATACAATACATGCAACAAACATAGAGACAGAAACCAAATAACTTACTGAAAAGAGATGTAAATAGGCAGGATTACGTACAAACATGTAACTTCTAGATTCAAGATTATAATCGGAAGAAAAAAATATTGAAATATATCAAGGCACAAACAGAGGAAATGTCACAAACCCTAGCATCTGGATCGGCGCCAGCTGCAAGTAGTCTCCTAATAATAGGAATGTGATTTCTCCATACAGCAATATGCAGAGGAGTCAGACCATGGACATTCCTTAAATCATCAGTTTTACTTCAGTTTTACCAGAAGAATCATCGCCTGACTGATTTTTAGTAGTCCTAACAGGTTCATGAGGCCGGGTCTTGCTTTGTTCATCTTGAATATCCTGGAGGGAAGATAATCCTTTAGAAATCTTAGCTCCACCCCACACAGGACCTTCAACCTTAGGCTTTGGTAGAGGAGCAACAACGGGTTTAGGAATATCATCAAGAGCACCAGTCAAGAACATAGAAAGCCCACCCTTACTGTTCTTCTTCTTGTTTGCTGCCATTGCAAGTTTCTTGCTTCTCGGCGAATCGGATGGATTATCTTTCTCCTGCGAGAGTGAGACAAAGTCTGATTCTTTGGGGAACCCACTAATCATCTTCATATCCAACATGGTTTTGCCATCCTAGTAGAATAAGTACAAAGCAGAAATAATTCAACTGATGCAGAAGAATTTTTGATCAAGCCTCAACAAAGGACATTTTATCATTAAAAATCGGTACCAAAACTAACCTTTGGCTTGATAGCTTCAGAGATTTGCTCGATTTCTTTATCCTGCATTGTATCTATTTCCACTTTAACTTCACCAAAATCAGGGAATGTCTCAATCTGTACAGATCTCTGTTTTCCCCTTTTCTTCTTTTTTCCCTTCTTGTTGGCCTTTCCATCTAGTGGCAAAGCTGTTGATGATTTTGCCTCTGGAGACTTTTCAACAGGTATACCAAGTTCTACCAGTGAACTTTCAATATCTAGTGTCTTTTGAAGTTCTGCAATTTGCTGACCATCAAGAAGTTGTCCTCTGGATTGTTTTGCTTCAAGAATCTCAATTTGTTACAACCTTTTCCTCAAAGCTCGGACTTCTTTGGAATTGTGTTGAGTCAGCTCATCTTCTGGTTGCAAGAATGAATCCATTCGAGTACTTCCCTCAGCAATACTGGAAAAGTGTTTCACATGGTTGTCACGAGTTCTTAAAATATCGCTCTCACTTTCCTCCTCTTCAGCTGCTGCATAGAGAGCCAAAACATTGTTTGGTCAGCAAGTTGGCACCAAAAAACTCAGCAAGAAGCAAGTAATTCGATCCAATCACGAGAAATGAACCCTTAAACCTGGAAAAAATGAAGAAGTTGGCATGAATCAAAAGAAAAATCACCTGATTAAAGGATTTGATAGAAGAAAGGCTGGCACTTTCAAAAGCAGTTGGCAGAACTTCAGCTGCTCTGCGAGGTTCGATACCAGAATCAGTGACTCCACCACCGAAAACATGATTCTGAGGGCAGACAAAAGAGCTGCAGAAGATAACAGGAGTAAGAACAAACCTTTAAATGAGAAAACCATCAGCAAGTTGACCAGAGAGCATGATAATTGCAGCATCCCCTGAGAAAAAAAGCTTGATTAATCTCACTGATTCACAAATAAAGGTGAACAACTTTTGACAAAAAAAAAACTCAGAAGATTGTACATTGGGGAGAGACCAATTTTGGGTTAAAAACAAGAGGAACCAACAAGAAGCAGTAATGTCATTAAGCATATGTCCAACTCCATAATAAAACACAGACAATCATCTTCCAAGTGGTTTTGGTCAAGTTGACAAATTTTGTGATTTTTTTCTATCCTACTGAATCCGAACTTGCATGGAAGAAGAGGCATCAAAGGATTACAAAAGAACCTAAAACCTCAGAATAAGAGTCTCAATTGTATCTAAAAACACCAACTTTCATCAGATTGAAGAAATCTTAGTTTCATTCTCAAGCTGCCTAATAATATAAACAAGACAAAATTTTGTCTAAAAGTTTTTTCTAATCATCTGACTACCTTTTGTTTGAAAATTCTGACAGAAGTAGTAATTTTCAATTCATTTTCTTCATCACATAGACGAACAAAAAGTGAAGTTATATAAATTATCATAGGAAGGTAGGAGCTACATCTCTACTATTTTCATTATATTAGCCAATCAGGTGGCTCCATGTCACACCCCTCTCTCACCCATCGCGCGATTTCACGCCCACTCTCACCACTCGCGAGTTGAGCGCGTGTCTCCGTTTTCCGTGGGTGTTAACCCACCAAATGGCCTGTTTTGAAACACACTCGCTCCTTTTTTAAAAAGCCTCGCGTGCCTGATTTTTTTGTTTTCGTTTCTCACAACCAATACAAACCGAACCGAATAAATTCTAATTTCAACAGAACCAAAATCAATTCTAATTTCCAAACCGTGACTTATGTTTTTGGTTGATTTGTTACCGTCGTCGTTCATTTGTTATCGGCAATACTAGGTGACGAAAAGCAAAATCATTCAAAGAGATTAGGGAATTCGAGATTGATTTTTTTAGAGCTCTTAGCCGGAGAAAACTTGACGGTGGCAATTGTCAGTGGTGAGATCATTAATGGAAGCGAATTGAGAAGGAGAGGATAGACATACCCGATTCCACAATGAGAAAACCAAACGTGACGAACAATCGAGCCGAAGATTGGAGTCGGAAACAATGGCGGAGGTCGCCGCCGCCATCCGCTAGAGCCGTCGTTTGCATTGTGAACGAAGAAGTTACAATCCCAGAAACCTTAACGCCGGAAACAATGGCGGAGTCCCGCCGAGCTGGGTTTTTTTTCCGGCGAGAGACCATCTTTTGTCAGTTTCCACTGTCACGCTCACGCACTCTCCTCCTCCTTGGAATCTCTCACCGTCTCTTTTTGTGAACCAACTGGTTGGGCTCAACACCGGTTGAGATATTCCTACTGGGCCTCAACTCACGATGGATCCGTTTATGATGTTGTTCTCGTAGCCCATTATGTTCATTGTAAATTTTCATTCAAAATCATTGACTTGCTGTATTTAAACAATAAAATAAACTTGTAATTTCTTTTGTTTAATTACTCTCTTCATTGACTCTGTTTTTTCCAAAGTTTGCAAATCTTTCGAGCCTACTTTAAACTTGGCTCAAGCAGCCCCCTGCGTATCAGATTTAAGTTTAACCCATCCCAGAAACACTCCAGAGTTTACAACTTATGCCAAAACATTTCTTCATTAGTCAAAAAGCATGTTTGGGAACGTGAACGACAAGAGTGGAAAAGATATTGAGAACAAGATAAGATCCCTCCAAACTAACTAAAGTTACTAAACTAGTTATTGGTCAAGCAGGTCTTCACAAAGTGCGGGGACAAGAGTTTTGAAATCTCCAGAAACCCAACTGTGTAGTCACATTCATGTTTATGGCTAGCGTTTGTATAGATTCAGGTAATCCTTTGGCTGTAATGTCTGCGTTACTCTAGTTAAAACTGTCAGCGTCTGCATATATATGTTAATCAATGATTAAGAGTCAGAAAGGAATCACTAAGCCTACCAGAGCAAGTAATTGTATTTACTCTCATAAAATATTCCAAGACATGCTTCCACGTTCTCAAAAGATGAGACCTGTTTAATCCTAATTAAAGAACTCAGATTCTGTGTTACGTGTTTGACTTTAGAAGATTTGTATATAATTAGGATGATAGTGACATGTCTCTCTATTGATTTGGAAACAAAAGAAAACAAGAGAGAACTTTCCCTATTATTACTATTACTATATCTCTTATCATGGATGCTTCTTCTCCTTTTTCCTATGTGTTCCCAAGCTTTAGAGGTCCAGATGTCCGTCGAACATTTCTCAGCCACTTGCTTGTTGAATTCGATCGCAAGGGGATCAATACATTCAATGATAATGGAATCAAGCGAGGCGAAACCATAGATGCTGCGCTCATACGAGCTATAAGAGAATCAAGAATCTGCATCATCATCATCTCTAGGAACTATGCCTCCTCAAGCTGGACTTTGAACGAGTTAGTGGAGATCATGGAGTGCAAGAGAACTTCTGGAAAAATTGTAATGACTGTTTTCTACGAGGTGGATCCATCTCATGTAAGAAAACAGAGCGGAGAATTCGGCGAGGCTTATAGAAAGACTTGCGAGAACAAAACAGAGCAGGTGAAGCAGAGATGGGAGCAAGCTTTGACTAATGTCGCAAACATACTCGGGGAGCATTCGCATAATTGGTACAGTGAAGCAGCTATGGTCTCAAAAATCGCCACGGATGTTTCTAACGAGTTGAACTTCACACCGTCAAGGGATTTCGATCATCTAGTTGGAATTGAAGCTCATATAGAAAAGATGAAATCACTCTTGTGCCTAGAGTCTGAGGAAACAAGGGTGGTAGGGATTTGGGGACCTGTCGGGATTGGCAAAACAACAATCTCAAGAGCGGTATACAATCTGATTTCAGGATATTTCCAGCGTAGTGTTTTTATGGAGAGTGTTAAGACAAGTTACACAAGTGGTGGCTCTGACATTTATTCTTTGAAGTTAAGGTTTCAAGAAAAGTTTCTTTCAGAGATCTTGGACCATAAGGGTATGGAGATAACCCATTTACGTACAGCTGAAGATAGGTTAAGATCCCTGAAAGTCCTTGTTGTTCTTGACGGTGTCGATAAGCTAGAACAATTAAATGCTGTGGCAAGACGACCTCAATGCTTTGGTAAAGGAACTAGGATTATTGTGACTACGGAAAATAGACGACTTTTGGAAGCACATAAGATCCAGCATATATATGAAGTTAAATTCCCGTCAAGAGAGGAAGCTCTAGAGATTTTCTGTCAATCTGCTTTCGAACAAAAGTTTCCACCAAAGGGTTATGAGGATCTTGCGCTAGAAGTCACAGAGTTAACTAGTCATCTTCCATTAGGCCTCTGTGTTCTTGGCAATGCGTTGTGTGAGAAGAGCGTGAGCGAATGGATGGATGAACTACCAAGGATCAAAACCACTCTCAATGGAGACATTGAACAAGTACTGAGAGTTGGTTACAATGGCTTAGATGATAAAGACAAAGCTATATTTCTCTACATTGCGTGTTTATTCCAAGGTAAAACAGTTGATTCCGTGATGGAGTTGCTTGCAAACAGTGGTCTAGACATCAAATATGGACTTAAGGTTCTCGTTGAAAGGGCTCTCATAAGCATACTAAGTGACGAAATTATCTTTATGCACAATTTTCTCCGGCAAATGGGCAGAGAAATCGTTCGTAGACATTCTACGTTCTTGATTGCTGCTCGTGACATTTATCATGTTATCGCCGATAACACAGTAAGTCCTGTTATATATCACTTCATTAATGTGATTTCAGTCAGGTAATTCATAAAGTGTGTTCTTTTGGGCATTGTTCAGGGCACTGAAATTGTTTGCCTCGCAAGCGAGAAAGCCCTAAGTGGAATGCATCACCAATTTCTAAGATTCTACAGAAATTTGATGGATAAGGTTAGAATGATTATACTTAAATGATTTGATGGTTTAACCTACTTCATTAACAAAAGTCATTTGTATATACGTGTCTCTTTGCAATGCATGCCTTCCGGGTTTCGTCCTAAAAATCTTGTGAAAATCGATATGCAGGGGAGCAAATTGGAGAAGCTTTGGGATGGTATCAAATTCGTGGTTTTTCTGCGTCTATCTCTCTATGTTATTTCCATGTTTTGCCTCCTAAAGTTTGGATTTCTTTCCATCATGAGTATGTCCCCTCCTGCATTTGCCAACATCCGTTTTGGAATCTCAAGAAGATTGGTTTCAGCTTTTCCATAATCTGAAATACTTCGAAGAGGTTAACTCTCAACTAGGCATGAGTCAAAAGAAGTTCCTCCATGGACGATTGCAAGGGAGCTAAGAGATATCTAGCCAACTATTTGCAAGTTAAGCTTCTCATTGAGCTTTGATTTGAAAGCTGCCCCCAGAGTCCTTGCTCATGTAGACTAGCTTACTGTGTTAGGACTTTGGTTCCTAATGTGATTTGGGATGTAAACTAGCTTACTGTGATTTAGTCCACTGTTATGTTTGTAATCTATCTAGATGTTCCCTAATTTCCACAAGACAGTCAGTACTCTGCTTCTGTGTCTTTTTTATCTTCTTAGGAAACATTTGCACTTTACACCACCTACATTTCTGACTTTGTTAAGTCAATGTTTTAGATTACACAAGCAAATATTATTGAAATAATCATCTAAGCGTTTTCTTATTATTACGAAATATGTACATCTAAAATGGCTTGTGAAGACTACTAAAGAGCTTCGTGTACACCAGTGATGTACATAAGCATGGGTATTCCTTTGACAGCTACTACCAAAGACTAACAAATTGAAAGAAAAAAAAATGGCTGACCAGGTAAGAGGAGACCCAATGTACAGTGGAGACATTATCTGTACAATTACAACTACAACACTTTTCGAGTTTTGAGAATGAGAGCTCTTGAAAAGTAATGTCTCATTCACTCACATCATCAAGGCTGGTTTCTGACTACCTTCACGCTGCTGTAGAAGCGCCGCAGATCCTTCATGGCTTTTTCTTCTATCTGGATTGATCGTATTGCTGATGGAGCATCTATCTCTGGTTTGAACCAGCGATTTGTTCCAGGCGAATCTGATGGAGATCCTTGCCCGGTTGCGACTGTGAAGCCTGATGTTTTTGTCTTTGGACTGTGGGACAGAGACTGTTGCTTCTTCACCTGCATTAGACAAGAAAAAGACATCGAGAGAAAGATGAGCTTTCAAACACTAACTATGATGCACCAAGACAAGTATACTTCAAACTGAGGACAACGTACCTCCTGCATCTGGATATCTCTAAGAGAAGGCCGGGACAGGTTACGAGGAGTTTCAGAGGAAGCCCAAGGAGGAGTTCCTTTTTCCACATCAGACTGCTGCAAACTTTTGGCTGGTTCCATTGGAATCGGCTTCGATGTCAAGAAGGAACTCAGTAATATCTTGCCTTCAGTTTTACCAGAAGAATCATCGCCTGACCGATTTTTAGTAGTCCTAACAGGTTCATGAGGCTGGGTCTTGCTTTGTTCATCTTGAATATCCCGAAGGGAAGATAATCCTTTAGAAACCTTAGCTCCACCCCACACAGGACCTTCAATCTTAGGTTTTGGTGGAGGAGCAACAACAGGTTTAGGAATATCATCAAGGGCACCAGTCAAGAACATGGAAAGCCCACCCTTTCTGTTCTTCTTCTTGTTAGCTGCCGTTGCAAGTTTCTTGCTTCTCGGCGAATTGGGTGGATTATCTTTCTTCTGCGAGAGTGAGACAAAGTCTGATTCTTTCGGGAACCCACTAATCATCGTCATATCCAGCATGGTTTTGCCATCCTAGTAGAATAAGTACAAAGAGCAGATGAATTTTTTATCAAGCCTCAACAAAGGACATTTTATCATTAGAAACTGGTACCGAAACTAACCTTTGGCTTGATAGCTTCAGAAATTTCCTCAATTTCTTTATCCTGCATTGTATCTATTTCCACTTTAACTTCACCAAAATCAGGGTATGTCTCAACCTGTAAAAATCTCTGTTTCCCCTTTTTCTTCTTTTTTCCCTTCTTGTTGGCTTTTCCATCTAGTGGTAAAGCTGTTGATGATTTTGCCTCTGGAGACTCTTCAACGGGAATACCAAGTTCTACCAGTGAACTTTCGATATCTAGTTTCTTTTGAAGTTTTGCTATTTGCTGACCATCAAGATGTTGTCCTCTGGATTGTTTTGCTTCAAGGATCTCAATTTGTTGCAACTTTTTCCTCAAAGCTCGGACTTCTTTGGAATTGCGTAAAGTGAGCTCATCTTCTGGTTGCAAGAATGAATCCATTCGAGTACCGTCAGCAGTACTGGAAAAGTGTTTCACATGGTTGTCACGAGTTCTTAGAATGTCGCTCTCACTTTCCTCCTCTTCACTATCTATCACAACTGGAAATGTGGCTGTTGGTGTTGGAAGTGGTCGGGAGCTCCATGCTTCAGATGATCTGTCATCCAGTAATTTCTCAAGATTGGCAAGAACATCAGGTGATGTATTTGCAATTGATTGGGGAGAAACCGTCAAAATAAAGTCAAGGTTTCGGATCACAATGTCCTGCAGAAGAACACACGTGTAAGGTACTCATCAGCCAGAAAATAAAAAGAGAACACTGAACATAAACTTCTCTTTGTTTTCTATCTCTGCGGTTTAGTGTGCAATCATCACAAAGGAAGGTTTGCATTACCTCACAATACTTCTTGAGGTCCTCTGCTCCAAGCGAATCCGCAATTTCAAGCAGTTGAATAGCATTTCGTGGCTCTACAATACACTCCGCTGCCACCTTCTCGCATAAACTTTTTAAGCTGGGTACTGTCCTCTCCTTTGGATTATCGTGTTGCACGGATTGTAATACATTCACAGATTCCACATCATCAAACATAAAACCCTCATCCAGTTCTTCATTTTCTTCTTCCCTACTTTCATCCGCTTGCACAGTCTGAGACTTCTTAAGCACAGTAGGAGCATAGGCAGGATGATACAGAGAACCCACAACCAGAAGATGTGTTTCGCCAACAGCAACTGTGGTTGCCCTTTTCAAGTTGTGGAGGCGAGAAAGAGACGGTGGCATATCTTTACCATCCTTCCCATCCCACATGTAAACTTCACCTGTACTAGTAACAGCAGATGCCCAGTATTTACCCGCTGAAATGCTCACTACTGTTTTACCGTGAAGCGAATGCAACTGCAAGAATCAGAATTAAACATATTCTGACTATTACTATGCGAGTGATATTGAGTTATTTAGTTCTTTTAAGATAACAAGAGAAGTTGAATCCAACCTGTTGGCATCTAAGATTGGAGTCAGAGGAAACCCAATAAAACAATGCACCATCTTCTGCTAGAGCCAAACTGTGTACCATTCCCGCAGCTAATGCAGTCAATCGAAGAGGTCTCCTTCGATGAAAATTCAATAGTGTGTTCCCAGCTTTCTTTAAATTCCGGGAAATGATAACACGTCTTGGAGTCACCAGCCGATGACCCCAGGTGTACACCTGGTCAAAAAAGAAAGAAAGAAATACTAAAGAAAAATAAATTTCTATTCAAATTGAGTTCTCATATTCTAGATAAGATTTTCCACATGTTCATACATTCTATAAACTTTACACACTGACATGATAGTAAAGTTTAACTTAACATGTAGTATGAAATTTTACCTCTCCATCGTTTCGCAACACTAGAGTGTGATATTTTGAAGATGCAATAGCCGTGAAAACTTTTCCTTTCAAGTAATCAACCAATCTGGGAGAATAGTTTGATGCTGAGTTGGAGGTTCCATAACCAAGCTGACCTTCCTTGTTGCATCCCCAAGTGAAAACTTCACCGCACTCGGAAACTACGGCGGTATGTTTGTTTGCTGCAGAAACAGCTACAATCTTCGCCTTCAATGAAGTCACTTTTCGGGGAGTTGCCTGAGTATCCACAGAGGTATAACCAAGCTGACCCTCTACAAGAGCATCACAAACAACATCAGACTCTAAGACCACGAGGCTACCCAAATAGATTGGATATAACTCCATCTAATTCAGATTAACTCAGAAACTGGGCTTAGAGGTCAAAACTAAAACTTGAGTATACTAGGCACTAAAGATCCATTCACTGGAAAATAGGAAGCCGTTAAAGTGTTTTACCTCTATTGGAACCCCATGTGTATACATCCCCGCCTTCCGTAGCAATAACAGTGTGGTGCTTAGCTGCCGCAACTGCCTTTACACGGCGAGATCCTAAACCAGATATCACCTGGCGGGGAGTAATAACTGCAGCTTGACCACTGAGATAGTAAACCAGGAAAATAAACTCGATTGTGGTTTACATAAACTTTCAAAAAGCATATGGTAAGCTTGAAAAAAAAAATCAACCAAGCTATGATTATATGAACGCTTAGAAGACTATCATTGATCTTTCAATGTTCCATCAGAAATCTAGCAAGGCAAACTATGAGACAACAGTAATGCCATAGGCAAGTAGAAATCTTCATATAGACGCAACAAACTAGACCATGAACACTTTGTAGGTACGAAAGCAAATAAGCTCCTTCTTAAGTCACCATATCAGGGAATTAACAACAATACATACCTGTGAATGTCAAATTCAGGATGTCCAAGGCGGCCACCCCTTCCAAATCCCCACGTGTAGACTTCTCCATGAGAACTAATGGCAACACTATGGAACTTTGCAGCAGAGACCAACTTAATAAAACAACCATGCAGTGAATCAACTCTGCCGGGTATCTTCTGAACATGTTGATTGCCAGTTCCAAGTTGGTAGTTTGCACCATTTCCCCAGCTGAAAACCTCTGTAGCGACTGAAAAGAAAAAAGGAACACAACATTTCAGCTGCTCAAAAGTTGTGTAAGAAAGAGTGACAAGACGATTAAGGTTTTCCTTTAAAAGTCAAGGTTGAGAAAAGATTAGTTACCCGAACTCTGTTGCTCGCCAATAACCTGAGCCACTGGACCTGAGACCAAATCAACCGGTGTTCGCAGTTTTATGTCTTCTAGAGTAAAAGAAGCACCTGAGTCAATTAGTACGCTAGCTACCGCGAGATGGCCAAAATGCAAAGCTCGGTGAAGACTACTCCAACCAGATTCTCCATCCTGAAATGGACATTGTACAATATAGAGCAAGCTCAATTTTCCAAGAATTATGAATACAATACATGCAACAAACATAGAGACAGAAACCAAATAACTTACTGAAAAGAGATGTAAATAGGCAGGATTACGTACAAACATGTAACTTCTAGATTCAAGATTATAATCGGAAGAAAAAAATATTGAAATATATCAAGGCACAAACAGAGGAAAGTCACAAACCCTAGCATCTGGATCGGCGCCAGCTGCAAGCAGTCTCCTAATAATAGGAATGTGATTTCTCCATACAGCAATATGCAGAGGAGTCAGACCATGGACATTCCTTAAATTTATATTGCCACCATTCTTCTTCAGTATGCTCAGTGCTGAATCCACATCAACCAATGACCCTTCCCGTATAGCAAACCACAAATCTTTCCTAGATCCTGAAAGTGAGCTTTTGCGAGGAGTTTGCAGGTTCATCTTTTGGGTTTGAGGAGAGACTGACAATTCCATATTTCCAGACGGCAAGAATTCCCACTAAAACCTTGTTGTGTCTGGACCAAATGCCTCCAAGAAAAAGACTCGGGTTTCGATAACTTGGCTAAAAGTACAATGAAGATGATTTTTCCTGGCCCTCTATGTAGTTTAATGCCATCTAACTTTTGCTAAAGCTGATGTTTCATCTTGAAAATGAGTCGAACAAATCACTCAGCTTTCTGAAGTGTACTCAAATCTTCATAAGAGAAGTAGAAAATTCCTGATCATATAAAAAGGAATTATATTGGATTAATAATATTCATATAGCTTCTTTGAGAAATCTAGAGAAGAAAGAATAAACAAGTAAACCCGAGTAATGGAAAGCATCGATCCTTTTCTAAAAAACAAAACACAGAAAGATCATTTAGAGACTAATACTTGCACCAACCAAAAAGCAAAGAATCTCATTTAGTGTCACTCAAACAGAACTAAAGAGATGATCTACCAACACGTACATTGTTTGAACCTAAACAAGGATCTCCAATGAGGACATTTGTTAAGCAACATACAATTAGTAAAAATCAGTCCACGAATGTGACTCAATACCAAATCCGGTGAAAAGATCACGCCTTTAAAATTACACTTAGATCTCTTATAAGTGTGAAACAGAGAAAAAGCGAAGCCAAACAAAAATCTCCAGAAAGCACACAAATCGAGAATGGCAAACAGATAAACTCGATCTCCAAATGAGTAGCACAATTCGATCGAGAAGTTCAGAATTCATCCCAAAGCACAAGAGAAAATACAGAAATCACGGAAATTTACCACTTTTGGAAGCACCCATCACTCAAATTCGAGACTTGAATAGAAAAAAAAAATAGCCTCATTTCCAATCACTCATCAGGCAGAACATAAAAAAGAGAGAGAAGTAAATAAAACAGTTTTCGATGCTGTTTTATTGGTAAGAAACCAAAAACTGTCATTGAGTTTAAAATAATCAGACAAGAGAGAAACCAATTTAAAAAGAAAAACTGAATTTCCGTTACCTGAAATTGAACTCCGATGAGATTTAACAAGAGAGAGAGAAAGAGAGGCGATTAAAGACAGGTATTTAAAACAGAGAGAAAGAGAGGATATATGAGCACAATGGAATCTTCTATGGAAAAATTCAATGTGTTCATAAGAAGCGAATCAAAACAGAGAATATACCCTCTCCATGAGAAACAGAGGCGTATAAAAAAGTTTCTGAATGAGAGCGAGAGAGAGAAACGGGGAGAAGAGAGATCTCCGAGCCCAAGGGTAATTCAGTAATTAATTAGAAATAACGTAAAATGACGATAAAGTCCTTGGAGTTGTGACGTGCTAAAGACTCGGGGAAGAGATGAAGTCATATCTGTCTTCAGACACCTAACTTGTTTGCTTTACATCGTTATGACACGTGGCGATATGTGCGACACGTCAGACGTTGACAAGGTCATACACACAGTCATCAATTGTCTGAAACATCTCTCAACCTCTTTCTTATGAAAAAAAAATATAATAAGCTCTCTTTTTTGTAGCCTTTCAATAATTTTGTGAATTTCTGTGGCATTGTCAGTTTTTCAAGAATTTTTTGTGGATTATTTATATTTTTTTATTTGAGGGACAAAATGGTAAAAGAATATCAACAGATGCTAAATCATAGGAGATGCTAAATCAAAGGCATAAATGTGACGCGTCAGCTCTCCTGACATAAATCTGATGACGTGGATATCTCTGATTGGATGGCATGCCTTTTCTTTGCCAGCCAAAGGTCCACGTCACGGAGCGGTGAAAGAATGAGTCCAACCGCGGCCTAATTGGTGGTATATTAAGCATTGTCAAAAAAAAAAAATGGTGGTATATTATTAAGCAGCTTTCTAATTTGACAGTGATATTACGTTCGATAAATTACTTCGTATGTTCTCGGTGATAAAGTTTATAAGATTTCTTGAAAAGAATTTCCACAGTACTTTGAAAAGAAATGCTTACACCATCACCATGCAAATGAAATGCTTAACAAAACGTATATACGAGTACTTTTAGTTCTCTCATATACCACGGCAAGTGATCTCTAAAAAAAAGGTTCGAATTTGTGTCCTTCTTCATGGTATCAAATCAATCTTAGTCTAGTACCGCTGAAAGATCTTATAAAATCAACTGTTTATTTTCAGCAACTTCTTAAGTTCTACAACACTAGTGATCATATCAAGAAAAAGAAGAAACACCAGTGATTTTGATATTTTAAGATTTCACATTTTGGGGGCTTTGTATAACAAATAAATCTTTATCCTCTTTCAAGAGATCAAAGAAGCATATTTCATTAAGAGAAAACAAAGATACATATAACATTGCAACAAAAGAAGAATATAAGATGAAAGCCATAAACTCTCTTCAACGAAAGCGAGAGAGTGTGACTCCATTCCCTCAAAACCTAACTTTGGCTAAAAATATTTTTCTTGGAAGAAAAGTTATTGAAACTGAACAAACACAAACCACGTATAAAAATCCCGGAAATAGAAATGATATCTTCAAGTTCTTCACTTGGCACTACCGAGCTGGGAGCGGATTAGCTTAGCCGCGTCAACCATGGCTTTAAGTGCTGGTTTAACCTCAGTGTACTTCCTTGTCTTCAGACCACAGTCAGGGTTAACCCACAAGATGTTCTGCTCAAGAACCGCAAGCATCTTGTTGATCCTGTCTGCAATTTCTTCCGTGGATGGTATTCTTGGAGAGTGAATGTCGTAAACACCAGGACCGATTCCTGCACCGTACTTCACTCCTTCACGGAACACAGAGAGAAGCTTCTCGTCTGAACGAGAGTTCTCAATGGTGATGACATCAGCGTCCATGTCGATGATTGAGTGGATGATGTCATTGAAGTTTGAGTAACACATGTGAGTATGAATCTGGAAGATAAAACAAAGAAGTTAGTTACAGAAGCATTCATCACTATTTGAGATTTTTAAGTGTTTAGTGTTGTTACCTGAGTGCTGTCTTGGACGCCACAGTTGGTGATTCTGAAAGAGTGAACAGCCCAGTCCAAGTAGAAAGAGTGTTCAGCTTTCCTAAGAGGCAATCCTTCTCTGAGTGCGGCTTCATCGATCTGAATGACTCCAATACCGCCTTTCTCAAGGTCTTCCACTTCGTCTTTGATGGCCAAAGCGATCTGGTAACAGGTTTCGTGCCTGGGCTGGTCGTTTCTGACAAAAGACCAATTGAGAATTGTGACTGGACCTGTAAGCATACCCTTCATTGGACGTTTGGTCATGCTCTGAGCTGTTGAGGACCAGAAGACTGTCATTGGCTTGGGGCGGCTCACGTCACCGTAGATAACTGGTGGCTTCACACAGCGAGATCCATAGGATTGCACCCACCCGTTTGCTGTGAATGCGAAACCTGACAATTGCTCTCCAAAGTACTCAACCATGTCGTTTCTCTACAATGTTGTCAAAGCATGGCTCGAGTCAGAAACAGAAAGTGGTAATTTGTTTCAAGGGTCTAGTAAGAGACAAAGAATCACCTCAGGCTCTCCGTGAACAAGAACGTCAATGTCAAGGTCCTCTTGGATGTCAACAACTTTCTTGATCTCTTCCTTGATGGCCTTGACGTAATCCTCCTCAGAGATTCTAGTAGAAGAGAGATCAAAGAGTTCCAGTTAGTATCACAATCAACTTACTAAATTTGCTTAAATGATCAATGCAGAAAGATAGTGATTAAGATACTAACTTCTTGGCCTTGTATTCACGGCGAACTCTCCTGAGTTCCACGGTCTGTGGGAAGGATCCAATGGTGGTGGTTGGGAGGATTGGAAGGTTAAGCTTCTTCTGCTGAGCATCTAGCCTTGCGCTAACTTCGGTTGTACGGCGGTGGTCAGACCCCTTCAAAGCAGCAGCCTGAGATAACCAGGAATCACAAATCATCATGATCAATAAAAACATTATTACAGAAGAAACCATCATGTGAGTAAAGCTTGAGTTTGAAAGCAAGAACTTACAGCCTTCTGGACAGACTCATTGGTGACTCTTGGGGATGACCTCCTCGAAGACAAAGCATCAGCGTTGGCAGTGAAGAAACTCTGAAAGAGAGGAATATTAGAGAGTTAAAGTGTTTTTCAAATTAAAGGGTCCACTAGGGAATCATGTTTGTAAGATTTTTGCAATACCTCATTTGTCTGACCGGCTAAAGCCTTGGCCAATGCGTCAACTTCAACAACCTTTTGGGCAGCAAAAGCTAGCCACGACTTGATTTCGGCATCAAGCTTAGTCTCGTTAACAAGGTCAACGGCAGTGTGGAGAAGAGAGCAAGAGGTTGAGACCACAAGCTTGTCTGCACCAATGCACAGATAATAGAACCAATGAGTTAAAGAAAGATAACAAAACAAACACTTCTAACAGAGTAATCCACAAGTAGAGATTCTGGAAAAGCATCATACCTTTACCAACAACACCCTCAAGTGACTGCAAGGTGATGAGAGAGGCAGCGAGGTCATTGGCCCAGATGTTCCTTCCGTCAACAACACCAGCAAAGAGGTACTTGCCCTGGGGGAAACCAGCCTTGATCAAGTCAATGGTCTTGGTACCACGTACCAAATCAAATCCAAAGGCAGTCACACCCTTCAAGGAAGTAAGGGTCTTGTATGCTTCAGAAGGGATATCAGCGAAGTAGGTCTCCACAAGAACATTCAGACCAGAGAGAGTTGATTCAAGCTCAGCATAGGCACCGCTAAAAGCCTGGAGTTTTTGACCCTCGAGATCCATGACAAAAAGAGGCTCATCAAGCTGAATCCATGAGGCACCAGCTGCCTTAAGCTCTGCAATGACTTCCCTGAGAAAAGATTCATCATTCCAAAAGTATGTCAGAAACAAATTTCTTAGCGTCAAAAATAACAATTGAGTATTACAGCAAAAGAAATCTCTTACTTGTAGACAGGGAGGATTTTGGGGAGAAGGGAGAGAAGATCAAATGACTTGTCAACACCCTTAGCAAGCTTGGAAAGAAGCAAGTAAGAGACAGGGCCAACAAGTACAGGGACGGTCTCAACACCAAGCTGCATAAACAACACCCCATTATCATATTAGAACATTCAATACCAGACCAAAAGAAGCCTATGTTCAAATAAGAAAATTAGTTAAGTACGTACAGCCTTGGCCTCCTTGTACTCATTCACAGCCTTGTGAGATGCGTAAGAGAATTTCACTTCAGGGCCCAACTCTGGGACGATGTAATGGCTTAATCAAACAAAAAGTAGGTTAACAACACAGCTAACAAATCCAAAAACATTGTCACTGCAAAAACACACAAGATAAAAGAGTAGAAGAAACTCACTAGTTGGTGTCAAACCACTTGGTCATTTCCATAGCTGGAACAGAGGCATTTCCTCTAGCCATAGAGAAGTAAACATCGAGACCGATCTCACCACTAGTAAACCCATATCTAGGTGGAACAGCACCAAGCATGGCGGTGGTGTCAAGCACCTGGTCATAATGAGAAAAGGTGTTGCTTGGGATATACTTAATCCCAGCAGCAGACATCTGTTTCCAGATATCAGACCTTAGATCAGCAGACACCTTCTGCAAATCCTCAGCACTGCTCTTACCATCCCAGAAAGACTCCAATGCAAACTTGAGCTCTCTCTTAGGTCCCATACGTGGGTATCCAACAATGTGGGAAGCCATTTTTGATTCTTTTTTTTTTTTTGCTTTTTTAACTACATTGAACCACAAACAAAATAAAAAAAAAATCAGTCACTAAATCAAAACACAATCCTAAAATGTACTTCTTGTTCTGTAATAAAGTAGCATCTGTTAAATTAATGACGGCTTCACCATTCAATCATTGAAACACAAAAAAAGGTAAAAAAAAAACTTGTTGTCGTATTAATTGAAAACAGAGTATGAGAGTTCTAAGATCAAAACTACAGAAAACAGAGATCTAACGCAAAGAAAGATCGCAAAACAGAGATTCTCAAGAGCAGATCTACGAATCTGATCATATTACATAGGCAGATCTGTTATTCGTAGAATTTCACTCACCGGATTTAGATCTAAGTATTAAACACGAAGGAGAAACGGAATCAAACGAAATTCAAAAATGAATTGAGAGAAAAGGAAAACGAAGAGACGGAAGCTAAATAAGAGAGTAGGAAGGGAAAGAAGGAGAATAGTCATGCGGAAGCCATGGAAACTCGGAAGCGTACCTCACGGAATGAGAAGAGTGGAATTGAGAGATGGCAAGGGAGCGACGATGGAGAGTGTTCTCTGTTTAACTTATTTATAGCAAACAATTACACATCGTTCCTTTGTTTCTCTCACTCTCTCTCTCTCTCGTGGTGGCTGAATATTTTTTTTATTTAAATTAATAATACGTATATTTAGTGTATTTAGGGTTTTTTCTCTCTATACGGAATTATCTTAGTATATGATAAAAATACGTATAATTCATTTATCCAGCACGTTTAAATTTTTATTTTTTTAATTGAAGGGCATGGTCAATTATGTACAACTTTTGAAACTTATACGTTTAATAACGACGGGTTACATAAAAACAAATGTATTTAATCATGGCATGACATTACAATTATATAAGCTGGTTGATAGTTTTTTTTTTTGGGATGAAAATAAGTAAGCTGGTTGAAATTAATTCTATTCAATTAGTGGATGAAAATAGTGATATTTTGTTTGACTTTTGTCAACTCCTTACTGGCTAGTTAAAGCTTGAAAGAATTCTTATAATAAGGGTTAATTATGGGGGGTTTAGTGTATATTGTAAAGTGTATTAATTAAGAAAAAGAGGGGTTTAATTACGGAATTAAAACGTGAAGGTGGGGAGGAGAGTTGGTGTGTTGTTGTGAAGACTGAAGAGTATACATGAGGAGAAGGAGGTAGCGGGATTGGTGGGTGGAGCCCATTAGGGAGTTGGTGAGATATTCACTATTTATTTCATTTTTCCTACAAAACGACGACGTCATTGGAGTCAGTACCAACTCTTGCCACACAAATTTGTGATTTGTTTGGTAAACAAAGTTGGTGAATGATTATGAGATCCTCCACGTCCCTCTTATATGGTTTGATCTTCACATTTTTTCTATTTTTAAAAATTTAACAAGTGGTTTTATAGTCTAGTTTGTGAATCAAGACTTCCTATAGGGATTATGAAAGTTATGGTTTATATACATTATCTTCAATAATTCAAAGTGTCTTTTTAAAAAAAGTATTCTACAATAATTTCTTGTTGTCTTGTTTGTTGAGTGTTTGGGCACCAGACAATCAAGTTTCAGACCAATTCGATAACTTGTCACAATATTCACCTTAATGAGGACTATACGTCTATGTTGTATGTAAAACAAGTCTAGTATGAAATGGGTAAACTAGCTGAGTAATAAGAATATCCCATGCTCTATTTGGACGTCTAGATCGAATATTCTATGTTTTGAATAAACAAGTGTATTTTTACCATCTCTCTTGTAACTTGACTTGTTTTGTAGCAAGAAATCTTTTTTAGTGTTTTCATATGCGAAAGTCCGTACTTTTGTTTTTGAACTCAAAAACTTTAATCCATCAAAACGCTTAACAAGTGACTACTTCAAATTATAAAATAAATACAGAAATTTTTGTATCGGGTAATTTTTTCTTTCTTCACGATATCCAACATCGGTCTATTCCAATTTCCAAAGCATATGCCTTGCTATGGTTTTGTCGGCTGTCGGTGGGATATAGATAAAAAAAAACGCACGACCATCTATGAGACATTTGTTTTCGTTTTTTTTTTTCGCTAATGCCTAATAGATACTTGTGCGTCTTGAAATATCGTATACTACAGTAGATACCTAATTTACTTTCATTTTTTTGGTAAGAAAGTTAAATGAATAAACACATTTACATATCAATCCTACGAAATATATTATAAGTTTTTATTAGCGAGATCACATGCTAAAGACGATAAAGTTTCCGAACCTTGGATCGAATAATGGAAAATATATGATATTCAATATATAAGGAAACTAAAAGAATCTCAGAAATTTTTACTAAGGGAAATAAAAATTCATAGATCTCTATATATATTATCATCATATATCCATATAGAAAATTTTCCAAAATCTATATAAAAGAAGAAACGTTTCTTCACCACCCAAAACCTCCCAAATTTTTTCCCCTAAGGTTTCTCAAGAACAAGAACAAATAACAAAACATATTTGATCTAGATCGATGGAATCATCTTCCAATCATATGGTATGCGTACACTTATAATAGATTGTAAGATTTGTGTATATATTTTATGCTTATTTGAAAGTGTGTATAAATCTTATGGTTTTAAGCGCAGGCATGTCTCTTGAAGATAGAATCTCCTACGCCGGGATGGAAGAAATCTTTGGAAAAATTACTCAAGACCATTAATGGTTTCATAATCTATCACTTTTCTCGCTTACTTATCTTAATTTTACCATTTCATTTCTCACTTTATTTTCACTTGTTTTTATCCTTTTCATAATTCTACTCTCTTTTTATTTTCTACAGATGTGAGTTTTATGATTGACAAGCAAAGCAAAACGGTATATCTATCTGGAAAAATCGATCCACAAATAATACTTGAAAAGATTACAAAAGCAGGCAAAAAAGCAGTTATAGTATGGAGCAATAATGGACAGAGTAAGCAGCCGGAAAATCGAAAAGACCATTTGATGGAACAATGTTATGCGTCGGGATACATGAATGGTCCTAATGGTTTCTCAAACTATCCTCCGCCTAATTATTGGATGAATCAACCTCAACCATACAACCACACTTTATGTCCTCCACCACCATATACACGTCAGCTCCATCCGCAGCCACCACCACCACCACCGTACGAATTCCACCAGAAAGAACCGGTGGCTAAGAGTTTTCCGCCTACACCAGTTCCGCCTAAAAACTTTACCATGGGAGATTTGCAACTAGGTTGCATGATAATGTGAAAACTTACCGTGTTGCACGATTTTGTCTTCTTTTTTTCATTCGTTAATGTCAGTTTGTGGATCATAACAAAGATTAATGTTTATTAAGGATCTTTTGAGATTCTCCTATAGTAACGTAAGACTTCTCAGAAACTAGTTAGTTTTGTAACAGTGTAGGATTCTTGTAGTATCAGAAGCTTTTAATTTTGGTCTGAAATCAGATCGAGATGCGTTCGTTAGTGTTGCTGCTTTCTTGGATCTCAAACGTTATCAGTCTCAACTCTGCATCTTCTTCTTCGTCGGATGATCAATTCAGGGCGAGATCACATGCTAAAGACGATAAAGTTTGAGACTATGGTAAAAATGTGAATTAGTGTAAAGCTATGATGTGTTATTGCTTTTGAATAAAGTAATAATACGTAAAATATAATCCCATAAAGTGTTCAAGCTTCACATTAGTAAGATACTAAGATCTATGACTGAAAACTGAACCATTGACATAGGCACAGTAATTAAAAAGTATTAGAGTCCAATCCTTGCATTACTTTCTAGTTCCTACTCTAGATAGAGTTCACATACCGAATAAAATCTGAAAACAGATCCGAGATAAACCAACCATACCAAAAAAGGCCAAAATTAGTCAGAGAAACAAGAACACTATAACAGAGACCACTAATGTTGATTACCCTACGAAACCTAAATCAGAGGTAAACCGGAGGAGCTAGGTGGTCCGTTTATTCAGGTACAAAACAAACCGAATCATCCTAAAGCACTATGTTTCAGCTCTTAGTCTTTTACTTTTTCTTCAGCTTCCAGAGTTGGTTGGTTGTTGCGGTTAGGTTACTTGCTTCTCGCCTTTTCCAGATCAGGAAGATCTGACCAAATATAATGTTATTAGTATGATCAGTAATAACATAAGGATCCAGATAAAACATATATTTTTGGAAGTGTACAGACAAGTTCATATTTATATTTGATACTAACAAGAACTGAAATCACAGGATAATGCCACTAATACTTTGGCCTTTCACAACAATAATCCATCAATCTTCACTTGGTATCTACTTGCAGGTATGCATAGATATAATTTGTGACATGTACGTTATCATTGCCATAAAAAGATCAAGATTCTTGAAACTTACAGAGCAATCCATCGTCATCGCTGCTTTCACTATCTTCATTAACGAACTATGGAAATAAAGAGGGAAACTAATCAAACAGGGTGGCTTTACTAGACTGCAATAGAAAGAAATAGGCGATTACGAGAAAAAACTTACTGCACTCTCATCATCAGAGGCCGTTTCAGCTGAAACAGAAGCAACAAAGAGTCTATCATTAGAAACAATTTATGATGAAAGAGATCAAAATACTTGTGATTTTTCTAGTCTTTTGAAACGAGGTTAGACAAAACGAATATCTGCTGTATCCAAAATTGGTGTAAGTTTACATAATTAAGCATGTAGGAACAAGAGAGATGGCAGGTTGGGTGAGGGCACATCCAGGAAAAAAGTGAAATCCTAATCTTTGGAAAGTAATTTTTTTAATACGAGAAGATTTTGGATTACCATCTAGAGATTGAACTGAAAAGAGAACTTTGGCTTGTAACATAAGTTTTTACGACTTACAGTTGACCTCCTCATCCTCATCACACCATTTATTCCAGTCGACTTTGATGTAAGGTGCGGGTTTCTCTTCTGATTTCAGCAGTCGTGTCCACCAGCTTTTCTCTTCTTTCTGAATTGAAAATATGATGTTCCTTAGCCCTACATTCTTCCGATATTCCTGCATCATACATATTACATAGATTTGTAAAAAGAAGTTTATGTGGATACTATAAAAAAGAATAACTGACCCTAAGCGGAATGAGTGATATCCAATGCGAGAATTCAGATAAAATAATTAGACCACAAACCTTGAGAAAAACTTTGACACAAGATGCATTTAATTCTAATATGTCGTCACTTCCATAGTGTTTGTAGCAAGAAAATCCAAAACAAAGATAAACCAAAAAACCAGAGAGCCATAAAAGTTCGAAACATCTCTAAAGAGATAAATATCTAATTCAGCGATCACAGAGGTGACCTCATGCAAAGGTATGTCTTTTGCAACAAATATTCTAATTCCTTGTAATGCAACCGAATTTGAATGTTGCTTCAACCAAGGAGAAGGAGGTTTGTGGTTCCGCCGAGGCTCAGCCAACCAAGATGACAAAGCAGCAGAATGAAGTTGTGTCCATGAAGACAAAAATTGGAAGTTGTTGAAAGACAAGGAATTTGAATGTGTTGCAAAAGACTAGCTGAAGCTAACTAGAAAATTATCGATTTAGAGATGCAATGATTACTTTCCAATTGATATTTTACAGTTGCTGCTAGTTCTTATCATTGAAAGGAAGAAATGCAACTTACTGGCATAATCTTCCCATATAACTCCAAGCTGAATTCAAAGCGCTCGCCTTGGGCACCAAGAGCAGAGAAACTGAATAGACCCTGAGGCTCACACTTGACCGAAATGTCTTTCGCATCAGGTAAGGCGACGGTTAGGTAAACCTTATCAGAACGCTGAGCCCAAAGAACCTCCGGATTACGACTGCACACAAGGTGAAACAACAATTTAATACGGTGTCTCTCTACTCAGCGGACTTTGTGTAACATACCACCCTAATCACACAACCAAAACAGAGGATTACGACTAACTTGTTACATCATAAGAATAACAATCACAAAGATTCTCAATTTTGAACCTCACAAGTAAAACAAAAGCCAACGCTTTTATAGATTCTAAACATGAATGCTGAATCCAATCATCATCACAAGTAAAGAAAAGTTGTAAGATCTGTGCAAACAACTCTCTCATCACAAAGAACACAACTCCCTGTAACTACTGAAAAAACCCTTTAGTAAAAGAACTTAAAGGTAAGGGCTTTCTATAGTCTGGTTACAGAAAATGTGACGAGGAAGTCAAACTCAGCTCACAAATCACGCAAAACCTTTTTGTGGATTAAGCAAACATACACACAAAATCCAATTCGAGATTTATAATTCCTTCAGATAATTTCAAAAACCCTAGAAATCGAACAGATACCTCATGTTTTCAGAAAAGTGTATAGACGGTGCCGAAAGTATCAACGACGGACGGAGGATGGTGGAGCAAAAAGTTGAAACCTTTGAAACGATCTTTCTTAGGTAAAAAATCCCCCTCTAAAGAGAGTGAAGAAGGTGAAGAGGTATCATTTATTTACACATTTGGCCCAATAGTTATAGAATATGTCATATAGACCCATAACTTCACAAATTTATTTTAAAAGGATAAGAAGTAAAAACTCTTACAAATACTACCACCCATTTGGCTACAATTAGAGATTTCATTTCACAATTTGGCATTTTGCAATAATAATAATTTAAGCTAGTTACTAAAGTAAAAAAAAAACAAGAGCAAAACGGACAAATAGGGATAATTGAAACGAAAAGACAACATGTGTCATAGTTTGTTACAAATCATAGTGCGATGATGACACATGCTAGCTACTTTCAAAACACTTTTTTTTTTCTTCTTGCAAAACACTTACACACAATAAGCAAAAGAAAAAAATCGTCACGAGATTGTTTTTGCATAAATTGAAAATTTCCATTACGTTGATTGCAAATTTCTTCAACTTGTTTATATGGCATCGTCAACTTTCATAGTAACATAATTTTCTGACACATTAAGATATTACTACTCTTAGTGTATTCTAAAGTCGAATAAATTAAGGATTAGTTTGAGGATGCGGATGATAACTTAGCAAATTAATATTTGATCACTTCACAATTACGACTCACCTAACAAAAAAAAACAATAAATCTAATGCTGAACAAACCATCTAACCTAATTTATTTATTACACACCACAAGACGAAAATGACACACACACCTTTAGGCTCTAACGTACGTCTTAAATAACCTAATATATATTAGGTTACAGTAAATTGATTTCGCTTTCTACAAATCATTTTAATGTAGTGTCTATATATATGTGTGATAAAAACAGAACATAACATAAAAATAATAAAATAATTGATTTCGCATTTCTTTTCGTCTACCAAATTAAAGATCAACCTTTTTTTGTTTGTTAAGAAAAAAGAAAATCGAAACTGGAAATAAACACATTCTATTTCGTATTCTCTAAAGTTGGCTAGACGATTATAAATTTATAAGTTGCACCAGCAATTTATAGTTTTTATTTTTATTTTAATTTTAATTTTAATTAAACCAATATTGAATACGACATTGACTATTGAGACATGCAACCAATAGAAAAAAAAAACTAACCAAAGAATGAAACACAAATGAGAAAATGAAAATTAATTATTTATTCGTAAACGATGCACAGAAAAATCTAACAGAAGAAGATGTATATATAAAACTAGGTGGACTAAAATTTCACAAAATTTTGTTTTCTTATGTTTGTAAGTATTTGCTTTACTTGTTTTCTTATACCTGCAAATATAAATCATAAAAAACTACAAGATAAAAAAGATGTAGAATCACTCATGGCACGTGAGTAGTCAAGAGATTAAAGGACATGACACTATGAAATACAGATGAGTTTAGTTTAAATTGTTTGTTAATTTGATTTCTCATTCTTAGCTTATTAGATAAAAACATGGATTAGTAAACTAGCATGTTATTATCCTAGTTTAGTAAACATGGATTAGTAAACTTAGCTTATTAGAACCTCATGACTCTCTGGCTCATCTAAGGGATGGTTTCCTTTCCATTTTCTTGAGAATGTGTATTATCAAAATGTTTCCTTGCTTTTTATTATTTTTTGCCAAGGATCATTTCTCTAGGTCTTATTGTAATACCTAAACTTTTCATCTATTGATATTAACCTTCTTAGCAAAAAAAAAAAAAAAAAGCATGTTATTATCCTCTATTGATCATATGTGAGCTAATTTGTGGTATTAGATTGTTTTCTTGAACTTTGAAAAGGTCGGAGAAGATTGGGACCTACATGTGTCACTTTAAAAGTCTGGTGTGACCTTTCTGATGGAGATGCCATCGTGCGAAAGCTTACATGACGGTGTGTGCTACAACTTCACTTTCTTTCTTATTTTCACCTTAAATAATTACCTTTTAGATTTAAGTTTTTGGATGGATCTTGTTTATTTTAGTTTGGTTTTAAGCTTAGTTTTGATAAAAATCCGGTGTAGTTGTTGTATTTTTATGTTTAGTTTGATTTCTTTGTTTTCAGTTATCTTACATGATCAACAAAATTAGAATTACACAGAATTACTCGGTTTGTTTACTTATTTTAATTTTGATTCTTGTTTTACAAGACTTGTTTGCCTCGACTCGTAGTATTTCTGTATTTGTAGACCATCCCCCTAAGCCCTAAAAGAATATTTCTCTTATCTTTACTTTTTATCCTTTTTTTTGGGGTCTTTTTACTTTTTCTTGGCCACAGCTTTGGCTCGAGTGGGTTTCTCTTTGGTCCCTATTTTTTTGAAAGTGATAAATATAATATGAACATATTTAATGCTGATAAAATAATTTAATTTTGTGTACTGTATAAATAGTGAGACAACCAAAAATAAAAAGATCAGAAAAACGTCGGCCAGACCCTGTGGGATTCCTTTTTTTTTTTTTTCAATTTGTAAATAATGCATGTGAACACTTTCTAGATTAATTTTGAACAAAAATTCTACTTCTATTTTGTTTCTTTCTTTTTAAACATTTTTAAAAATAAAATTTATCGTTGTCTTCCTCTCGTGATAGAGACTTAGAGAGGAGGACCAAACTCTCTGTCGTTAGCTACTGACAATTTACTAAATCGTATGGTTGCTAAAATGTTTTTACATTGATTTTGCAGATTTTTTTTGTTTGTTGTCCCTTTTTTTTAAGTAATAGTTTGTTGGGTTAATATTGTTCCCAGAGTATCCTCTGTTTTATCCTTATAAAAATATAATAATCACTCGTGAAGGAATCTTGAATGTTTTTAAAGCTCCTTGAGGTATTTTCATCAGTTACAGAGGATTTTCTTGGGAACTTTTCTCACTTTCTTCTTTAAATCAAGTTGCTACTTTTTTTCTCTTATAATAAAATCAATATTCCATTCACAGTTCCTTCATAAGTTTGCAGAGGTATTTCTTCATCTCAAAGGCAACTATTTGTCTTCTCATTTCTCATTCTTCTTTTTCTGATGAAACTAAATTTCTTTTCCAGGAAAAAAAAAATTTAATCTCTTGTGCTCAAAAGTTTCCTGCATCTTTTTTTTTTCTTGCAAGGTGTCTTAAAGAGGAGATTCTGTAATCCAGGTGGTGAGTTCTTCCTGTTTTTCTGGAATTCACATGCAAATTCATATTATTTTTAGTCACTTAACTAATTTGAAGATTGATTTCGAAGATTCTCTTCTGTTTAATTTAATGCATTAACGAGAAAAGAGTTAAAAGATCAAGATCTTGAGAGTGGACCCTGTTCTGAATTTTTTGTAAGTACATTATATATAAATGTGATTCTTGAATTTAATGTGTGTGTCTCTTTGCAGGTTTTGATGATGATGATGATGCTTATGTGATTTTTTTACTTAAGTAGTTGTGTGTGTTTGTGACTATGGAGAAACTCTTCTGTGGCATGCCACTACTGCTTCTGGTTCTGCTTTTAGCTTCCATTGATGGCTCTACACAGCTTCAATCATCTCAATCTCAAACCCTCTTGAGGCTGAAACAACTACTCTACTATCCCAAAGTGTTGAGCAGCTGGAACAACTTTACTGATTTCTGCAATTCTGAGCCAAGCCCTTCGCTAACCGTTGTGTGTTATGAAGATAGTGTAACGCAGCTTCACATTATAGGAGACAATGGAACTCATATGTTACCAAAGAGTTTCTCAATAAACTCGTTTGTTACTACTCTTGTTAAGCTCCCTGATGTTAAAGTTCTCACCTTTGTGTCTCTCGGGTTATGGGGTTGGTTACCTCAGAAAATCAACCGTTTATCCTCTTTGGAGATTCTCAATGTGAGTTCTAATTTCCTCTTTGGACCAATCCCTCATGAACTCTCGTCGCTCGCTAGCCTTCAGACGCTTATACTCGATGAGAATATGTTTTCTGGTGAGTTACCGGATTGGATTGGTTCTTTGCCAAGTTTAGCTGTGTTGAGCTTGAGAAAGAACGTGTTTAATGGATCATTGCCTTCTTCACTGAGTAGCTTGTCAGGTCTTAGAGTTCTTGCTTTAGCTAATAACCGCTTTAATGGAGCTTTACCCGATTTAAGCCATTTGACAAACCTTCAAGTGCTTGATCTTGAAGGAAACTCTTTTGGACCGTTGTTTCCTCGGTTAAGTAACAAGTTGGTTACTCTTATACTCAGCAAGAACAAGTTTAGATCTGCAGTTTCAGCTGAAGAAGTGAGTTCTTTGTATCAGCTTCAGCATTTGGATCTTTCCTACAATACATTCGTTGGTCCATTTCCTACTTCCTTGATGTCTCTTCCCGCGATAACTTACTTGAACATTTCACACAACAAACTCACCGGGCGGCTTTCAGCAAATCTTTCTTGCAACTCACAGCTGATGTTTGTCGATATGTCGTCAAATCTTCTTACGGGAAGTTTGCCTACTTGCCTTAAACCGAGTTCCGGCACTAGCAGAGATGTTGTCTATGCAAGCAACTGTTTGGCTACTACGAATGAAGATCAACGCCCAGTTTCATTTTGTAGCAATGAAGCTCTTGCTGTTGGAATCCTACCACAGAGGAGGAACAAAGTTTCCAAAGTGGGTATTGCTTTAGGCGTAACCGCAAGCATTCTCGGGGTAATTCTCCTCGCCGGTGCCTTATTTGTGGTTCTTAGGAGATTAAATGCGAAGAGAACAGTGACGAAATCTTCCCCAAGATTGATAAGAGAGAATGCTTCAATGGGCTACACATCAAAATTACTATCAGATGCAAGTAAGAAGATCAAAAATATCTCTCATATATTGTCACACATTTCACTTATAGCTTGAGTTTTCATTGATTACTTGTGGTGTGCTGCAATACTATGAAGGGTATATATCTCAAACAATGAAGCTAGGAGCGCTCGGTCTTCCAGCTTACAGAACATTCTCACTGGAAGAGCTCGAGTATGCGACAAATAACTTTGAATCCTCTGCTTTCATGGGTGAAGGTTCTCAAGGACAGGTAAAGCAGTGAAGCTTCAAGCTTTCTTTAGTTTTCATGTTTTTGAACAGTTGAATAAGACAAGATCTTTGTTTTCATTATTCTTTACAGATTTATAGGGGGAGATTGAAAGATGGATCCTTTGTGGCAATCAGATGTTTGAAAATGAAAAAAAGTTGCAGCACACAAAACTTGATGCATCACATTGAGCTCATCGCTAAACTGAGGCACCGTCACTTGGTTAGTGTGCTCGGGCACTGCTTCGAGTGTTACTTGGATGATTCAACAGTCAGCAGAATGTTCTTTGTCTTTGAGTATGTCCCAAATGGAGAACTCAGGACCTGGATTTCTGGTATTACACTGAAACATGTCCCAAGAACATATGCAGAGAATGAGAATGATCATTATATCTTTTAATAACTAAACTGGAATGTTCTTTTCTTTGCTGTGTTAGATGGTCACATGGGAAGATTGCTTACTTGGGAACAACGCATAAGCGTAGCGATAGGTGTAGCAAAAGGGATCCAGTTCTTGCATACTGGTATTGTGCCTGGTGTTTATGATAACAACATTAAAATAACAGACATTTTGCTTGACAATAACCTCGCGGCGAAAATCAGTAGCTATAATCTTCCATTACTTGTGGAAGGTCTTGGAAAGGTAAAATGATGTCAAAAGTTCGAATGATTTTGTTTCTTGGATCTTGAATCTTGAATCTGTTTGGCTTTCCTTTCTAAGGTGGGACAAGTAGGATCTCGAAGCGGACCTAAAGGCACTCCAAGGTGTGTAAAATCTTCTTTACTCTGTTTCTCATCAGCTTGTAAACCGGTTTATATGGTTTAATCCTCTGTTTCTCATCAGCTTATAAACCGGTTTAAATGGTTAAATCCTCTGTTTCTCAACAGCATAAAAAGCGAAGATAAAATCGATATCTATGATTTTGGAGTGATCTTGCTTGAACTTATAGTGGGAAGACCATTGAGAGCAAAGAGTCAAGTCGATGTTCTAAAAGAGCAGGTAACAGCATTCGATATATATAGCTAGAAACGAAATCGTGATCATCTACTTTAAAAACTCTGTTTCTTGTTATAGTTACAAGCAAGCATTTCAGCGGATGATGGAGCGCGTAGGAGCATGGTGGATCCAATGGTCCATAGAGCTTGTTCCGACCAATCACTGAAGACAATGATGGAGATATGTGTAAGGTGTCTCCTTGAAGACCCTTTAGAACGTCCTTCCATTGAAGATGTCATGTGGAATCTTCAGTTTGCTTCTCAAGTTCAAGAAGGTTGGCTACAAAACAGCAATCCCTCGAGCATTCGCGGCTCGCCTTCTCCGGCTGCTTCCTCTCTTCCTCCTCCCTCTCGTTTACACGTAACAACACTCGAATCTCCCCGAGATTCAGGTATTTTGAACTCGATGTTGCACCGCCTTTTATGATGGTCAATTCATTCAATTCAGAATACAATTTGACTGTAAAAGATTTGAGATTGAATAAGTTTATTGATCTGAGATTTATTTGTGTGGTTGTAAATTGCAGGATGTGAAGAACATGAGAGGTAGAGAGACGAGAGTTTTTGTTTGGTCCGTTGTGTGTTGTTCACTGATCACTACCCTTTGGAAACATAACCTTTTTGTTTGTAATTTGATGTTGTTTTTGTTTATCGTCTTTATTTGTTGTCAACGATCAAAACAGTTAATAAATAGTTAGAATTCATGAACATTATTATCATTTCAGAAAATTAGAATTCATAACAGTACTTCCTAGAGGGAAGCCAATCTCAAAATATTGCAAAGCAAATTCAAGGGAAGTCGAAGCTAGGTGTTATCATGAGCTTGATTTGGTATTTTTTTTCGTAACTCAATTTAGCTAGTCTTGCTTTTTGTTGTGTTTTTTTTAAGTAAATGGAGTGAGTGTGAAAACGAGTGACCAACACAACAATTAGGACCTGACATGTCCAAGAAAAAACACAAGGAAAAAATCACCAAAGTCTGTTGTAGCACATAATATATAGATTGGATAGTGATTGAGGTAGAATTATAAAAGGTGGCGATGACGGTCTAATAATTGATAAATTGTTGTATTAAATTATTTTTGATCAAACCAAATATAGAAATAGATATGTTTAACAAAAGCCTAAAAATTTTAAAGCATCAGAGATCAATACATTTTTTTTATTCTTTTGAATATGATTCTCCTTGCAATTTTTCTCTTTTGAATATATCAGTTGAACATTATTCAAAATGTATGGTATACCGTATACGTCTACATGTATGGTATACGTCTACATAGATTCGAATCGTAAATTCAATATCTATGATAATTAACCAGATATCTCATTCAAATATTTCACGACAACTCTACATGTATGATATATGTCTGAATACTATTATTTTCTTTCTCAACATTATTAAAAATGGAGCTATATAAATTAAAGACAACTCTAGCTAGGTAATATATTCATCTCCGGTGATAACCATCCGCCGGAAATATTACCTCTGAAGCTACCGTCGTCGATCCAACAGCCACCGAAAAATCAGCACCGCTCTCTTCCTCATCCTCATGCTGATCTCTTCTCCTTTGCTGATGTGGTGGGATTAGATGCAATGAATGTTCTAAGTTAGTCGGAGCCATGACATCATAGCTGACCGTTGCCGCCTCCGCTGCCACGGTGAAGCTGTTCATGGCGGCTCCGGCGAGAGTGGTGGAGGCGGAGGAGTTGTTGGAGTATTCGGGTTGTTGCATAACAACTAATTGTTGTTGCTGTTGTTGGTGATGAGTTTGTTGTTGCATAACGTTGGCCATTGCGACTCTACTGTTAATCAGTTGTGATTGTACCACCGATAACTCCGCCTGTAGCGAGGCCACCTAATAAATTTATGGTTAGAAATAAAATTTTATTTATTATGATCATCAATTATTGTTACATTCTTAAATTCGCATAGGAAATGAATTTGCACTTTCAAATATGTCCATAGTCGATTTTAACCGTTACAAGCTTTACTAAATAACGCAATTCGGACACCTGATTAGTACTATATCTTATTAAAAAAAGTTAAATAAAATTAATATTAACTTTACCTGTTGTTGGAGAGCAAGGATGGTTGAGACGCAGCCATAGACAGGATCAGAGAGCCTAGCTTGAGCCTCATATGAGATCGTAACCACCGCATCATGACGACGGTTCACCGGAATATGGTGCAACAGTTTCGACACGTTGCTGGCTCCAAAAACCTTATGAACGGCCGCGAACCTAGCCGCTCCTTGGTCTGACCCGAAATGTGGAGCGAAAATGCATCCACTCACACACTTCCTTCTCAAGAACTTGCAAGCCCCACACGGAGACGCCGTCCCTGTCCCCGTCGTCGCAGCCGCCATGGCTACTCCGCCGGAACTAAGTGACGACGTCGGAGTTTGTTGTGAGGTTCGTTTTCCGGCTAGTGATTTCCGGCGAGAATCTGAGGTGTTGTGGCCTCGCGGATGATCAGCCATATCACCAAACAAACATAAATTAATAAGGTTTAGTTGATGAGAGTTTCTTGCGAGATAAATGATATCTCTATTTATATAAGTATGTTAATTTATATGAGTGTATATGTACATGTGTGAATGTGGATATATAAGTAAAAGAAAAAACGGATGAGGCCACGTTTGTTTCATGAAGGAGGTCGCGAGGTGAATGTGGTAATCTTTTTTTTTGTTATTTAGTTTGTTTTACAATTATTTCATTTCCAAAATTAATTTGGTCAATGACTTTTTTTTTTCTGTTTGGTGTTTTGCATTTGACAGCTTTAAAGGTTATGCAAAGTTTTTTACCATTTTTTCCACCATTCTATTATTGACTAATTAATTACTCTTGTTTTCTTTTGGTTAAGATTAATACTATATGACAATAGTGTTTCACACGTTTTTTCGCCTTTGACTAAATTAATCGTTATGGTTTTGCTTTCTTCTTTTTTTTTTTTTTTTTTTTGAAATTTCGTATGTTGGTATTGTTAGGTGCAAGAACGAGCGTATCAATGGGAAGAAGGTGTGAGGCACACGTGCAAAGAGAGTGTTTGATAAACTAATATTTATTACTTCATAAGTATTTTGTTATATATGTATATATACATATAGTTATTTCCTTAGGTCTTATTTAAATGTAAATATATATATTAGTTATGGTTAGAACTAGTCTAACAAACTTATTGAAATGCGTACATTACGTCTGAACCCATTAGCAATACATTTGATATTTTTAATCATAAATATCTAGAGTCCTTTTGCTTATAAAAGACAACACTTATAAACGTTTCCAAAAGGGGGAAACTTTCGGAAGTTGTTGAAATTAGATAGCTAGGGAAGTATTTTAAATAAAGTTAATTATTGTGAGTTGTGACATAACCCAAAAGTATACTCAATTGGTGGAGAAAAAACAAGCAACTTCAGGCCATTAACAATATATATGAACTACACGATTCTTTTTTTAGAAAAACCAATCGTACATATCAATTTGAAGTTTAAGTCTAATACATGTGTTGATGCAATTTAAATCATATGTTTTTGTTTTTTTTTTTCCCGGAGGAACCAAGAAGTAATGGGCGTCGAAAAGATTGATGGCAATATGTAATCAGTACAGTGATATATGCATGCATGTGGTATAACGAAAATTCTATGTTTTTGCTCACATAACTTTATCAACTACGGTTTCAGAACCAGTGATGCATGCATGTGTTATAATGAAAATTCACATTGATGTTCTTTATCTTAAGGGAAAAAAGTAAAACAAATGTGAAACTATTCATTATAAAACTCAAAATACAACCAAGCACCGTCACTGTCATTCGGTAGTTACACTTTTTTTTTAATAGCGATTCTACTGATTGGAGAAAGAAAGGGAGAAATTTAGAATTCACGAAAATGAAGTCATGAAATACTCTAAATCTATTTTTGAAAATGACAGTAAGAAAAAAAAAAGAAAAGGGAGGAATGTTGTGAAGAAAAGGAGCACGACAGACATGAAGGTTGGTTAGCTTACTAAAGAACTCCACACGAAACGGTCAACACGATTCTCGTGCCTCTCCTCTCTCAGACATTCACATTTACAACTATCTATCCAGACGAAATTACGAATACGATACCAAGGTGTTATTAATCATTGTATCGTACATTTGTTTTACCTTTTGAGACAACGAAACTATTCATTATAAAACTCAAAATTTTCAAATAATAAGTGTGTTTTGGACATTAGTATAGATAGACAAGGTGATGAACTGATGATGAAATCAGGTATTCTCACAAGGCAACGTTCCCAAACAGCAGGAACTACCACAACAGCAATTTAACTTGTTGTCTCTGTTCTCTCCGGTGACACGGGAGTCTCCATAACTGAAACTTAACTCCTCATCTGCGATTATGTCCCTTGCTGCAAAGAAACAGAGCCGAGGAAGCAATGCTCCGGAGCTTCTCAACAGAACGGTAGAGAGATTTCCGCCGTCACAAGAATGGTTGATGAATCTAGCAACGTTCCCAATTCTTGTGGCGTCGATGTTTATTCTTAAACAAGCTTGTCCTGAAGGAAGGTGCTCGCGTATGACCAAAAGAGCCGAAGCGAAAGATTGTGTTGATCTGAGTTTGTCGTAAATGTTTTGACGTCTACGTGCTTCATCTATTGTCAATAGCTCACCTATAAGAAGAGACAACAAACACAAGTTTATGACTTTTGCATAAACCGGTCTAAACCTAATCTGAAGGTACAAATGGTCATTAAGTCAGATCATAAAAAACACATTCAAGAAAGAAAAAAGTTTTGCCGTTTATCTCTAATCTCCAAATTCAGTATTGTGATACCCCTAAACGATTGAAACAAGAACATATCAAAAGCTCAAATCTTTCACTGATGGAGATCACTCTTATACCATGCTAGAATCTCATCCCAATGCATCAAGCTAAATCTCCAAATTCGTATGCAGTCAAGTAAATGGCTAATAACTAATGCTAATATTTGTCAAATCATGTAAACTTGAGCTTGATTTTCAAGTTCCAAGATAAATCTTCCAAAATTTTGCAATAAAACGAATCATTAAACTATTCTGAAACCAAAATTGGGTAACGTTACCTAATGCTAACGTTCCTCTAATCATGTAATCTTGAGCTCAACTCCAACTTCCAAAGAGAATTCACCCCAAATCAATCAACTTTCACGATCACTAATGTTCCTCTAATGTTGTAATCATTCAACTTCCAAAGATAATTCATCCAAAATCAATCAAACGATCACTAACATTCGAAAAATCGAAATGTAATTGTAACCTGCATATTCACAGATGAATTGGCCTTGCTTGATAAGCTGATCAGCGTACAAGCACCAACCTTTCTTCTCATCTCTTACAATCTTCACACTAACCGAAATCCCCTTTTGTGTAACCCGGTTCGAACAATCCGACCCGCATCCACAACCCGACCCACATTCGTTACCAATCTCCTCCATCCCAACGAAAGCTATACACTTGCAGTATCCTTCCTCACACCTCTCGCATTCGCATCCTGACTCGTCCACTAGACTCACCCCAAAACGTCCGCGTTCACTCACTGAGTCAAAACAAGGTCTCGACTCGGATCCACATTCAGTAGCAGCCCCCCACCATTGTCGCGGCGGAGGAGATGACGCGGGAATCTGATACGGTGTGTAGATGAAGTAAGCGTATCGTTGAGAATCAATGGAGTTGTGAAACGGGATTGAGAGGTTTTCCAAGGATCGTGCAGCGTCAAGGGATCGGTGAAAGGTTATAGATTTGGATATTAGGGATAAGGTTTTGCAGGTTTGAGCGACAACGGCGAGTTCTTGAGGGTTTAGCCATGGGAGAATCAAATTCGCACATCGGAAAAATAGTTCGGTGGCCGGAATAATGTCGGGAGCTTCTCCAAGACAACGCTTCTTCGGTGGTGACTCTCGCTGCATTTTCTCAGCAACAATAAATTTCATTAGAATTAATAAATACAGAAAGAAAAAAAAACAATTCAGCGAAATAGTAAACGACGTCGTTTATCTACAAATTCTATTAATTTCACTCAGTAAATTGTTTTAAGAAAAATAGGTTAATCATAAAGCAAAAAATTAGAGAATTAATTATTCTTTTCAACATTTTTATAGATTTAAATAGATAGATTTTGTTTAATGGTTTTTGTTAGTATTGTGGTTATGTGATTAGTCGGTTTTAAGTTTGGTTAATCAAAGCTATTAATGAGATTTTATTACCCGTTCATGACTTTATGTTTTAATTTTTAACTGAAGGCCGCGTTGAATCATTTTCCCAAGAAAAAAAAAAAAAAAAGAGTTCATAAGACAAAATCAAAATCAAAATCCATCTCAAAGAAACCAACGACGAAATTTTCGAAATGCCATCGCCACCGACGACGACTTCTCTCTCCGTCACACAAACCATAAACGGATCACACAGCTTCACAATCAAAGGCTATTCTTTGGCTAAAGGAATCGGGATCGGAAAACACATCGCCAGCGATACTTTCACCGTCGGAGGCTATCAATGGGCAATCTATTTCTATCCTGATGGCAAGAATCCTGAGGATAATTCGGCCTATGTCTCCGTTTTCATTGCTCTTGCTAGCGATGGTACCGATGTTAGGGCTCTCTTTGAGCTTTCTTTGCTTGATCAGAGTGGTAAAGGGAAGCATAAGGTTCATAGCCACTTCGATCGTGCTCTTGAGAGCGGTCCTTATACACTCAAGTATCGTGGCAGCATGTGGTTCGTTTCTCCGATTTTTCTTTTGATTTTTTGATTTTTCTCTTAACTCTTTGCTAGGGTTTGGTGAAGAATTGGCTTAGGGTCTCTGATTTCTAGTGAAAGCTCATTACTTTCAGGGTAAATTTTGCTCCTTTGTCGGGGTTGATATTAGGTTAGGGGTATTATTATGTGGTCAAGAGTTTGATTTTGTGAATGGAAACTGGAATATTTGGATAGGAAAAGGATGTAGATTGTTGAAGACAAGATGGTGTGAGCTCACAAAGATAAAAAGATGAAAGAGATTGAGAAATTCAGAGGAAATTGAATTACATTGGCTGTGGATTTCTCAATTTGTTTGATTTTTTTGTTTGTGTGACCTGTATATGAAGTTGAAAAATGGATGGTGAGAGCTTTCAGATGTGAGAAGATAAACAAAGTTGTGTGAGAGTTGATGTTGGAGGCTACTTGGCTTTGTTTTTGTGGTTTACTTGAAACTCTGACCTATGGAAAGAGAGAGGACTTGGAGTAGGAGACGCAAATTTCTAGAATATGAAGATTCTTTTACCTGTTTTTGACATCCTGTTACTAGTTTGCCTGAACTTTTCGTAAAAAGAATTAGGTTCCTGCTGCTTCACCAGCTTGTAGCGTTGGTTCTGTAGTTAAGGAAACTTGATTGGGAATGAGAGAGGGTTTGGACTGATGATATCTAGGATTTTCTTGAAAAGTAATATTTTTCACACGTTGGCATGATTTGCTATATAGGCACCAATCTTTCAGAATGGTAGGCTAATTTTGAAGTAGGAACATTGCTTACTGTTCACCTGCATATAGCAGCACAAATCTTGCTTGTATGAATATCTTCATGTTAGGTTTGATGCCGCTTGTATGAGTAAAGCAACAGAGTATTGTGTTTTGCCCTCAATATAAATTTGGTACCGTTGGTTTTCCTGCTTTAAGCATCTGTTGTTAAGTCTGCTTGTTAAGTCTCCTTCTTGAAGGTGATGCCTTTGGCTTTTGATTTGACTCTGCATTAGAAAGCTCTCAAAATTTTTACTGCTTGTTAATGCAGAGGAATCATTCCCTCATAGAGTTTTGTACTTCCCTGTTTCGCTCAACGGATTCTTATTCGATTTTATTTGCTTACAGGGGCTACAAGCGCTTTTTTAGAAGACTTATGCTGGAAACATCTGATTTTCTGAAGGATGATTGTTTGAAAATTAATTGTACTGTGGGAGTTGTGGTCTCAGAAATAGATTGCCCACGGTTACATTCTATTCATGTCCCTGCATCTGATATTGGATCTCATTTCGGGATGCTTCTGGAGAATGAGGACGGTTCAGATATAACTTTTAATGTCTCTGGTGAAAAGTTCCGTGCTCACAGGTTAGTATTGGCTGCTCGATCTCCTGTCTTTGAAAGCGAGTTCCTCGATGATACTGGAGAAGAAGATCGTGATATTGAAGTTACTGACATGGAGCCTAAGGTTTTCAAGGTAAACTTTCTCTCAACTTTTTGACACTAAGCATGTAACAACATCACACAATGTAAACGCATCGCATTTCTTTCTAATTCTTGATGCATTTCTGGTGAAGGCTTTGCTCCACTACATATACAAGGATGCTCTCATTGAAGATGCAGAGTCATCATCATCTTCCGGTTCATCTGTTGGTCCATCTGCATCAGACACATTAGCTGCAAAGCTACTAGGAGCCGCTGATAAATACAAGTTGCCTAGACTAAGTCTAATGTGCGAGTCAGTGCTCTGCAAGGATATATCAGTAGATTCCGTTGCAAATATTTTGGCGCTTGCTGACCGCTACAATGCTTCCGCCTTGAAATCTGTTTGTCTGAAATTCGCAGCAGAAAATCTCATCGGTAATGACCTTCCCTTATGGCTCATCACTGAAATTGATTTCACACCATACTTATATTGCATAAACATTTGTTTTGATGCAGCTGTTATGAGGTCAGATGGGTTTGATTATCTAAGGGAACACTGCCCATCACTTCAGTCTGAACTTCTGAAAACAGTTGCGGGATGCGAAGAGGAGTTAAGCGGAGGAGGAGGGAAGACGAGAAGCGTATGGGGCCAATTCTCAGACGGTGGAGCTGAGACAAATGAGAGAAACGGAAGACAACCACAGACTTGGGGAGATATCAATGGAGCAGCAGAGAGAAGCCAGAGTGTTTGGGTTGAAGTTGTGAACGCTAATGCAAGCGGTAGAAACAATAATGACAACAATAACAGTGATGACCCAATGGCAGAAGATTGAGCAAATAAAGGTAATAAAAAAGCCAAAGGAAAATCCGAGTAAGCTGAAGTTAGGATCAGACATCATGATGCGGAGATCTTGTAACTTAGTGTGACCACTGTCGAATGATGTGGATCATAGGAGACGATTTAGTGTTGTTGTTGTATTACGCTTTTCTTGTAATAATTGGAGTCACTATGATAAACTAAACACTCATCATCAATATAAAATTCAGTAAGATTGGTCTGTTTTCTACAAGTGTTAATTCCTTAGATAAATATTAAAAGCATAAAGTAGAAGAAATAATCTTACACAAAACTTGATCGCCTTAAAAGCAACCATTTGCCACCAAAAGTTGGGAAACCCCAACGAGCATCCTTGAAAGGCAATCGGCAATGAAGCCGCAATGTATTAAAATCGTTGATCATGTTTGAATATTGTACTGGTTTCATAGCATAGACTAATGCCATTGTATCTATGAAAGTGATCATTGCTAAAGTAAATGCAATATTTCTTAATTCCATCTTTAGCTGCAACAGTCGTTCCTATATCCAAAAACAATGCTTCGTTGCCAATAGAAAGACTTTCTTGAATACAGAATACCAAACTCTTGAAAGGGACCTGGCTTTATGAAACTCTTCAAAGTTCGAAGACAGATCGAATCATGTCGCGGACTTTGAGATTTTAAAATTAAAAGAAAAGGTGTATGTTAACATACGTGAATGGTTTTTTAAAATTGAAATTAAATTATATCGGTGAAGCTGTTTTGATAACCACGGATTCGGGGATCGATATGATGAAAATATATTTAAAACTAAATTAAATGGAAAAGTTTAGTAAGAAATTGATGAACTAAAAGGAAAATACTGAAAATATAAATTTGACAAATTGGGCTACACGATACGCAACTGTATATTGATCCTCTAAAAAAAACTATATATATATATATATATATATATATATATATATATATATATATATATATATATGTTAAAGAGTGAATTATATCTTAATTTGCATCCCGAATTAGGAAATTAAATTCTTAAATGAAGGAAGTATGTAAAGAAAAAAAAGGAATTTAATTTCCCGAATTAGAAATTTATATTTTAGAAGATTAGAAATTATTAACATAGTTTATAAGTAATTTATTAACATAGTTTAAAAGGAAAAATCAAATAATTTGTTAATTCAATATTATACAAATTGTTGATAAAGTCGCTGACAAACGAAAGGGAAGCGTTCTTTAATTAGGTTTTTTTTTACTTGGCGTGACACAGAAGAAACAGAAGAAGGAGATGAGCGATTCCAACGAAAAAAAGACATGCAACGATTCAAAGCAGCCGATACTTGTCCTGGACTTGGTTAGATTGGTCTTGGAACGCTTGAGCTTTGTTGATTTTCATCGAGCTAGATGTGTTTCTTCAGGATGGTATTCCGCTTCGAAATCATGCATTGGAGGAACAAATCCAACAGCTCCATGGATCATCCTCTTTCCAAACGAACATGTGAAAACCAACAACGATTCATGTAAGTTGTTTGATCCTCGTGACCATAGTTCATACACAATAAGAGATCTCGGGTTTGATATGGTTAGGAGTCGTTGTTTGGCAAGTTCCGGTAGCTGGTTCCTTATGCTAGACCATAAAACTGATTTTCATCTCTTGAATCTATTTACTCGAGAGAGAATTCCTCTTCCGTCTCTGGAATCAATTGATGGATGGCAGATGAAGTTTGTGAGAACCGGTGACTCTGATTTCGAGATGTCTATGTATTACAAAGCACATGGACTTGTTTCTTATGGTAAAAACAGCGATCTTAGAATAAGGGATGCGGTTTTGTGGGTAGATGAAAAAACCAGAGATTACTTTGTTGTTTGGTTTCATCATAGCACTTTTGCATATCACAAGAAAGGAGGTGACAATAATAGCTGGAAAGTGTTTCAACCTTCAAAGCATCAAGGATGCCGCCATATGGTGTATAAAGAAAGCAAACTTTACGTGCTTAGTCCAGCTCGAAATATTTCTGTGTTTGATTTCTCCGGTGGTCATTCTCCAGTGGAATATGCAACTCTCCCATCTCCGAATGATTGTTATGTCAGGAATCTTGCTGTGACATTGTCTGGAGAAGTTTTGATCATTTCAAGCAATCCAAAGAAATGCTTTCTCACCCTCTACAAGATAGATCCTAAATCATCAAAATGGAGATTAATCAAGTCTATAGGGGACGAAGCATTGATTTTGGACCTAGGAATAACGGTTGCAGCCAAAGATGGAGTTATGAGAAATTGCATATATTTTAGTCATGATGATTTACATAGATATAAAGGGGTTAGTCTATGCAATGATGATAAGTACGGTATTTGCGTCTACCATATTAAAACCAAGAAAAAGGTCCAAGTGTTTGAACATCTTACTACTTCATCGCCAATACCATTCAAGGATGCTCGTTGGTTTTTCCCCACTTTTGGTGGAAAGTAGTTTGCTCTAAAACTATATCAAGTTTTGTCCTTTGGTAAGGGTTGATTATTATTTTTTATATTGTGGAACAAGACTGTGTTGCTAGTTTTCTTTTATGTTTTTGAACTCAAAAAGGTTTGAAAACCATAGTCAAATATAATATCTATCAGATTTATAGAATATATATTTTATATTTTTTTCGAAAGGGAACATCGTTTTGGTTTGGATATTATATTGGACGAGACAACGAGTGATAGTGTTTTCTACTTACTGGTTAAACTAACTACATTTTATTTTAAATGAAATAATTGATATATCAGTAGTATTTTGGCGTAAACTATTGATTTAAATGAAATAACTGTATAATTTACATCATTCTTTTTTTTTGGTTCAGTCGTTCAGAGAAGAAAAGTTTATTTTTCTCCAGCAAATAAAACTTTACATCACTGTTATTTAGACAACCTTTTTACATTGCGATTAAGAATAAAGAAGTATAGTTTAGACAATTTTATTTGCAGTCCTTTTCACTATTGGACCTTGTGAATTGTGATTAAGTAAAAATCCCGTAATTTACATTTGGACTCTTTGAAGTATAGTTCTTAGATTGTTTTTATTGGAGAAAAATTCTAAGGTAAATGGAATTTGCCCAGGAAAGGACTGAGGAACCAAAATTTTAACTTTTTGATGAGTATACTTGTCAATTACTCAATATACCGGACGCAATTATATATATATATATCTTTAAATATAATAAAATACTTAAACCCCTAAAATAATGACAATTAATGTTACAATACTTTATAATACTCTTTAGTTTTGATGACAATGATTTTTTCCCTACAATTACTCATAAAACAAAGGGAAAAGAAACTAAAAAAGAATGAAGAGCAACTTGTGAGATCACTTATTTTGCGAATCTAATTTAGACAACTTGGGCGCTTTCACAGATTCCTACGGCTATGGGGATTTTTCCCACAGAATCTAATTTTGCGAATTTGGATCACTTATTTTGGAGAATACCTTCGGAATTTGATTCATCAGCATTCCCATGGATTATTTGGTATATTTGGAAAGCAAGGAACGAAAAAATCTTTGAAAACATAGATACAGACCCAATAGAGGTATTACGATTAGCGGAAAAAGAGGCACAATTGTGGCAATCAGCTCAAATTGAGCTCCATAATGAAAATCATGGTTTTGTGGACTTGGTAAATCGAATTCGAGTGAGGGAAGTTCCACTTGAATCGAATTATTCCGGATACCGTTGTTTTGTGGATGGATCATGGAAAGAAAGTGATAAGTTCTCCGGTACAGGGTGGTTCTGTACATCGTCAAATGGAGAACCGTCAACCATGGGAGCTGCGAACCTCCGTCGAAGTCTATCTCCACTACATGCCGAAATCGAGGCCCTTCTCTGGGCGATGAAGTGTATGATTGGTGCAGATAATCAAGAGGTAGCGTTCTTTACAGACTGTTCAGATCTGGTGAAGATGGTGTCTTCTCCAACCGAATGGCCGGCATTTTCAGTGTACTTGGAGGAATTTCAGAGCGACAAGGAGGAATTTTCATCTTTTTCTTTATCTTTAATTTCTCGTAGGGCTAATGTTAAGGCGGATAATCTGGCACGAAAAGTTCGTACAGAACCGCTTCATATCACATATGTAAACAACATTCCTCAGGAATGGCTCTTTTGAGCTCTAATTAATTTCGGATGACAAAAAAAAAAAAAAAAAAAAAAAAAAAAACTTGTGAGATCCCACATTTTGATAGATAATCACTGTTAAATGGTGAAATTTGTGTAAAATAAAGAATTTTCTTTTGAGAAAAGAAGAAAAAAATGATATGGTATTCTGTATTCATCCTTTTCCCACAATGGTCACTAATTTAACTATAGAGATTCTTTTAGTGTTTTTAAATTTGAGGTGTAGTTAAAAGATTTCTTGAGATATATAATTCATTCATCAGGAGTTGGTTGTCCTCAACACAATTTGGCCCAACTGTGAATGATAAATAATAGAAAAAATCACAAGATTCATCTAAACTTTCAAGAATCTTACCAACGAGAATCTTGATTCCACATCCCACATCTAAGTATCTCCGGATCTGATACTCCATCTGAAATTTGTTTGTGAAAAAGTTTTGATCTTTATTGGATTATCTCTCTTCCTCAGGACAAGTTCATTGCCGGGTACAAAACCTTTGATGCCCCTGAAGATCACGTTTTTGTATGCCTCAGGGCTATTTTGGTCATAAAGAATTTTGGGATAGAGAAAGTAATTAATTACATTTTCAAAGGCCATGTTTGTTTTCTAAATTCTAACTAAACAGATAATCTAAACACAAGGGTAAACGACCGTGTTTAAGTAACAGAAACATTGTTACCATTTAAGGGCATCATTATTATAGGTTGGGGAAAAAATTGCTGGACAACACCCTCCAGCTTTTCAAATTTTACAAATCTACCCACCACGTTACGACAATGGAAAATAACCGTTATGATTTTGTAATTATCGAGTTCGAGTGTTAAGAGAAACGACTTGTTCTTATGTTGTTGATAAAATAAAAGAAACAACATGTTGTTTTCCAGTGCTACGTATTTATATTGTTTTCTAACATGTGGGTAGATATACAGAATTTGATAAATTGGAGGAATCTTTTAGCAATTTACTCAATGAATATGTACCGAACTAAAAAAGTAAAACCTTGGCTATTTTTTTTTTTAGTCCCTTGAAACTATGATAATGGTTTTTTCAAAAACATAACACGAGCTAAAGCCCAAACACAGACAAAAGCCCAAATATTACTCAAAGCAAAATAGCGCGTGTTATCACGCACGCATAGACGCGTGAGAGAGCGAATGGTGTTTTCAAGGCCGTTAAGGTACTGTAGCTCGCACACTGCTTCCATTAATTCACAAATTAAAATCTGGCTCCATTTTCTCTGAAGATCTTCTCAAGATATTCTGAAGAACAGCGAAGAAGACGAAGATTGAAAAATCTCTTGGTAATTTTTTTTCTGGTTTGCTTTAGCATTACGCGTTTAAATTTCCGGATGATGGTGACGATGATGATGATGATGATGGATTGATGATGATGAGTAATGACGTTCTCTTGATTCGATTTTTCTGATTTCATTCTCGTCGCGTGTGAGAGATTTTGTGTATCTTCGCTTCTTATTGTGGTTCGATTCCACAACCTAAGAACAATCGGTTATAAACATGAAGTTTCCTGATGGTTTATTGATGTTGATGATGATGATTGAAGATGATGATGATGGGACGATGATGATTTCTTAGGTTTTTATGGTTTCAGTCTCGTGTGTGTAGTAGATTTTATGTATCTTTGCTTCTACACTTGATTCGATTGATGATGATGGTGAATTGATGTTGATGAATTGTGACGATGATGAATTTTCTGGTTTCATTCTCGTGTGTGTAAGAGGTTTTTGGTATCTTTGCTTCTACTGTTGATTCGATTGATGATGATGGTGAATTGTGTGACGCTGATGAATTCTCTGGTTTCTCTGGTTTTGTTCTCGTGTGTGTGAGAGCTTTTGTGTATCTTTGCTTCTTCTCTCGATTCGATTCCATAACCTAAGAAAAATCGTTTAGATACAACAAAATCTGCACGTCAAATCTGGTTCTAGATCACTACAACACTATAGATTCATGTTCCAAAAAAGTTTGTTTCTAGTCTTTGTTTTTTCCTCTCTCATCCTCTGTTTTTTTTTCTCATAACCGCGATTTCTTGGTTTTTTTTTGTTTGTTTTCAATTTGGGTTTCTAATTTGCGTTTTCAATTCCATTTTTTTTTTTTGATCAAACAATTCCATTTGTTTACTGCTTTTTCCAATTGCATTTTCACCGTACTTTCTTGTTTCAGTAAGTTCAGACTATATCTATCAAAATTTCTTGCTTAGTGTTCCTTAATTCTCGACAACTTATATAAGTTACTGAATGAAGAATAACGAAAATTTGGTGTTGTCCTTAGTGTTGGTTCTGTACTGGATATAGTTAGGCCTGGTCTTAGGTTTTAGGATTCTCTTGGTCATATTAACATTTTTGGACTCTCATATTTACATTATGTCTCTATTTGGGCCTGTGTTTTATGATTCTCTTGGTCATATTAATATTTCTGGACTCTCATATTTTCATTATGTCTCTATTTGGGCCTGTGTTTTTAGTATTCTCTTGGTCAGATTAACATGATTGGACACTCTTTCTTACATGTCTCGATTTGGGCCTATTGTTACATTTGCTTCCTTGCATCACAAGTTAATGTTTCCTTTTTGATGTTTTTTGTTTTGGGCAGATCTGAAAACATGTCGGACGTACCTCTTTTCGATTTTATAGACTACATACAAAGCTATACCGGACGTGAGAAACTCTTGCGGATACATCATATGGTGACAAAGGGACTCTTGGAGGAAGAAGATGAACTTGTGGCTTTGCAAATGGCATTTGAAGAACTCACGAATGGGACACCAAAATGGAGACTTCAGACTGATTACAAGTTTCTAGAGATCATATCAAATCTAATCAATGGAAGATTGGGCCAGCAGTACATAGCAACTCCGGAGATCCTCAAGCGAATGGAGTCACTCTACATTGAGGAACTAGACAAGCGAAACTATAGCTTGAGATATGCAATGGTACAATCATTATAATGTCTTATACTGATGTTTTTATTTTAAATATATATATATATGGTATAGTGTAACAGCTTACATTGGTGTCTCTTAGAAGTGGGCTCGTGATGAAGAGGAAGAGGCTAAGAACCAATGCCGCATGGAAAATCCAAAGAAGCGAAAGGTTATGGAAAGTCTTAGACACCAACTTGGTCGATATCAATACCATAGTGGACATCTAGAGGAAGCTTTTGATACGTTGAGTAAGCTTCCCGTGTGTATTTTGCTTGTGATCTCGGCATTGCATTGCCGAAAGTTCGAGGAAGTGTTCATTCTTTCGACAAAACTAGATACATACGCACCCAAGCTTGATGACGGTGATGATAGGAAAGCTATACATTTCAAATCGTTATGTGCAAGAGGCTTAGCCAACATGGCTAGAGGCCACTATTATGCAGCCGCCGTTTTGGTAAACTCTTCAAAATATTTATGTTTGGTATATAGTTATGTTTGGTATTTGGTAATGATCAATATTTTATTTGTTTTTGCAGTTTGCCCATATGATAAAATTCTATGTGAAGTGGTCAACATATACGTTCGAGTTGTTTGCATGGGAGGACATAATCTTGTATTGCACATGGTGTGGACTTGCCACTATGCCAAGAGAAGAACTAGAGGTAATAGGTTATCATAAATAATCAAATATTCGTAAACAATCTTACAAACAATCTCACTTGTAATCATTTTTAATTGATTTTTGATAGGATATTGCAAAGCACATGGGAAGTCAACTAGTTGGCCACCAATTCCAACACTTGATTAGAGAATATCTTGGAGGGTATAATATATAACTATTAAATAATTTATATTGAATAAACTTGTCGGCAATTCAACAAGCTTGGTTTATTTGTTGCAGGAGATTTGATCGGTGCTTAGAATTTATGGAAACTCATTCAAAACCAAAAGCTCTCCTAGACATATATCTTCATGAGCATGTGAATGCACTAGAGAAACTCATCGAGGACAAGTTAATTGTTGAGCCGGAAGCTGCTCCCACGGATGATTAGGAAGCTGCTCCCACGGATGATTAGGAAGCTGCTCCTAAAGCCTTATGGTGTTCCGGTCTTGGAGGTGATGCAGCGCATCTTATCAAGTTCGAGTCGTTGGACGCATTAGTTGGTGTTGTGTTTTCGTGTCAAACAAGTTTTTGCCGTCTTTGGTTGTTTTTGATTTCTTTCCGTTTTAGGATAAAGTCGAAGTCCTATTTTCATTGGAATTAGGATTAGGCCGTCTCCCTTAGGCTTATAAATAGAGTCTCCTCAAATCTTTGTATCAATATCACTGATTTGAATCAATAAAGAAAAACCCAAAAGAGGTAACCCAAGTTACCCAAAAGATCTTGTGTTCAGGCTCTGAGAGGTGGACTCTAGCATCGTATCCATCTATCATCATTACTATCCTCATCACGCATTCACGCTACTATCGATCCATCTATCATCATTACCATCCTCATCACGAGTTTCACCTTTGTCCCCTGCAAGAGCATCATATATTTGATGACCTTATACTACTCCATTTCACCAGATATGCATCTTCAGCTCCAGTGATGTCAGAAAGGATAAGAGGAGATTAATCAGAGCCAAATTCTTCAGTATCCCAAAACCATTCCCATTGCCATGCCAGCAACAGAGCATTTGACTGGAATTCCAGCATCTTGTAAAAGCCAAGCAACCACAACAAACAGATTACATTTGTTTCAGAAGAATATAAGAAGCAAGCGCAAATCTATATCTCAAACAAATTAACTTGGCAGGTGCATATCTTACAGCCATAGAGAAAAAAAAATCTGACCTACCTTGAAGAGGCATTGCTTTCAATTAGTACTGTACTTTCATTCAACACGTATTGTGTAAGGAAAATCATCATCAGTAGGAGGTTATCTGGTCTCCATTGCTCACTCTGCTAGTGTCCCGTGTTCCAATTCTTCCAACATAACCAGCAGAAGATGGAGGAAAAGTGTACTGAAACATCACAAGGAGTAGCTGAGAATATCTCTATAAGCTCAACAAAAAAATGAAACGTAGCAAAAAATCTAAATTCTACCTATTAAAAGGCTATTTTGTTAGAAAATGATAATAGAGTGAAAAGAAGAAGAAATATTGAAGAGACCTGAAGATAGAACCTTTTCTATTCATCAGAACCCTCAGGGCTGTTCGCCAATAGCTTATCACCAAGAGTAACAACTGCCACTGCCTGAAATTAAATATCCTACCAACATACACATAAGCTGTAGAATACCAAGAAATTAGATGCTATACCAATAATTCGCATCCTTAAGAGAGCTTTGACGATGTCTTTTTGAAGACCAGCTTCACATCTACTTGAGAAAATAGCTAGACAAGAACAAGCACTAGTTTCTTAAGATTACATGAACAGGATGAGCAAAGCAGAAAACAGATGTGTAGACAGGAACAAGCACTAGTTTCTTGATCCGTTTTAAGAATCAGTATTTTGGTAATTTGATATAGCTAGTGACTTGTTATTGCATATTTATGAACATGATATATCGTGTTATGTTGTGACTTGGGACTTGTTAAAGCTCATGATCAACACAATTAGAACAACCATGGAATAGATTCGTTGTTGATATATCATGTTTCCATACGCAGATGGGACAAACAACGATTCATCATGTAAGTTATTCAATCCTCGTGACCATAGTTCCTACACATTAAGAGATCTCGGGTTTGATATGGCTAGGAGTCGTTGTTTGGCCAGTTCCGGTAGCTGGTTCCTTATGTTAGACCATAAACTAGATTTTCACCTTTTGAATCTGTTTACTCGAGAGATGATTCTTCTTCCGCCTCTCGAATCAATCGATGGATGTCCCATGGAATTTGTGAGAACGTGTGATTCTAAAGTTTGGGTGACGCTCAATAACGAAAACAAAGCTAATGATTCTGGAAGAAAAAGAACTTCATATACGGTCAGTCATCTTAGAATAGACAAAGGGGTTTTATGGGTAGATGAAGAAAGCAGAGACTACTTAGTTGTTTGGAATTATGATGGCCTTCTTGCATATCACAAGAAAGGAGATGATGACAACAATAGCTGGAAAGTGCTTGAACCTTTGAAGAATCAACAATGCGTAGATATGGTGTGTAAAGAAAGCAAGCTTTACGTGCTTAGTGATACTCGAGTCACTGTTCTTGATTTCTCCCGTGATGGTTCTCCAATAAAATGTGCAAGTTTCAAATCTCTGGATTGTCGTCGTTCGTTTTTTCCCAAGAATCTTGCTGTGACTTTGTCTGGACAAGTTTTGATCGTTATAAACAATGGGCGGCGTTCATCTTCCATATGCTTCTTTGACGTCTACAAGATGGATCCTAAATCATTAGAATGGAGAAAAATCAATTCTATAGGGGATGAAGCATTGCTTTTTGATCTAGGAATAACGGTTGCAGCCAAAGATGGAGTTCTGAAAAATTGCATATATTTTTATACTGCCGTGCCTTATCAATCTAGAGGAAGTTTTGTACGCAATGCTGATAGCGGTATTCGCGTATACCATATTAGAACCAAGAATGTGGTCCAAGTGTATCAACCAGCTCTTACTGCTTCCTCTCCAATATCTTTCAGGTCTGCTCGATGGTTCTTAAATAGTTGCTTCAAACCTATATCAAGTTTTATCTCTTGGTAAAGTTGGATTATTTACTTTTATATTGTATTGGAACAAGATCTGTTGCAAGTTTTCTTTTTATATTCATGTGTTTTGGACTCAAAAAGGATTGAATTGGAGATTAGACGAGTGATTGTGTGTTTTCTACTTCACTGGTTAAACTAACTACATTTTACATGATGGCGTAAGCTGTATAATTTACATCACAATTTTGTTTTTGGTAAAGAGAATAAATGTTCTATTTGTAGAATTTGCTCATAAAATGGAGAATGAAGAGAAATTATGTGAGATCCACATGTCTACATTTTCATAAAGTATTATTACTATTATATGCTAAAAAAAAAAATAAAAATTTTTTAAGAACTTAGGAAAAATATGACATGATATTTCTTCCTCAAAATTGCCACAAATTTAACAAAAGAAAAATATGATATATAATATTTCTTAGGATAAAATTCATAAATCAGGAGTTGCCATTGCGCAAATTAGCCAAACTTGTGAATAAAAAAAATCACAAAAGTCATCCAAACTTTCAAGAATCTTACCAACGAGAATCTTGATTCCAAATCTCACAAAAGTTGGAATCGTGCACGCCTCTCTAAGTATCTCCGGCTCCGATACTCCATTTGTTGGATTCTTAGGAGAAAAAGTTTCAATCTTTGTTGGATTTTCTGAGAAAACTCAGATGGGTTTGCTCTGAATCGATTGGTAAAATCAAACCGGTGTGGAGTCTGCAAAGTTTGGTTGATATGAACAGTCTTGTCAGAAGGAAACAAGTTGATTCTGTTCATCTGATCAAAAACGATGGACCTCATCAGCTTGCCAAGAAACTATCCGCCGTTGATCTTGTTGCTATTGGTATGAGAAAGCTCTAAACTTTGGCGAATTTTGATAAAAATCCCCTTATTGATGTTGATTGTGTTCCTTTCTGTGTTAATTTTTCAGGAGTTGGGACAACAATTGGAGCAGGAGTGTATATTCTTGTGGGAACAGTAGCTAGAGAGCACACAGGACCTGCTCTTGCTGTATCATTCTTCATTGCTGGTGTAGCTGCTGCTCTCTCGGCGTGTTGTTATGCTGAGCTTGCTTCTCGTTGTCCATCTGCTGGGAGTGCTTATCATTATGCATACATATGTCTTGGAGAAGGGTATATAGATGGGTTTCAATGTCAAAATTTACTTTGACCTTGTCGTTCTTCTTAAAGCTGATACTCATGGATTTTCTTATTTCATAGGATTGCTTGGTTGGTTGGTTGGGCACTGGTGTTGGATTATACAATTGGTGGATCAGCCATTGCCCGTGGCATAACTCCAAATCTGGTATTTCCCTTTTGAGTTATATGTATTTGTGGTTTTTCGTTGATTAAATTTTGACTGGTGTTTTCTTTTGTTTTAGGCATCTTTTTTTGGTGGTTTAGACAAACTTCCTGTGTTCTTAGCTCGACAAACTATACCCGGGGTTGGTATTGTGGTTGATCCATGTGCAGCACTTTTGATTATGATTGTCACGATACTACTATGTTTTGGGATAAAGGAGGTACTTTACTGAAAACATTTTAAATGAATTCATTGCAGGATTATCAGATCGTCTAATTGTGTTATACCGGGTATTTTGTTTTCACAGAGTTCATTAGTACAAGCAATCGTAACATCAGTGAATGTTTGCACCTTGGTTTTCATCATAGTAGTTGGTGGATATTTAGCTTTCAAGACTGGATGGGTTGGATATGATCTTCCGAGTGGGTAATTAGCATGTTCTCTTCTTCCATTGAGCTTAGCTTTTGTCAAAAAGTTATTTCTTAAGGTCAATGTTTAATACTTGTCTTTACAGGTATTTTCCTTTTGGACTAAATGGGATACTTGCCGGATCTGCTATAGTATTCTTCTCATACATTGGATTTGATACTGTAACTAGTACGGCTGAGGAGGTACACAGTTTAGTGAATAATACTCTCATTCTTTTGGAATGATTATCCTTGTCTTTTCTCTACAAAGGACTCACTTTGACGATTTCATATAGAACTAACTAGTAATAAAAGAGGATTTTTGGTCTTACTATAGTGAACTTTTTTTTCCATAATTCTGCAGATTTTCTCTGTTAAGCTCTTAACCTTTTGGTATTGCCACAACAGGTGAAAAATCCTCAAAGGGATCTTCCATTGGGAATCGGGATTGCATTACTGATATGCTGCATTTTATATATGCTTTTATCAGTAGTTATTGTTGGATTAGTCCCATACTATTCATTGAATCCTGATACTCCTATCTCTTCTGCATTTGGAGACAGTGGGATGCAATGGGCAGCGTAAGTATATGATACATCTCTTGAGACTCAAATTTCTCTATATACACATACTTCCTTCTGTCTTTGCTTTGTTTTTTCTTATTATTCCTATATATTTCAGGTACATCTTAACCACTGGGGCAGTAACTGCTCTATGTGCGAGTTTGTTGGGTTCCCTTCTGGCTCAGGTACTAACCAATTCTATCGCTCTGAAAATCCAAGTTCAGAAGATTTTGTAATTGAGATTACATGCAAGTTCTGTGTGGGTTTTGGAAATGCTTACTTGTCGTTTTTGACAGTGCTTTTGTAATTTTTTTTTATTAGCCACGAATTTTCATGGCAATGGCTAGGGATGGATTGTTGCCAGCTTTCTTTTCAGAAATTAGCCCACGAACTCAAGTACCAGTGAAAAGCACAATAGCTATTGGTGTGCTTGCCGCTGCACTCGCATTTTTCATGGATGTTGCACAGTTGTCCGAGATGGTAAGCTACTGTATTTGCCTACATTACATGTCTCATGTCTTAAGGAAGGATTTTCACCTACAATTAATGGCAAACAGAAATTGACGGTTCATTGTTAGTAGTATAGTGTTGATATTGTTGAAGCAATTGGCATATATTTTGGAGTTGAGACACGGCTAAACACACTCTATTACGGTAACAGCTCCTTCTCTGAGTAGCTCACATCGGTAATTTATCCAACAGGTTAGTGTAGGCACTCTAATGGCATTCACTGCCGTTGCAGCATGTGTGCTAGTTCTTAGATATGTACCACCAGATGGAGTTCCCCTAGCATCTTCCTCTCAAAATTTGAGTGATACCGATGAAAGTGGATCTGAAACTGAAAATTTTCTTGTGGATGCTATAGAATCTTCTGATTCCCCTCTACTTGGCAATGAAACTGCACGAGGTACTAAAATCATAAAATGAGCTCAATCATGTAGTTACCATTTGGATATGTTGTAAAGATACATCCAACAATTCAATCTATACTGCTTTTTATCTGCATTTTAGAAATATAACTTTTTTGCTTCTTTTTAATTGAACAGATGAAAAGTATTTTGGAAAGAGAAGAAAAATTGCGTCCTGGAGTATAGCTCTTGTGTGCATAGGTGTGCTAGGTCTTGCTTCAGCAGCTTCAGCTGAGCGTCTTCCAAGGTTGTTTCATCATCTGATATCTTATGTCTGTATAACGTAATGTCTACTAAACAAATCTTTTAGTTTGGTTGAGATGGTTGATTAGCTTTGAACGACATCACTCCTACTTGCATGTCAAAGCGATAAGTATGCTCAATTAGAAAATGCATGCCTGTTTCAGAATTTTGTGAAGCACTTTTCAACTGCTGTGTGGAAAGATTTGCATGTTTTTATCTTTGTAATATGATTATAAACTCTAATGGGTTATTTGTTGTTTGTGGCAGTTTTCCTCGGTTCACTATATGTGGTGTCAGTGCCGTCATCTTGCTTGGCAGTTTGATTACTCTTGGCTACATCGACGAGGATGAAGAAAGGCACAACTTTGGACACAAAGGAGGTAAGGCCTGGAGCTTATTTAAGCCTTTTTTTTCTTATTCATACAGAACAAAAATTGGTTGGTCTCACTTTCTTTAAAAACTGCTGCTTGCTTAAGAGTTTCTATTCATTTGCTGAGTTGGTTATCATCTGGTTAGGACGGAGATTTTGAGGTTTTGGCAAAAACCATAAACTTGGATTTATACTTGAGCAGCGTTTTCTTACTGGCATTCTGTATATGATTCTATTTCAGGGTTTCTCTGCCCATTCGTCCCATACCTTCCAGTTCTTTGCATATTGATCAACACCTACTTGATCATCAACATTGGGTGAGTTAGTCTGATGGACCCATGTATGATACCAGTATATTGGGATGTTTCTAAACCCTTGCTGGTAATTTGTAATGGCAGAGCTGGGACATGGATCAGGGTCTTGGTATGGCTACTTATTGGAAGCATGATCTATCTCTTCTATGGCCGATCTCACAGCTTACTGAACAATGCGGTTTGCGTTCCAAGGACGACTTGTACCAGAAAAACAACAGATCATCTTGCTTAAGATTGGTGGTTCAATGCAGCAGCTGAAGGGAGTCGAGCTCAAGCTTTGTTGTTGCTGAAGTAGCATCTAAAGAGAATTAAACAGTTTGGCACAAGATTAAAATACATACAAGAACATTTCATGTACATTGTTAAGTCATTCAAAATGTATATCTCTTAAATGCCTATTTCATTTTTGTTCTTCCTTTTCCATTTCCAGTAATATGGTTTGCCAATATTCATCTTAGAATTGCCAAGTCCATTTATTCATTTAATAACTCGAAACATAACAACAATTGGAAAACTGCAGATAAAGAGTGCACAAGATGCAGACATAGACATCTAAAAGATAAAACAAGAATCATCTAAAACTGGTTTAGTCAATAACATAGTAACCTAAACGAACTAATAATAAGTTTGCAAGAGAGGATGAAATGTCTGAGAAACTCTTATATTATTTGTTGTATTCTCCATTCATAGGCAAAGAGAAAGATGTCATCTTTGTTCATCATAGCTAAGCTTTTGTTCATAATGTTTTTAAAACTGAAATCATATCAATTTCATTGGTAATTTGGCCAAAAAGGAAAATGTGCACATCCATAAAGCATTGGAGGCCAAACTTTTTGATCTGATTATTCTTCATTGGTAATTTTACCTTAAATATTTTGTGGTGCAAAAGTTGGCCCTTCAAATTTTTTTTGGCTAAATGATACTTAGAATTCTTGAAATTGTCAACCAACCAAAAATGGAAGGTCTTTTAGCTAAATCATTTTGCTGGCTTAAATTAGCATCTTCGTCTTGGGCCCGACGTTGTTTTAAATCTATTTTGAAAAATAGAATATGGGCCGAATAAGAGATTAATGGGCCTGATTAAATGGGCACTATATCCAATCAAAGTATGAAAACAAAAACGTTTCGTTTCGAAGTCACACACACAATTGACAACGTTTCCAGTGAAGTTCGCCGTCGCCGGAACTCATGGATCGACCACCGTCGTTTCCACACTATCAAATCCCTAATCCGAGCTTGTTCCATCACGTTCCTCCTCCAAACCCGAATCCTAATTTCTTCTTCTGACCTCCTCCAGCTCATCTTCAAAATCCTAACAATTACTCCATCGCCGCCGATTCGCGAGCTCTCCGGTACACTCACTTCTTTACAATCCCTGTTGTCGGAATTTACTTCGCTAAATCTAGCTTAATTAACACTTTTCTCTTCTCCAGAAGGACGAAAATGGCGGTTTTGATTAAAATCACTTAATGCCACCTGAAGCTCTCTTTCTCCATTAGCTTCGTTGTCCAAATCCTCTTGACCTCACTCATCTTCTTGGTTCCTTTAGTAGTTACCAGAGCACGCTCGAGTTACTACCAACTAGAGTTGAATAATAACGGCGATGGTGTCTCCTTAGAAGACTTGGCCGATTTTGTCTGAGCTCGATGGTAAAAAGCCAACTTTAACACTTGCTGTGGAATGTAGCGATTTGGTAGGTTCTGTTGAGAAGGTGAAAAAGAGTGTGTTGGATAAATGGTTACCGTCTGATCTCTGTGGAATAAAGAGTGAGATTGATCAATGGAGGGATTTCCCAAGCGAGTTGAGGAGGAATAAAGTATGTGTTGTAATTTCAAATTAAACTCGAGTTCATGTAGGTATAAGCACAGAAGAAAGTTCTGTGTATGGAAGCGATAAAGCAGCTTAGTTCAGGGGGGAATAGGCCGTTTTCCCGATATAGCTCCTACCTTCCTCCTCTCATAATAACTTTTATTACTTCTTCTCTTTTCGTCTTATGGGTATGAGATGATTAGAAAAAAACTTTATATTATTAGGCAGCTTGAGAATGAAAGTTCATGTTCTTAGATACAATTGAGAGTCTTACTTATTGACGTTGCTGTATTTTTGTGCAAATGAGCTTCTCGTATGAGTTGTTGTTTGTGAAACTTTATTGTGATAGAGTAGAGTTACAGCCATTTGGCCTTATGAACCTTGGGGAACATGTACGTATCTATATCTTTAACGTTTCTTGCTTTTGACATGATGATCTAATGTGCTAATGTATTTGTGTTTGTCACTTATATTTTTACTTTTGTACTTGCTATGCAAGTGCTGTCCTTCAGTGCTTGGCATTCACTCGGCCACTTATATCATACCTTATTAGGGGATTACACTCTATAACATGTACCAAAATGATATTACTGCCCTTACTGTAACTATGTGGAATCTTATACTGATTATTGTAATGATTGCAGGTGGTCCGATTGCTGAAGAAACTACTTTAGTAGGGCTTACATTTGGTTGATATCTTCACTCCAAGGTAATATTTTTAGCAACGGTGTCTTGGCTTTAGTACCATTTAGAGCTTTTTTGTTGTTTTATGGCAGTCAAAGTAATCCAAATAATTGACATTTTCATGTTGAATAATACACAGATTAAATGCCTCCACAAATCTGAGCGATCGGAGCTGATGATGGATCTAACTGTCGAGATTGATGGGAAGCCTCGAAGAAGCACTTGCTCAATATACAGCCTACGAAGTCCTAGATGGAGAGAATCGGTACTTCTGTGGCAGGTAGTTGAATTTTTCTTTTGGAAACTAATTATACACGTTATAAAACTACTACTCATTCCTTTGCCTTTGGTTTTCCTTTTTCAACCATAGATGTAAATCTTACCAGAAAGCCAAAAAGAAATTGATGATTTTGGAAGGACCCAATATTCTTACTGTCGTGTTGAAACGTTTTCAGGTGAGAGTCTTCATCCTCGTTAGTTTGATGGTGTCTACTATTTTTGGGTTTACTCAGAAGAATGATTTCTTTTTCATGCAGTCTGACCTTGTTGTTCTTCTTAAAGCTGATACTCTCGATGCTCTTATTTCATAGGATTGCTTGGTTGGTTGGTTGGGCACTGGTGTTGGATTATACAATTGGTGGATCAGCCATTGCCCGTCCCATAACTCCAAATCTGGTATTTGCCTTTGAGTTATATGTATTTGTGGTCGTTTGTTAATTTCATTCTGACTGGTGTTTTCTTTTGTTTTAGGCATCTTTTTTTGGAGGTTTGGACAAACTTCCTGTGTTCTTAGCTCGACAAACTATACCCGGGGTTGGTATTGTGGTTGATCCATGTGCAGCATTTTTGATTATGATTGTCACGATACTACTATGTTTTGGGATAAAGGAGGTACTTTACTGAAAACATTTAAATGAATTCATTTCAGGATTATCAGATCGTCTAATAGTGTTATACCGGGTTATTTTGTTTTCACAGAGTTCATTAGTACAAGCAATCGTAACATCAGTGAATGTTTTCACCTTGTTTTTAATCATAGTAGTTGGTGGACATTTAGCTTGCAAGACTGGATGGGTTGGATATGATCTTCCGAGTGGGTAATTAGCTTGTTCTCTTCTTCCATTGAGCTTAGCTTTTGTCAAAAAGTTATTTCTTAAGGTCAATGTTTAATACTTGTCTCTACAGGTATTTTCCTTTTGGATTAAATGGGACACTTGCCGGATCTGCTGTAGTATTTTTCTCATACATTGGAGTTGATACTGTAACTAGTACGGTTGAGGAGGTACACAGTTTATTGAACAATACTATCATTCTTTTTGAATTATTATCCTTGTCTTTTCTCTACAAAGGACTCACTTTGACGATTCCGTATAGACCTAACTAGTAATAAAAGAGCATTTTTGGTCTTAGAGTAGTGAACTTTTTTGTTTTCCATAATTCCGCTGATTTTCTCTGTTAAGCTCTTAACCTTTTTGCATTGCCACAACAGGTGAAAAATCCTCAAAGGGATCTTCCATTGGGAATCGGGATTGCATTACTGATAGTCTGATATGCTGCATTTTATGTATGCTTTTATCAATAGTTATTGTTGGATTAGTCCCATACTATTCATTGAATCCTGATACTCCTATCTCCTCTGCATTTGGAGACAGTGGGATGCAATAAGCAGCGTAAGTATGATACATCTCTTGAGACAGACTCAAATTTCTTTGTATTAATTAGTGAATATGCATATACACATACTTCCTTTTGTCTTTGCTTTGTGTTTTCTTATTATTCCTATATATTTCAGGTACATCTTAACCACTGGGGCAGTAACTGCTCTATGCGCGAGTTTGTTGGGTTCCCTTCTGGCTCAGGTACTAACCAATTCTAGCGTTCTGAAAATCCAAGTGTTAAGGTTTGAGATACCTTAATACTCTCTATAAACTCTTGATCAAAATGATAGAAGTGAATACAAGGATTGTAACACAAAGAGAAGATAAGAATCGCTACTTAGATCAACATAGATCTAAGCAACCGATTACAAAGAGATCAACATTGATCTCTTCCTCAAGCACATCGCTTGGCCAAGTCTCTCTCGAGAAATCTCACAACATAAAGCATAAACCAGAAATGAGTGAGCAACGGCTAATTTATACTAGTTTCCCTTCAATAGCAAAGCCTCTGTTTCCACCCAAGTTTTTCTCTTCTTCTTTGCCTTTGCCCACGTCCTTATTCAAGTCAACACTCTTCTTCTGACGTGGCACAGTCTTCTTTCGATACTATCCTATGAAACGTATCAATACTCCCCCCATTAAGACAAGCTTGTCCTCAAGCTTTTAAAAAGAAGGAATTGATGTGGTAAGTGACACACGAAAGTACGGCAAGGATAGAATTGGAGTGAGCCAAAATCGCCGGTAATTCTGCGAGAAGTATATGCACGCAGCTTCCCATAATGTCTCCATCGAATTTTCCAGTTTCTCCACTTGTATCAAACACATAAGCTCCATCATTTCCAGATATGTTACATTGTTCCAGCAAGAACTTGAGATGCTTTTTGTCCATTTGTGCCATCAATCTCTGTTTAAATCTCCACTTGTGCTTCACTTGGAACTTTATAGCATCAAGAATAAGCTGGGTTAGTAATGCAGCTCGATCTGTCAAAGTTATGCCGAGCATAGCAGCCCTTGTTAAGCTATCTTCATACTCTGGAATATCCGTTGCTGGTCTAATTTGTAACAGCAGCTTCCCATACACATTTGGATGAGCTATCAAGACAATGTGCCCTTGTAGAATCAACCCAGGGTCTGCAGCTGCAAACCGAGCTAGAAATATTGACTGACACAGGTTGGTTGAACCTTTTGGTTGGAAGAAAATGAGCAGCCTCCGTCTCCTATTCTGTAGTTCCTTGTGTTTGTATTTGAATTTCCAGGATTTAAGAAACTTCTGTTTCTGAAAACTGTGCAAGACTATGGCAGTGGCTTCACTTAATTCTTCAAAAGTCCACTGCATCTCTCTATGTAGGACATCAATACCAGAACCAAACACAAATGATGGTGCTGTCCTATCTTGCATCACACACTCATTCCTCCAATTAACCATTCTGCATATTTGTCTAAACTGATTTTGTTGCCGAAGTCCCTCATTCCCTTTATTTCTATTCCCACATTCCGAAATCAAAACACCATGAATACTTAAATCTTCCATTTCTTGAAGAGACTGAAACATCATAGGCTTCATTCCATGATGCTTATTCCTGTTCATATTCATCCAACATAATCGAAGTGTGTCTCTACTCCTTGTGTTGATTTTGAATATAAATCTCCATGATTTGGACAATGTCGGTGTCTTGAATAGTTGTTGTAGCCCGTGTCCTTGATGGAGCATCATATTCCACAATGGATATACAGAGAAGTAGACCATGACATACCTTGATTGTACTATACTCGCAGGCAGTCCTTTTTCATTGACAGCTTGAAACCATAGCACGCCCACTGGAAACACCACTGCAGCATCCTTGTATTTAATTACAGGTCCTGAGATTGAATGTTGAATCTTCGATCTCCATTTATGCTTCATGAGAAACTTCACCTCACCAAGTTTAAATTGTTTCATGTCCTGTTGTTGTCTCATCATTCTCATGAACTGAAACATGGTCCCTTTCACACTTGATTTAACATGAAAACGGACACAAAAACTTTTGTAGTTTTTGTTCCTCCTTCTACTAAGCTCATGTGGAATAATAGAATATTGTTCATTCTCTCTATCCATCTGGTTAAATTCCACCAACTTAAACGTCTTCCTCAAAGTAACAGGAGCACTAGAATAATGACATTTGTACTTGATATTCTCCCTATCCATCTGGTTAAGTTCAGTGTGTGGCATGACTTTGTGGTACATCCATTGTTTGAATTTACAGGAGATTTTGTAATTGAGATTTCTTTGTTGTAAAAGTAACATGCAGGTTTCATGGATTCTGGAAATGCTTTCATGTCGTTTTGACAGTGCTTTTGTAACTTTTTTTTTTATTAGCCACGAATTGTCATGACATGGCTAGGGATGGATTGTTGCCGGCTTTCTTTTCAGAAATTAGCCCACGAACTCAAGTACCAGTGAAAAGCACAATAGCTATTGGTGTGCTTGCCGCTGCACTCACAGTTGTCCGAGATGGTAAGCTGATATTTGCCTACATTACATGTCTCAATTCTTAAGGAAAGATTTTCACCTACAATTAGTGGCAAACAGAAAATTGAGGGTTCATTATTAGTAGTATAGTGTTGATCTTGTTTAGCAATTAGCATTATGTAATTGAGTTGAGACACACTCTATTACGGTAACAGATCCTTCTCTGAGTAGCTCACATCGGTAACTTATCCAACAGGTTAAGTGTAGGCACTCTAATGGCTATCACTGTCGTTGCAGCCTGTGTGCTAGTTCTTAGATATGTGCCACCAGATGGAGTTCCCCTATCATCACATTGGTAAGCTGATATTTGCCTACATATATATTATATTATACCAATTGGTGACAGAAATGTAGGTCTCAAAATATCATTTATATTTATACCAATGATGCCATTTTCTTTTTTCTCGAATCTTGATTTTGACTCCGAATTCGCAGGTCTTCCCGGTTCAATTAGAGACTGTATTAACTAGAAGGAGCATACATGCTTCTTTATGCAAGGTGAATGAATAGAATACAAAGAGATAATAGAAACCCAACTCTTTAAGCAATGTTTGATTGATCTCAAGGCCTTTGGTAATAATTTTGAGTCTGATGAACTCATTAAGCAATGTTTGATTGATCTCAAGGCCTTTGGTAATAACTCTGTTTTGTGGCATGGTTTAGGTCACTACTAGAATCGGTTATGGTTCTCCCAAACTCATACAATGACCATGGAGCTGCGCTTGGGGAGAAGGAACCTTTGGGTGGCCATATGAGGTAGCTGAAAAGGTAAGTAGAACCTAATCCTGGCTTCGAGGTACGTTTGTAACTTGTCTTAACATTCTCCATAAAAACACTGAGGTGGAAATATCCAGAAATCAGATTGTATACCGCTCTTGCGATTGTTGTTTTGCCAATCCCAACAGGTCCCCAAATCCCTACCATCCTTGTTTCATCTGATTCTAGGCACAAGAGTGATTTCATCTTTTCTATATGAGCGATTTTTGAGACCATAGCTGCTTCACTGTACCAATTATGCGAATGCTCCCGGAGTATGTTTGCGACATTAGTCAAAGCTTGCTCCCATCTCTGCTTCACCTGCTCTGTTTTGTTTCTGCAAGCAAGTGGCTGAGATATGTTCGACGGACATCTGGAGCTGCTTGAGTTTTGCAAAGAGAGATAGAGACAGAAAAACCACGAATTTGATACCATCCCAAAGCTTCTCCAATTTGCTCCCCTGCATATCGATTTTCACAAGATTTTTAGGACGAAACCCGGAAGGCATGCATTGCAAAGGGACAACATGTATATACAAATGACTACTTGTTAATGAATTTAACTTCATTATATATGCTATGCTGGATCTTATGTGCTTTCAAAAGTTGTCTATCTTCTGTAGTCACAATAATCCTAGTTCCTTTACCAAAGCATTGAGGTCGTCTTGCCACAGCATTTAGTTGTTCTAGCTTAACGACATCGTCAAGAACAACAAGGACTTTCAGGAACCTTAACCTATCTTCAGCTGTACGTAATTGAAGTCAATGATTTTGAATGAAAATTAAGAATTTTACAGTGAACATAATGGGCTACGAGAACATCATAAACGGATCCATCGTGAGTTGAGGCCCAGTAGGAATATCTCAACCGGAGTTGAGCCCAACCAGTTCGTTCACAAAAAGAGACGGTGAGAGATTCCAAGGAGGAGGAGAGTGCGTGAGCGTGACAGTGGAAACTGACAAAAGATGGTCTCTCGCCGGAAAAAAAACCAGCTCGGCGGGACTCCACCATTGTTTCCGGCGTTAAGGTTTCTGGGATTGTAACTTCTTCGTTCACAATGCAAACGACGGCTCTAGCGGATGGCGGCGGCGACATCCGCCATTGTTTCCGACTCCAATCTTCGGCTCGATTGTTCATCACGTTTGGTTTTCTCATCGTGGAATCGGGTATGTCTATCCTCTCCTTCTCAATTCGCTTGATCTCAGCACTGACAATTGCCACCGTCAAGTTTTCTCCGGCCATGACCTCTAAAAAAATCAATCTCGAATTCCCTAATCTCTTTGAATGATTTTGCTTTTCGTCACCTAGTATTGCCGATAACAAATGAACGACGACGGTCTCTTTTTTTTTTTTTTGATAACAAATCAACCAAAAACATAAGTCACGGTTTGGGAATTAGAATTGATTTTGGTTCTGTTGAAATTAGAATTTATTCGGTTCGGTTTGTATTGGTTGTGAGAAACGAAAACAAAAAAATCAGGCACGCGAGGCTTTTTTAGAAAGGAGCGAGTGTGTTTCAAAACAGGCCATTTGGTGGGTTAACACCCACAGAAAATGGAGACACGCGCTCAACTCGCGAGTGGTGAGAGTGGGCGTGAAATCGCGCGGTGGGTGAGAGAGGGGTGTGACATGGAGCCATCTGATTGGCTAATATAATGAAAATAGTAGAGATGTAGCTCCTCCCTTCCTATGATAATATATTTAGAACTTCACTTTTTGTTCGTCTATGTGATGAAGAAAGAAGCTAATGAATTATGAAAATTACTATTTCCGTCTGAATTCTCAAACAAAAGGTCGTCAGATGATTAGAATAAACTTTTAGGCAAAATCTTGAGAATGTAATTAAGATTTCTTCAATCTCATGAAAGTTGGTGTTTTTAGATACAATTGAAATCCTTTGATGTCTCTTCTTCCATGCAATAATTGTAGGATACAAAAAAAATCACAAAATTTGTCTCTTCTCTTGTCAACTTTGACCAAAACCACTTGGAAGATGATTGTCTGTGTTCTATTATGGAGTTGGACATATGCTTAATGACATTACTGCTTCTTGTTGGTTCACTTACCTCCTCTTGTTCTCTTCCCAATGCACAATCTTCTGAGATTTGTTTGTAAGAAGTTGTTCACCTTAATCTGTGAATCAGTGAGATTAATCAAGCTTTTTTTCTCAGGGGATGCTGCAATTATCATGCTCTCTGGTCAACTTGCTGATGGTTTTCTCATTTAAAGGTTTGTTCTTACTCCTGTTTTCTTCTGCAGCTCTTTTGTCTGCCCTCAGAATCATGTTTTCGGTGGTGGAGTCACTGATTCTGGTATCGAACCTCGCAGAGCATCTAAGTTCTGCCAACTGCTTTTGAAAGTGCCAGCCTTTCTTCTATCAAATCCTTTAATCAGGTGATTTGTCCTTTGATTCATGCCAACTTCTTCATTTTTCCAGGTTTAAGGGTTCAGTTTCTCGTGATTGGATCGAATTACTTGCTTCTTGCTGAGTTTTTTGGTGCCAACTTGCTGACCAAACAATGTTTTGGCTCTCTATGTTCTCCAAGGCTTTTGCTTTTCTTTTTTGGTATGTGATTAGATGAAGCTGACATCTCTCTCTATTTCTCTAACCATGTTTCTTGTTTTTCTACTGTGGATTGAATCTTTGATTGATCGGATAGATCTTTCTGAATCAGTGGCTAAAGCATCTCTTGATTTTTTACTGAATGAATCCAATGAGGCGCTGATTAGTGCTTATCTGGTTTTGTTGAGAGCTAAAGGAGAGACCTTTGAAGAATTAAGTAGAATCTGAGACAAAGTATAAATGTAACTTTTAGTCATCGAATATTATACAGCATATGAGGTGATTGCACACTAATCAGCATAAGAGAAGTTTATGTTCAGTGTTCCCTTTCTATGAAATTAGAATTGATTTCGGTTCGGTTTTCATTGGTTTTGAAATTAGAATTAATTTCGGCTCGGTTTGCATTGAGATTAATAAGGTTTTGAGAAAAGAAAAATAAAATTCACGCACGCGAGGCTTTTTTAAAAAGGAGCGAGTGTGTTTCAAAATGGGCGATTTGGTGGGTTAACACCCACAGAAAACGGAGACACGTGCTCAACTCGCGAGTGGTGAGAGTGGGCGTGAAATCGCGAGATGGGTGAGAGAGGGGTGTGACATGGAGCGATCTGATTGGCTAATAAAATGAAAATAGTAGACATATAGCTCCTACCTTCCTCCTCTCATAATAACTTTTATTACTTCTTCTCTTTTCGTCTTCTATCTATGAGATGATTACACAAAAACTTTTAGACAAAATTTTGTCTAGTTTATATTATTAGTCAGCTTGAGAATGAAATTAAGATTTCTTCAATCTGAAAGTTCATGTTTTAGATACAATTGAGAGTCTTATTCTCAGGTTTTGGGTTATATTGAAATCCTTCATGTCACCAAAAGAACACAAAATTTTGTGAATTTGTATTGTGGCAATGTTTCATCATTATAAACGATTCTGTTTTCATAGAGTAAAACACACAACTTTTTGGAAAGTGATTTGACAATACTTTGTTTAACTCTCTTGATAACATCACTTCATTGACCACTGTGGTCTTAAAAGGGATTGCTCACAAACTGTTTTATTTCTTTCATTGTTACAGCATCTTAATAATCTTCCATTTCTTTTTAAGAAAACAAAGATTTTTATTTCTTCAGTCCTCTGTTCTTGAGAGATCGCCTTGGTGGTGGTGAACTGGTGATGAATCGCTGAAATAGCCAACCAGATACAGTAAGACAACTGCCATTAGAAATCCACAAGGACAACCTATGACTGGCATGAAAACATTGTTTCCTCTTTCTCTTTCTCTTCCTCTGGCTCTTTGGTCTGTGTAGAGCATGGTTCTTGGATTTGAAGACCAAACAGCTTCTGAGGGAATCTCACCTGACAAGCCATTGTTATTCTCAAGCTCAAGGGTTTCAAGATTTGATAGATTCTGAAATTCCACCAGATAACTTGTTCATGCTCAAAGACAGAGTTGATAGATTGACTAACTTCTCGATACCGTCCGGAATCTCAAAAGACAATGAATTGTTCTGGAGATCAAACGTTTCAAGCTTAGTCAACTGTGATACAGACAATGGTATAGAACCACTGAACGTGTTCTGCCTCAATGTCAGCCTCCGCAGTTTGGCAAGACTACCTTGTAACACAATAAAGTCAGTAAGATTTACAACCCACCCATATCTATGATCTTCATACATGAATAAGTTTGAATTTTGAGATTGAGTTTATGATTTACCTATTTCTGGAGGAATCTTTCCCTTGATGAAATTCTCACACAAGATCAGTTCCTGCAGATTCTTGAGCTCTTTGATGGGCTCACAAACCCATCTCCAGGAATCTCTCCTTATATGAAATTAGACGAGATATCGAGCGTCACAAGAGAGCTTATACTCAGAACCGGTCTCAGAATGCTTGAACTCACTGAGCCAGAGAAGACAAGAGAGTGCAGATTCAGGTCTATCACTTCTCTGGTAGGGGAACGAGTCTTGCATCTGACGAGTTGCTAGTTGCAGCTATCTGAGTTTGCCCTCCATGTCTCTAAACCTTCCAAGGTGATTATTGCTGTGGTGTTGTTATTGGTGCTCTGAGTCAGCAATTGTATTTGGTCTTGTGGACAAGAGAAAGATATTTGTGGAATGAAGAAGACGAAGAACAAGAGGAAGTAAGTGAGAAGACAGCATTTTGCTCAGGCAGGTTCTTCTGTATGTCTTGCTTTTTAGCTACAATAAGTCCAAAACGAGATTATTGCTAAAAAGACTAAAAGTCTTTATCATAGAGTCTGATGTTGTTTGTGATGCTTTTGTAGAGGCTCAGCTTGGTCATACCTCTGTGGATACTCAGGCAACACCCCGCAAGGTTACTTCGTTGAAGGCGAAGATTGTAGCTGTTTCTGCAGCTTCTGCAGCAAACAAACATACCGCCGTAGTTTCTGAGTGCGGTGAAGTTTTCACTTGGGGATGCAACAAGGAAGGTCAGCTTGGTTATGGAACCTCCAACTCAGCCTCAAACTATTCTCCAAGATTGGTTGATTACTTGAAAGGAAAAGTGTTCACGGCTATTACATCTTCAAAATATCACTCTAGTGTTGCGAGACGATGGAGAGGTAAAGTTCCTTACTACATGTTAAATTAAACGTTTTAATATATTATGTCAGTGTGTAAAGTTTATAGAATGTATGAACATGTGGAAAATCGTATGTAGAATATGAGAACTCAATTGGATAGAAATTTATTTTTCTTTCGTATTTCTTTCTTTCTTCTGTGACCAGGTGTACACCTGGGGTCATCGGCTGGTGACTCCAAGGCGTGTTATTATTTCCCGGAATTTAAAGAAAGCTGGGAACACACTGTTAAAAAAAATAATTTTCATCGGTTTTAAGGATCATCTGCATCAGTTGAATTATTTTTGCTTTGTACTTATTCTATCAGGATGGCAAAACCTTGTTGGATATGACGATGATTAGTGGGTTCCCCAAACAATCAGACTTTGTCTTACTCTCGCAGAAGAAAGATAATCCACCCGATTCGCTGAGAAGCAAGAAAATTGCAACGGCAGCAAACAAGAGGAAGAACAGAAAGGGTGGACTTTTCATGTTCTTGACTGGTGCTCTAAGTGATATCCCTAAACCTGTTGTTGCTCCTCCACCAAAGCCTAAGATTGAAGGTCCTGTGTGGGGTGGAGCTAAGATTTCTAAAGGATTATCTTCCCTCCGGGATATTCACGACGAACAAAGCAAGGCCCGGCCTCATGAACCTATTAGGACTACTAAAAATCAGTCAGGCGATGATTCTTCTGGTAAAACTGAAGGAAAGATATTACTGAGTTCCTTCTTGACTTCGAAGCCGATGCCGATGGAACCAGCCAAAAGTTTGCAGAAATCTGATGTTGAAAGAGGAACTCCTCCTTGGGCTTCCTCTGAAACTCCTCGTAACCTGTCTCGACCTTCTCTCAGAGATATCCAGATGCAGGAGGTACGTTGTCCTCTGTTTGAAGAATACTTATACCGTTTCTAAAGAAACAGACAAGATTATCTTGTTGCATCATAGTTTTATGTTTTAGAGCTCATTTTTCTCTCGGTGTCTTTGTCTTGTCTAATGCAGGTGAAGAAGCAACAGTCTCTGTCCCACAGTCCAAAGACAAAAACATCAGGCTTCACAGTCGCAACCGGGCAAGGATCTCCATCAGATTCGCCTGGAACTAATCGCTGGTTCAAACCAGAGATAGATGCTCCATCACCAATACGATCAATCCAGATAGAAGAAAAAGCCATGAAGGATCTGCGCCGCTTCTACAGCAGCGTGAAGGTAGTCAGAAACCAGCCTTGATGATGTGAGTGAATGAGACATTACTTTTCAAGAGCTCTCATTCTCAAAACTCAAAGTGTGGTAGTTGTAATTGTACAGATGATGGCCATATGAGGTAGCTGAAAAGGTAAGTAGAACCTAATCCTGCCTCCAGAAACGCTCTTCTTCTTGGAGGTACGTTTGATTTCTCCTCTTTTTGCTCTCTAATCTTTCCCATTGGGATTGCCAGAAATTTTCTGTCCAGAATTTGCTGCTTCCACTAGAGAAATTAGAATTAGAATTGGTTTTGAAATTAGAATTGATTTCGGTTCGGTTTTCATTGGTTTGAAATTAGAATTGATTTCGTTCGGTTTGTGTTGGAATTAATTAAGAAAAAATAAAAAGTCACGCACGCGAGGCTTTTTAAAAAAGGAGCGAGTGTGTTTCAAAACAGGCGATTTGGTGGGTTTACACCCACAGAAAACGGAGACACGCGCTCAACTCGCGAGTGGTGAGAGTGGGCGTGAAATCGCGCGATGGGTGAGAGAGGGGTGTGACATGGAGCCACCTGATTGGCTAATATAATGAAAATAGTAGGGATGTAGCTCCTCCCTTCCTATGATAATTTATATAACTTCACTTTTTGTTCAGAAGAAAGAAGCTAATGAATTATAAAAATTACAGGGAACTGTTAGAACCAAGAACCTCACGGTGAAAATGAAGTTGTTTGATGAACCAAGATCAAAACCCGTTTAAAATTGAGATTTCTCAAACTTTGAGTGATACCGATGAAAGTGGATCTGAAACTGAAAATTTTCTTGTGGATGCTATAGAATCTTCTGATTCCCCTCTACTTGGCAATGAAACTGCACGAGGTACTAAAATCATAAAATGAGCTCAATCATGTAGTTACCATTTGGATATGTTGTAAAGATACATCCAACAATTCAATCTATACTGCTTTTTATCTGCATTTTAGAAATATAACTTTTTTGCTTCTTTTTAATTGAACAGATGAAAAGTATTTTGGAAAGAGAAGAAAAATTGCGTCCTGGAGTATAGCTCTTGTGTGCATAGGTGTGCTAGGTCTTGCTTCAGCAGCTTCAGCTGAGCGTCTTCCAAGGTTGTTTCATCATCTGATATCTTATGTCTGTATAACGTAATGTCTACTAAACAAATCTTTTAGTTTGGTTGAGATGGTTGATTAGCTTTGAACGACATCACTCCTACTTGCATGTCAAAGCGATAAGTATGCTCAATTAGAAAATGCATGCCTGTTTCAGAATTTTGTGAAGCACTTTTCAACTGCTGTGTGGAAAGATTTGCATGTTTTTATCTTTGTAATATGATTATAAACTCTAATGGGTTATTTGTTGTTTGTGGCAGTTTTCCTCGGTTCACTATATGTGGTGTCAGTGCCGTCATCTTGCTTGGCAGTTTGATTACTCTTGGCTACATCGACGAGGATGAAGAAAGGCACAACTTTGGACACAAAGGAGGTAAGGCCTGGAGCTTATTTAAGCCTTTTTTTTCTTATTCATACAGAACAAAAATTGGTTGGTCTCACTTTCTTTAAAAACTGCTGCTTGCTTAAGAGTTTCTATTCATTTGCTGAGTTGGTTATCATCTGGTTAGGACGGAGATTTTGAGGTTTTGGCAAAAACCATAAACTTGGATTTATACTTGAGCAGCGTTTTCTTACTGGCATTCTGTATATGATTCTATTTCAGGGTTTCTCTGCCCATTCGTCCCATACCTTCCAGTTCTTTGCATATTGATCAACACCTACTTGATCATCAACATTGGGTGAGTTAGTCTGATGGACCCATGTATGATACCAGTATATTGGGATGTTTCTAAACCCTTGCTGGTAATTTGTAATGGCAGAGCTGGGACATGGATCAGGGTCTTGGTATGGCTACTTATTGGAAGCATGATCTATCTCTTCTATGGCCGATCTCACAGCTTACTGAACAATGCGGTTTGCGTTCCAAGGACGACTTGTACCAGAAAAACAACAGATCATCTTGCTTAAGATTGGTGGTTCAATGCAGCAGCTGAAGGGAGTCGAGCTCAAGCTTTGTTGTTGCTGAAGTAGCATCTAAAGAGAATTAAACAGTTTGGCACAAGATTAAAATACATACAAGAACATTTCATGTACATTGTTAAGTCATTCAAAATGTATATCTCTTAAATGCCTATTTCATTTTTGTTCTTCCTTTTCCATTTCCAGTAATATGGTTTGCCAATATTCATCTTAGAATTGCCAAGTCCATTTATTCATTTAATAACTCGAAACATAACAACAATTGGAAAACTGCAGATAAAGAGTGCACAAGATGCAGACATAGACATCTAAAAGATAAAACAAGAATCATCTAAAACTGGTTTAGTCAATAACATAGTAACCTAAACGAACTAATAATAAGTTTGCAAGAGAGGATGAAATGTCTGAGAAACTCTTATATTATTTGTTGTATTCTCCATTCATAGGCAAAGAGAAAGATGTCATCTTTGTTCATCATAGCTAAGCTTTTGTTCATAATGTTTTTAAAACTGAAATCATATCAATTTCATTGGTAATTTGGCCAAAAAGGAAAATGTGCACATCCATAAAGCATTGGAGGCCAAACTTTTTGATCTGATTATTCTTCATTGGTAATTTTACCTTAAATATTTTGTGGTGCAAAAGTTGGCCCTTCAAAATGTATATCTCTTAAATGCCTATTTCATTTTTGTTCTTCCTTTTCCATTCATAGGCAAAGAGAGAGATGTCATCTTTCTTCATCATAGCTAAGCTTTTGGTTTCCTTACAGGTAGTCTCGACCTTTCTCGTTCCAAGCCAGCAATAATGCTCTCTGTTGCTCTCGGCGGAAGATACAGCTAGTCCCAACGTACATTGGACTTTGAAGTAGTCCATTTACAAACTCTCATGAATGATGGTACTAACATGGAAGAAGACAGCGTTGTGGTTAGTATACTATTGAGGATCGGATCATCAACCTTATCGACTTAGGCAATGAGTTGAGACTTCCTTCACCTTAATTAAACTCAGCACATTCTCTCACAAAAACAAAAACAAAACAAAAAAAAAAAAAAGGAAACAAAGGCAAAGAAAGAAAAAGGAAATTGTTATGTGACCGTTAATTAATTGTGATTAGCAATTTCCTTTTTCTTTAGAACTCTTGAAATTGCCAAGTCCATCTAATAACTCGAAAGATAACAAATATTGGAAAACTTTGACAATAAAGAGTGCAAGATGCAGACATACACATTTAAAAGCTGAAGAAAAATCATCTAAATAAAATTTAGTCAATAACATGAAAATATCAAGTAACCTAAACGGACTAATGAGTTTGCAAGAGAAAAGACAACAGAAAGCACTGATGAAATGTCTGAGAATCTCCCAACATATGCCGTCTTCAAAAATGTTATCCTCCTCCACACCAGACTTGCCAACATATATGCACAGCTTCAAGAAACTGCCAAGAAAAATAACTACAAAACATTAGAAAAAATATCAAGAAAAGACATTTGCAACTTGTCTTGTCTCAAGTTTTCAAGATTTCTCAAGTCACACCTGTGGTTCCGTTGGAAGAAACTCTCCTCCTTTCGTAATGAGTCTCACAAGAAACAGATATGAACAGTGATCTTGTTTGCATTCACTAGCTGATTGTAGCTTCACCGTTGACTAAACTTTCTTCGTTGGTACTGCTATTGCTTTTCATTGTCTTGTCACTACTACCACCAGTTGCTCTCCTTACATCTTTCTTCTTCAGGACAAGTTCATCCCCAGATGAAACCTTTGATGCTCCTGCTGCTGCACGGTCCTTTGACGAAGTATTTACATATTTCCTTTGCGAACCCTTGTCTTTGGTAGAATCACCTGCCGGCTGTTGTTTCTGACTGTCTTTGTCTGTCTCTGATTCGGGAAGTAAAGCCCGTACACTAAGTCGAAGCTGACCCTTTTCATTCACCTGCATTATCCATGTTTCTTTGTTCAACAACTCTCTAATTATCATTTCCGTCTCTTGAGTTATAAAGACACAATAACTCGCTGACCTCTATTAGTTTGACGTCAATGCGGTCTCCTACTTTATAGGCCTGAAAAGACAAGAATGAGCGTATGTGACAACCTGAATAAAAGATGAAACAATTTCTATAAAAGAATGGAATCAATGAGTAATGCTCACATCCTCTGGTTTTGCAAGCCATTCAGCACTCAGCTCACTGATATGGCAAAGACCTTCCCGCCCAGGCGCAATCTCTACAAAGGCACCATAAGGAGCCATTGACTTGATTTCACAATTCCTGATACAAAAAGAAAGGTCAGAATCCAAAATCCATTTACGCTTCTTGGTCAGAGAAGGTATATGAAGGATACATACCTGTAGATATCACCAACAGCGGGAACCATTGTCAATCCACTAATAATCGCTTTCGCCCTTTCCAGACTCGCTACATCGATTGCCATAATTTTGACCTTGACAATGATAAATATTAAGAGGTTATGATAAAGAATACCCAATAAATGTATAAAAACATTAAGAAGAATGAAAACATATATGTATGTATATCTCACAGTTCCATCATCTTGCATATCAATGGCCTCAACTCCAGATTCTTCAATGATGCTCTTTACTTTCTTACCACCAGAACCAATAAGAGAGTACACTTTGCTTGGATGAACCTGCAGCAAATGAAACACAAACACTCTTTAGTTCAAGGCAGTAAGACATTAGACTGGGCAATCATGGAAAAATTAGTTGAAGCCAAACCTTCATAATATGTATCAATGGAGCGTATTTTGAGAGGCTTAATGTAGGAGGCGGTGAGCACTTTGCCATTTCAGCTGCACAAAAAGAAAAAAAATAATAGTAAATTACATCTTTTATGGCATACACTTTTCTAGAAACTAAATCTCCCCAAGTATACTGTCTTGAGACTAATACTGAATTCCTTACCAAGAATATGGCGACGCCCAGCTTTCGCCTGTATCAGAGCCTTTTCCATTATCTCTAAAGTGATTCCTCCTACCTAGTTCATGATTAAAGAGAAGAAGAAAAAAAATATGTTACCAACAGATTTATTTATCAATTGCCATTTAAAACCATTTCGGCAGTGTAAATTAAGAAACGGATGATGACCTTAATGTCCATCTGAAAGGCGGTAACACCATCTTCATTCCCAGCAACCTATTGAAAAACAAATAAAAACTTCAGCATTCAAGTCAATGCAAGGTCCTTCAAGGGAATCCTTATGTTTTCTGACCTTAAAGTCCATATCACCAGATGCATCTTCAGCTCCAGTGATGTCAGAAAGGATAAGGGGAGATCCATCACCGCCAAATTCTTCAGTATCCCAAACCATTCCCATTGCTATGCCAGCAACAGAACACTTGACTGGAACTCCGGCATCTTGCAAAGCCAAGCAACCGCCGCAAACAGATGCCATGCTGTCACATTTTCAGATCAACATAAGAAGCAAGTACCAAATTTTTCATTCAAACAATCTTGGCACGTGCAGATCATACAGCTAGAGAAAAAAGCTAACCTTGAAGAACCATTGCTTTCAATTACTGTACTTTCAACACGTATTGTGTAAGGAAAGTCATCATCACTAGGTAGAATGGTCTCCAATGCTCGCTCTGCTAGTGTCCCATGACCTATTTCTCTTCTACTGGGTGCACCAATTCGTCCAACTTCACCAACAGACGATGGAGGAAAAGTGTACTGAAACATCACAATGAGTAGCTTAGAAAACCTCTTTAGGCTCAACAAGAAAAATGAAAGAAGACACTAAGCATTGAAATATTTCGAAATAGTTATTGTAAACGTGCAACTAACCACAGCAAAAGTTTTACTTTATCTAATAAAAAGTCAACTGTAAGTAACAATAACAGAGTGAGAAGAAGAATAAATATCGAAGAGACCTGAAGATAGAACCTCTTGTATTCATCAGAACCCTCAAGGTTGTCAATTCTCTGTGCCATTTGTTTATCACCAAGCGTAACAACTGCCAGTGCCTGAAAGAATCATACAAAAATGTTTCTTATCGAACAAATTTCCTTAAAATACATAAAAGGCGATAAGACAAAGGATCGACATATGAAATAGCCACGCAGGATTTCCCAGAAGACAACATTCCACTGTTACCTGTGTTTCACCACGTGTGAACAGAGTACTTCCATGTGCCCTTGGAAGCAGTCCACATCTTGAATTAATTGGACGAATCTCATCCAGAGTCCGACCATCACTTCTTTTACCTCCCTACGGATGGAGAAATAAGTGATATGGAATCAATAAAACTTGTTCCGAAAAAGTGAAAACAAAATTGAAAATTTAGGAGAGAATTACTAGGAGACAATATGAAAGATGTGTCGCTTTTAACATGTTAAGCATGATTCTTTATTGTAGTGTAGTTCATAAAATGCTTCAATGAGAAAATAGATCCTATCAACATAAACGTCTAGGCTAGAAATGACAGGCAATCAGATCTTGTACCTCAACAATTCGCCTCCGTAGGAGCTTTGACGATACTTCTTTGAAGACCAGCTTGACATCTACTTCAGAAAATAGCTAGACAATGGCAGTGACTAGTTTGTTAACATTACATCAAAAAAGAAAAAGAACATGAGAGAAAAAAGTCAATTTCAAGTTACCAAGTAGAGAAGGTTAAGAGACTCACTAAAGGAATAGGTTTCCGAGGGATGGGCCTAATGTGTACATCGCCTTGGTCCACCTCCCCTTCAGGAACAACTTCCTCATCCTCATCTTCATCCTCCAACAGATCAGGTTGTGCTTCTATGGTTCCAAATGCAACCTCATCAATAACATACCCCTTCTCTGTCAGTATTGTCAAGACCTTTTCTTCCAAGGACGATATGGCTTTCCTTCTCGATATTTTGCTCTTAATTTGTAGCGCTTTGGTCAATTCCTCACCAGCAAGTTCCTGTGTACATAAAGAAATTAATTTGACGCATGATTTACAATAAAATAGCATTGCAATTCCATTCTGGCAAAACAAAACAGAAGCAAGGTGTATAACATACTTTCACATGCTTGTATAGCTCTGGAGGTGGTAATCTGATAGCGTCAAGCATTTTGGGCTTTCCATATTTCTTTGCTAAAACTTCAATAGCAATGCATGTAGCCTGTACAGCATCCTGGTAAAATTTGAAAAAGCTTCACATTTAGTAACTAATCCAGAGTTTTAAAAATTGAAATAATCCCAATAAAAAATTTGAAATACCTGTCCAACTTTAACAGCTTGGAGCAGCATTTCCTCAGGAAGAAAATTACTGTATCCCTGCAGTCACAGATATTTGCAATGAGCAAAGACTGAGTCAAGATAAAAACAGAACAAGAGGAAAAGTGCAAATCTTGCAAACTCAAGTAAAGATTAGAGTTGACCTCTATTGTTAATATTGCTGTATCTGTTCCAGCTAGAAACAAATCTAGCTGTGACTCTTCCATCTCCTTCACGGTTGGATTGACGATGAATTCTCCCCCAATTAGACCAACCCGAACTCCTGCAATCGCTTTCGCATTTGGTACTTCTGAAAGAGCTCTGCGGTATTCATTCATTATAAAGCCATGTCAATGTCTCCAAGATAAAAAGCTTCACTCATATAAAAACGGAAACAAGATGACCCTACATACACAGCAATTCCAGCAGATGTAACAGCTAAAGCATCAGGTGCGTGTAATCCATCATAGCTCAAAACCTGAAACCACAAGCAACAGTTCAGTTACGAATAAGACCCAAATCAAGGAGATGAATACAATCATCTCATACATGTTTAAGTTACTAAGAAATTGTAAGTCATTTTTATGAAAAATGTAGTAGGCACACAAAGGAAGAAATGCCATCATACAGAGACAAAATAAAGCGTATGTCAAAAGGTATTTTGTTTCAACCCAAAAGAGGCAAAACAGACAAAGAAAACCTCGATTTGTCATGAGCAAAGACCAACATATAGGGGAAGGCATTGAATGAAAACAATCCGTACTTCCCCAAAACCCCCATCCAAAACTACTTAAATAGTTAAAGATAAAAGGCCTATATGATCATAAAGAAATCCATGGAGAAGGACAATACCCAGGATAATATCTGAGTTTCATTGTAGAAACCTTTGGGCATAGTGGGGCGTAGAGGTCTATCGATCAACCTACAAATCAGAACCTGCATAAACACCAAAAGTAGAAACATGTTAGGAAGGATGAAGAAAAAGAAGAGACCAAACACCATTTAGCATGACTGCATGGGTAAATACCTCGTGATCTTTTGTTCTTCCTTCTCGCTTAAAAAATCCACCACTGTACCATAAGAAGTTCCATTCAGATCATCATTTAGGCTATGATCTAGTAAACATGTAGCAACAGATTCCAAAATAGCAAAGGATTGAAAAACACTTACCTAGTTCGACCAACAGCTGAGAATCGCTCCTGATAGTGAACATAAAGGGGAAGAAAATCTGATGGCTCACTCGGAACATCAGCTAGACAAACAGATGTGTAGACAATCTACAGTGACAAGTAGGACAGAGTAATAATTAGATGTGAAACACCCACCACAGCTACCGCATATAAAAAAACTGATTGCAGAAGAATCTAATTGAAGATGAAGCACACTTACAGTTTCTCCATCTGTCACTGTTACAGCAGAGCTTGCTTGTCTCCCCATAAGACCAGTCTCTACTAAAATCTAGACAGAAGAAAAAGAAACTAACAAAGTTCAACACATACATCTAAAGCAGAGTGCTTTACTGCTTTGAGCTTCTCTACTATAAAGTTAAGGGTCTCAAATTTGCGCAAAACATGGTCATTAACTAAACTAATCCAACCAATTCTATCACTTCACAAAACCAATCATTTCCGAATCAATCTTCAACAGATGAACACAATGTTAAAAGCAAAAGGGTAAGCAAAATTTTATAGCTTTTAGAAGAAATTACCTCTCTATTTCCGAAAGGAATTTTGACAGAAACGTGGTTAGGAAAAGCCAGTGACCCATCGCCGATAGAGTCAGCGTCTTCGGTAACATCTGGTCTAACTAGAGCTCTGACACTGAATTTACTGGCGCCACTAGCGGAGAGAAGAGAGAGCGAGCACAATTTTCCTCCTCCGCCGCTGCTGCGTTCGCCGGAGTGAAAACGAGGTAAATTCCGGGAACGGCAAAGCCTGCTCCGGCGAACTGGCCAGAAGTGTGGAGTACTACTGTGAAGTGCGTTACTGGGACTCGTCAGCATCTTCTTCTTCTTCTTTGAGAGAGAGAGAGAGAAATAGTGAGAAGGAGAGAGACTTTATCCGATTATTTGCAGACGCGGGAGCGTCTCCTGTGACTGTGTGAGTTTTCAGGCGTAGCTAGTCTTGTTTCCGGTTTTCAAATTGAACCGGTTTTTAATTTCCCAATTGATATTTTCAGAACCAATAATTTATTCCGGACAATTAGGTCTAATTCGTAAGAAATTTGGAATATAATTTGTCTTTAAACATTAACTTATGATTAATAAATTGAAACTTACTGATTAATTTCGTGACCAAATGAGATTTTTATACGAACCTGTGGATAGACTAGCCAGTTGAACCGATTGGTTCGGCTCAATGCCAAAAGCTAAAACTGGTTTGAGTTTTAGACTGTACTAGTTTAAAAGTTACGACCGAGATACGAAACGACGCGTTTTGTAGAATTAAACTGGAAACAGGAGCTAGCAACATGTATACTATTTCACTTTTTTTAGAGTTTTTCAGCCAATCAGAAGGCTCTATTTCACAACCACTCGCACAAAGTGCGCGTTGCGCGAGTGAGAGCAATTCCTGAAGGGGTATACCTTTCGAAATCATGCCTATTTTAATCTACGCACTTCTCTCCAAAATTTCCATCGCGTGAATATTATTTTGTTTTATTCTCTTAACCAGTGTAAACCGAACCCAAAATCAATTTTAATTTCAATAACATGTAAACCCCACCGCTGGAGCTGACAGAAACTTGTTCCTGTTCGAGATCTCCTCCGAAACTTTTGTCTGATCGGCTGATTTCTTCAATCAAAGCTCTCTCCGACGAACTCAAAATTCTTCTCCATAATCTGCGGCGTATTCCCATAACGACTATTCGATTCCAAATGTATATTTGCTTCTCTTCTTTCTATTGCTTCAGATTATTTATTTTTTCAGTAGAAATCTCTGTTAATCATTACAATGTACTTGTGCTTAATGTTGATTATGACTGTGATTACAATCACTAGTATACGTCTGTCACATATGGAACAAATTTAGTTCTATTTTGCTTTAATTGGTAGTATATATACTAAAACTCAAGATTTCTAAGTGTTGAAAATCACAGTCATCTTAAGTCCCACTGTATATGGCTAAGTACTTGTTGCTAAGTTGATAGAAAAAGTATGTACATTCTTTCTTTAGTTGGGGTTTTGGCAATTACATATGAACACATTGAAGCTAAGATTTTTGCCTATCAATAGAAGAATCTATAAGTTCGAAGAAAGTACTAATCCTTGTTTTTCTTTACATGTTTGGTCCTCAAGGCTTAACAATTATTATAACTATCTTCTTCTCTCTCTCTACCCACCTCAAGCTCCCTGTTATCTCTGTGAGCACTTAACATTTGAAGACGCTGAATACGTTGTGGAATTGTACCGTCAAACCTCATGCTTTGAGGATCTTCAGAATAAGCTACATAGTAAGCCAAGACACATGCCTGTAGCCACGCCAAACCTACCCTTCCCTGAAAACACTCAAAACAAGGTACACAACATAAGCCACTCTGTCTAAGTCTTCTTTATGTTTTTACGGCTAATGTTCATAGAGTTAGTTATCTTACCACGAAATATCCAATTATGAAAGCATAGAGAGACACTTCCAGGGCATAGTCTTTGTGTATTAACAACATCCATATTCCAGCAGTTAATGAAGAGACTGCTCCAACAGAAACCGCGCTGAGGAAGCAGAAGGAGCTAGTGAGATCCGAATCTATCAGTTTCTCTAACCCTGTTGTGCTTCTGAACTTCTTCCATGTATCACTCGAAGCCTCCATGAAGCCTTTATCATATGTTCCAACATGTACAAAGCCCCATCTGTTTCCAAGTGTAATGAGTTTGTTAGCAATGGTAGAGAAGCAATCAGCACCTGAATACATGACCTCATCGCTGCTCCCTGACATTAGATTAACGCTTCTTATCGATCCTCTGATGAATACGATGATTGGAACAAGCGTCGAGCCAATGCAGATGCTCCCAGTCAGGTGTTTCAAAGTGATGCGAAAAGCATTCCAAGCGTCCATATCTTCTCCATGTGCAAAGTTTACATATCTCGCCCGTGAAATCGCAACTTGTTGTACATTCTTGAGAACTTGCATCGTCCATGCTAAGCTCATCATGATTACGGATATGAACAAGATATCAAGATTTGTTCTAGTGGAAGTTGCTCCTCCAATTCCAGTGACCAAGAAACCAGAGTAAACAACGCTAACTATGATTGATAAGCAGACTACTTCTCTGGTTCTTGCAGGTGGAAACGCTGTAGCAAGTGATAGTATCTTATCGGTGTATGCAAACCTCGGAGTGATCCAGCAACCATACAGAGACTGAATAATGGCGAAAAGCACAAATACTGCACCGATCCCTGCATCTACCGCAGAGCCAATCAGAACAAGCAATATCCCTACCGAGCAGGTGAGTATTGGGCTAAGCCAAAACGTTGCTTTGACTGCTCTTGATGGATTGTATATAAAGATGCATTGCCAGGCTAAAGATGCAACTCCTGAGACAGCAACAGATGCTAGTAAAGGAGGGTACCATTTCTTGGGGTGGAAATGGTGTGTACTTGCTGAGATGAGACCGCGAATGGTGAGAACGATCACCAAAAGCGAGATTAAGGTTAATTGTGAGAAGAGAAGACCCTTGAAGAGATTTCTAAAGAGTTTTCCGGCTATTGTTTGTTGTGTTGTGGGAGGTGGTCTTCCCTGTTGTTCCTGACAAAAACAAAAAAAATGGTATCTCATCAACGGGTAATTCAAGGCTAATTAATGTGAATATGCAAGTAAAAAGCACCATGAAGAAACAAGAAGAGTCAAAAGAGAAGCTGGGTCTTGGTTTTGTTCTTGAGTCAAGAATTAGTGATGAAGGTCAACGAGAAAGGATAAAAAACAGAGAGCATAAAGTAGAATGCAAAACAGAACCACAGAGAGAGAGGGAGATGGAGAAGATACAGAGATTAAGAAAGGAGTTTCCTGATTCTTGATTCAAAAGAGAGAAATACCTTGAAGGCGATTGGAGAAGAAGAAGGAGGAAGAGGAGACATTATTCTCGATTCTTGAATCTGCACGCGAGAGGCATGACCGTTGCTTGTTGGTATAGGCATAGATGCGTTGTATTTTGCCAGGAGAGTTCCTTGAAACCCAAGTTCCACTTAAACCATTTTCATCAATCATCATCATTCTTCTGTATATATGTATATACATACATCTTTGTCAATAAGTTCTATCGTTTTTTTATGGTTTATTAAAAATAATTTCGAATATTTAATATACATACTTTATTCCATTACTTTGACTTACTCCATCTTTAAACTAAACCTACACTTATTGTTGTTTTGACTTTTTTACTCTAAAGTTTCCTCATTTCATGATCCCCCACAAGATTAATCTATTCATAAACAATTAAATTATAAAAATCTTTCATTTGGTCTTCGCACTCCACAAATCATGGAAATACGTTTTCCAAACTCATTAAATTGTTCTTTTTTACGTTAGGTTTATATTTTGGTACTACAGATACATGTAGGTTTATCTTGGCTACCTACTCATCCCCGTATTAAAGCTTACTTCAAAATATTTTAGTAGAGAAATCAAAGTAAGAGTTTAGAGTAATCAAATGTAATGAGTTGATCTGAATAAAATGTATCTTATTTAATAAGAAGAATTTTTTTTTAAGCCGATTTTTATATTTTCTATGTCTAGAGATATAATATACGTTCTAGATTCCACTATTGTCATGGCAAATGGTGGTTGGTAACTTTGAACCTTCCCGTGAATTTACAATTGGTTTATTTATTTGTGCATTTGATGATTGATGAGATGGAGACATGAATAACATTAAAATGATAAATGTAATCTTTGAAGAGAAAAAAAAACAGCAACATCTGAACAGAAAAAAATCTTATCCATATGTTAATTAATTTTTGTTGTCAACTTCATTTCTCTAATTGATTATATAGTTACGGAGTGATAGTTTAAGTCATTTGTAGCAAATAAACTAAACTCTAAAGATGTGTCAAGGAAAAAGCAGAAACGAGTACACAAACTAAATACGTTTGTTCACTTCTTTCCTTTATGCCTTTTGTTGTTACCTTTTGGCGTGAGAGGATAAGTCTCCAAATTTAATAATATCATCCACGGGTTTTTTTTTTCTTTTTCATCCACGGGTTTGCTATGAGTATTTCTGTCTTTTTCTATTTTTCAATTTTTATGACTAATAAATTTCGGAACAAATCACAAATAGTTTCCATATATTTGTAGCCGTTGTGAAAAGTCAATTAAAGTAAAAGATATATATGTTATGTGGTCTTAGCACTGGAATTATTTGACAACTTTAATTATAACTGTGTTATTGTGTTGTTAATTTGCTGACAACTTTTTTTGTTTCTTAAATGAAGAAAGAAAGAAAAACTAAAAATATTGATTTTATTGGTAAAGAAAATAGAAATTTTGAAGGTGAGGTTGGTCGGGATGGATTGCTTACTCCTGTACTCGAAAGCATACAAATCAATACCTAAACCAAAAAGACAAATTAGGTAAAGTGGACTTCGTAGTAGTTACCAACTCAAACATTCCACATTTTGACAATAATTATGAGTGAACTTTTTATTTTCCATATCTAAGATAGATGATGGTAGAATTTCGATTCCAAAATATAGCACTGTAGTCTGTAAAATGTAAAATGTTATTGTCATGAATAAGCTTTTGTTCTTATGATGTTTTACTGTCTTTTTAAGAAACTGAGAATGTTGAGCTGGTCTACTTTACAATTTATCACCTTGCAATCTTTTGGTGATGCGGAGATAAGAAGAAATGGAAACGCTGGTAATATATAACTTTGGACAGTCAACAAGCAATGGCATTTGGATGAAGAAAATGTCGTACATTAAATCCATGTACTCTCTTTTCTTACCAAAAGAAAAAAAAAAAAACAAGTACACAAATGATAGTCTATCACCAAATTCTTAAATGGAAATCTACATCCACACGTTATGGTTTATGATGTGGCTCTCTATGAAACTCTACTAAAATAAAATAATATGGATGGCATCTCAAAATAGTTGCTTATGTTAGTATCTTTGACAAGGTCCAGTTCGAGAAAGTAAATAGGCCTTTATGGGCCTCTATCGGACTCTAGAAACAAGTTAAATTAACGTGCGTTAAACAAAAGTTGTTCCAAAATCCAAATAATTCGATCTGACAAAAGAAGTAAATCAAATTGGGTTCGTTGTTTTAAATCTAATCATATATATGAACCAATCTTACACCTTTGTAGATTAATACTTCAATCTCTTAAAGGTATATTAACTAAAAATCTAAGAACCAAAAACATGTTTGTATCATCGGACGTATATTTTGATATCATCCACCAATTCGGCCAACCACTTCCATTAATAAGGTCTTTGTAATTTACAAATGTATCCTGCTAAATACCAAGATCTTACTCGCTAGGTGAGGGTAATAAAGTATAATTAACTTCACACGTGAGTTCCATCCAGTTAGAAGATCTAAAAGCATGTGGAAGAATGTGAGAGATAGGACAGATGGAGGACTTTGCTTGAAAGCAAGGAACCCACACTTTTACAGCCTTTTTAACTCTCAGTTTGATTTGTCTGTACTTTATAATCATTCTATTTCTTTCTATATTTATCTCTTTCCAAAACAATTTTACATGTTTAGTAAACGCAGCTTTTTATTTATTTTGGGTAATGGATTAGAATGCAGTTTCATCTGTCTTATGTGTCCTTTAAACGTCAAAACACTAGATTTAAAATTAGATTTCTCTTATTTGTCTTTTAAACGTCAAAATCAAATTTCATTATAAAAAAAAAAAATTGATGGTGTTGGGTTAAAATTTTTGTTTAGTGGATATACTACTAAATTAACACACACACACTCAAAATTAAGATATTTCCTTAGTTAGTTTTCTTTTGTTAATTTTTTCCTTAATTTGTTTGTTGATCAATCTTTATGTCAAGTTTGGTAACAATCGATCTTTCAAATATTGGTAATATCTGTTGGTGCCAATGTTATAACAAACAACTTTGATTATGAATATTTTTGAGTATGAAATTTAATTTCACTATAGAATTTATAGAAGATTAACACGTTTATTAAGATTGGTTATGGATGGAGCTTGTAGTTATTTCAGACTATTCTGGGGCAATAACATAAAAATATATAAATAAAGGGGCATCTTTGTAATTCTACAAACTATCCATCACTAAACCACATAAACTCTCTCTCTCTTCTCGAAAGAGATTCGAAGAAAATTTACAGAGAGACAAAAATGGCGATAAAGAAACTGTTGATGATCTCCTTCTCTCTAACTTCACTCCTCTTCTCTCTTCTCTACATCATCCCCACAACCAAAACTCTATTCACTTCCTCAAAAATCCCTACTTTACCCATCGAATCCAACCAAAACCACAACTCTACCCTCCCCTGTTTTGCTTACCTAATCTCTGCCTCCAAAGGCGACGCCGGAAAACTCAAACGCCTCCTCCGATCTCTATACCACCGTAGAAACCACTATTTGATCCATCTAGACTTGGAGGCGCCCGAGGAAGAGCATTTGGAGATGGCCAGGTTCGTCGCCGGAGAACCTCTGTTTCAGCCGGAGGGTAATGTAATGATCGTCGGAAAACCGAATCTGGTGACATATAGAGGACCAACGATGCTTGCGACGACGCTACACGCAATGGCTTTGCTCTTGAGATGTTGTCGGTGGGATTGGTTTATTAATCTTAGTGCTTCTGATTATCCTCTCGTCACACAAGACGGTACGGTGAGTAATTAACTAAAAAATTAGTTGATTTAGTTGATTATCAATATTTCTTATTTGGTTTTAGATTGATGATTATGGTTAATAAATTTCACATCTTTATTGAGAAAGTTTTTGGATTAGCTGATTAGGATTGGATCTAGGTGATATATGTATGAACCGGTTAGGATCGATTTATGCCTTTATTGTCACAATATGTATAATCGGTTATCCATTTTACATTAAGGATGATCCATAAATTTAACATTTGTAATTGGAGTTTGGAGTTTGGAATTATGATCACAATGCAATAATTAGGATCACATGAATGCATTGCAGCATTGGTTAGGATCGGTTTAGACTTTAGACGTTGATTTCGGTAATAACAACCGGTTATCTATGATTGATAATCGTGTGCTTATATATGGTGATGGAAATCTTTTGTAATTTTTTTATTATATTATAAAATAAATGCAGATCTGATCTATGCATTTTCTGAGTTGCCTAGAGATCTCAACTTCATACAGCACACAAGCCGATTAGGATGGAAAATGTAAGTTTTACGTACTCTCTCTTTTTCTTTCTCTTTTCTAATTATTTTATTCATCGAAATTAACTACTCTATAATCTATACTATTAAAGGAAAAAGACAGAATTAGTGAAACATGCTGAGAAATATTTGAACTATCTGAAAAACAAGTGGTTATATTGGTTTCGTAACAAACAAAAAAATATGTAACTGATATTAGTATGATAAAATGTGCAGGAACAAAAGAGGGAAACCAATAATAATAGATCCAGGACTTTATAGCCTCAACAAATCAGAGATTTGGTGGGTTAGTAATCAGCGAAGCCTCCCTACTTCTTTCAAGCTCTTCACAGGTACCCAACCAATATTTAGATCCTCGCGTTGAATAGTGCATATATGTAAGTGTATAACTAGGAAAAGTCTTCTTTGATTTTCTATATACATTCCTTAAGATTTAGAAAGTTGTTGCGTCTGCGGATTGATTTCAGTTGAGTGAGACATGAAACCTAATATATAATTTGGCGGCATAAAATATTGTTTTTAGAATTGACAAATGAAAAGATTATCTTTAGAAGTTTACTTAGGTAAAATGTCTTTTTCTTTAGTTACCAAAATGAAGAAAATTGTTATGATATAACATGTAAAATATTTCAGGCTCTGCTTGGACATTCCTATCAAGACCGTTCTCAGAATATTGTATAATAGGTTATGATAACTTACCAAGAACACTCCTTCTCTACTACACAAACTTTGTTTCATCCCCGGAAGGCTATTTTCAGACACTTATATGCAACTCGGATGAGTTCAAGAGCACGACCGTGAACCACGACCTCCACTACATCGCGTGGGACAATCCGCCAAAGCAGCACCCAAAGATTTTAGGGACCAGGGATTACAGAAAGATGGTAACGAGCAATCGACCATTCGCAAGGAAGTTCAAGAGCAATGACCCCGTTCTCAATAGGATAGACAGGGATATTCTGAGAAGGAAACGGAAAAGTGTGTCGAAACCAGATCTCAGTCCTGGTCCGGGGGCTAGGAGGTTAAAGAGTTTACTAATGAGGCTTTTGTTGAGAAGAAACTTTGTCAATAGGCAATGTAGATAGGAAGTGTGAGTTACACAACTCTATATGGAGATACTTTTGATCTTATTCTTTCTTGATTTTTTTGGGGTTGGTGTTTGGTCTTTAGTGATTCATAAGGGAATGGAATAACGAAGAATTTAGATTTAAGTGTTGGGTTGGTTTGGCTTTGGACTTCAAAGTCATTAGAATGTTTAGAATGTCTGGTGGGCTAGATTGTGATATTCCATGTTATCAAGCTTTTCCCCCATTTTGATTTCTATGAAAAGCGCATATTTCCATTACAAGCGTATAACTTACATGCTTTTTCTATGGGCTAAGAAAACTGAAGAGCTTTGCTTTTATTGATTTTGTTGGTCATGCAGCATTTTTGAATAATATTGATTATTGATCTAATAATCTGGCGGTGACCGGTGACACTGGTTAAATAGCTTTTTGGTAACGCAATAAATATTTTTCCTTTTTTTGGGTGGCTTGAGTTTTCCTTTTTTTTTTTTCCTAGAGCAACGCTCCTGCGAGGCTGCAACGGTCATATACACCAACTTCGTCACCTAAAAACCACGATTCTATACGAATTTTTGTTCGTATTGTTTTTTTATGTAACCTTATTTACGTTTTCTAATTAAATATTTGTCCCCACAAAGCAATAACGGTCTAATTTCCTCCACCTATTGGTGAGTTTACATCTTAAGGTCCACCCACGGACCCACCTCTTCAATTTAAGAAGCTTTACTTTAACTAAAAAGTAACTAACATATATTGAAAAATAAAATAATTGAATTTCAGACGATTACATGACTCAAAATAGATAAAAGAAAAAAAAAAAAAAAAAAAAAAAGAACAAAACAAAAAACATTATTATAACCCTTTTTCCGGATCACAGAATCTGATCTGACATCGAAGGAAGTCGCCGGAAAAAGTTGACCGGAACGGAAGGCATATCGTCTCTAAACCTCGGATGTCGAATGTAGTAAAAACCTGAGCCCAAAACGAAAACTTTAAATGGAACGATGTAGAACAAAAACGACGCGAAAAGACAGAACACCACGAATATACACGTGGCGCGTGGGTCTCTCCAGTTGAACAACGCCTCAACACGCTCTCCTTGAGCCGCCACGTCGCCTAATAAAGTCTGTGCCCGACCGGCCAATGCCCTTAACCGGTCATACCTTATACGAACGACCTCCGGTGGTCTCGTTGCTGGGAAACCATCAAACTCTTCATCAAGCTCGTCGGGAGCAACGGAGTCAACGCAAGATAGTCTTGGGTCAACGCTGTTGACTTTGACTCTGCCACGGTAACGGAATCTTAAGGCTAAGATCAAGAACGCGTACATGAAAACGGTTGGGAGGACTAAATGTGGACACAAGACGATGGCCACGAGAAGCAAGTGAACTAGAACGGTTGTTGGTGGGTGAACCCAAGTTCGAATCCCGTGAACCCAACGGGCTATGGTGGCTGCACGTGACAAGAACGTGACGACACGGAACCAATTAGCTTTGCTTCTCCTCATGCTCCACACATGATTGTCCGTGTCAAGCATGTATTGAACCACCTCTTGACCTAATGGAGGCTCAGACCGCGCAAGCCGGGCTGTCACGATACGCATAGCCGTGTGACGCAAAATATCTTGTTGAGCTGGACCAAGCGGACGGACGTAGTGCATCCTAGGTAGCATTGGTGTGACATAGGCTTGAATAATGCTTAGCCAAGATGGACAAGAGAATCGAACCGCAATTTCAACTTCTCCCATTTTCTTGGCTCCGCTTGGTAAGATCACGGTTAAGGTGTAGGAATTAAGGTAGATTCGATTCATGTCGAGAGTCGAGAGGCGTACACGGATTTTCCCGACCCTTACGTCTCTCCCTTGCTTCCCGGATTCGTCCCGCTTGTACCGTCCGTTGTCGAAAACTCCAATGGTGAGGACCGTGCACGGATCATAAACATCCCATGTGTACTGCTCGTTCCACCGCGGATTAAACCGGTCTAGGATCGTACGGGTCCGAATCCATTTCGGTCCGTACTTAGCAACCACATAAGCATCGGTGGTGCCACGTGTACCATCTCTAGTTTTCACCGGAAGTAAATTAGTAGCTCCACGGATACCCACTTCCAATAAACCAATAGGTGGCTTGGCTAGTTGTTTAGCCGATGGTCGGACATCACTAGTCACGTGAGCTGCTTCGTCTAGCACGTGATACCCACCTTCAAGACAAACTTTCACGTGGATTCTCCCGGAGTACGGTTTATTCTCGTCCCCGGCGAGATTAAACCACCTCGATTTCGGTTCAGTCCGGTCATCATTTCTCCTCTCAACACTTACCATATGTATCTTGGTCTGACCAATTGATTGCCCATTCGTTATATCTTCCACTGTCACTATCAAGAACGGCTCAAACGGCTCGGAAGCTACAAAAACAAGATCCTCATTCCAAGTCGGGTTACCGGAACCAGACGAAGAAGTCGACGGCCCTATCGAAGTTCTAGCCGTTTTGAAGACTTGAGGTCCAAGCTGAGCTTTCACATAAAGCTCAGTGGTGGGGATCTTTGACTTAGCTTCGGATCCCAAACCTAGCTGCAAATCTTGGGTTTGTATGACCGTTAAACGCAAATACCAAAGCTTCGGAGATAAGTAAACTTTGGATCTTGTCTCCGGAATCAATCCACCGGAATCAGATTGCCAAGCTTCTTGAAACGCTTCATCAGCTTGAGTCCCGAGCCAAACAGCGAGCATGACGTCATTCCCCGGCGATTTCTCAGATTCCAATGTGTACCATTGAGGAGCTAAAGGACTATCCGGAGGCACTCTTTTAGGAACCTCTTGGAGATCAAACGACACCGTTCCCAAACAAATTTCAGTAGTCGTCGTCGTTTTATCTTCCTTCTCAATCTTCTCTTCACTCCAAACGGAGACTTCAAGTGAGCTTGAGTTTAAGCTCTCTTTCTCGAAAGCAAACACTTGATCCCAATCTTTACCGGTTTGGCTTCTGGTTTTCACACCATTTGTTCCGATCACGAGCTTTGCATAAATCGGATTGCTTCCATCGTTCTTTGCTCGCTTCGCTTTAGCTACACGAATGTATAGAAACGGCATTCGATCGACGAGATCGTAACCACCACCACGGTTCTGATCTCTGGTTAGTGAAGGAAGCTCGAGATCGGACCCGATTAGATCTTGCCGGTTTACGTTCTCCGGTTTAACTCCTAATTCATTCTGTTTCACAGTCTCTGCCTTCTGCGGTAAAGGCGGATTCTTAATCTCAGCCGGAGGAGGAGGAGGAGCTGCGGCGGCATCAGGCTTCTTTGCCTTAGTATCCGGTGGCTCCGGAGTTGCCGCATCGGTTTTTTTCTCCTCCGGTTTAGCTTCTTCCTTAGGTTTCTCCTTTTCTTTTTTATCTCCTTCCTTCTTGTCCTCTGTTTTCGCCGCCTCTGTTTCTTTCTTCCCCTCCTCTGCTTTTGGATTCTCCGGCGCCTTCTCTGCCGTCTCAGCTGCAGCCTCAGGTTTCTTCTCCGTCGCAGCTGGCGCGGCTGGTGGATTCTCATCCACGTAGTATGCTTTTAATCCAATCTCACCTTTGATTTGAGAGAAAACGCTCCTCTTCTCAAGCGGATAATAAACAAGAGTTTCAGATCCAGCCGCCGCAAACGAGCTTCCGGCGATCTTAACCTTCCCGAGAAACGTGCTCCGTTTTCCCGTCTTCTTATCGTTGCAAAGATTGATCTCAAGAATCTCTTCCCCCATAGTCGCCGTGTCGTGGACGAAGAACTCGAGCTTCTCGTCCCATTGTGGATTCAGATCTCTGAATTTAGTCTTCGTCCGTCGCCGTTGGCCGTCGAAATCTACGATTGCGTAAGCGCTAGCTGTTCCTTGACCATCCTTTGGCATTAAATTTCTTGCGCTACAGATCTCGACTATCAGCTTCCTCAGAACAATGTCCGCCATTGTTTCCTTCTCGGAGGAAATTGAAGCTGGTCAGATTTTTTCTTACGATTGAAGAAGATGAATGAGACTGTTCAGTTTCTTTTGAAAGAAAGAGAGAGAAATAAAGTTTGAATTTTTTATTGTCTAGAGAGAGAGAGAAAGCACTGTTTGTGTTGGACGCTCGAGAGTGAAGGTTTAAAAAGGGGTTGGAGGTAGAGTCACGACACGTCAGTAATGACACGTCGGATAATATGCCACGTGATTTGACATTAGAGGACGAATCTTATTTTATTTTTCATTTAACGTTTAATCATGAATTGGTGCTGCTGTGGAAACACATATTAAACGAAAAAGAAAAGAAAATACCATATTCTGAAAAAATCATGAATTGTTCTTGGTTTTCATTTGTTAATAAATCTTTTCTACAATTTAGAAATCGGGAGATTACTGGTGATGATGCATTTTTAACCTTCCGCGTTGATATATGAACAAAATGACAAATTAGTTTATAACGTTACAAATTAATTAATGAACTCATATTGTTTGAGTCTAAACTTACGTTATGCATTAATTAATGTAATCTCACCGAATTCAAACACAAGAACGCTTTAAATTTTATGTCAAAAATTACAAACATAATTTTGTTTTTCAGTGGAAATCTTTGATGTCAAAGCAGTCTTTGACGAATTAACGAATTAGAGGCCATTGAATCTTCATTGACGTTTATACAAAATGTAACCAAAGAGGCAAAGAAATGTGGATATTAGTGAGTAGGTAAATCAATTATAAATCACGAAATTTTAGATGCAAGTCATGACACAACCTCAACTGCTTCTGTTCGTGAATGACCATATCTCTTGATTCATTCGCAATCCATGATAACTCTTCTTTTATCTCCTGAATAGCTCTGTAAGTCGAGTAGTTGGAGTATAACATGTGACGTGAAATTAAGCGGATAGCAAATCAACGCCTATCACGAAAAATGTTTCTTAATTATGTAAACATGAAATGTTTGCTTGCATGGCCGGTAAAATATATTATTCATGAATTTGCAAAGGAGAATCTTTTCATAAATGTAAACCGCATTGAGAAAGTTTTTTTTTTTTTTTAAAAGCAGAATATTTGCAGTTGTACGAACTCGAACTTCGAATTGCATGATTTTTTTTTTTTTTTTTTCAATCACACGTTTTATTTCTCTCTATGTATTTCTGGATCGGATGTACTTGTTATAGCACTGATATTATAAAATCTATATAGTACTAATACATCAGAAGCCGTTAGTTCTTGTTCCAATATGCCCCCGTGCACGGCACACATATTCATCATGTACATATCTTCCATGTCTATAAGTAGTAGTACTTTTTAATTATAATTTTCAGTGAAAGTTTGGAACTACTCAGTTCTTACGAATCTTATCAAAATAAATAAATTTAAATCCGTACGTAAATCCAGACCTTTTTAAAAATTCGGACCAACATTTTATAATACAACTGACGTATTTATAATATATACATGCATAATGCACAACAATAGATTAGGTATGAATAAGTATTTGGTGTCTCACTTTCAGTACCGGGTGAGTAAAGTATTATTGGTTAAGTAATTTCCTTTTATCAAGTTTTATGTTTGGTAGGTTTACAAAATACTACTAATAAAGATCAATTATCAATCTCATTGCCACAATGGGAGAAGAAGCTTTCATTTAAAGCAAACAACATTAGTAGATCGAGATTTATTAAAATTTGAACAAAGATCTTCGGAACAAAAACATCAGAGATCTTTATGATTTGGCATTAAAGTGACATTTACCCATAGTTTTTTTTTTTCTTAATCTCCTTGTTTATTATTGTCGATACTCGATAGTCCCTTTTTCCATAATTAATAAATATGAAATATCCCAACTTGATTTACTTTTAGTTTGCTTACTTGCCTGCTCTCTGCAGAAATGAACGTTGCTTTGTTTTCGTGTTTCTTGCAGCGACATAAAGATAATGGATTTTTCAAAACAAAAAGATATTGAAAATATAAAGTCCGTCCTATAACTTTTCTTCATGCATTTGTTTCTCAAAAATAAAATTATAAAATACTGTTTTCCACATATTGCCTCGCATAGGTCTCTGTCAGACATGTTTTCTCCAACGGTATTTATTTTGTATAAAAGTATTTTCCTTTTGTTTGTTTTCGTATGGATGAGCTTAGATTAATATTTTTCAGTGTTTCAAGTTGCTTAAATTTGGGTTTCTTTTTGAGCAAAAACGAAACCAGATTCTCTGGATCAGTCGGGTCAGATTTGATCAGGTTGGATCGGGTCGGTAGGATAATAAATTCAAACTTGGCCCAGCCCAATGTACTTAAAGAGCGGGCTTTCACCTTAGCATGTTAAAATCAAAAGAAATTATTTTTCTTATCATTTAAGAAAATAACAAACACATAATGTTGTTAACTAAATTAAATATCAATATTAATGTTGTACAAAGTTTACCTTGTAATCAGACTGCTATTTTAATTTATCTTAAACAAAAATATAAACGTTTCATTTATGGATCCGTGAGGATGGGAACCATATGAGACTCATAATCGCCGTCTGCTGCTATTTTAATCAGCAAAATATATTAATTTAAAGATTATAGATGTGAAGACGACCCTAATTAATTAAACCGCCTAGTAGTAGCTACTACGGTATAAACACATCCAACCAGGCCAATCAAACTATATATAATCATGTTAGAAATTGCGTAAGGTATGCTAATGTAACGTCATACCCATATCTGCAAAGCCCTCGCCATATATACATGAAAATCAAAATCCAAGTATTTATTTTATCAACTGGAGCAGTATATAACAACTAATGAACCATTTGGTCCATTTTCCATAAACACATGCCCAGATTCAATTATTTTATAGAACAAAAAAAGAAGAAGTTGCAATTTTCATCAAGTCAAAGGTAAGGCTTTTTAAACCCTATCAACTTTAATATTTGTAATTAATTAATGGGCATGTCACATCCTAATTTGTTTTTTTTTTTTTTTTTTTCTTTTTGCAACGACGACAACTTCTTTACACAAATCTCTACGATATATCGACAACATGAAAGTAACCAATAATAATATATTACTAGATCATGACCCGCACGTACGTGCGGGATTTCGTATTTTAAGAAATGTATTGTAATAAATTTTTAGTAAATATATATTATTTTGTTGTTTTGTTGATATATATTGTAGTATATAATTTATAATGTACTGTATCAAACGTTGAACTTGGAAAAGAAAACTCAATATGAATACGGTATAATTTAAATACTTAACTGAGGAACATAAATAAAGAGAACTTTTATAAAAAAAATTTACGATCAAACAGGATAAGAAAATAAGAAGAACCAGCTATTAGACACTCCAGATGAGTGGCCCGCTTTTGCTTCGGAGTTAGAAGATTTTAATGCTTTAAAACTTGGTTTCTCTCGTTTTTCCTTAGATTTTATTCCACGGTTAAACAATGTTTGTGCCGATTGTCTCGCTAAGAAGGCAAGAGCACGCGATTCTCTTTTTCCCTTGTAAGCTCCTCAACACCGGACTGGTTTTCTCCAGTAGAAAACTGCCCGTTTCTAGTGACTTTATTTTGCTGTAAAAACAAAAGAAAATAAGAAGAACCGGAAATAAATGAAAATAATATTTATAGCACCAAACGTGATAAACATCCATACGAAGTTAGTTTTATGTCTTGAATTCCTTACGATCAAATCTCTCGCTTTGGCCAATAGACAATAAAAAAGAGAGATTAAAATGTGTTTAATAGATATAAAATTAAATATATGATAACGTTTATGAAATATATTTTCTCTGTGAATGGATCAATAAGCGACTTGTGATTTAGTGTTGACCCTAAAACCAAAAACCATAAAAATACGCATAGGAGGTTAGTAAAATTGAGAGATAAACATCATAAGAACATGAAGTAATTTACTTTTAGATCTCCATCTATTGTTTTAAAGAATCGATTTTCTAGATTAACTGTGAGATAATCAACGTGGATGTATGCATAAATGCATAATATTTATAGGAAATAGTTTATACACAAAATTAGGTTTATTTTGTGGATTCAATCTTTACCAAAAAAAAAAAACTTAATTGCATATTTTAAATTTATGATGACGAATTTTATAAAAAAAAATCTAAAATTTCCTATGATCTCAACGATTTTGGTATTTTTCCATGAAACTTATCTCTATGCATTATCGCAAATATGGTAACTTGTTCAAACCCTACAATTAATGAGTTGTTAAAAAAATCTTATTAATGGTTGTTTCCAAAAAAGAAGCTATTCAAATTTAAAAGAAAAGTATTGGTGTGAATCAATATTTTCTCATTTTGAAATATTTGCATTGAAAATTTAAAACATTGATATTTTAATTATATTTTAATGTTTTTTGAAAAAGAAAATAATCAAATTTAGAAGAATGTATATTCCAAAAGCTTGTAACAATTTGATACGAATTAAAATAATTTATTTGATTTGAAATATAATAAAAACAAAATTTGGTAAGAAATATATTAATTTATTTGGCTCTAAATAAAATAATTTGGAGATATAGTAACTAATATAATACGTTTCAAAAATATATTTTCTTTTATATAATTCAAATTTAGTTTAGTAATATATATTTAAAATATTAAAAACTACCCGTTTAAAAAAAGATATTTTAATGTATAATGCAAATATTTTCTAGATATTTACATATCTAAAATCCAAAATTTATTTGTTGAATGTGCTATATAATTTAAAAGAATGGAAGTATTTAGTTTGGATAATATATGACAATTATACTAAATATTTTTTCATATTTGGAAAATAAAATTTGAAAATTGTTTATTTTTTCATGTGATTTAATCAGAATTAATTAGCATAGTTTTGTTAAGAAAATCTTTTAAAATCTAAACTAAATAATAATTTGTTATTAAATTAGATTGACAATGGCATTCTATGTAATATTCTACAACTTAAAGGTTTTTTATTATCTAGTGATTCCCAATTAATAGTATAGATTATTTTTTTGAAATTTTCATAATCGCTTAAAACAAACAAAAAAAGTAATAGTGTTTTTTTTTGTATGGAGGAATTAAGAACGAGTCTTTGCACTAAATTAACTCCATGTTGATTTACATTTAATCGTATGATGGCTCATTTATCTTCTTCTTAGTACACTTGTTATTTTTTATGTAGATAAATTTGATTGTTTTGTGTCGTTGACTAATATTAAATCATACTAGTAACAAGATTGTCTAAAACTACTAGTCTATCTCGTATATCTCAAGAAAAATTCAAAAGATCTAATTCCTAGAACAAGTAGTTCTCGAGAAAACTAAGCCTCATATAACTAATCAAGTAATCATAAGAAAATTTAATTACCTTCTTGACATCTAACCGGTGTATACCGGATTTATAAAATCAGTTACTTCCTAACTTACAATCCCATTATACTAGTCAAGTTAGTGGCTTAGTGCATCAAAATATATGATCTATCGTAATATTACAATTAGTAGATGGCTGATGAGATGATGATGATGATGGCTCATACGATTTATTTTCAACTGAATTTCATTCTAGAAAAAAATATACACATCGTATCAACTGGATTTTGATATCATATTGTGCTTCATAATAGGATTTCAATCCGTAACTAATTGGCGATAAATTGATTAACTCATATCTCTTCTTAACTATATATTTTTCAACTTGTTTCCAATGTAGAATTCTAATTTGATACACTTAGTTACCTTCATTTTCATTTCCTAGTAGACGTATATCGTAAATATATAACTAAGTATATCATAAGGCAGCGGAATGTTTCAAAGTAGTCCATACGTACGCCTTTTAGGTTTATATATAATTAATTTTACCTCTCTTAATTTATATATATTTGACTGACCTAGTCGATATATACAAGATGTATTAATTTCCTTTTTTTAATTAATTTTCTATATAGACGGTCCATTTTGGCGTATATATATAGTAATGGTTTATCTAATTAAGAGGTATCATAAACCTTTCTACAAGAACATAGCACTATTACATTGCAACACTTTCTACAAAACAAGATGAAGATTGCAAAGTTTTCTGTTCCACTCTTGATTTTATTTATTTTCCCCGTGGCATTAGCGCAGCTAAAATTCGGGTTTTACAAAGAATCGTGCCCTAATGCAGAGACAATCGTACAAAACCTGGTCCGCCAGCGTTTTGCTAGTGATCCTTCAATCACTGCCGCCTTGACTCGGATGCATTTTCATGACTGTTTTGTCCAGGTATGAATCTCATCAAACATCATCTTCAATTTTAGTATCATTAGGTATTTTTTGTTTGTTTGTTATAGGCTTAAGTATCGTTAGGTTTATTAGAAGAGATGCAATCAAAGAGAACTATGTAAGAAATTATTCAATCGAGTTAAAAACAAAAAACCAGCAAAAATATATATAATTTTCTGAAAATTAAATCTTGTCTTTTTTTTTTTTTATCCTCTTTACTTAAATATTATTAAATATATGCAACGTTTTTTTAAAAGACAATATCTCGTTGACATTTCTCATAGGGCTGCGACGCTTCTCTCCTCATAGACCCAACGACGTCTCAATCATCGGAAAAAAACCGCTGGCCCAAACGGTAGCGTGAGAGGGTTCGAGCTGATCGACGAGATCAAGACAGCACTCGAAGCTCAATGTCCCTCCAAGGTCTCGTGCTCCGACATAGTCACGCTCGCCACACGTGACTCCGTGTTCTTAGGCGGAGGGCCCAACTACACGGTCCCCACCGGACGTCGTGATGGCTTTGTGTCGAACCCTGAAGACGCCAATAGGATCCTCCCTCCACCATTCATCTCTGTCGAAGGTCTGTTAAGTTTTTTCGGCAACAAAGGAATGAATGTTTTTGATGCCGTAGCTCTTTTGGGGGCGCACACGGTTGGGGTCGCTTCTTGTGGTAATTTTATTGACCGGGCCACCAACTTTCAAGGAACCGGACTACCCGACCCATCCATGGACCCCTTTTTGGCTGGCAGGTAATTGAAATCGAGTTTAGCCGTGTTTACGTGATTAACTACTAGTATAGATATGGGTTTATATAGTTAATATCTCTCATATAGGCTAAGGGACACATGTGCGGTTCCAGGCGGCTTCGCGGCACTGGACCAGTCGATGCCAGTAACGCCGGTCTCATTCGACAACTTGTTCTTTGGTCAGATCAGAGAAAGGAAAGGAATTTTGTTAATTGACCAACTAATCGCGAACGACCCGGCCACTTCTGGTGTTGTGTTTCAGTACGCGGCCAACAACGAACTATTCAAACGTCAGTTTGCAATCGCGATGGTGAAGATGGGAGCCGTTGACGTGCTTACCGGTACAGCTGGTGAGATCAGGAGGAATTGTAGAGCATTCAACTAAAGCTTTTTTAACATGTTTTCTATATCTTATTCTTGATTGTTTTTCCTTTTCGCTTCTGATGATGAATTGTGAATGGTGATTCCGTGATTGTTTGCTTATAATTTATATGTATGTATGTACGTAATATCTTTAAAATAAGGTTTGGTGAATTGATTGGATAACAACAACATGTTATGTTGGTACGAGATTTGAGTGAATTGTGATGTATTTTAGTTTATCTCTGATTCCAAAAACTAACTTCAGAGTTGTATCTTTTTCATGCTCAAGCACTTGGATACATAATTTATTTTCCGGCTCTATCCAATTAATTTGAATTATAGAAAGATTGAGAAATTAATAAATCTTTTTTATTTGACCGGATTCCAAATTGAATCGGACGCAACACATGGAATTAAAATATAAAAAACTGAATAAATGGTTAACTTGAGCGAGAAGTAACAGAAAAATAAAAAACAATTTCCGGTATACACATAACCAAATACAAAATCAGCCAAATATTGTGAATTTGTGATTATAATGTAGCATAACCAGGAAAGTCGTATATGTGGTTTTCTAAAAAGAAAAAGTCGTACTTTTTTGTTATCTTATTGAATTTAGCTAGAATTCACGACTTCAAAACTCGTCTTAGAGTACGAGTATGTTCATATGAGCCCGAAAAAGTCAACCCTAGCTCATTTCCTTAATAAAAAGTACTTTAATCTTTGATTACTTTTATTCTAGATCATATATATTGAAAGCATCATAAAATGATATCACCAACCATTAGACATCACAATATTTTTTTTTAAAAAAAAAGTGATATCACCAACGTCAAGAATAATTTAACAAACAAAAAAACGTCAATGTTTTTTTTTTGTGTGTGTGGGTCTTTTGAGGAAACTAATTAAAGGAGTAAGTCATTGGCTCATTGCATTAAATTAACCCCATCATGGTATATAATAGGGTTGTGGATCTTTTATTCTTTTCTTAACGCTTAAAAGGTTTTATATATTGAAATATACTTTTAAAGTTATAACTATCAACTTTTATATGGATCTCGAATTTTTGGACTATGCCCTAAATTTTATCTTTTTATCTTTTTTCCTTTTTTTTTAATAAGATCATTTGTAAACATTTTTTATTCTATAACACTAAACATTGATATATATTTTAAACTCAAAATGAATAACACATAATTTTACCTAATGTTGTTAAAGCTATATATTGAGTAAAGTTGAAATATAAAGAAAACAAAACATAAGATATATATAAGATTGTCCAATAATTGAACTCATCTAACTTTCGGAACCATGCGGAAGTCCTACAAAAGAAATATCCAAAAGAAAAAAAAATCAAAGTTATAGAATTAGATGTAGAGTAAACAAATTCTATAGTGTCAATGTCCAATTTAGCTTTACTACTAGTACTATAAAATACTTATTTTATTCCTTAAATTTTTATTTCTTCAATATAGAAGCCAAATAAAATGCAATATGGATATGTTCAATATTTAGCAGCAAGCAGCTGACATTTTCCGAAATTTATAGTTTATCACACAAATTTTACAGTGAATATATAAGATAAAAGAGATTATTTTGACCAAATAAAATACGAGTTGAAACATACATCTTACCGACAATAAAAGATTAAAGATTCTGTCGATATCTACTTTTGTTCATAAATATTATTACCTACTTAACTACATTATCAATACACATCATATACTGTTTCTTAAGTATTCGATAAGGCACCGGAATGTTTCCCTTTGCGTTTATAATTTAAATAAATTTGACTTACACGTAGTAATTTCCCTCTATAAAAATATATTATCCACGGTACATTTTTGTGTATATATAGTAATTTATGGGGGATCTCAAAGTTCTCATAACACATATACGACAAATAACACTTAACTGTATATAAACCTTTCTACAAAACAAGATGAAGATTGAAAACTTTTTTACTCTACTCTCAATTCTTTCCATTGTTCCGGTCACGTTTGCTCAATTGAGAGTCGGATTTTATAACAACTCATGTCCTAGTGCAGAAACTATCGTTCGGAATCTCGTGAGCGATGAGTTCGAGAGTGACCCTACGATTACAGCCGCTTTGCTTCGGATGAATTTTCACGACTGTTTTGTTGGGGTACGAGTCTCATCGAACATTGATTCTATTGCAAAAAAACTGTACAGGGACCTTTTGATATGTTGAGACTAATTTCAAAAAACATGAGAAATCTACGTTTTAATTGGTTTGTGCTTAGAATAGAAATTAAATATTGTTTAAACATGCATAAAACTGAATTGTATTTTAAAATTTTTTGGATCGATTGATTAATTTTGTTTTAAACACTTACATGTATCCTATAGGGCTGCGACGGTTCTATCCTATTAAACTCGACAGATTCAGAAAGATTCTTCGGTCCAAACTTGAGCGTGAGAGGCTTTGAGCTAATCGACGAGATCAAGACCGAGCTTGAGGCTCAGTGTCCATCAAACGTCTCGTGCGCTGACATAATGGCACTTGCCACACGTGACTCTGTGGCCTTAGCCGGAGGGCCGAACTACAACATCACCACGGGACGACGTGATGGGTTGAAAACGAATGCGAGCGGCGTGTTCGACTTGATTGGACCAACCGCCTCCGTGGCTGCCTTTCTCAGTTTCTTTGGGGACAAAACGATGACCACGTTGGATGCAGTGGCTCTGTTGGGTGCACACACGGTTGGTGTAGGATCTTGTGGTCTATTCAGGGACCGGCTCACAAATTTCAACGGAACCGGACTTCCTGACCCATCCATGGACTCGGATTTGGTTGCCAAGTAAGCAAGACAAGAATAATTATATATCATTTTCAAATCCGAAATTCAGTTTTAAGTTTATACTTCATGGGACTAACTTTTGTCGTTTTTAACTTTATATTGTTGGTTTTAGAATATTAGCTATAATGAAATCTAGTATGGGTCGGTTTAGTACCCTATCAACGAGAGAAAGATATAAGCGATGCATTAAGTAAACGAACTTAAGAGTTAATATTTGAAAGCTTTATATATACAGTTTAACCAGCATATGTGCGGCCTCAGAGAACCCATCAACTGGACTGGACAGGTCAACACCGTTGACTTTTGATAACGCATTCTTTGGGCAAATCCGAGCGAGGAGAGGAGTTTTGCAACTTGACCAGCGGCTCGCAACCGACGAAGCAACTTCTAGTGTGGTGGCTCAATACGCAGCTGACAACGACTTATTCAAACGCCAGTTTGCGATTGCGATGGTGAAATTGGGAGCCGTTAATGTCCTCACCGGTGAAGACGGTGAGATCAGAACAAATTGTTGGGAATTCAACAAGAATTAAATTTCCTTTTTTCCATATAATCTGATTCTTGATTATTTGTTCGTGTGTGTGACTCTGAGTGTGTGTGTTTTTCCCCGATTATTGTCAATAACTATATGTTATGTTGGTTCAGATTTGAATGGGCTTGTGATGTGTTTGAGTTGCTATTTTAATTGTCTTTGAAATGAAATATTTGAAATTTGATAAATAATTTTGATGTCAATTATAAATAACTCGAAGTTATTGACTTCATTTAAATTGAAAATATATGTACTATTCAAATTTATCAAATGACCTATAAATAATCCAATCCGTTCAGTCCGGTGACTCAGTAACTCTGGAAAAAATTCAGCCTCTGCCATAGTTTGGTGATAGAAAAAAACTTTTTGTGTTATCGTTGAATTACATAAATGATAAATGTTAGTATTGTTGTAGGCTTGTAGCTCACATACGTATTGCAGGCCTAAAAAGTGCTCCAATACCCCCAAAAGTTTAAATTACGTAACACAGCCTAAATGGGCCTCGTTACTTTGTTTTTGCCTTCACTAATCGGCCTTATTACAACAAGTCAATATTCATAGTAGTATACACTACTTATTATACACGTAAAATCTAATATGATTACATATTTTTGGAACGCACCCAAAAGTAAATATGAACGTAATCACTAATCACTAGAAGTCTAAAAACTCATAGTCTTATATAATTAATTTTTCTTTTTTCAGTGTAGAGCTCATCTGTACCGTCTTAATTGATGTCAATGAATTCATACTATTAAAGTATTAATGTTCAGTGATGTAACACAATAAATTACAAATTAAAACAATGTTAAAAGGAAAAAAAAAAACTAAACATCGAATCGATATAGGACTTGATAAATTGATCGAATCTCATATGGATCCCAAAAATGACATTTTTCTTGAAGTATGAAAAGCGCCAATGTCAAAAGATCAAATATGCATATGCCTTCTTTATCCTAATAATAACCCAGAGCATTATTTATGTATTTCAAAAACTTCACTATATATTACAATTACAAGGTATTTTATAATAAGGTTGTAGTACTTTTTAAAGAGCATTATTTATAGCACTTTTTAATATAGTCTATTAAAAAAAAAGTTTCGATCGGACAAATAAGTCATGGACATTAGTAAAAAATTAGAGAAATTAAAGGCATCTTTAATATTCCCTTTAATAGACACTTACACACGCGTACAGAAGTAGAAAAAAATGGGCATAACTAACTAGAGTTTATTTATAATAGTCATAATAATAGTAATAATTAAAAATGGATAGTGATGTTTTGTGTTCGTGTGTGACATTAGGAAAGATATTGTCTTTGTTTAGTTCACATGTCCTTTTCACAACAACATTGCCATTTGTGTGAACAAAAGCCAAACATAGTGCCGGCTAATGATGATTAATTATAACTTTAGCACGTAATTAAAATTTCAAATGAAGTGAACATATATAAATTATAATAAATGCATGAATCTGCCTAGCTATTATTTGATCATTACATAGTTTTAGTAGTAAATAAAAAAGCTTAGAGCTTTAGCCTTTTGGCTCTTTTTGTGATGGCAAAGCATTCAAGTGCGAGACACACCAATGTCACTTGAAACAACTTAAAAGGAATTTTTTTCTTTCTTTCTGAAAGATCTACTTACTTTTTATTTTAAAATCACTTGCGCCGTATCTTTGGTATGTGTTTAAGTGTTTTGTACCAAACCCATATACTGTCGTTATTAATGGAAAGTATGTCGACGTTGTCTCAACTAACTATGTTAATTGGTATTTTCAGCTAATAATATAGCAACTTTATCTTCTTGATGATAGGGCATGAAAATTTCTTGGTGGCAATTGGCAAATATTTTAGATTAATCTTAAATATTCTCAAAAACTGCACTCGATATGAGATAAGTCTATGAACATGTGAGATTGATAAGATATTTGTTTGGGTTTATCTGCTCGATGGACAATTTTTAAAGCAAAGTTGGCAGAGAACATTATGGCAAAACCGTAAAGAGTTGTATAGTTTTCATATATATGTTTTAACATATAAGTATATAGCGTATTAGCGTGTAATATACTAATAGTCTAATATACCATGATATTTTTTAAAATCACGTACGTATGAAATTAAATCCATGTTATTTTGAAACAAAAACATACACGATAACTAAACCAAGTTACTTATGATTTTACTATCCATTTTTTTTTTGCAAATATTGTATAGTAAATAATATTTTTTTTTTGGACAAATTGTATAGTAAATAATATAATTTGACTATTTACTGCATATTCTCTATCTTCTCAAAGAATTAAGGATGAGGGAGTTTTTGTTTGTTTGTTTTATTTAAAATAAGGAAAGAGAGAGAGATGATTGTAGGTTCTTGTCAGGATTCATGCATGCTGCATATATATTATTAATAAATAATTAATGTTATATGTTGTAGTTTTTGGGTTCTTTCCGCCTTTTTTTAGTCTTGTCTTTTTCCTGGTTTTTTTAATATCTCATAAGTGCTCTGCAAGTTCAGTGGACAAATCCACAAAACTCCACTTTTTATGTCAGCTCCGTCGGTAAAAACTCAAGACTTTAACGATACAATGTATATCGAATGCAGGGCTATCGTAAAAATGTATCATGAATCTCGTCGAGATCTATTAAAGGATCATATAATATTTTCATATTAAAAAAAAAAAAATTGATTTTTTTTTTGTTATGATTATTTGCTTTAAGGAATTTTTATTTTGGGCAAACGTTTTACTTTACATTAGGTCATTAATATTATTATGATGAATTGTGATTTTATAAAGTTGAGAATTGAATGTAATTTTTTTTTTAAATGTTGTATATATATTTGTAATTTATCACAATATCTGCGCGCATAATGTTTTTTATATTGTTCCTATTTATTAAAATCTAGGAAATAATAGTACAAAAGTTTTATTAAGGCATAAATAGTCACATTTTAAATATGGGATTTAAAAATAGTCTTTAAATAGTTATGAAACCGAAGTACAATAGTATAACTCAACAGCAACAACACAAATGGAAGTTTTTAGAAAGAAAATACTCTTCATATCTATATGCATACATAGATCTGATTAGGTATGGCCTACAGTATTTTCTTCCTGACCTAGAGAATACATAAGTGTTAAGTTTTTTTTTTGTTTTTTTGACATCACATAAATGTTAAGGTTATAATTATAACCCCCAAAAACCGATGAAAAGATAGTGATCTTATTAATTACGTCATGATCATCAGAAGCTATCTAACACAAAGACGCATTATGTATGGTGATTATGTATCATGTGATTATTTAGTCGTGAGTGCATATATAGTCCGTACATGTCACAGAGCAGGACCACATTCCACATACCTTGATTTTTGGACGAAGCAAGTCTAGAAGTCTTACAAGATTTGATAATTTCAGGACCACAGATATCGATTATATGCTAAACTAGGGTCCTCTTTTTGTGAAGCCTCGTGCAATTTTTTAGTCCAAATCCTAGACTCTTTTTTTCTCTTAATTAGAGACTGAACCTAGCTGGACTCTATTATATTCTTAACTGATTAGAATTTTTACAGTACCTAATGTTAATATATACTGTTTTAATTTTCCAGATTTTTAGTAACATATCCCGATATTATTAATGATCATGTGAAAATCTCAAAAGAAATGATTTGATAACTTTAGTACAGATTCCAGTCTCATATCTTATAACTCGTTAGAAAAATAAAATATGTTAGATGGAAAAGATATAAAATAATTGACACATTATATATCTGTTTTCACGTAATAGATGAGTTTATCTAACTGTTACAATTGAATTCAAACGATATCAGTAGGGGAATTACTCTCGCTCTCTCTTAAACGAAAAACAAAAAGCAATTACCGTCTCCCGTAGATATCCAATGAAACTGGATACCACAAACGAGTAGTAAAATATTCTGAGAAATAATTAAACTTATCAAAAGTATAGTTTTAATCATCCAGCTGTAATAATTGCATGTTTCCAAAAGATTAAGTATCTATAGACAATTTTTCACTTTAGCTACAAAGGTTTTGTTGTGCGTGGACATTAACCAAAAAAAGTGAATTTGATGTGGGCGGGTGAAACACATAATATTATTATTCACACGTTGGTAAACAAACAAAAGAGACTCACACTTGTGCCCTAAAAGCATAACCACATGTTGGTCGGTGTCCCCCTGAAATACGATATATTCATATAATATAAGCTTATAGGAAACCTTTTCCTCATAAATAAAATCTTTAGGGGAAAAAACTACAATATATTTTTAATATCAACTTGATAGAAAATGCCAATTAGCCTCTATATATAATAAACAGAAATTTGTTTTTTTTACGGGGCTGTTACTGTGGGCGTATATCTGATGTCATTTTCTCCGTTGATTACTGTTGTTTGTTTAATAAAAAGGAGATCCCGATGAAAATTTACATGCACATTTCTATTATTTTCTGAAAGTCCATTTTATGTATGTTATGTTATTTTTGAACGCTAATGTGTTTTACACTTTTATTGGTGAACCTAGCTATAAATATATCACCTTATAACCTTAAACATCTTACTGTATATAGAGATAACTGTAATAATTTTCTGAATCATTATGGGGTTTATCAGATCAAAAGAGGTATTATTCGATAATTTTTATTTTTTCGATAATTTTTATTAGTCGATGTTTTCAAAAATTATTTAACTGAATTAAGAAGTAGAGTTTCTGGAGATCTTAAAGTGTTTCTCTCACTGATCTGATTGATTTGATTCAACTAGGTGTTGTCTTCAGTGTCCTTTTTAAAATTATTAATTTTTTTTTTTTTTTACGACTTCCTGACAGATCTATTATTTTACACACACATATCTCAGTTCCAGAGTTATATATATGTTAAATAAATAAATCTCCTTATTTTACAATTTTAATTTAATACGTTGAACTAATTATATTGATTAGGTTACCAATTTTAATATATTTAATTGAACTAATTATATTTAAATAATAAATTTACGTCAATTAGTCTTCACTTTTTACGTAAAATATATTATTATAAATCGAAAATGAGGAAGTAATATTTATTAATGATTTTATTTTTGATTTTGATTTAATTTGTTTCTATCTAAATTTCAGAAATGTGTAAAGTAGACTAAAAAATAAGTTATATACTGTAATATATATAGGGGGATTAGCAAAAATACCCCTTTTCTCATGCCCCTTTTCAAAAATGCCCCTTTTAGATGTCCATTTTCAAAAATGCCCCTTTTTAAATCTGAAATTTTTATAAAGTTTTATTAGGTTTATAAGGTACTTATGGATTGTAACTACTACTTGAAGACTCGATCCAAGTATTTATAAGGTTTTATAAGGTGTTTTTAAAGGTTTTACAAGTTATTTTAAAGGATTTTTAAGGTTTTTCAAAGGTTTTACAAGATATTTTAAAGGTTTTTAAAGGTATTTAAAATGCATTTATAAGGTATTTATAAAGTATTTATAAGATTTTAGATACATAGAAATGTAGTTTGTGTATGTTTTAATAATATTACATACATATTTGGGTAAATCTTATATTTTTAAGAGCATTTTTTATAAGATTTTAAAAAAGGGGTATTTTTGAAAAGTGGCATTGAAAAAGTGGCATTATTAACAATTTCCCATATATATATATATATTTTTTTTTTTGTAATATTAATTTAATAGTATAAAAGTATTTACAACAAATTGGCTCGGATACAGATAGCCGAGCCCATACCTATGAATATTTACATAGAGCTATCCAAATATGTATGCGAATCAACTGAGTAAATCATTTCTTGAAACAACACCAAACACATAAGAGAAAACAAATAGAAACAATTTTTTATTCGACGTAGTTAATGAGTAGCTTTATAATAAAAATATCAAAAGGAAAGAAAATTACCAAAACAGCTATACAATTATACAGAGACAGGCAAAAAACAGAGGGCATCTGAAGAAGCAAGTTGTCTCCTACTGTGTCTTTTCTACACACTACTTTTTGCATACGTATTCGCACACTGACCTATGTACGGACTATTTTATTATGGAGATTTAAAGTTAAATTCATTCTCCCTAACAAAAATGAAATTATTTTGATCCATCCGTCATACATCATTGTACACTGAATATACACCCCATTCCCAAGCATCATCTGTACACTGAATATACCACCAATTCACATATCTGTACTTTTTAAGAAAAAGAATTTCACATCCCTTTACATTTAACAACATGCATGAATATGTGTAACTCTACTCTCGTAATCGTTATGGTATGACATAATTACTAATCGTTATGGTATGACATAATTACTAATCGGGAAAGATCAACGTATTTATGAGCAATCTGTTGTATTCTCTCTATTTTCTATTATTTGATGTTTTAAAAGACAAAATTTGTTTTAAATTAGATAATGTTTTTAATTTTCTATACAAAATTATTATATTTATTGATTTTGGCGAGTTTTATTTTACGAAAAAAAAAGAATAAGAAATTATAGGTAGCGCACAATTTTTTATTTTATTTTTCTAAGGAAGCGCACAATTAAATCTTAACTGTCAAAGTTAAGGCACAATTAAATCTTAACTGTCAAATTAATATGGTATAATATGCACGAACAAAATAAAAATCGAGTGGCTACTAACTGTGTAAGCCATGTTTGCTTAACGTCATAGGTAATAAATAATTGCACGGTTCTTCTTCACCTTCGGTTTGGATCGTCCTTCTTTATTGCTCTTTTTTTCTTCTTGATTTACATCTTTATTACTTATTTAGAACAAATATTATTTGGAATTTAAAATTACTTAATATGCCAAGATATGTGATAATAACTTTGACATGGTCAAACATATATTGATTTAACAACTTATTATTTGATATCCTTTCAAAAATTTCTTACGAAACTACCCCTACAATGGGTTTCCTCATTTTCATAAGTGTTCAAGACTTAGTGATAAAGAAAAACATTTTGATTTCTTTCACGCAAGTGACAAAAAAAATCTTTTTAGGCACCTCTGTCGCATGATGCCAAAATTAGTCTATTTTGTTGAGGAAAATACAAACTAGGTCACGGTAAGTCGTTGATTGGATGTGGGGAAATATACAAAGTATGTTAAGACATTTTATAAATTCCTAATTTTTTAACAGGGCGCAATCTTCAAAGTAGTAGTAAATTCCAATTTTACGAGGTACTCATTATTTGAGAGTTATTAAAAATTTAGTTTTTCTCTTTTTTTTTTGTCAACAACTTTTATTTTTATTATTATTAAGAATTTAGGTTAAATTTAAAATTATGATAGAGTAATATAATTAGATAAAAGTTTGACCGCCCTGATTTAATATTTTTACAGACGATAAATAGTTTAGTAATTGATATTAAACCATGAATGTACAGTACTGTTTGTGTTATTGTTATTGATAGAAACAAAATTAATTAGATTTTGTTCTAACGATTTGTTAATTGTAAATTTACATGATTTTGTATTCATTTGGTTTTTCACTTGCAGTTGTTGTTGTCGGATGTTCTGGTGAATCAGATCTGTTTACTAAGAAATCGTATAACTTTTATAAAATGTATAACTAATGTTACATATAAGTTTTTCTTTTGATTTGCTGGTATATTTTGTTCACTGCAGTATAAAACCATTGCACACATATATATGTCGAGATAATGTGAACTTTCGTCCACAAAACCTGATTCTTAACATAAAAAAAAAACCTGATCATTAGGTTATACAAGTTATTGCTTTTGAAAAGAAAGAATATTAGTTTAATAGTATTTATTTATCTTTGATGATTTATAGAGCAGAAAGAGGGACAATCATAACCGAGACTTATTCATAATTATTTTTTTCAGGTGGACGGTACAATATGCGCCTCTCCATTTTCATATTAACTTTCTTCCTCAATAATATTGTACATTTTTACTTATTTATTTCGAACCGTTACTTGCAAGAGTACTTGATTTATTTTGTAGTATAACATTTTTTTAACCCTACTCTATATTTTACTCTAAATAGAGTATAGATATAGAACAACTCTATTTTTTTTACAATAACTCTATTTTAGAGTATGATATAAAGTGATATATTGAAAGAAATCATACTTTATTTTAAAGTAAAAAAATAAATATTTACATTGGAAATGGTCTTAGTACTAATTTTTATTTACCTCAACCTTATCATCACTTATAGGTCAAAATATGGTGTCTGATTTATACTTCCAATGCTTATGTGTTCATGACTATTGATTTCTGATTTATATGGTGTCTGGCCTTCAACGAGTAATAAAACTCAATTCGAATTGGACCGGACTCCGGTTGAGCAGAACTAGGCTAACCCGTCTGACACTCGAATGCATTTAAATAACTAGATTGAACATATTGTTTGCAATTGCAAGTGTAGTCTTGGGTTTAGAATTTTTTGTTGGATAAATTTTTGAGTAACTTTGGAGATTTGAATACAATGAAAATGATATTCAATTTAAAGCATGTATGTTACGGATTAAAAAAGATAATCTATAGCTATTTTTTCTTGTTGTATCCGTTACCGCAAATTTATGTCTTAAGCTTGGCAAATACATATTATATAATTTGATTACCCATGCAAATCAAAGCGGATAAGAGATACTGTTAACTTTTTGGACTATCCTAGTTGCAATGGTCAAAGAGGGTTTGCTTAGTTGCTATATCTTCAAATGCCAAGCAACTTCCACTCGTTTGTGTATCTCCGAGTTAAGACTCAATACACTACTATATACAACAAAATATAATATATGCTTATATCATTCAAGTATATTATAATGAACCCACTAAAAGATAAAGATAAACTACATGTAACTTAATAAACAAGGAAAAATATATTATTTAAGTAATCATTCTCCTATAAATTCATTACCCTCAACTCACCACCTCTCACAAACTCAAAAACAATTTGTGTCTTCTTTTTATATATTCTCCATAACCAGGAAAAATACAACCCAAATAGAAAATCAACATTCTTCAAAGCAATGGACCAAGAACAAACCCCACAGAGCCCAACCGGCCATAGTCGTTCACCCTCATCCTCGGCCTCCGGTTCCACCTCAGCAGAACCGGTTCGGTCGCGATGGTCACCTAAACCGGAACAAATACTCATACTTGAGTCGATCTTCCACAGTGGTATGGTTAACCCTCCCAAAGAAGAGACGGTAAGAATAAGAAAGATGCTCGAGAAATTTGGCGCGGTGGGAGATGCAAATGTCTTCTATTGGTTTCAAAACCGGCGGTCAAGATCCCGTCGGAGACAGCGACAGCTCCAGGCCGCAGCTGCAGCCGCGGCCGCAACCACCAACACTTGTGACCAGACCATGATGGTGAGCAACAGCTTACCACATCATAGTGGGAGTGATTTGGGGTTTGGAGGGTGTAGCACTTCTTCTAATTACTTATTTGGTGGGTCATCTCAAGTTCCTTCCTATTTTCTTGGTCTCTCTTCTTCTCCTCCTTCTTGTTCAAGCTCCTCTTCCACTTCTTCTTCAGCTAGCTCTTCCTCTTCTTATGGTGGTGGATGTGATAATCAAAGCAATAGTGGCATGGAGAATCTCTTAACAATGTCAGGCCAAATGAGTTATCATGAAGTTAATCATCATCATTACCAAAATCATAGCTCAAATGTCGCATCGATTTTGTGCCCATCTGATCAAAACTCCAATTTTCACTCCCAACAAGGTAAATAAATATATAAATAAACATAATTTGCATGACTCTTTTTTCTTTGTAAACTCCAAGTGCTTTGTCCTCTAAACCCTCTTTCTTTCCCCAAAAAGTAACAATTTTTTAATTGTAAAAGTTGTTTTGAGGGTAGAAAAAAAAATCCAAGTGTGGGTGGGTTTCAACCAAAGAACCGATTTTTTTATTTGGCGACTTAGTTAATATAATTGCGTCCAATATTGCCTAACATTTTGTACTTGAAAATAATTTTGAAAATCAGGGGCTATAACGGTGTTTATCAACGGAGTTCCGACAGAAGTGACAAGAGGAGGAATAGACATAAAAGCAACGTTTGGAGAAGATTTGGTTTTGGTGCATTCCTCAGGTGTTCCTCTTCCTACTGATGAGTTTGGTTTTTTGATGCATAGCTTACAACATGGTGAAGCTTATTTCCTGGTAATAATCCAAACTCAAATATATTTTATTTTTTGGTATTATTAGTTTTATTGCTGATCGAATTCCTCGTGAAGATATATGTTATATTGTTTGGTTTTGAGCGAACGTACCTTTTTCTGTGGTTCTGTCTCTCTTTTTCTCTCTCTCTCTCGATCTTCACTTTGGTGTTGAAAATAGGAAATGAGATGGAACCCAATTGGGGTAAAGTCCTAAATTGTCTGCTACAGTATATTTGAATCATCATAAATATTTAATAATAGAAAGTCTTTCGTAAGAAAAAGAGAACATAAATCTAATTGATGAGTGTCGGTTTGTGCAGTAAATGAACATGATTTTTTTAGACTTAGCTACTGTAACTGAAGTTTTGTGATTTGAAGATGTTTCTCACATTTGAATCAAACATAAAGTTTTTTGTTCATGTTCTTAAAAAATTAACACATCTATGTATTTCAAATAATATCTTAAAGTATTATTAAATTCATTCATTTTTTCCTGTTAACCTTAGTTCTATTAATAATAATATTTTAGAATGTATTTGTTCAAACTGATAAATAAATGCTGAAAACATTATGCCAAGCAATAATCAAAAATGGCCCTTTTGGAAAACAATTGTTCAAACTAAAGTATATTTGTTATCACAATATACAAATTACTGTTTTGATAAAAAATAAAATAAAAACTCAAATACTAGTTTGTACAATTATCTTCTAAAATAGCTATTTTGATTTCTTTTTCAGCATTCATGGTCTAATGTGAATATTATGTTTACTATACTTCTATCGAAGATACCTGTAACTCTACATAATTTATGCATGGGAGATCACACGTTTATGAGTGTGTGTGTGTGTGTGATTTTTTGCTTTCTTTTGAAAGGATTTTTTTTTTTGGTAAATAGTAATATTATATAGTCGTGGGGTGAAATAGTTATTCCTTTCCTTGGCAAACGAAACATTGGGAAAATGTATTCTCTATCTTTTGTTTTTCCGCTCTTGATCACATATACATCTCTAATAAATTTGAGTGTCAAATTCGGCATTAGGGTTTCCTCTCTCTCTTTAATGGGATCCTATCAACAGATATCTTTTAGATCGTTCTTTTTTTTTTCTTTGTATAGTATAAAAGATTTTCTTTTGTTATTTGTTCTTTTTCGTTTTGTTATCGACAGGTTCCAAGACAGACATGAACTGGCTTTAGTCTTTGTGGTGATGCAACAGATGCCATGTTTTTCTACCTTGGACTTTATTGCAACGGTCAATCCATTTTTTCTTTTCTTTTTGAGTCTATCGTGTAATCAAATAAAGTTTCTTCTGTTTTTTTTTTTTTTGAAGATATAGTCAAAAGCTCTTGTAAGACGAAGAGATCTAGTTTGTATCAATTTAGTTATTTAGATGTAAAATATGTATAATTGATTTGCAATAAAATCTCTGTTTAGGGATCTCCAAGTTTCTTATCATAAAAAGAAAAAGAAAAAAAAGAATCGAGACCTGTCAGATAGATCAACGTGGTAGTATAGATCACTCATAAATCCGATTAGTTAAAGACTAATCCCAAAGTGCAAAATCAATAGACTTGTATGATTAGTGGAAGGAAAAAGTAGACATTTATGGAAGGCCTCGATACTTTTGAACAACTATTAATGTAGAATAATAAACTGTCAAATTTTTGGGCTCGGCTTATTAAATTTAAAAATGGATAGTTAATCTCACTTATAAAATAAGGATTGTCTGGAGTTCAAATTTTTTTTTAAAATTGGACTGTATATCCACCACTTACTATTCGCAGTTGACAATCTTTTTATATTAGCTAATCAGTAGATATAGTTTGGATTATATTAGTTTTGATGATCAGTATATATAAGAAAAAAGGAGAGCATAAGACAGCTGGGTTCACCAGATTTTGTATTCTTGTCGATTCCTGCTCTCCGAAACACAAACCTTAATTAACAACTCGAAGCAAGATCTTAATCGGATAGTTAAGACTTACTCGTAAAGCCAGATTCTGCCCATTAGATCTAACATTGTAAACATCAAGTGAAAGGTTACAATATGAATGTTGACTTAATGAATCTGAAGGACAAAATCTGTATTCGAAATCATGCATATACAAATCCAAGGTAATTTTTGTGTATAGGGTGCCACGAGCAAAAGATATATTCAGCATTTGTGTATATTTATATTTATTAACAAACATAGTATTATCTTTGGTTTGAATATTTTTTTTTTATAAGTATTTTACTTAAAAGTTCTTCAATTGGATCTCATAAATTAAATTTTGCACGAATTCCTTATACTATATAGTATTATCAATCTCAGTTGGACTAAATTTGGGTAGAAGAGATCGATACAATAAACAAGGTTAGAAAACAGTACTTTTGCTAAAAAAAAAAAAAAACAGTACTATAAAATTAAAGAATGTGAGCTGAACATGTATTAGAGAAAAAGATGATACTAAAATTCGTATTAAGCAATAAAATAAAGTTACTAGGCGTAGGAGACAACACCGACCACTATAACCAGTGACTAGGAGACGCATGTTTGGTTAATTCTTGATTTCCGAACTGAAAGAAGAAAGCATATATATTGAGACTTACCATATGGATCTTTGCCCAAAAAAAAAAACCATATGGATCTTTTCAAACTCACTCCCCACATTTTCCTATTGGTTCCATGTGGATAATTAATACACTTTAATGTTTCCGAAATTTTTTTTGTTGATTGCTGTGTTATTTTGTACTACTTAGGAGACACCCAACTTTTTTAGCGTTTGTATCCCACATTCTATGTGCACTCCGATTTCTGATTTCTGATTTTTTTATGCATGATTTGTTGACTAATTTATTACTCTAATTTATATTTTCACTCTCACTCTCATGTGTTAATTTTTTTTTTTGTTGACAGCAAAGTTAAAAATATTTTATAGAATCCATGTAGTTAACCGAAAACTGTTCTCTAAGGCCATGCGCAATGGCGCATTTTCTCCCCGGATGTGACCATTAAAGTAATCGAAAATAAGAGAAAAGTTGTCTCTCTCCTCACACCCGGGTGTAACTTTACACTCGGGTGTAAGACACTCTCTCTCTTTCTCTCTCTCTTTTCTCTCTCTCTTTAAATTATAATAATAAAAAAAATTTCACATCCGCACCCACACTTACCCCACTATGGGTGCTCTAAGGATAAAATCCGGCGGTGATTAAATGTATGTAACCAGCCCATCAAAAAAACTACACGGGTAACGAAAGTTACAATCACTCGATCAAATATGCCAATATGGCCACAGGCTCTTTTTCTTTTGGCCCAGACTTAAACCCACAACCAAATTGGGCTAGCCTAAATATGGCCACAGGCTCTTTTTCTGGGTTTTTGTGTGTGTGTGTTGAGGGATTGAGTTCCTTTTTTTTTTTTTTTTCATCAAGGGATTGAGTTCCTTACTACTGAGTAAAAAAAAAAAAAAAAAAAAAAAAAAAAGAGTCTGAGTTCATCAATCTCGCACCACATCATGCGACTCAAAAGCTTTTTTGTTCCTCAACATGAGTCGAGTCAACCATAGACGTTCAAATTTGTGTTTAGAGTAGTTCTCATTTTAGAAACTAACATATCGAATTTTTGGACTACTAAAAAAATACAAATTTTTCATATCTGGACAAAAACACACAAAATTTTGATTTGTTTTACTTTGCAAGTGTTGGATGAAGAATTTCCACAACTCCCAAGTCTTCGGATCTCAAAAACTTGTGCTATCGGAGAATTGTTTTCTTAGTAACTTCAGTTTTTCGAAATCAACATCCATTTGAATTAGTTGACAAGCAACATTGTTAAAATTAAAATTCAAAAGAGCTGTCAGGTTTCATCCCACGTAAACGTTGACAGACCAACCGACGATGTGAGTTGCACATTTAATTTACAGAATTATATCTACTTTTCATCCACAAAATGTTTTTTTTTTGTTAATTAAATTAAATATTTACAAAAGGATTAATTATTCATAAGTAACTACAGACGTTACGTTATCAATGAATAATCAAGGAGTCACTTAAGAAATTTTTAATACTATCAAATGCTATAAAATAATCAACGGATCTATAACCCGTTGGGGAATCACGGTGAACCACAAGAGCTTGTGCACTAGTAGGAAAATATTTTGTAACCTAATAAAAGAATTTATATGAACATTAAACTCTGTCAGATTTTATAAATTCTCTTTAGTTAATCATAACGTTTTGACCATTTACTAAAATTTTTTGACTACCATTAATCTACGCAAAATTTTTACTATTTTAAATATATATTTTTCCTTCAAAATCAGTGGTTCCAGAAATATTAAACATTTTTACTAAATCAAAACAATAGGAATAAGTAATATTGATACATATTTTACCCTTTTTTCTTGATATTGTTTTTATGCTAAATCAAAACAATAGGAATAAGTAATATTGATACATAATTTACCCTTTCTTGATATTGCTTTTATGACAATAAAAATAAAACTTTTTTTTGGTAAATGATAGAAATAAATCCTAATATCGTTTTGATTGCCCCGCGTCTCAAGATCAACGACGAGGACTCAGTTTCTTCCGTCACAAGCGAGAGAGATAGAGCAAAGAGCGTGTTGTGTTGTTTCTTCTCTCTTCGGCGTTTTCATCGTTTCTCATCTACCTCATATTTTTCTTATCACTCTAATAAAAATCTCACTTCGTTACTTTCTCGGGAAAATTTTCCTAATCCCAAAACCTAGTTTCCAGATCTTTTCTTTTCACAGATTTTCTCTCCTGGGTTTTGGATCTACACAATCTTTCTTTCCTCTTACCTTCTTAGCTTCTTCTATGAATCTGTTCATCGTAATTTCAGATTATTGATATATGATTCCTTTTCTCCAATCTCTTCTCAGAGATGGGTGAGAGATCAAACTCACGTTATCTCGGAGTAATCATCACTCGAAAATCTAAAATTTTCTTGTCGATATCGATCCTCACCGTCCTTTCTTGGTTCTTAATCTTTTCTTCCACAAACCCTAACCGAGTTCTTGATTACATCTCAGTATCAGAATCCACAGATGTACCTCTCATCATCATCAAGAACTCAAACAGTTCTCCTCAAAACAACGCCCTATCACCAAATCCCCAAAATAGAGGAGGAGCACAAACAGAGAGACCCACTAATGAAAACAGAGGAGGAACAAAAACAGAGTCATCCATGAATCAAAACAGAGCCAAAACCCTCCGGTGTATCCAGAAGGTTTCTCCTTATCCAAGGCCATTGAAAGTCTACATGTATGATATGAGTCCAGAGTTTCACTTTGGGTTATTAGGTTGGAAACCAGAGAGAAACGACGTCGTTTGGCCAGATATCAGAGTCAATGTTCCTCACCATCCAGGTGGTCTTAACTTGCAGCATAGTGTTGAGTACTGGCTAACATTAGATCTTTTGTTCTCTGAGCTTCCAGAAGATTCTAGAAGCTCTCGGGCCGCGATACGTGTAAAGAACTCGAGTGAAGCTGATGTCGTGTTTGTGCCGTTCTTCTCTTCATTGAGCTATAACCGATTCTCTAAGGTTAACCAAAAGCAGAAGAAGAGCCAAGACAAAGAGTTGCAGGTAACTAAATCCAAATATTTACACATTTTGTTATTTTTCCTTAAAAGTTTCATTCTTAACATTTTCCTACCGATTGCGTAAAACGTTGAAAATATACTATATTGCAAAGGTTTTAGTATAATACACATTTTTCTAACATATAACGTACTCACAAACTCAAATGAAAAAAAATAATGCATTCGTAACGCAACAAAAAGAAATAAAGTCAAGAGTTCCATAATAATAATTTTCAAATAACTTGACATGAATCTTATAATTTAATGATAGGACAATGTGGTGAAATACGTAATGTCCCAAAAAGAGTGGAAGATCTCAGGAGGGAAGGATCATGTGATAATGGCGCATCATCCGAATAGTATGTCGACGGCAAGGCATAAGCTATATCCGGCGATGTTTGTGGTCGCTGACTTTGGTAGATACTCACCACATGTTGCCAATATTGATAAAGACATTGTTGCTCCATACAAACACCTTGTTCCATCGTACGTTAATGACACATCGGGCTTTGATGGCCGTCCGATCTTGCTCTACTTCCAAGGAGCCATCTACCGCAAAGCTGTGAGTACTTTGCTTGCTTATGTGACATAGCCTATTTGTCTAGGCAACATTCTCAAAACATTTTAACTAATTTGATTTCGATTCATAAACAATCTTGTCGTAGGGTGGATTTGTGAGACAAGAGCTATATAATCTTCTGAAAGAAGAAAAAGATGTCCACTTCTCTTTTGGCAGTGTAAGGAACCACGGCATAACTAAAGCCGGAGAAGGAATGAGATCGTCTAAGTTCTGCCTCAACATAGCCGGGGATACTCCGTCCTCGAATCGCCTCTTCGACGCCATAGCTAGTCACTGTATTCCCGTGATCATTAGCGATGACATCGAGTTACCATATGAGGATATCCTCAACTACAACGAGTTCTGTCTCTTTGTCCGATCATCAGACGCTTTAAAGAAAGGGTTTCTGATGGGTCTTGTGAAGAGTATTGGGAGAGAAGAGTATAATAAGATGTGGCGGCGATTGAAGGAAGTGGAGAGGTATTTCGATTTGCGTTTTCCGTCCAAGGATGACGACGGAGATTATGCAGTTCAGATGATTTGGAAAGCTGTTGCGAGGAAAGCTCCTTTGGTGAAGATGAAGGTTCATAGGTTTCAGAGGTTTACAAGGCCTTTTTAGGGGTTTTTGGGAATGATTTAGATAGAAATGTATAATGAATATAGTTTTCAATTCAACCATGTGAATGTCTTTATCGAAAACTTATAAAAAAAATGTCTAGTGTTAAGTTTTATTATAGCCAGTCATGTGAGAACAAAGAGGTTACTTGATCTAGACGATGCAATGCACAATGGTTACGTGTGACATAAGTTACTTCTTCATTTATTATATAAACTACATATATCGTGGCTTACACTCTTTTAAGATAAAAACACACATTACATCATATGATCGGTAAAACAGAGTTGCGAAGAAGATCTCTGATCATTTATAACTCTTTCCTTGAATCCGAATCTACCTTCGACTGAATCGTGTCCGGGACTTTCTCAAGGAGCTTCGAGAGCCACTTGGCAGATTGTTTCTCATGCCGTCCCAAATTGTGTCCATAGTCTACATAGTACAGTCCAGACCTTGTCTTGTATCCATCTTCCCACTCTAGGCCATCCATAAGCGACCACACAAAGTACCCTTTAACATTAACCTTGTCCTCGCTGCGAAAACCATAAACGTTATATATATGACGCAGAAACAGTGTTTTTATCAACAAATCCCTCAACTAGAGATGAAGAAACAGAGTTTTTTTGGAACTGTGAAAAGTAACTTACCAGACTGCTCCATGTAATGCCATGAGATGTCTCATATGATAATACTTCCTGTTACTATCGCTGAGGGCATCGGGAAGCACATCTTTCTCTTCAAGTTTCTCCTTGTACCCTGCAAATACAATGAATTTTTAATTTCTTGCTAAGGATACCTGAGGGAGTTTTTAAGCAGAGAGCAAAAAAGCCAATGGCTTACCGTTTCCAGTGACTATGATTTCTGGGTCGTTATAGTTCTCTTTGATGTATTTCAAAACTTTTCTTAACCCGTCTGCGCAAACTGGATACTTCGCAGTAGCCGGCTGAAGCATTTATATAAGAAAGAGACTTAGAAAAGGCTAAAAATTGTGTAAAACAACTAGAAATTTCGTATCGATGACAAATATATACATACCTGAGAACCAATCTTGAACCCATCAACGTTATTCGCTGCAAGCAAATTGAAAAAAAGATTAGAGAGGAAGATCAGTAATTATCACACAAATAAGCAAGCACTGAAATGGTTAGGAGTAAGAGCATACAATGTAATTGCAAGCGAGAATCAGCTTCCCAACTCGGTTTCTCTGGATTAACATTGTCTACATGAGAAACAAATGTAGAAGTGAAGTAATTGATACCGACAAAATCATAAGAACCCTTCAGTTTCTCCTTCTGCTCAGGCGTAAAAGATGGTAATCGACCACCAACAACATCTTTCATGGTCTGAGGGTAATCTCCATGTGTTATTGGTTCCATATGCCTGTAAACAGCAAGCATCCACACTCAAAACACTAAGCTAATAAATTCGCTTAAAATAATATTTCTTAAAGACTACTCACCAGCCTAGAGTGAAATCCATAGCTCTCTTCACTATCTCCTCTGAAGGACTCGAGCTGGATTTCTTATCATAAGGCTCAAACCACATTGGACTTTGAACAATTCCGATCTTTCCACCTTTGCACTGTTTGTTTTGAATCAATGGATTAGCTCAATTGAAATTTGAGTCCAAATGTGTTGTAATTATCCTAAAATTCTTACCTTTCCGCATTTCCTGAATTCTTCCACAGCTTCGGCATGAGCCAACAGCAAATTGTGACTAACAGTGTAAACTTCATGACCACTCTTGCCTGCAACACATTTCTCATTGACATATTTAGAACATCTTCCTGGTGCTTTCTCTCCAGTCTCGTATCCACCATGACTAAATTCATAAGGCTCGTTTATAGTAACCCAATGCTTCACTCTATCACCATATTCATTGAAGGCAAACTGTGCAAAATCCCGGAAATCCTCCCTATATACGAGTTTCAGAAGATATTAAGTAACCACAGAAGATAGGAGACAGAAGTGTATCACACAGATCAATATTTGGCTGAGAGGACTTACAAAATACGGTCACTCAAGAAACCACCGTATTCATCTTCAAGAGCCTGAGGTACATCCCATTGAAACAATGTAACCAAAGGCGTTACACCTGCAAAACTCAATCAAGAGTGCGATTTTAGCCACGAGGTTAAGGAAAAAAGGAGATTTCATATGAATTGAAGATGTGGCAGAAGGTGTAATAACCATTTGCAATGAGCTCGTTGATAAGATCATTGTAGAATTTAACTCCTGTTTCACTCACTCCCTTGTCTTTTTTCCCATCTGATTTTTTTGTTCATTTCAACAACAAGAAGTTTATTAGAAAGTGCATCTCATAATAAATTCCAAAAGAATCATTAACCAAAGAAATAGATTTTTGTCTTACGGGGAAATATTCTTGACCAAGATATAGAGAACCTAAAAGCATCCATGTTCAGTTTTTTCAATAGTTGAACATCTTCCTGCAACATTTCAAAAAGTTAGATTAGATGAAGAAGCCATTGCTAATAATCACACACTTAAACTCATCTTCAGCGAGAAGGATTGCTCGTAGAAGAACATATACCTTGTACTGATGATAGAAATCAACTCCAAGCCTGCCGTCAAGATTATTGTTGCTTTCTGCAGATTTTAATAACATGCTCATGGGTTAATAATCTCAAGACCAGATCGAATTCTAAACTCATAACAGTGGCTCAGTTTTATAATCTTCTGACCTGAATGTTTAAGAGTGAATGAGTCCCAAATGCTGGAACCTCGGCCTCCTTCTTCTGGTGCACCTTCATGCTATACAAACAAATCAACCAATTAGAAACGTTTGGCAGTAGAAGAGGACTATCAATAAGTCAATCATGAAACTTGAAGCATCATCAACAGAATTCAAAAGTGAATGTGAAAAAGAAACTATCTTAGGCATTAAAACTAGACACTTGAAAATGACCAATGGGTCAATTCATAACAAGTAACTGCCTTTAATTGGATAAAGCTTTCGTTTGACAAAAAAAAAATTGGATAAAGCTTTCAACTTTTTCCTTTCAAGCTTATTGGTTTTGACTAAAGATACCAAATTTGATTTCTTTAAACTTGATTTGGGATTAAAGACTTTGTTAATCGTACTTAGGAAGCTGCTAGAGCTGATTATAGAGTAAATCCGGCAACAAAATACAAAAACTCGCCGGAAAAAAAAATCCCGTCAACGGCGATTAAACAATGTTTGACTTATGAATCCCAAATTCGATATACCTGGAAAGCAGAAGTAGCAGCACCGAACAAGAAACCATCAGGAAAGCTTCCTCGACCAAACGTGGAACTCTGTGGACACACAGCTCCACCATCGACGGTGATCGGAGAAGTAATCACGGCGAGAAATAAACCCAGAAAGAGAATCGCTTTGAGTGCCATTTTTCAGGTAGTATTTTATGCTTAACGTGGTTGTCGTGTTCCATTATTTATAAGGGTGGAGAGAGATCAATCACAAAGAAGATTTATTGATTTTGGGATTCGAATACTTCGTCTCGAAGATTAAAGCAAGGTGAGAGCGACGTGTGTGTTAAAATAAATTATCTTTGATATTTAACATTTAATTTCGATAGCTTAGCCTTGTCGACGATGGTGGTTGTAGAAGAAACAACGTTAAGGTTCCTTATTACCACGGTAAGTTTTAAAATTTCCATTTTTGAAAAACTACATTTATTTGAAATAAGATAATTAGTTGGACCGACATGAAATATTTATCACATGTCATTCTGTATTTTTACCTTCATTTAAAAATTAAACAAAAAATATCTTAAAAAGCTTTTTTATCCGACACGTCACCATCTTTATGTTTTTTTCATTTATTTATTTATTTCCTTGGGATAAAACAGAAACCTAATCCCTTAAACCTCACCGGCGACGGAAAATGGCATTCGCGTCTCCTTCGCTCCGTCTGCTTCCTCAGTCTCCGTTCCGTCTAATAGCACCAAAACGACACCGTTTCAGTGCTTCGAAACCCTCACTCTTCTCCTTTCACCATGAATTTTCATCGTCTTTCACTGTCAGAACCCCGGTATCTTCTTCCTTCGTCGTCGGCGCCGTCTCCGGAAAATCCACTACCGGGAAGAAATCGAAATCCAAAACCAAAGGTAAACCTCCTCCTCCTCCGCCAGTTACTACTGTGGCTGAAGAGCAAGACATTGCCGAGCCAGAAACAGTCAACATTGCCGAAGATGTCACTCAGGTGAGTTCAAAGGATTCAAATTTTACTAAGATTACGAGTAAAGACACGTTTTTTTCTTATGAAAAGATTAGATGTTGTGATAAAGTTTGATAATTTAGGATTCGAATTTTGTTTGTATAGTTGATTGGAAGCACACCAATGGTGTATCTCAATAGAGTCACTGATGGATGTTTGGCTGACATTGCTGCCAAGCTTGAATCAATGGAGCCCTGTAGAAGCGTCAAGGATAGGTCAGACTGATTCTTCGTCCTCTCTAAATTTTTTCTTCATATATTTTTATCTTTTGGATTGAACATTCTTGAATTTCGACTTATACTTGATTCCTAACAGTTTTCCCTATCTGCAGGATTGGTCTGAGCATGATCAATGAGGCAGAAGACAGCGGAGCTATAAGTCCGAGGAAGGTTATTGCACTTATTGCCTTTAGATATTTTGATGTTCTGTGTTGCGACATTGTAGATTGCTAATTCGATATTTTCATCAAAGCAGACTGTGTTAGTAGAACCAACAACCGGAAACACTGGCCTTGGTATTGCTTTTGTGGCTGCAGCTAAAGGCTACAAGCTTATAGTGACAATGCCAGCTTCTATCAATGTTGAAAGGAGGATGCTTTTACGTGCACTAGGAGCAGAGATTGTGCTAACGAATCCAGAGAAGGGTCTCAAAGGAGCAGTGGATAAAGCCAAAGAGATTGTTCTCAAGACAAAGAACGCATATATGTTTCAGCAATTCGACAATACGGCAAATACAAAGGTAAGAAGTCATCAAGCTTTTACTCTTTTATTTGAAATTCGAGGTGTGTGGCCTAATAAGGTGTTTTTCTTTTGGTTTGTTTGGTAAGATCCACTTTGAAACTACAGGACCAGAAATTTGGGAAGATACAATGGGTAATGTCGATATATTCGTTGCCGGAATTGGAACTGGTGGTACTGTAACTGGTACTGGAGGTTTCTTGAAAATGATGAACAAGGATATTAAGGTCTTTCTCTTTCTCTTGTTTTCAGATTTCTGGTTTAACCTTGTGATTTCCTTAATCCGAAAGATCCTTAAAACATAGGTAGTCGGCGTTGAACCATCAGAAAGAAGTGTGATTTCTGGAGATAATCCTGGTAAGGAACATTGAGGCTTCATTTCTTCAAAGTCAATACTCTTAAATTGGGTTTTTCTTGCTTTGGTATCCTCCTTACAAAACACTACTCAACGGTTTTTTCAGGTTACTTACCGGGAATCTTGGATGTTAAATTACTTGATGAAGTGTTTAAGGTTAGCAATACTTTCACATCATAATCAACATTTTAAACGATACATCTATTAAAAATAAAATAAAAGAAGATCATGTCGAAACACAATAGGTTAGCAACGGGGAAGCGATTGAGATGGCGAGGAGATTAGCTTTAGAGGAAGGATTGCTGGTATATATATTAACCTCTTCTTATGTTCTAGCGTTTTTCCTATACATAACATTGGGTTTGAAGTTGTGCGGAATCTATACACATTAGGTTGGGATTTCATCTGGAGCCGCTGCAGTAGCAGCAATTAGCTTGGCTAAAAGAGCAGAGAATGCCAGAAAACTTATCACGGTGAGGAAAAAAACAGATTTATTTTCTAGTAATCACAGTTAGTGGTTTTTAGAGCTCTAATAGAATTCGTAAAACAGGTTCTGTTTCCGAGCCATGGCGAGCGGTATATCACAACGGCTTTGTTTAGTTCCATCCACAAAGAGGTCCAAGAGATGAGATATTAGTAGCAGCCATTAGAAAGCCCTCCAAGTTTGGTCCTTTGGGAGAGTGTAAACAACAAATCTCTCTGCAATACCGAAAAGAGAGGTAAAAAAATCGCGGTTTTGTTTATTTTCTTCTTACTCAAAAAAGTTCAACTCCTTGCTGCGGTAATCTTACAAACCAACACATTACAGGTTTTGAGAATACCGTGAGGTTAGAGCTGACACGAGACCTGAGAGATAAACATGTCTCGAGCTCAAACAGTTTTTTTCAAAGATGTTGTGAATGTATAGAAGATCAGAGACCTTGTTGCCCTATTCTTCTTCTTCTCACTCATATGTCAGGGAAGTGTGCTGAAGAAATGAAAGTTTGGTCATCTAAACCCTAAAATTGATTTGAATCGAGATCTCCAAGATTGGAAAAACTCACCGAGCAAGCATGTTTGTACATTATATGGTAGTTAGAATTCAAAACTTTTTGCCTTTGATGATCACAAAAAATAGTGTTATTGTTCAATTTCGATTTTGTTTAATCTGTTAAAAGAAAGTAATCGGTAAGATACAACAATGAGTTTGAAATTAATTACTACTCTTGCTAACCATATTGTAAAAATGGAAATTGGATAAAAATAAGAAGTCGAATCTTAAGAGATGAGGACTTGTGGGCTTTTGCGCATTTGACGTCTATTTCTCAAGTAGAAAAAAAAATGGCTTCGCATATGCATAAAAGCCCAACTAAATATAATACATAGATGCAGAATTTAATACGACCCAAAACTCTGCCCAAAAATATGTATAATTGGAGGAAATGAGTCATAAATGTAACCATAAAAGAATTGGTAGCAAAAGGGACAAGATTTCTACACATGGAAGATACTGGATGGAACAGTGTACACGTGCAATCTTACTTTCTGCGTGTCTGCTATAACGTGGCGGATTTATAGGTCCCACCTTTGTATCCGTATTATCAAAGTCGTTGATAGGAGGAAGTATTATTGAAAACAGCATGCAGTCCATATTTATTATGAGTAAACAGGACGTAGTTTTCTTTTAAGATTGTATGTAACGTGGAAAAATACATTTATTATGTGATTGTAACGAGTTTTTTTTTTGTTGTTAAAGAGTGATTGTAACGAGTTTGAGGGTGATGTATTATTATTTCACATTTTTTTTTTCAACTAAGTTCATTTTTCACGTTTAACTTGAGGTTATTGGCATGATGGTTAAATCCTCCTCATATATGTCACCCAACGCAGCATGTTCGAACCCCCAAGTGGATTGGATCAGATGTGGTTAGAAAACTACTAGTCTAGACTAGACTGACTAGTAGACAAACAAGAACAAAAAAAGGTTCCATTTTCACGTTTTGTAACTGTTTTCACATTCACAGCAAAAGAATAAGGTAATAACCAACGATCGTACGGTGTTACTTATGTGCCGCACAAACCAAGGAGATGGTTGGACTACAAAATTAGGGGGAAAATTTTTAATTTTCAAAACTGGTTGAAAAATAATCTGATTTCCAAAAATAAGAGAAACGAACCGTATGAATTTTAATATTAATGAAAAAATAATTTTTTCTGAAGGGTTAGAGATTTGGTCCATATGTAGCATAATGTATTTTATGAACAATTGTAATAAGTTTTTGCATATCTTCTTTTTGGCATTAATTTTGTGGCTATCTAATGTATAACAGAGAACTTCAAATTCAATTTTTTCTTTGTAGGTTTAACTCCTTTCCCCATACGAATATTCACATGTGTGCATGTAGATAATTGTACATAATACGTTTATATCCCTTTCGATAGACTATCTCTATATATATGTCTATAGATTATCAACACGTTTCGGTTTTACTCTGACATTTTTTCCTAAAAAGAGGAAAACCAGGTAGCTTCAGTTTTACAAATTAATTTTATTTTCTGTTGTTGATTTCGCCAACCTCTGTCTCTCTTGGTCTTCTTCGCTTTGAGTCTTTCAACTTGAATTAAGGTAACAAATAATCGCTCTATACTTCTTAGATTCAGTAGATATATACAACAAAAGTGCATGTGTGTGTCTGTGTATATATTATGTTTTGATGAATCTTTGAGCAAGAAATGAGTTTAAAGAAACATTAAAACTCGTAGAAATTGAAATACAGATTTATTTATGTTTTGCATTTTTTCCTATGAAAATCTTTGAAGCCTTACTGCAGCATATGTGTGCGAATTTATGAATTACGATGATTCCATTGATTAACTACTTTAATTTAAACAGTTTTGAAAGCTTGTAAGTATCTTTTTTTCTTCTTTTTGATATTGAAAATATTCAGATTGGAGTTAAAGAACGGAAGAAGAAAATATCAATTTGAAATGAGTACTCAAGGAGAAATGGAGGAGAGGCTATTACGTGTAGGATCAAATGCTGAGGGTCAGAGCAATAATAGGGAGAGTCTCTATTTGAGAACGAAGGTTTGGAGTGAAGTAAGTAAAATGTGGAGAATAGCATTACCTTCGTCTTTGTTCCGAATGACTTCGTTTGGGAGCATCATTGTGGCTCAAGCCTTCATCGGTCACTCCTCTGAGTTGGGTCTAGCTGCTTACGCTCTCCTCCAAAGCACATTCATCCGCTTTCTCTATGGTTTAATGGTATAAAAAGCTACAAATCTCAATTAGTCATGGGAACATTAAGTCCGTTAATTAAAGAGGAATTAGTCTTTTAGTACTCTTTTGTGGTGTTAATATATAGGGCGGTATGTCAAGTGCAACGGAGACATTATGCGGGCAAGCATACGGTGCAGAACAATACCACACAATGGGGATATATCTACAACGTTCATGGATCGTGGACATGGTCGTGACCTCTCTGTTCCTACCGTTTATTATACTTGCGGGTCCCATTCTCCGCCTATTAGGCCAAAACGTTGAGATCACAAAGACCGTTGATGAGATATATCCGTGGATGATTCCTTATGTCTATAGCTTAATTTTCACTATGACCATACAAATGTATCTCCAAGCACAGATGAGGAACGCTATTGTAGGCGTTCTTTCGACATTGTCCTTGGCTCTTGACCTTGTGGTCACGTGGTGGTGCGTGAGTGTTATGGGAATGGGCATTGGTGGTGCACTCCTCGGACTTAATGTGGGCTCGTGGGCAATGGTATTAGCCGAGTTTGTGTACGTTTTTGGTGGATGGTGTCCGTTTACTTGGACCGGATTTAGTATCGCTGCTTTTGTTGACCTAATTCCTATGCTCAAGCTCTCCATTTCTTCAGGCTTCATGATCTGGTAATTACGTATTTTTAGCTTAAAATTATGTTATGATACAATGCTATAGTAATTTTGTTCTCTAATAATCTTTTTCCTTACAATTTTCGTTCAGCTTAGAGTATTGGTACATGAGCATCCTAGTCTTAATGGCTGGGTATACAAAAGATGCGAAAATTGCAATCTCTGCTTTCTCAATATGGTAAAAGTCAAAACCTTCCTAGACATTGCATATATTACAGCCAGCCTAAATTTCAATCTAGAAAAATAAATAAATTCAATCATCTTGAAAATCTGCAGCCAATACATATATACATGGGAACTCAACATATGCCTTGGCTTCTTGGGTGCGGCTTGGTAATGCTCTCTCATATTTATAAACGTTTGAATCTTGAAAATTATCCATGCATAGATTAAGTAACAAACTAATGTTTATTCTATGCAAATGTAATCGTAGTGTCCGGGTGGCTAACGAGCTGGGGAAAGGAGATGCAGATGCAGTGAGGTTTTCAATAAAAGTGATACTCACAGTATCAACATTTATGGGAGTGATGTTCTCAGCTCTATGCTTAGCTTTCTGTGGTCAGATTTCGTATTTGTTTTCGAATAGCGTTGAGGTTTCAGAGGCAGTGGATGATTTGTCGGTGATCCTTGCCGTTTCAATCTTACTCAACAGCATACAACCTATACTCTCAGGTTACACATCTCTATACCCTCTTCTTATCTATGTGAACCATATAACTGTTGGTATTAATTTGTTGAGAAGTGAATCTTGTTTTGGTTTAGCAATAGATGAAATAAATTCTAATAATAATTATAAATAGTTGAAAATGAATAAAACAGGTGTAGCAGTTGGAGCAGGGATGCAGAGTATAGTGGCAGTTGTGAACTTAGCCTCTTATTATGCAATTGGCATTCCTTTGGGTCTCATCCTTACTTATGTTTTCCATCTTGGTGTTAAGGTACTAACTACTATTAGTTTTTTTTTGTTTTTTGTAATTTTTTTGGCATTTTTAAGAATTGATAATTAATGACATCCATTGTTTAAAATTACAGGGACTATGGTCTGGAATGTTGGCCGGAATTGCGATCCAAACAATGATATTGTGTTATATCATTTACAAAACTGACTGGGAATTAGAGGTAAGCAAATTGAAATTTGTTGTTCTTCCTTGAAACAAATGAATTTGTTGCTAAAAGTATATAACGTATGAAAAAATATTTTATATAGGTTAAAAGGACAAGTGAACGTATGAAAGTGTGGAGCCTGAAGCCATCTAATGAAGAGTCGAATCCCATAATAAGAGAAGAAAGTGAGAGCAAGTGAACTGTTTCGATGTTATACATTGTTAATACTCTCTCGTATCTATGATCACTAATTAAGCTTGATTTTTAATCTACAAAAACCGTTTGGTTTTGAGTATTATATGTGAATTATGTGATTTTAAAATCTACAAGCTTGAATATGCAAGGGGGTTTCGGACCATGAATATTGAAAGTTATTTGATTTGAACTTATGTGTTACTTTTTCTACATATTATTATTTTTACTTAGTTCATTACAAAATTGAGCTAACAGATATAGAAATTTTGAGATTAATAATATCTTACCCTTGAATATTTTGGATTGAAATTAGATTTGAATTTTTGTGTTATGTTTTTTTTCTTCCTTTTTTCGTAATTTTACTTGGTTCTCTAATCTCTAATCTGCACATTTCGAATTGATCATATCTCAGACGGTAAAATGACTGGGTAAAATAACTGGATACAATATATTACAATACAATATATTACTAAATTCATCATTCATACACATTCCTAAACCCTATACATCCTACCATCTACACCATCCACATTCATCTACACCTTCCACTTCCTACACCTTCCTATACATGCTACACACCATCACATCCTACACATTTATCTACTACACCATCTTCCTACACATCCTACACATTCATCTACACCATCCACTTCCTACACATTCATCTACACCATCCACATCCTGCACATTTATCTCATCTATACAAGCATACGTTACACATACACACATCTCATACACACATCTTACAAGCATTCATCACATATCCCCTATACTCAAATCATTATTGCCCCGTCTAGCACCTTCAAATTTAGATTTCTCTGGTCCGTAACATTCTCCTTCCGTGACTCCATCATCATTACTCCGTCTAGCACCTTCAAAGGATATGAATGTGACGGATCGGATCATTTTCCCTTTTTTAAGCCTTTAACGTTAACTCCATTTGATTTTGTGTCCTTCTTAAACATCTGCAAAATCAGATTAATGATCCGTTACAATCCATTTCTGAAACTTTTGTACAAGTTAATCATGCAAGTACCAGACTTATCCAAAATAATCAAAAACATTTATCCCGAAACTAAGTAAACACATTTCATACATGCATATGGCCCATTCTAAAGTTGAAAATATTAAGATAACAAGAAGCGTTACCTTGTAGGCTTGTATGGTGATGATACCAAGAAGCGTTACCTTGTAGGCTTGTATGGTGATGATGTCTTTGAGTAGCTTGTGGAATGGAAACATCGAAGAGAAGCTTGAGTGTAGTAGAACAGATCAAAAGAATTAAAACAGAGAGTATTTGGACATGTGAACAAATGAGTTTCATAGTAAGTAAGAAGATTATTTTTATGTCTGAACGATGGAAGACGGAGGTGTATTTATAGAGATTACTTCTAACGGTCGAATAAGTTACCGTTTGGGTAAAATATTATATAAAAATAAAAGTTACCGTTTGCTAATTATGGGAGTTTCGAATTAAATAATTCACAACGGTTAGAAAAGTTACCGTTCGGTGGATAATAAGAAAAGAATAATTAAAAAAAGTTACTGTTCGGTTCAAATTTACCTTTTCTCTAACGTTCCGACTGATGTTATTGGTGCCATAGGCATGTAGACGACGACGCGTGGACAATTGAAAATGATTTTCTATGTCGATATTTATATCTGATGAAAACCCCCCCTACTGTATTTGCTGCTGACATTGTTTTTTTTTGTCTCTAATCTATAGTAAAAAAATAAATATTTGCCGAGCAATTTCAGCAAAAACTGATGATTTGTTACACTGACTGAATCTCTCAGATTATTATTTAAATACAGATAGAAATTATAGGAAAATTGAAAGATTGAAATATTTCTATTAATTATTTGTACAAAAGATTGAAAGCAGGCAAGTCTCTGATGCTTGAAACATCATCCAGTGCCAGCTCACGTTCCAATTGTGCTCTCGTCGATTTCAGGACGTCCTGCCCAAAATTAAAAACCGGTTAACACATAACCAAGAAGAAAAATTCATAACCGAATCAGGAATTCCAAATTGTAACAAGGCTTGGTTCAAAGACATTTACATTGAATTCCATGTAAGAAGCTCGTTTAGCAAGCCATTGTGCATCCATCATTTGGAAAGCTATACAGTAGAGATTATCGAATGCCATTTCGTCTTCTTCCAGAAATGCCAAGAACCTTATCCCGGATATTGTTGATGGTTTACCTGAATAGAAACACAAACACATTCGATATCACGGGTAAAGAAGGGAAAAGGAAATGAAGCTTGATCAGTTTTTAGCTGGTTTCTTGAGCATTTTTTACCTGATTGAAGATCTAACATTTGTGCCAACATGAATGAGATATTGATGCCAGCCACCGCGAAAGGATATTCCCATTCTGCTCTCGTTCCATCTTGTTTATGTAACAATCTCTGGAAAGATTTCTGTCATAATGAAATCACAAATCTTGTTAGGATCATAGCACGACTCAGAGATAATGCATATACTTGGAATTGTATAAAGTCATTAGTTCTCTAAAATCAAAAATCTAGATGAGAATAGAGATGCTTCACAGACCGGATAGGTCTTCGCAAAGAAGATTAGATTCTCCAGTGATATATACCCTCCACCTCTACAAAACCAATATATGAAACCAATCATCAGTAAAATGACTAGAGATAAGAAGATCTGCATGACCAAAGCTAAAACTGTGTACCGAAAATCTGTTGAAGGGTCTGTTCCTTGCCAACCCATTTCCTTCCAGAGTTCAGATTTAAGAGGTGGTAGTTCCCTCTGTGGGTAAGCTAGCTTCCATAGTTGTCTAAGAGCATCCTGTGAATCATGAGATTACATAAATTTCGAAAAACATTGCAATGTGCAGAATTAATATAGAGAATCAAGCAAACAGAGTCCAAGTCTCCAAGATAACACTTACTTGATGCTCCATTCGAGATCCATCAAATGGGATTTCTATTCTTCGCTTAATGTTTCTCAGCCTTTCTTCCTAATAAGAGGCAAGAAAATACAGAACGGAGATCAAATTGACAGTGACAGTCAAATTGACCATGGATAACTGGAAACAAAACAAAACGGTAAAATTTTAAGAAACAACAAAACAAGCAATTGAGACCATAAGAGAAAGTCATCTCTTTACTAAGTAGGGTTCCTAATAAACCACATACAAAAGTAAGAGACTTAGAGGTACCAAGCAGAAACACACTCTGATAACTTTTCTAAATTTTATATCTATTTGTTTTCCAGAGTTACCATTATTCTTCCAAATACAAGCCAATAGAAGTATTTTGCAGTCTTGCAAACTTCTATAAACGAGACAGTGTAAATACAGTTACACAAGTAATCTTACACAACTCCTAAAGGTACCTCAACAATGCTAAAACCAAGAACCTAATGTGAAAATGTGAGCTTCAAAATGATATGGTATAGGCTGATAAAATTATACTCCTGTTAAACGTATCCTTTTGGTATCTCATGTTCAAAAGATAAGGTAGATCCTTTGAATACCTGCAACATACTAAGTGGCGGTGGCAAAAGCCTCCCACCAGTACCTATTTGACCAAATGTAGGCAGAGAAAGAAACCTCCCAAAAAGTGAACCAGATCCAAAGACAATTTTGGCTGCAAAACCAAGAAACAAGTTGTAATGAGATAATCCCCCTTTTAAAAAATCAAGGAGTGATAGTAACAAGACAATAAAAACCAAACCTATCCACTGAGCCCATTGTGCAATCAACTGAGAAAAGATCAACGTCCAGTGGACTTGCTGTCTTTTCCGTTCTTCTTCCCAAATATCCTCCAGAGTACGCTCCTAAGAGACACACCACAGATAATAATACATAAAAGGGTTCTTCTCATCACTATTTAAAAAACACACACTGAACCACTAACCTCATTGTACTCATCTCTACTATTCTCAGTACTACTACTTCCTAACAAGGGTTCGCTTAAAGTTTCAGAGTCTGTTGCATCATAACGTTCATACTTCCTCCCATCTACATCCCCGTGATGAAGCCGCCTTCTCAGAGTAGCAGATGCCATCTTGTAAATCAACAGATACAAGCGAATAAGCCCCTGCATTATACCAGAAATAAGATCAAACAAACAAACAAAAAAAACTGAAACTTTGAGACTGTGTCTTGCCAGTAATCATAATGCAGCAATAATATTAAAATTTAAAGCCTTTCATTTGTTCAGTCTTCTAATTTTTGCATACTAGACCCTAATTCCACACAAGATCACAGAACAGTTCCATGCAAACACAGATCAATAAGAGAAAACGAACCCTACAAGCTTCAACGGGAATCAAAATAAGATAGAACTTTTCAACCTAGCAAATTACAAACCGATGCATCTGCGCTAAGTCACCAACCATTGAATCGTTTATAAAATTTCAGAAAATCAAACAGAGCTCCACCACAAACCCTAATTGGGAGATAACCCAATAGACTCAACAGAAAACAGGATCGCTTAAAACAAATCTCAGATTCGACTTTTTGTAATCCCTAATCAGAAAACTTCACAAGATAACATCACAAAAACCAAAAACTTTGGAATCTCAGATACATTATAAGAAAAATCTCGAATTGGGTTTGATCGATTCTCTTACAGGGAACGTGATCTGAGTGAAAAGACGAGAGCTTCCTTCGAGAGAAAGGTAAGAATAAGCTCACGAAATCTGAAACCCAAAGGAAACTGTCGCCGCCAAATGTCTAGAAATTGTATTTATTTCGATTAATCTCTCTTATCATACGTTACTATAAATTTAACTAATTTTATTTCTCTTTTGTTGGTCAACGACGTGTTCGCATATTAAATCGACGAACCGGTTTGGTGTCCGGTTTACACATTTTGGTATAGACATTTGAAATCTACCGAAATGGGCCGACCCGACCCGACCCGACCTGACCCGACCCGACCCGACCCGACGGCTCCAGATTCATCCATGTTTCAGCTTCTTCATCAGATCTAATTCAATCTGCGAATTTATCTTAAACCCTAACCCTCTCGCTGCCGTCCGGTGGTTTTTCCGACGACGAACAATGACGATTCACGCTGCAGTAATCCAGAAGCTTCTGAACACCGGAGCACATCTCGGCCGTCGCGCCGCCGAGCACCATTTCAAGCAATACGCTTACGGGACGCGTAACGGAATGACAATTATCGACTCCGACAAAACCCTAATTTGCCTCCGTAGCGCCGCTCATTTCGTCGCTAACCTCGCCCACATGAGAGGTAACATCTTCTTCGTCAACACAAACCCTCTCTTCGACGAAATCATTGAGCTCACTTCTCGTCGGATCCAAGGCGATTCGTATAATCACAACCGTGCGATGAATCTATGGAAGATGGGAGGGTTTTTGACTAACAGTTACAGTCCTAAGAAGTTTCGATCTAGGCACAAAAAGCTTTGCTTTGGTCCTACTACTATGCCTGATTGTGTCGTTGTGTTTGATACTGAGAGGAAGAGTTCTGTGATACTTGAGGCCTCGAAGCTTCAGATTCCGGTTGTTGCAATTGTGGATCCGAATGTGCCATTGGAGTTCTTTGAGAAGATTACCTATCCTGTGCCAGCTCGTGATTCGGTCAAGTTTGTGTATTTGTTCTGCAATGTGATCACCAAGTGCTTTGTGGCAGAACAGATGAAGTTGGGGATCAAAGATGGGAGCAAGGAAGATATGATGAAGGATTTAGCTGCTTGATTTTGGATATTTCGAACAAAAAAGTATGAAACTTTATAGTTGTTTTTCTGAGTCTGGAATAATTATTCTTCAGAATTGTGGTTTCTTCAACTTTGAAATTCTGAGTGTTTTGACACATGGATGATTTTGTTTCTCTGATGGATATTTACCTGTGTAAGATTGTTGAGTTCTAGGGTTTTACATTTCGGTGAATGCCTTGTCTTTTTGCTGTGCATTATTGGAAATGCTTAGACAATGTAAATGGAATTGGTTACTGCTCAGGTTTTGGAATGACACATTACTGTTCAGGTTAGGGGATTAGCTGCCTGGTATACCTTTGAATGTCTCTTGAGGCAATTTTATGGTTTTTACTATATTTTAGACTTTTAGTCGAGAGATTCATTTCTGTCATGTTCCTGATTTTTTGGGGAGATCTCTTGTCATATCTCTCGTAAGTTATATTATCCTTTGCATAGTTGGTTGCTAATCTTAGTTGTTGGTTTAGCTTAGTTTGCGGTGGCCGGTGGTTAACGGATTCACTGCACATGCTAAAGAGACTGTCTTTACAAGTTCATTGGTAAAGCTCTTGGAACTTTGGAAAGTACTTGATATTTTAAGAAGTTAAGTGATTCTCTGTACATGTAACATGCTACAGAGATTTTTGATGGAACAAATCGGCTTTGTTTGAGAACTAACAATTGCTAGCTTTTTGTTTTGATCTTATCGTTACAATAACTTATGTCAACCATGCCTTACCTCGGATTTCTTCAGTCATATCATAACCCCTTCTTTGTCTCTGAGCCAGCCTTAACACTTATAACCTCCACAAAGCTCCATGTCTAGTTCCCCATGTCCACATAGGATATTGGTATTACTGTCTCTCCAATTTTTTCATTACATTTGATAATCTCTCAAAACAACCAGCTTGATGCTGCAGAGACCACTACGATCACATTTTTCGGACCTTTCATCACCTAGATAGCTTCAGAGATGTCGATCTCCTTCTCTACAGATGACGATCCTATCTGAAATCTTTGACTCCTTGTTAATGTTCTGTTTTCAAAAGTACTGTGTTAAAAAAGCAGCCATGGATTCTGTCTATAAGCTACTACAAAGGATATGAAAATGATTCCATGACTGTTGTTGACAAATTTGGAAACTTTCGCATCTTAATCCTTGAAAGTTGAAAGCTTTGGTGTCAAAAAGGCAAGTTTCATATCTCAAACGTCACCACGTGGCAGAGTCAAAAGGTCAAACCTTTTTCTCCCAAAAACTTTCCTAAATTCTCCAAAATCACACACACACTCTTGGGGAGGGAGAACAAAAAAAACTAGAATTGGCGAGAAATGTCTTCCGTTGCAGCTATGGTTTTCAGGGGAGCTAGATCGCTTCTAGCTCCTGCTTCTCGAGCCACCTCTTCTTTGGTTTCAGCTGGATCCAGTAAGAAACCGGCGGCGAAAACAAAGGCCAAGGCTAAGCCTAAGCCAAAGACGAAATCAGACTCTCCGGCAAAGAAGACACCGAGGTCTACCGGACTCTTTAAGGTGACTCCTGTGTCTCCAGTTCTCGCTCAGTTCCTTGGTACCCGTGAAACTACACGTACCGACGCCATCAAGGGGATTTGGACCTACATCAAATCCCACGATCTTCAGGTTCATAGTCTCTCTGCATTTGTTGTAAATTTTGAGCATAGCATCATAGTCTCTGAAATGGTAGGTAGATTCTCCACTTTCTGATGATATAGATCTTGCATGTAGACGAGATTTGCCGGAAAATTTAGTTTTTTTGGTGGTACTTTGCTATTTTTGGCCTGGTCTCTGGAGTCATATTAACTTGCTTTTACATTCGCTGCATCAACTTGAATCCAAACCAAAACACTTCAAATTTTGTTATCTCTGAAAACCCCATCACATACCACTTTTGTTTCACCCTTCCTTCAATTTTCAATCTGTGTTGCACTTCACGACTCCGAAGCCACTGAATCTGTCTTGATACAGGGACTGTAATTTCAAAATGATGGTTATTCGATTCTTGGAGATGGTTGTCAGATGGAAGGGATTACATCTAGGGTTTACATAGATTTTGAAATTAGAATTGATTTAGGTTCGGTTTACGTTGGTTTTTCTATTAGAATTGATTTCTGTTCGGTTAAAATTGGTTTTGAGTTACAATTGTCGGTTTACATTGCAATTAATAAGGTCTGAGAACCAAAAATCACGCACGCGAGGCTTTTTTAAAAAGGAGCGAGTGTGTTTCAAAACAGGCGATTTGGTGGGTTAACACCCACAGAAAATGGAGACACGCGCTCAACTCGCGAGTGGTGAGAGTGGGCGTGAAATCGCGAGATGGGTGAGAGAGGGGTGTGACATGGAGCCATCTGATTGGCTAATATAATGAAAATAGTAGAGATGTAGCTCCTCCCTTCCTATGATAATTTATATAACTTCACTTTTTGTTCGTCTTTGACTCTTTGTTCAGAAGAAAGAAGGTAATGAATTATGAAAATTACTACTTCCGTCAAACAAAAGGTAGTCAGATGATTACAAAAAACTTTTAGACAAAATTTTGAGCTTGTTTATATTATTAGCCAGCTAGAGAATGTCATTAAGATTTCTTCAATCTGAAAGTTGGTGTTTTTAGATACAATTGAGACTCTTATTCTGAGGTTTTTGGGTTCTTTTGAAATCCTTGATGGCACCAAAAAAAGCATAAAATTTTGTGAATTTGTATGCTTGCAATGTTTAATTCAACAATTCTGTGGTATGACTCTGAATTGTTGCTATGGAGAGTGGTTTATAGTTTGGATCTTGACAAAGCTAGATGCGTTGGAATGGCTGAATACTATGTAAAAACAAGTCTTGTTATTAGTGAAATCAAAGAGATTTGGTTTAGAATTAATGATTGGTTTGCTTAGGAGTGAAGTAGGAATCATGTAATTGCACAACACAAGATCTATTGCTGAATAATTTGTTTACTACTTTCTTTGGTGTAGAATCATTTGTCTTGGATAGGAGTGAAGTAGTGATTTATGTGACTGTCTCTTTCGGATTAAACACAAGCTATATTTTGAAAAGATTGTCACTTTTGCTTTTCAGATTTCAGATTTGTGAAATTTATCATTCTTCTTCAATTGTCTAATCCAAAAGATGTTAGCTTTGACTCTGGTTGTGTGGCTTGTTGTTCTGGTTATAATAGGTTTTATTTTGTCTCTTCTCTAAATAATCCAAAAGAAGTTGCTTTGCTTAGAGTCTTCACATTATCTGCTTTGTAGTCCATTGTGATGATATGGTTTCAAGTCTCCAAAAACCGTTCTCTTTTGGCTTTAAGAACCTAGAAAGTAACTAAAAATACCAATCTCTATCAGGCTAAAGTGCAATTGGATTGAGATGTTCTAGTACCAAGTTAGGGAATACTATTTACTTTCTTAATTTTGATGCCATATGTGTTGGTTTATGGTTGCAGAACCCAGCTGACAAGAGGGAGATTTTCTGCGATGAGACACTGAAGCTAATCTTTGAAGGGAAAGACAAAGTTGGGTTTCTAGAGATTTCAAAACTCTTGTCCCCGCACTTTGTGAAGACTGCTTGACCAATAACTAGCTTAGTTTGGAAACTCCTGATTTGGTTTTTGAGTAAGCTCTTTCGAGTGATCTTATCTTGTTAATGTTGTCAATATCTTTCCACTCTTTTCGTTCCTCTTCCCAAACATGGTTTGACACTTTGACTAATGAAGAAATATTTTGGCATAAGTTCTAAACTCTTAGTGTTTCTGGGATGGGTTAATCTTAAATCTAATATGCATGCCGCCGCTGGAGCCAAGTTTTAAGTAGGCTCGAAAGATTAGACAATTCAAATCACAAGCTTATATTGAAAGAAACTTTACAATTTTCCTAAGCATATATCAATCTGTTAAAGAAGATGAAAGGTTTGAATCCATAAAGAAACAAGAACAGAGTAACTTTTGCAGATATACACAAAAATTTCTTCAATAGATTATAGGATATGTTTACATCTTTGATTGTGAATTGAAATCTGATGATATACAGAAACGCAATCAGAGTTCAAGCTT